CCCCCCCCCACAGATATACTCCAAGAAGCAAGAGTCAAGAGGGAAACACCCAGACAGAACAAAAACAACGATCGGAATATGAGGACTGACAAAAATCTAGGTTGAATGGTGATTACAATCCTCTACATGCCACTCCCGAACCGGGCAAGAAGATGGGTTTCGGTGGCGCCATCATGCACGGCCTCTTCAGCTGGAACAACGCGGCCCACGCCCTCCTCAAGGAGATGGGCGGCAGTGATCCGGCCAACATGAAGGAGTTCCAGGCCCGGTTCGCGGCCCCCGTCAAGCCCAGCCAGAAGCTCGTCACCAAGATCTGGAGGACCGGGGAGATCAAGGACGGGGTTTGGGAGGAGGTCCGCTTCGTCACAGAGGTCGACGGGAAAGTCGTCTTGAGCAACGGCCGGGCGTTGATGAAGTGTGTAGACGGTGGCAAGAGTAAATTGTGAAAACAAAGTCAGAATTTTTTTGAGCCATAGGCGAACACAAGCAATGGAATGGTAAATTGAATTCGAGGGCAATTTCTTGGTTTCTTGGTTTCTTGGTTTCTCCTTTTTTTTGGTTCTAAAATGGACAAAACAAACAACTTTTTTCCGTGTGGTTCTCACGTTTACAGAGTAGGTACCTATGTACCCTTGACCGTGAGATAATGCGCGCCATCCAGTGGCTACCCGGACTATGCAACACCTCCCTGAGACGCCGGTCAATGAGTGAGTGAGCAATGATCAAAATCAATCAATCCCGTCCATCCCAATGCCCAGGGGTAAGAGAACATGCTAAGCAATCCCATCCATCCATTCGAGCCTGCTCTCGGTTTCATTCATCATCAACAAACAAGTCATCACGTGGTGTGTCCACGAGGACGTATTTTCCAAGACAATATCTCGTACCCAACGAGCAGACCGTCGGGCTGTTCGTGGATCTTCTAGACCCCGTATTTGCGAACGACCTCCGAGACCTGCTGGGCCAGCTTGTCCGCTTCGGTCTTGGAATGGGCCTCGGCGTAGACGCGAACCGCATCTTCCGTGCCCGAAGCTCTGGCGAACGCTCGTCCCTTGACGTACATCTGACAAAGTTTGTCAATCTCCTCTTGAGCACCCTTGGGCGACTCCAGCTTGCGCTCCGCGTCCGTCGTCTTGAACATGGATCGGTCACGGACCTCGATTCGTACCAGACGATTGGGCAGGTCGATGTAGGTGTTGCGCCAGTTCTCGAGGGTCCAAGTCTTGTGGGCGAGGACTACCTCGGCGAAGAGCATGTCTGAAATGGCGTCGCCCACGGCTTGGTTGATCAGGTCAACACAAGCACGGAGCGAGTCAAGTGCATGTTTCTGCCCGGGAGACTTTGGCTCGGATTCTTTGATCACTTTGATGGCGTTGTCTGAGAACAAGACTGTACCATGTCCATTCGCCTCAAAGTATACACCGATGTCGTAACGTGCCGCAGCATGGTGAAGATGCTTGACACCGGTTGGCGTGATGGTGACAGGTAGTTTTAAGACCTTCTCCACGTACTCCGTAGCAGCACCGTTGGCATATGCAGTTTGGACGAGTCCAATCTTGACCTTGCTGTCTATTCCAGCGACTCGAGTCATATCAGCCAAGAAAACCGCTCCTAGGGTGGCAATTCGATCACCATCCAAAAGGTGGAAGGTTTTCTGCTCATCCGTGTAGTAGTAAACGATACGATCAGCATCGCCGTCGAGTGAGCAGCATCGGTCTCCTGGCTGAGCGTTTGAACTAGGTGGTGCTCGTTGCTTGGTTTTCACATAGTCCGCTCCGCACTGGCACAGTCAGTATCGTTCCTCGACGACCGCCAATAACTCACCTCGAAATTGAGAGCTTCTGGCCTAACAACGTCATCGTTGACAACCTTGATGTCGATTCCGCCTTCTTTTGCACTCGGAAGATATTTGATCAACTCTTTCAACTTGGGTCCACCAACACCGTTGGCACAGTCGACAGTCACCGAGCCTTGGATGTTTCGTCCATACATCAGCGTCTTGAAAGCATTGGCCATCTTCTCATAGTAACCCTGCTCAGTCGGTTCACCAAAGGCGTATGGAGTGTTCATAGTATTGACACAGCGAACAATGTAGTGCAGTTGAGGAGTCGTCATGATACCATAATCAGTGTACTCGACCTTGACGGCGTCCAGCGCAGCCTTGAGCGCAGTGACTAGGTAGGGTCCTGAGGCGCGGGTGTCGCGGGCAAAGACAACCTTTGCGGCACGTTCGTGAAGTTGACGGATCTCATCCACAAGTGTCTCGTTGACCAGCTCTTCGTATGCCTTTGCAAGTCCATCGTTGGGTGTGTTGGCTAGGGTGGTCGCACATTGTTCCCAGGATTGCTTTCAAAATCAGTATGAGCCGGTACGAGTGTGAGACGAGCATACCTCGAGCATATCGCCCTGGAATCAAATGGTTAGTCTTATACTACAAGCGAGGCGGTTAGAATTTACCATAGGATCGACCAACTTGACTCCGTTGTCGTCGGCTGGATTGTGGCTGGCTGTGATCATGATACCGATTGTGGCATTGCGCTTTTTTGACCGAGCTGCGGCCGTGAGACCGACTGTGAACATGACATGATCCAGGCCAGTATTGCTACATCCATACTCTTGTCAGCGAACCGATCCTCGATCACAGGGCAACGTCTGACGCAGCTGAAGGGTTTCTTACGCTTTCATCCGAAACTGTAGTGGAGGATCGGTCAGCACAATTGTCAGAAGAGTCTGAACCTATACATACACCAGCGGTACCATATTCGTACTTCTTTCCTTCCGGGATCGGGTAGGGTTGCACGGCCTTGGTGATGGATTGTAGGAGGTCTTGCGGAAGATGGACGACGGGTTTAGGCTGATTGAAGACGGAATCTCGGGGGTTGTAAGAAGTCATGGTGGAAATTGCAGTGCGCACAAGGCGCCCGCTCGTAGTAGAAGATGAAACAAGTTCTATAGAGGTTATCTAGAGCCGATATGCAGACGAGAGTGTTGTTGCGAAAAGAGACAAAGATCAGTGTTTGGAATGCGGGCAGCGATCGAGGTGGGAGGGAAACTGGGTTTGTCAGACGAAAAGTTAATCACGTAAAATGCGTTGAGAGGCGAATCGTCAGACCAAAATTCACTTGAGTTTTCTTTTATGTCCCGCCACTACCCACAACGTTGTGTCACATAGAAGCCTCAACTTTCCCCCCCTCTATCAGGTGCCTGACTAGTGATGCTTTCGGCCAATGGCGCCCGGCCCGTTGACTGGCGTGGGGGAGGCATTTTGTTAAGCCCGAGGCCTAAACCAGCCTGGTAAGCCCTAAAAACAGATCGTCGCCAACCCCCCAAAATTCCTTTTTGCTGCATTGTATTATGCATCTGTACAGATGGGATAGAGTGGCTAGTTGCTCCCCCAGACTCTTGACCGCTCTCTAGATATCCAAGCGCTGTCCATTTCCACACCCACTGAACTTGCTTTTTCTCCGTAGCCTCGATTTCTGATCGGAGAGTTCGGCTTCGGCTTACCGACATGATCAGGCCTTGAGACGTTCGCTGGCAAGGTCCTCTTGCGCGTCCTTGATCAAAAAGCTAGTTCACGTGGATTAGTAGATCGCACGACGCAAGATATCTTCACTCACCTATACCACCATATCGTCGGAATGACTGTCCCTAGATGCCACAGACTGTGCGCATCAATCATGCCCCAGAAAGGTGGGAAATCAAACAGTTCCAGACTCATAGCCATAATGATCCATGCCACGATCAACCCTGGCCAGGCCGCCCATGTCTTTTGCAGTTTACGATATCGTGAAATGCTAAACCAACTCCAGAGCACATTTTGGACCAGACCACAGGCTACATTGGCCGCCATGTTGTATGTGTAGTCCCAGCTCCAAGCCGTCAGGTAGGTGACATGAGTCACGTAGAGTGAGATGCAGACGAGAGTCCAGAACCGCAGAATGCTCTGCTTGGTAGGTGTTCTATGATCGAGTCTGAACACGCGAATGACAGTAAAGTACATGCCGTAGAGTACACTGGCACCGGCAGCAAAATAGTCAAGTTTTTCCGTGAGGTTGAAGTCTCGTGTGTGGAAGAGCATGCTGAAGATCCAACTCGCCAGTCCAAAGTAGCCGAAGCAGAGATAATATGGTCGAAGAGAATAACGTGCCGGAATTGCCTCACGAAGCCTCTGCATGCCTTCTCGATGAGCGAGAAAGTTCATCAAAGAAAAGAGCACCGAAAATGGCTCCTGCATGCCCAGGAATCGATAAAACGGCCATTTCCCATGATACTGGACAACAGGTTCGATCATCGGCGGGTCTCTAGCCACGCGTTGATCGGTGATAACATGTTGACATGTGTAGTCGCATTCTGAAGGACAATCCCACAGGAGCAGTCGAAGGTGCAGGGGGAGCTTGGCCTTGCCTGTGTCACAGTTCTCTTCGATGCATACCTACATCGGTTGGCAAACTTGAGCTTTTGAAGCTGGGTTGGTTTCAAAACTTACTCGGACGCAATCGCGAAAGTCAGGGAGTCGATCTCCTATTGAGGCTTGCGAAATTCCTGCAAATGAGAGAATGACAATCAAGAGTATTGCACTCCATTTGAAGCCCGAAGGCAAGCTCATTTTGACGGTTTTGTCTTCAAGCCACACTCGATGTTGATGCAAGGAACAAATTCGTGCGAAGTCTCCGCGTTGTCACAAGGGCACGACATTTGGTTGATCGTCTAGGCGCTGTTCGGAATAGCGTAATTGGGCTTTTGTTTACTCCCTACGAGAACGGAGAATCCATGGTTCGACTTCGATTCTTCATCATCAATTGCTATATACAAACAGCGAAGTGTTCATGGTCTGTTGAGTTCGGTACAATTATACTACCACTGCAGGAATCTATCAAACTTATCACAAAAGGCCTCGGTGGCTTCCAGAAACTGCCCAACATGGTCTTCCGTCAGCATAATATTCAACGCAACAAAACCTCTCGGAGCCATGTATATTCCACTTTGCAGCATATGATGGTAATACAAACTCTGCAGGGCCTCTCTGTCCGGACCTGCAAAATGAATTGCATTCAGACTGCCAACACCGTTGATAAACATTTTCGGCGGCCGTTGTGGGTGTTCGGCCACTTGCATGTCGTCAGCCACAGGAGAAGATGGCATCGTACCTTTGATACCTCTTGCCAACAGTAAAGTTGTGACTTTTTGGCGTAAAGAATCACCCAATGCGTTCAAAGCATCGAGCTTTTCCTTGGTCAATAGCTTGCTGCCAGCTATACCGGCGCTCATCGTGAAAACATTGTTGTTGAATGTACCAGGGTGCTCAAGAGATCCTGTCCTCGGGTCGTAAAGCTGCATGATATCCTTTCTCCCGCCGAACGCTCCAAAACTCATTCCACCACCGATATATTTCCCTAGGGTCATCAAATCTGGAGTGATTCCCACCGTCGAGCCCAGGCCACGGTAGTCGAGACGGCTAGTCATGACTTCGTCAAAAATAAGGATAGCTTTGGTCTCATCCGCGAGCTGGCGAAGTGTTTGTAAGAATTCTGAGGTGCCTGCGAAACACCCTCCACTCCCCAGCATCGGTTCAACGAGGATGGCAGCTAGGCTATCTTTGGGCAGTGATCTGACGATGTCTGCGGTGCCTTGAACATCGTTGTATGTTCCTAGCACGAACTCATGAGGTAGATTGATGGTCGGTTTGCCAGACGCAACCTTTCCCGAGATTGTTGATCCATGGTATCCTTTCTTGAACAGCAGGATCTTTTTCCTACCCGTGACAGCCATGGCCGTAGCGATGGCCATCATGTTGGCTTCTGTCCCAGAATTGACAAAACGGACTAGATCAATAGGAGGAAATCGTTCACACACCGCCCTAGCAAGGTCAGGTTCGAGTTTGTTATGTGCACCATAATTCCAGCCACCGTCGAGAGCTTTCTGAACAGCAGCCTTGATTTCGGGGTGGTTGTGACCATATATGGCGGCGGTGTATTCACCTAGGAAGTCGACATAACGATTGCCATCAATAGTATTCAAATAGCAAGACTCGCCTGAGTCGATTGTGAGCGGGAAAGGATTGGAAAACAGGACCGTTCTGGTGTTGCCCCCTGGCATATAGTTGCAAGCTTCTGCATAGTTCTTGTTGGATGCTGGGTGGTTCTGTGTATATTCTTCATGGGCTTGTGAGAGCGCCGCTTCGAGCGTTGAGTTCTTAGGCTCTGATATCGAGCCCATGGTGCTTACTTCTTGGTCCAGTGAGGCGTGTATACAGTCTGTACATATGTGAAAGATTGCAAGATGGAACTCCAGCACGAGTGGATAAGTCCGAGATATTGTGCTTTGTGCTTTGGCTGAAGAAGCCGCTCTACGCCCTGTGATGACTTATCGACAAGAGTTTGGAGAGATTCAATGATCCCTCCCCTACTTGGACATGTATTTAGATAAACACCAAGGTCTCTTCTTATTCGATGTGTCTCCTCCGTATTACACATAAAGTTCAGAAACCTCAACTGCTCACTGAATGCTTGCTTTCCTCAACCTGATTGGGTCGCTGCAGGTGACTCCAGATCCCACTTTGTCAAGTCCAGAACGAAGGGACGAACCTTCCAAAACTTGCTTAGTGAGCGCCTACGAGTACGAGACCATGTTTTGTAGGGTTTATTGCAGGGGGCTACGCGTCACCGGTGCATGAAAGGAGATGCTACTTCCTCAGCTTGTAAAGAGTAATAAGGTCGAAATCTGCTCCCTTGAAGAATTAATACCCAAGGAAGCCTTTCTTTCAATGGATTTTCCTGCTTACCACACCTTCACTCCACGCCCATTGAGCCTAGAGCATTAGGCCGTGATTTCTACCTACCAGGCTACGTCAGGGCCTGGGTCTTTTCTGGAGATCCATATTTCTTCCCTGCGGCCAAGCACTTCTCTCCCTTTGACGAGACCCCACCGTTATCGGCGACCACTATGAGTTCCTCGGCTTCAGGTCGTCGCGTGTCGACGTTGAGATCCGTCCTGCATACCAGCAGCGATGGACGTCGCTTCTCTATCCATCCTGAAGATGAGGGCAGTTCACAAAGCCATCAAAACTTGAGAGCCCACCAGGCCCATCGAGTTCACGCTGGTCTCGATCCGAATCGTGCGAGTACTGGAGTGATCTGGTATGTAGCCCCCAAAGATCGCTCGATTGCTGCCAACACTAACTGTACACAGGGTAACTGAACAGGCTACCAAGCATGGCTACCTCGAAGAACCCGATAAATGGGCGAACTTAGGTCAAGGAGCACCGGAAGTCGACCACATCGAAGGCTGCTTTGAGCGTCCAGACTCCATCCCCATCACCTCAGCAGGAAGAGAATACGGTCCTACGGCAGGCATCAAATCCCTCCGAGCAGCGGTCGCGAATCTCTACAATTTCAACTATCGTCAAGGGAAAGAGTCGCAGTACACATGGGAAAATGTATGCATTGTACCAGGTGGAAGAGCTGGGCTCATTCGAATCGCCGCTGTCTTGGGCAATGCGTACCTGGGCTTCTTCATTCCCGACTACACCGCCTACAATGAGGTACATCAAAATGTCGTCTGAAGTTTTACATCTACTAATCATTATGGCACAGATGCTTAGTTTGTTTCGAAACTTTGTGGCCATCCCCTCACCCTTGTCTGCCGCCGACGGGTATCACATTCACGTGGATAAGATCACTGAGGAACTGGCTCGTGGAACCTCTGTGATCCTGACCTCCAACCCTCGAAATCCTACCGGCCATGCTCTGCATCCGGACGAACTGGCGATCATTCAGGACATTTGTCGCGACCGAGCCACACTGATTTTTGACGAATTCTATGCTGGCTACAATTACAACAACAACTGCGATGGAACCACAATCTCTTCTGCCAGTAACGTCATTGATGTCGACGAGGACGACGTGATCATTGTCGACGGCCTCACGAAGCGTTTCCGGCTCCCTGGCTGGCGTGTTGCCTGGATCATCGGTCCTAAAGAGTTCATTAAGGCTCTGGGCTCCTCTGGCAGTTACCTCGACGGAGGCACGAATGTTCCCTTCCAAGAGGCTGCTGTCCCAATGCTAGAGCCTACCAAGGTCAAACGAGAAATGCAAGCTCTCCAGCGACACTTCAAAAAGAAGCGCGACTTTGTCCTCAAGCGACTCAAGGAGATTGGCTTTAACATGGGTGATCAGGCAATTCCAGACAGCACGTTCTACATATGGCTCGACCTCACCACCTTGAACCCCCCACTCCCAAAGAATAGCCCCATTGACCTTTCCAATGGTCTGTCGTTCTTCGAAGCTCTCTTGGAGGAGAAGGTGATGGTTGTCCCGGGCATCTTCTTCGACTTGAATCCTGCAAAGAGACGGGACTTGTTTGACAGCCCTTGCCACCACTTTGTCCGCATCAGCTATGGTCCCAAAATGGAAGCTCTCGAGCTAGGCATGAACGGCATTGAGAGGGTGGTTAAGCGCGCTAGGGGAGAGTTTGGACAATTCGACACCGCCATACGCGAGGAACCCGATGATGATGATGATGATGTCCCACGCAGCCCTAAGACGACAGCAGTCGGTCACGGCGAACAGCTTAACTAACGGGGAGGTTTGAGGTCGCAACGCGATGGGAGTCTAAGCATGAGTGATACATTTAGAGTTACAATATCGAGCCCAAGCCTATCGAGGCGGCCAGTGCTCTTTCCCAACGCCCTCATTCAAAATCGCCATGCCAAACTTATATAGCTTTCATAGTAGGTATGAAACAAGATGATAAAACTAGCCAACTCGGACCGCAAAACAACATGACATGATACATTAAGATTTGATTCCTCATCTTTGTTCCTTTTCCCCTTGCTTCGTCACAGGCCCGGTTTCGGCAGCTTGGGTAACGCGGGCGATTTCGGTAGTTTGGGCAACTTGACCTTTGGCAGACCCAAATCAAGCCCTGACGATCAATTTCTGTGGTCAGCGTTAAGAACGGTGTTTGACGAGCGTAAACTGGAGCCATGGTACTTACAATAATGCCAGTGTCAGATCACCGTGTATGCTGGCCTTGAGCTCGATCTCAATATCCAGATTCAACTCGATCCGCAGCTTCAAACCGTCTTGGTCCATGGGGTCTTTCCCACTGCTGTCTTTCGAGTCGATGGGCTGTGCAGTCTCGAGTGGCTGCGTGGGTGGTGCGCCGCGCCACGGGATCTCCCCTCGGAGCATGCGAGCGTAGGTGACGGGCCCGTCCATGGATTGAGAGGGTGGTTTTATCCGCTCGAACGGCTGGGCCTCAGTGATGTCTCGGGGGTTGGGGTTCTTGAGCCATTGAGGCTGTTGTTGTTGTTGCTGTGGCTGCTGCTGCCGTTGGGCAACCTGTTGCTGTTGTTCTGGTTCGTCGCCCTCGTCGATGGCGGCCATCGATTGGGCCGATGCATTTCCAGCCTGGGCCTTGCCCTGGGCCGCTTGCCGTTGTCGCTGGTTCTGTCTCCTCCTCCGGCGTGATTGTGATCTGGACCGTGACTCGTAGCCCTGGTCGTCTGCGGATGTTGTAGAGACGTCGGAATTGCTCCGGTCCAGTCCAGGGCGACTGGATTTCTTGCCTGGTCCGGGAGTCTTCTCGGGCGTGGGAGTCTGCGTAGGCTCAGACATGATGGTAAGTAAATCTGAGCTGAAGGAACAATGATGGTGGATGGGAGTTGGTCGGTGAGTACAAAAGTCAAGTAAGAAAAACGTCGAGTCAAGACGGATGCTGATAAACTACGAGTGGCAGTGAGCAAAGGCAGGATACTCAGACCATGGGATGAGGGTCTAGTTGAAACGAAAAAGCCACCTGCAGCAACGACATCATTGTGACAAGGGTTCAGGGTCTAGGGGACCTTGTTTCGAGGTTTGAGTATCCCCTCCCACCAGCCCATGTCTTTTTCCCTGCTTGAAGCAGCGAGATTCCAGGAGGAGTGTTGGATGAAGATCGCACGCCTCGATGACATTCAAGAACCAAGATTTTGGGCAACGTGGCCCCCGAGCACGAAATGCGGGAAGTTGGAAAGATCCTTGTCGGTGGAGGCTTATTTGACGTGTATCTGGCGAATTGTGATTTGATCATCTTGACGCCGGTGAACTTTGGTGCCCCAGATTCGTGGCGTCGACAACCAACTGGAGGTACTGTACGGAGTACGGAGTACACACTGTAGGTATGTAAAAGTACTCGTACTGGATAATGATAGCACGTCCGGCGGCTTGTGGCGCTCGGCTCGATCGGATTTTGGTATGACGCATGGACGCCATTGACGCAAAGGCCATGTCCATCATTCATTCTGCTCTACGAGTTACGAGTTACAAACTTGGTGTTTTGTAAATCTACGTAGCAGGGTATGTCAGTACTCTTATTTCTTGTTAAATGTTACGACGACAATAGCATGTACTCTCGACAAGACTGTTACAATCATCACCAACCTTTCAGCGACATGGCGAGGAGTCGAGGTTCGAGTATGGAGCTGCAGGAATATCGAGAACCCCGTAGTTACGTAGTCGTGGTACCCAACAACAAGGGACATCCCAGTAATAGCCAAGCACAAAGCAAGGAAAAAATACTGTCCTGTCCTCGTACCCTGGCAAAAACACTCTCCACCACCTTAGAACAAACCTGTCATCATCACATCACCCATCATCATCACGGCCGAACATCTCTACGAGTACTTGCCATGGGCTGTACGGAATACTCGTGTCCATATTCTTCCTCTCTACGGATATCACTTACCGCCCCGCCACAGACTTCGCTGATCCCCCTCCTTGTGCATAGAACTCGTACCCCTTGTACCCAGTAAAACATCGACGATGACCTCGATCAGCCACTTTTCCACTCTTCTCTGACCGTTGGCGCCATCTTCTCGACCACGTTTCCCTGCCCACATCCCTGTCACTGCCAGCCACAGTGGTATCCGCCTGCAGCCCATTACGCTGCAATTGGTCTGGCCAACTTTTTGAATCCTGCTTTGGGCGAATTCCTTCTCCCCCTTCATCTTGATCCATGGCGCTCTACCCTGGACCTGCCTCAAAAGCAGCAATGCCCGACGTCATGTTCATTGCGTGGTCGTGTCAAGTTCCATGTTCACAGTTCAAGTATCGCTGGTTGTGGTCTACCACCCTGACGTCGGTGTGGATGTGATCTACGTCGACCTGCAGTGTCTATTTCCCCGTTGCTTTTTTGGACAAGAGAACCCGGTCATCATCATCTTACGTCGGTTTTTCTCTGTTGCATACTCCTTCTTCACCCTCCTCTACATCTTGACTTCCACTTTTCCAACATGTCTGCTGAACAAGAGACCAAATCTACTGAAGAGACCAACCTCGGCGGAAACCTCGACGCTGCTGGTTCTGCCTCAGGCGCTGGAAGCATAGGAGCCTCTGCCAGTTCCAAAAAGTCCGAAGAACGACGGAAACCCAAGAAGCTCGGCCAGAAAGGCTCAGCCAACGGTACACCTCAGAAGGAAGAAGCCGACGGTGAAGTGGACGCCGGTGGTGACGACGAACCGCCTTCGACGCCAGCTCCTCAACCAAAGATGGAACAACAATCACGCTCAAAGTCACGACAGGCCAGTCGAGGTCGCGGTCGCGGATCGAGTCAACCACCCAGCGACACTGACAGTGCCTATCGGAGCGACGTGTCTCAGAAGGGTGGCAGAAGAAACAGGAATCGCAACCGAGGAAAGGCCCAGGCCCAGTCACAAGCCCAGACACAAGGACAAGACGGCGGCCTCCTCGGCGGAGGAGGCGGCGGTCCTCTCGATGCCGTCGACGAAGTGGGCGAGACTGTCAACGGTGTGGTCGACGGCGCCAGCGGCCTGGTCAATGACACGGCCGGAAAAGCCCTCAGCAAGCCTCACGAAGCTCTCGGCGGTCTCCTCAAAAACAAGGGCGGCAAGGAGGAACAGGAAGGAGGTGACGATGAAGGTGAAAATGAGCAATTGCGATTACGGCTTGACCTTAACCTTGACATCGAGGTCCAACTCAAGGCCAAGATCCACGGTGATTTGACTTTGGGTCTCTTGTACGTGCTTGAACCCGTATTGAAGCGAATTGCTAACGTCTCACAGGAACTAGTGCTTGACGAGATGCAAGTACCAGCGCCTTACTTGTGTATCTACTATCCATCCAATGTCGACGAGAATACCCGATTGTCAAAGATTTTCGTCTCGGCGATTGATTGCTTTGGAGAATTTTGTCGGGAGACTGTCTCATTTTTATTCAACGGTGTTGATGTCAGTTTGCATTTTGAGCTGGCCGGCGCAGATCCTTTGATCAATGTATGTAATAAAACGAACCTAACGATATTATATATAACCCGGGACATCATTTCCTTTTGCTCGTATCGTCTTTTGGCTGTAGACGCCGGACTCCCAATGCTGAGGATGTGCATGGTATTCTTGGGCGAGTCATACACTTGCACGTGATGTGGAAATGTGACTCGTTGAAATGCGGATTGGCGAGCACAAGTTCTAGTAGAAGTAGTCGCACCTCTTTTCGAACTCTACAAACACTCTCGTTGCAATTTTCTAAACATCGTGCGGATGATATGTCGCGGCGCCTGGAGGGCTCTCTCGCGTAGCATATCGACCCTGCGGCCATGTTATGACAAAGTTTCATTCGCCAAAATCGTCTCAGCGGCCCTTCCAGGATCAGTGGGCGGGAGTCGAAGTCGATATGTATCTTCGACAGCCATATCAGACGTGAGGGACTGGGCCCCGAGGTCTGCTGACGCCTTTGCCCCGGACACAATCTATGCATTGTCTACTGCTCCTGGCCGAGCTGCGATCGCCGTGGTCCGCATCTCAGGACCGGCGTGCCTTGACATCTACCGCTCCCTATGTCCTAATCGACCTCAACCGAAACCTCGAACTGCAACCTTACGACGGCTGTATGAACCGCACCCAAACGGCGCACAGAGTCGCCAAGTCCTTGACAATGGCGCGCTCGTCCTTTACTTCCCTGCGCTAAACACCGTGACCGGCGAAGACGTGCTCGAACTGCACGTCCACGGCGGCCGTGCTATCGTCAGATCTGTTCTGGATGCCGTCTCGGCATGCGGAGGAATTCTCAAAGAGACGGGGTACATGATACGCCCTGCTGAGCCGGGCGAGTTCACAAAGCGTGCGTTTTACAACGGGAGACTGGACCTCACGCAGGCCGAAGCACTAGGCGAGACTCTTGCCGCCGAGACCGAGCAACAACGCCGTTTGGCCGTGAGCGGCTCAGATGGAGGTCTTGCAAAGCGTTATGAAGAATGGCGGACGATGTTACTCTACGCCCGAGGCGAACTGGAGGCGCTCATCGACTTCTCTGAGGATCAGCATTTTGATGAGTCACCAGTGGAATTCATGGCTTCCGTGTCAGAACAAGTCACTGGGCTACAGCGGCAGATCGAAATACATGTGCGAAACGCATCCAAGGGCGAGCTGTTGCGTAATGGTATCAATATTGCTCTGCTGGGCGCGCCGAATGCTGGAAAAAGTTCCTTGTTAAATCGCATCGTGGGCCGAGAGGCGGCGATCGTCAGTGCCGAAGAAGGCACGACAAGGGATATCGTTGATGTTTCTGTCGACTTGCAAGGCTGGCTATGCCGCTTGGGTGACATGGCGGGCTTGCGATCTGGTAGTGGCGACAACGGCCAGTACAGAATCGGCTTGGTCGAGCGTGAAGGGATACGTCGTGCTCGGGAGCGAGCGCTTCAATCCGACGTTGTCGTTGCACTTCTATCAATCGAGTTAGATGATGAAGGTACGCCGATTGTTCCGGTCAATGAACAAGTCTACGAGGCCGTTCAGGAATGCCACGTCGCTGGCAAAATGATCCTGCTTGTCTTGAACAAGATTGATCTTCTCGAAAATGGCGCTCATCGAACAGCAGCACTCCAATCTCTGCAGGCACAAGTTCAGAAAGTATTTCCCACTATCCCTTCGAACCGAATATGTGGTATATCCTGCATCGATGCAGAATCGACGATGGGGACCCAGAGTTCAGCCGGTCTTCAATCGTTCCTTCACCAATTGACCGACGCATTCGCTGAGCTCACTACGGCAGCCGCGGGTGGAGATATTGACAGGATAAATCCAGCCGAGGCTCAAGCGTATTGGAGTGCTTCCCTGTCCGTCACGCACCGTCAGAGCCTGTACCTCAAACAGTGCTTAGGGCATCTCAATGACTTTCTCGATCAAGCAGCTCCCAATTCAAATGTCATGTCCTCTTCTTCGGTGACGAAGGACTCGAACCGACACGAGAATACGACTATTGCCAATCATGATCCTCAGGATGAGATTGATATTGTCACCGCAGCCGAACATCTCCGGTTCGCCGCCGATTGCCTGGCTAAAATAACAGGTACGGGAGAAACTGGAGATGTAGAAGATGTGCTTGGGGTTGTATTTGAGAAGTAAGTGCGCCTTCCTAAATGTTCTATCGTGATTGCATTTCTATCCAAAGAATGTGTGATTCGAAAACCACTCGTGTACGCAGTACTTCATTCTGCAAACATGACACTTGAGTTCAATACTCCATGATCTTGCCGGTGTCGATACTGGTGGTTCTGTTGGTCTTGTTAGAGGTCCTGCATCTGGTGTTTCTTTCATCCATTTCCCCCAATATACTATTATCTCGCCTTTCTCACCACCACTCTATGATATGTCAATTGCCATCACCCCTGAAAATCTTGGTTGCTTTGCAGCTCTTGAAATCTTGAAATCTTGAAATCTGACTCAACCCCCGCAATGTGTTGAATGGTCTATCAGAAATAGGCGCCCCGGAAATGCTGCTGAAATGCTTGAGTTCTGGAAAACATGCTGATTACAAATTCTTTGAGATAGGTTCTGTGTCGGAAAATGAAGCCTCAAAAATAACGCCCGAAAATGCCGCTGAAATATACGTAATGATGCGAGAATTGCCGTCTTTGATGTTGCCCGAAAAATCAAGAGCGCCCGAAAATGCCGCTTGAACGCTTGAACCGAAAGAATGGGTGCTCATCTAGAGCTGTCTGAAAAGAATGAGAAATCGTGATCAAGCCAGGATCACCATTTGTTGCTGCAGTCGAGACTGAAAAGGCCACAAGGATTCGATCCTCGTTGTCCCGGCCAAAAGGAAAAGATGGAATGTTTAGTTGTAACCTCCACGGCCTTGAGCGGCTTGTTGTCGGTTGTATCCTCCGCGACCCTGAACCATGGCCAACCTGTTGTACCCCCCACGGCCTTGTCTGTTGTATCCGCCACGACCCTTCTGGGGAGCAGTGCCCGCTGGGGTGTTGTAACCGCCGCGTCCGATGGCCATTTGGAAAAGAAATGCGGGGTTAAGATATTGAAAGAAAGAAATTGTGGATGGGTCGAAGACAAATGAGACAAGGAAAGAAGAAGAAGATGGCAAGTAGTCGAAGGACTGTTTGGGGTTGTTGCTGGCTTGCTAGCTTTATGATTGTGAAAGAAAGCAGAGAGAAATAAGGAAAAAAAGTTGTATACCTTAAGTCTAGAGAGGGTGAAGTTGGAATGCTGAACCGAAACTAGGAAAATGCGAAGAAAAAGGAAAGCTGAAAGATGTGGTTTGATGAATGAACGATGGATGGAATGGAATGGGAGATGTCTTCAAAGTCGCGAACTTGATATTGATATATACCTTTTTTCCTCGAAAGGCCCGTCGTCTACCGTACTGTACCTGACTCGGTAGGTCAGGGCGGCCGTGCAATGATGCTGGAGGGAGAGAGAGGTGGCATGTGGTATGTCTCCACAGTGTCAGATCCACCAGGTTACCAAAGGTCTGGTGAGTAGCTTTTTCGGATTCCAAGAGGCACCATGACACGACGGTGGGCATGAGGTAAATTTGGGGCTGACATGAGGGTACGCCATGTGTCCCCGGACAGATACACCAAAGCCTCCTCCCCTGTCGATAATCGGTCGTAGGGCTGACGGCAGAAAATGGACTTTTGATGTCCCTGGAGACCAAGACCATGCCGGACCAGGCAATGCAAGAGCGAAAGTCGTCAGATGGGAGGTGGGTACGAGAGTGACATTGGCTGCATCGCCTCTTGTACTCCTGTCGTTCCCCCGTCGATCGGACAGGGATTACGGAGTATTGTAGGACGAAGACCAACGAGAAGCCAGAGAGGTCGTCAAAGTTGCAATTGTGAGTGGGCAGTGAGCACCGAGTTGTGCTAATTTCGCACCCGGACGTTATCAGGGTGGCCGTGCCCGGTAAGGCTGCTTGCTAGTGTTCTCGATCTGCATTAGCACGTTCGTTTAGCTGAAGGAATTTTGACTCCGTCTTGGAATGATAAGGATACGATAGGGCGTAGTGGACCTTGGGGTGGTGTTAGTGCTTAGATGTCGAGATTCAGGCCACATAACGGGTTTGTTGGCTACTGTACGGGAGTACCCAGGTAGGTGTTTTGATTCCCGGTGTCTCGGCCAATTACGGGGGATATTTTTTCTTTCGCTGTTGTGTGTACAATCTACCTTGGTCCGTACTCCGCTGTAGTACTACTTACTCTTACATGAGAGTTTGGAAGAAAAACTGGCATTTCTACATTGGGGAAACGATGTTTGGTGAGGCGCAGTCCAGTCTTTTTTGGCCAACAATTGTTTGTGTCCATGTGTCCGATGAGGAAAGCGGTCGGTCCGCCGTGACGAGAGTGCCAATAACTTTTTGGTTTTGTTTTTTTGTTTCGTTCATGCAGTACACACAGGGGCCCCTGGGCTCCGCCAATACGTTCTAGAAAGGAAAAAAATAACGAAAGTCTTGTTGTTTGCTGGAGGAAAAAAGACAAGACGGGAAATACTCGTTTACTCGGTACGTGCAAACACGACACACGGCAATCAAGAAATCTGAGATGTTTCATTTTTTGCTGCCGGCGTTTTAAGGGCTTTCAAGGGTTCCGCCGTGATACAATGGATAGAGAACCAGAAAGATCTGTTCGGTGTGCACACACACAGAGAGAGAGGCACACACACACTCATCGTTTGTCCAACATTGCACCGGCGGGGGATACAGTTTTGTTCCGTCGTCATTATCATTGATCTCCGAAGGCAGCCAGCCAGACACTGAGAAGAGAGAGAGAGAGAGAGAGTGAGAGAGATAGGTCTGACCTGCGTAAGGTGCGTACGATTACTAGTCAGTAACCGAGTACTGTACGCAGAGTATCTAGGTAGGTGGGCATGTGATTGATTCTCCTGATGAGTAGTAGGTATTAATGGCTCAAAAGGGGCAATACCATGGCAATGCAAAGCATAGCATAGCAGATGATCTCTCGCTCGGGATGAGCGAGATATGACGAAAGAAAACAAACAATGATGACTTGCATATTCGTTACAAAGTAACCAGGTTAGGTAGTTGACGGATAATCCCTGCCCTGAGAATCTTTGATAAGCATACTCGGTACTCGGTACTCGTACGGAGTATCCGTAATTATGTGATTACTGATTTACTGTAGCCAAGTTGACCTCGTGCGAATTACTCCCTCCGGAGGCTGAGTTTGTATCCCGGAATTGGGAACAATCATATCTCCGGCGTCCGGGGAGGAAAGTGAGTGAGAGGAACTTTGGTCTTTCTATTCTTTTTTGTTGTTCTCTGGGCATCGTCGACGCCGAGTACGGCAAGGCAGACAGACACCTAACTCGTACAGTGCTCGTCGATTTACACGCAGGGATCCTGACGGGCCTGATACTTTTGTACGAATTGAGTAGTATTCCTCCTCAGCCCGACGGACCACATTGTTTTTCCTTGTCTTTTTTGTTTTCCAAGACGTCGATCTCTCTTCGGAGGTGTTTACTGATGTACATACTGTACTTCGTCGATCATTCTTTGAGTTATTACGAAGGAAGTTCTCCACCTGTACGGAGTACTCCCCGTACATAACTCGTAAAGAAGTATTTCCCGTGCTTTTGCAGGCACGTGGGAAAAAGACAAATTTAGAAACAACGGGAAGGCCAAACTATTTCAGGAATAATGCATTTCTCCTCCGTAAGTCTACTGTATTGCTGACCTGACCCAGACCTTTGGAATGGAATCATCGGGAAGACAAACAATAATGTGTATATTTCTGTCCGTCCATCATGTCATGTGTGGGTATCGGCCACGAGTGTACACTTCTCCTCCTCTACACAATATTTACTCGAGAAGGAAAATGCTAACGTTTCTCAGCAGTTTTACACACCACGAGTACTAGTGCGGCAGGTGATCTTCCAAACGCTCGCCCATCACCCATCTCCACGTCTTTTCTCTTTTCTACTCCCGTACTCGTCAAGGCCTCCTTTTCTCTTTCTCGCGTTGGAATTCATGCATGCATGATGATCAAGCAAACAACAAAAAATAATAATCAGGCACTCTGTCATGTGTCTCGCTGTTGTCGCAAGAATTTCGTGCGACGACGACAACTTCCGAGGGCACGACTTTTCTTGACGCTTCCGCTCGTCGTCTACTGGGACCTACCTGCCTTAACTTACTCTCACTTGCATATGTGTGCACCGGTGATCTGCATTACGCCAGAGAAAACTCCTGATGGTAAGATACCCAGGTAAGACCGAAATAGTCGAGATCGAAGGTCGCCATATGTGCTCGGCCTCGTCGTATTCGGATTCCAAAATATTGTGGCTAAGCTGAAACCGTGAAAGGCTGGCTGCGAGGCTTTGCATCATACCTACTTTTGGTGGTCTTTTTACAAATACAGCATCTCCCTCGCAGACGGGGGCTAGGTTAAAGTTTCGATCTCAAAAGGGACGGGACGGAGAGTAGTCGATGCAAGGAGAACACAAACTTACAGGCAAAGCCTCTCCGGCATTACTTGGCTCGTTGTTCATGATGATGATTTGATGTCTCTAACGTCCAGCTCCTATTCAGCTGTGAACCTTATTCACAGGTGAGCCAGTTCAGGCGGTGTTCTTCAGAGCTCAGGATGCGCAAGGCCGCGCGGAGACCTGCTCAGCTGCTTTCACCTCCAAGAGGAGTCTATTACTGGAAGCAAGGGAACGTCTGTGATAGTGTTGCATTTGTTGTTGATACGCTCACATCTCCCTGATTATGAGCGGTACCTTTCGCGTGGCGATGCCTGCGCGGAACCCATAAGCTCTAGGTTATCTCGCTTGTGCTGTGGTCATTTCCTCCGCAGGACTGCTGTTTCGAACAATGGCAGCCATCATCAAGAACGAGACCCGGGATGTAAGTCACGCCTTGCCTTTACATGTGGCTCCGATATTTATATGTGTTGGTTGCAAATACTTCTACTCCTCCAGCAAGAGCCGTGGAAGAGTAACAATCTGGTCGCAAGAGCTACCACACAGTCCTTCAAGAATGGGCGAAACAAAGGTCTAGACAAATGAGGGGCAATGTCGACATTCCTGCAAAAGGCATCTACAGAAACCATGCCTTGGATGGCATTGCTGCAATTTTGTTGACCTTTCAGGAATGTGGGTCTTCGTGTTCTGGTATTCGACGATATACAACCACGAGGACCCCAGGTCTGGACTTTCATCACACCTCTGGCACTCTCTTCGCGTTGCACAACTGACCAAAGTCGCTCATTACATGTTTCAAAGTTACTCGTTGATTTTGTTTGACCAATATGCGATTCCCATGGATATTCGGCCTATTGGTGGGTGCAGCAGCACAAACGAGCGTCAGCTACAGTGTCACGGCGACAGTTATGGCGACCGCGATTGTCACCGTGACCACGTGTCCCTGTACAATCCCGACAACATCGTCAATTCTGATACCGGGCGGAACAATCACGCCCTCTAGCTCCATCAGCTCGATTACAACCACAACGAGGACGACTGGCAACCCTTCCTCCCCCGCCACCAGTACATCCGCATCGAGCTCATCAGGTTCGGGCATGTCAAGCCCATCTTCAAGTACAAGTTCGGCCACATCGACTGCTTCGGGAACACCGATCCCAACCTACGATGCGTATATAAATGCCATTCTTATCCATCACAATTACCACCGACAGAATCACTCGGCCGTCCCATTGACATGGTCGGTTGCCTTGGCCGCAACTGCTCAGCAGATCGCGGAGACTTGTGTCTATGGCCACGTCACGTAAGTACCAATTTCGTCCTCAAGGGGTTCATCGACTGACAAACCATCGCGCAGTAACCTCAATGGGGGTGGTTACGGCCAAAACATCGGTGCCGGCTATCCTGGAACACCCCTGGGCATGGGAGCTTTCATAACCGAAGGATTGTACAACGGTGAAGTCAACAATTATGTGTATTATGGCGAGGAGCCGGATCTGAGCACGCTTGATCAGTGGGGACATTTCACACAGGTCGTGTGGAAGAATACTGCTGCCGTGGGATGCTATACCGCCGATTGTTCTGCGACTGGGTTGCAAGGTGTTGGTCCAAACGTTCAGCCATATTTTACAGTCTGCAACTATGCACCACCAGGAAACTTTATCGGGCAATTCGCACCGAATGTAGGTGTTCCGATTGGTTTACCTAGTATTGATGCGACGTACGGGTTGAGCTAGGAGGGGTTTGCGCCAGGAGGGTTCTTGTTGAGGGGTGTAGAGAAGAGGTAGCATGATCTAGGAAGATTTCGAGGTATTTGTTCGCAAGTATTTACTTACGAGATGGTCATTAGCATCTTGCATGTGCTAGCAATCACTTTGTTACCGTAGCCTGAGACAGCAACCTCGAAGTAGAAGCAAAAGCGTGGCATATGACAATGATCGGACAATAGTGGACCGACACCGAGATTTGCGAAAGCAGCGTCAATCTATTCCCTGTTAGGTAAGGCGACTTCCTGTAGTGAACCGGAGGATTTTGGGCGTTATGTACTTTGCGAAAACCTACAATTCTTCAAGGCCAGAATTTCGCAGCCATCACGCTTCCATTTAGTGTTGGTGCGTATCTTCCAGGAGGATTTTTTCTGCAGATACAACTCTGTGCAATCTTAGCCATGGCACCCGCCGCGAAGCCCACGAAAAATCAACTGCGGCGAGCCAAAAAGAAGGCACAGAAACAACAGGTACGTCGCAAGCCCTGCGTTCCCCCGTCGACATTTACTGACAAGTAGAAGACTACAACGGACTCGACACCTGATCCTGCGACAGAAGTAACGACAGAGACCCCTGCGAAAGTCAAAGTCGAAGAGTCCATCAAAGCAGAGAACCGGCGCGATAGCGACGCAATCACAGACCCGCTCATCGTCGACGAGGATAATCCTCTTTACGATATGTACAAGGAGATCCTAGAGAAGTTTGAAGAGGGAGATAAAGAAGACCCGTCCACGAAAGAACCCGACAAACCTGAAGTGTATTACGACGACGATGATGATATACCCGACGAGGAAGAGGAGAACGCTGCGCCAAAGATGTCCAAGAAGAAGAGGAAAGAAATGACCCAATTGTCTGTGGCAGAACTCAAAGCACTAGTCAACAAACCGGAGTTGGTCGAATGGACAGACACATCAGCACCAGATCCGAAACTTCTCGTTCACCTGAAATCTTATCGAAACGTGGTTCCAGTACCGACACACTGGTCCCTGAAGAGAGAATACCTTTCATCGAAGCGAGGTATAGAAAAGCCCCCCTTTGCGCTCCCGAAATTCATACTCGAGACTGGAATCGCGGAAATGAGAGACGCGACACTGGAGAAGCAGGACCAGCAGACATTGAAGCAGAAACAGCGAGAAAGGGTACAAGGCAAGACGGGCAAGCTCGACATCGATTATCAGAAGCTCTATGAAGCCTTCTTCCGCTTCCAGACGAAGCCAGAGTTGACGAGATATGGTGAGGTCTATTACGAAGGCAAAGAATTCGAGACCAACCTGCGTCACCTGCGACCTGGTGAATTGTCCGACGAACTAAAGGAAGCACTCAACATGCCACCTGGTGCACCTCCTCCATGGCTCATAAACCAACAGAGATACGGCCCACCGCCATCGTACCCTGCTCTCAAAGTCCCGGGAGTGAACGCACCCCCACCGCCCGGGGCAAGTTGGGGCTTTGCCCCTGGTCAATGGGGTAAGCCACCGGTTGACGAAGCTACAAACCGACCTCTTTATGGTGGTGACATTTTTGGTGTATTACAGCAACAACCCAATACTCAGCAAGGAGAGCCGGTAGAAAAGGATCTGTGGGGTGAATTACAACCTCCAGAGGAGTCTGAAGAGGAAGAGGAGGACGAGGACGAGGACGAGGACGAGGAGGAAGACGAAGACGAAGAGGATGGCGGGGCTGGTCTACAGTCTTCAGCCGGTCTGGAAACACCAAGCGGTATGGCTACTTCTGTGACCACCGAAATCGGCGGCACAGAGACGGTGTCAGAGTTCGATCTGCGGAAGCGACGTGGCACAGAAACGGAGGAATCATCTCACCCGAGAGCAGCATATCAAGTCATTCCCGAGCGACAGACAAAGGTGGAGGGTTTCTTTGGTGGCGACCGAGCGTATGACTTGAAATCGAGCCAAGCGAATCTCCCGGTGCTGGGTCAGGAGGAAACACGGAAACGAAAGAAGCCCGGTGATGTGGACGTATCCATGAACCCGGACGCCTTGGCAGCTCACGATGGTATGGACCAAGAAGATCTTCGACGAGCATACGATCAGCAACGAAAATCGGAGCAGAATCCAGAGTGGGATTTCCGGGAAGATTTGTCTGAAATGATAGCATCGGAAGCAAGGAAGAGACAGAAGAGGGATGAAGAAAGAAGAAGTAAGCGGTGATGGGTCTTTCAAGAGCGATGGAGGTCCTCTGTATTATTACCTCAAGAATGGAGGATTTGGTGGTTTACCAGTCAAAAAGAGGCTAAAGAGGCTAAAGAGGCTAATAATATCAATGTACGATGAAGTCCCGAATACGAATTGAACCGAGTCAGTCGACCGACGACACCTTTGTACAGTACCAGTGTAAACCGCCCGACGAGCAGATTCGAAACGAGGCTGTATCTCAGCCTTACGACGTCATTAAAGCGGCATCTCCGTTCTCGCCATGGTGCCTAAGTACTTTTTGCGGTTCGAGTTATGATTGGCTCCCCGAAATTCATAGTGAGCCCAAATTTACCAGGCACGAAAGTGAACCCGAAGATCGAGTTGGGCAGACACTTTCACTTTCGCTCTCCCTGTTATTTTTCACCCTCCTCTTCACCCCCAGAGTATTGCTTTTTGTTCACCGGCTGCAACTGGGCGTTTGTTTTGCTCTCTCTAATGGACCGTTACCGCGGGTATGTTTTCTAAATTCTCCGCCTCAAGTTTCTGGCAACCCTCGCAGCATGACTGACGTTCAAGGTAGTCCGCGGCGATCGCCTCCCCCAAGGGACAGACCTCACCGCGAGCGAGATGACCATCCCAACGTCGAGTATTTCGGAGAAGGCGAGAGTTATCGGCCTGGCGGTCCGACGGGCGAGGGACCTTACCGACCGTCCGTCAGAGACCGAATAGGCGCAGATTCGTGGTCCGCAGACAGAAGAGATGGACGGCGAGATGAACGGCGAGATGAGCGCAGGGAAGACATAGATTCCTACGTCCCTAACACAAGTTCAAGAGTTGCCAGACCCCGAAGTCGTTCGCCTCCTCCTTTTCGAAGAAGATCACGTTCACGCTCGCCGCCAAATCGAGGCAGAGAAGACTTGTTTCCAAATAGAAGATCCCCGCCACCACGCCGGTACTCTCCACGACGATCGCCGCCTCCTAGGAGAAGGTCGAGATCGGCGTACGGTGCGAGACCTCGAACCCCACCAGACACGAAGAGATATCGAGATTACTCTCCTGACTCATCGAGGAGGTCACCGAAGAGGGAGCGCAGACTGTCACCTGAGAGAAATCGCTTTGATCGTCGCTCACCACCCCGACGGGGCTTCTCACCCGACCGAGACTCTGGAAGAGGCGGAGAAAGTTACAGACCTAGATCCAGATCACCCCCGCGACGGAGACCTGGTGATGATAACTGGAGAAGACGCTCGCCGTCTCCGAGGACGTCTGGACCGGCGTCGAACAACACCTCAAGGCGATCGTCGCCGCCAGCAGCTCAGCCAGATCGCGCGAGTGTGGCTGGGTCGGTCCCTAGATCCCCTGCATACCCTGCTGCTCGCAGTCAGTACGACCGACAAGAACCTAGTGGTTATTCGGAACGGGCTGTCGAGCCTCCTAGAACCAGAGATGCGAGCACAACCAGAGACGATGGCCGATCGAATGGAGAAGCACCTCAACCACCTTCGGGACCTAGTAGCCATCGAAATGGTGAGTATAACAGACCACCGCCCACCGGACCGTCGCGCAGTTTCAGCCAAACTCAACAATCACCACCCACTGGACCTGCAGCATCTCTACGCGGAGCCCCTCGTGCTGCTCCCACAGGACCTCGTGGTACCGTTGGTAGATTCGAGCCACCGCCCCGGGATTTCACCAGTCCTCCAGCACGGGGACGAGGTAGTAGTCTGACTTATCGTGGTGGTCCACCTCCATTCGGACCCAGAGGAAGCAGTTACGGCCGTGGAGACTTTGGAGGTGGCAGTGGCGGTGTCAGCAGCGGTGGTGGCGCTGGTCGAGGAGATTTCGGCGGTGCCAGCAGTAGTTACCGTGGTGGTTTCGGACGAGGCGAAGCACTTCCCTTCCGTGGAAACAGCAGCACCAGCGCGACTTATCCCCGAACACAACGATTTAACACTGTGCAACAACACCTCGCTACGAATGAAAAGATTGTACCCGGAGGGAAACTGCTACCTTCCGGACTGCCTCCTGACCAAGAGAAACGGATCAAGATGCTCGAAGCCGAAGCGGAGAGAATGAGGAGTGAGATTGTCGAAAAGCAGAAATCGAAACGCGAAGTCTTGGATGAATGGGAGATTCGGGAGCGAGAGAGTGAGAGAGAATCACTTCGCAGCGAGTTGGCAGACGCCCATTTGCAGCAATTGATGGAGGGTGAAGACGCGTTGGGTCGTGCGGCGTTCTAGTAAGATGCCTTCTGATAACCTATCTGTTGACCTTCTCACCTCATCGGCCGTGCGAATGTGATTGGGTGCATACTGTGCATTCCTGGAATCGGAACTGGGAACCAATTTTGATCTTGGATGGTCAGGGCGACTGGTGTGAACAAAAGCAACGGACATGAACAATGAGCGAACGAGCAACGAAGACGAATTCCCGCAAAAGAACAAAAATGAAACGACAACTTCAAAAGGTGATGGGTGGTTCGCAGACTGTACGAGTTCACTGAGTCCTTTTATCTTCAATCTCCCCCCTCTCGAATGATTATTTCCATTGAGCATCTGGCGTCTGGGATTAGGCATCGAAGATCATGGCATGGGCAAACGGTCATAGGGAATCAAAGCATCAGGCATAGCGAAGGCGATTTGGGTATGTAAATAGATGTTCCAAGCTGGGAGTAACTTGTTCTTCCAGTGGGCTCCTCAACAATCTCGAATCAAAAAAAGCGAATGAAAATACAAACACACGACACGTTCAGTTTTTGCATCGCAATGTGTACCATGTGCAGTGTGTGACCTCTTCCATACTGGAATTTTGATGACATTGGCATTGAAAGAACTTGGTACCATCTGGAATTCTCTTCTTACATAGGTACCTAGGGTATCTCCCTGCAAGCACACTTTTCATTCGACAATTCCCGTTATTCCATCGTGTGTACAAAGTGCCGCCTTGCGTACCGGTCTGACTGTCCATTTCCTTTTGACACTCTCCTTTTCCCCTCCCCCTGGCCCCCCTTTTTTTCTTCCTTCCTTCCGATTGACTCTTTTTTTCTCCTCTCACGCACCGACCGCCCTACCACCGTCGACCTCCAGATTCACACCGGTGATGAACTTTCCCTCGTCACTGGCCAAAAAGGCACAAATGTTGGCCACGTCGCTGGGGTCCGTCAACCTCCCCAAGGGGACGTTGAAGAGGAACTTCTTCATGTTCTCCTCGTTGTAAGGAACGCCGACGAATTGTTCAAACAATCCCGTGCCGGACAAAAGGGGACACAGGGCGTTGACTCGGATTTGATCCTTGCCGAATTCCGCCGCCAGACCTTTTGTCGCCTTTTGGACACAAACGCACACACGCATCGATCAGCCCATGCGCACACGGCAGCTAGCCGAGAGGAGAAACTCAAAAAGGCATACTCTGGACAAAAATCAAGGGGAAAAACTCACATTGGCGACCGCAGCTTTACTGGCGTTGTACCAGACCAAACCGGGCCTGGGTCTCATGGCGCCGATGCTCGCGACGTTGATGATGGCCCCACCGCCCCGGCCCTTCAGGGCGGGCACGGCGGCGGCGACGCTCAGGAAGATGCTCTTGACGTTGACCGCCATGACCCTGTCGTACTCTTGCTCCGTCACCTCGAGCGTGGGCTTGTTCTTGTAACTCGTGCCGGCGTTGTTGACGAGCACGTCCAGGCCGCCAAACTTTTCCACCGCCGTCTTCACCATCTTGTCCCAGTCGGCCTGGACCGTGACGTTGGCGGTGACGGTCTGGACGTGCTGGTCGTACTGCGAGTTGGCCGGGTAGACCTTTTGGAGTCCGTCGCCGTTCATGTCGGCCGCCACCACCTTGGCCCCTTCCTCGACGAACTTCTTGGTGCACGCCAGACCGAATCCTGACGCTGCGCCTGTGGAGAGCCAGACCAAAACAAAAAAGATTGTGAGTTGTGGGACTTGAGGTTTCTGTGTGAAATGGAAGGGGGGCGGGGACGAGAGACAGAGAGAGAGAGAGAGGGAAATGGATGCAGGAGATAAGGAAGTGTAGTTTGTTTGTGGATGCTGGAATAAATACGTACCTGTGACAATAGCCACTTTACCAGCGAGTCGACCTGATCCGGTCTGTACTTCGTGTAAACCAGACATGACGATTGTGGTTTGAGTAAGGGGGTTGTGAGTGAAATACGTAGTAGGAGATTGATGACCTGATGAAGCTACTCTCGAGGTTTAGAGGGAGTAAGTTTTGAATTAGTCAGTCAGACAGTAAGACCAGTGGTAAGTCGATGAAAATAGAGGAGGAGGAAATAAAGAGAAGATGAGTAGATGGACGAAAGGGAAAACATATTCCGATTTTCATCACCATCATCTTTCCTACGAGTTTAGGAGGACCTCGAATAAGACTTTCTCATGCCCGCGGTTGTTTCTCTCGGCCCCCCTCATTCCATGAACCCCCGTCCAACGGAGAAAAGGGTAAAGCTATCGATTACCCAGGTTAGTGATAGGATAGGTAAACCTCACCAACCCATCCGAACTCTGGTTGGACTGCGGGGGAGAAAAGAAAACAAACGGACGGAGACGGAAGAGCGAAACGACGTCAACGAGATGCGGAGTAAAAGGAAACTCGCTCCGTCAGAGAGAGGGTCCAAGGTCCTCACCCTCGGTTACGGCCGGTCCGGTAGCGGCCCCCGGTTTTGCTGAAAAAGCTGAGGGGGAACGATCAACTCACTTCATACGAGGAAGTACTGGACCGATTCGAAGGAGGATTCTGTGTCATTGACTTGTTTACTGTACTCTGTACAATTCCCGTGAACGACCTCCAGTATGCATAGTGCTGAGACCTAAAGCACCAATCATTGAAAGGCTATGAACAATGTAACATGTGCGTGTCCAAGTACTGCCCCTATTGTTGTTCCAACCATCACAAAGCAACCGCACCGCGAGGATCCTCTGTTCTATCCCAACCACTCAAAGGCACAGTAGACCGGTTGTCAACCCAGTCGACCTCGGTTTCCTTGATATCCCCAGTGACCTCATCCTCATTCAATTTGCGACCCGGTGACATTGAGAACCGTTGAAGCTGAAAGTCCGGGGGTTGTTTCAGAGACAAGTCGGAATGCCTGCCTTTTCCACCCAAACGGAATGTCATTGTACGTGTGCTGTAGTTTACTGGATACATGTGGTAATCATCACTCGGTATCATGTCGCAAGGGTACAATGAATTTTGTGAAGTGACAAAAACTTCATCCACCAATGGTGCCGATAACCATTGGTGGATGAAGAAACCCCGGGAGGGATTTTTTATCCTTCGATTCGCCCGATTCGTTCGATTCGATGCTTGCAAGACTTGAGGGTAAGGCCGGGATCGCAGGCCTCGGAGTCACGAGCTCCCATGGCCATGTTCACTCGCAAGCCGGGGTCGCAGGCTTGGGAGAACACGGGCTCCACTGGTGAAAAGGTCGAGATTTCTTCGGTTGAGTCTGTGTGATTCGCAAGCCGGGGTCGCAGGCTTGAGAGAACACAGGCTCCACTGGTGAAAACTCGAGGTTTCGGTAGTGAGGCTTCGGTCTCGGTCTCGCCCAGGGTGGTCAGATTGTCGACGTCGCGGTTGCTGTTGAACCATCTGGCCGCCCTGGGGGTCTTGGTGTTGAAGTAATATTTGGGATCTTTAATACATAAGTTATCACATTATTCCAAGGGCATGATTGGCTGTCGGGGGTTGACGGTGAGTGAAGAGGTCCCCGTCGTGCTTCACTTATACATTCACTGTTGACAGAAGTCGATGGTTCAATCCGTGGAAATACCCGCGTAGGATCTCTGGGGCAACATTATTTTGCACTGTGGTGGCAAGTCTGATTCCTTCATCGACGCTGATTCCAAGGTCGACAGTGTCAAGCCTGATTCCAGCATGTGCCCTCTGCACCAACTTCAGCAGCTTCCGTGAGTGCAATGCTGGGCAACTTGTATCTTGCTTTCCACGACATGATTGAAGGTGCCGACGAGGGAAAGGGACAAGTGCTTGTCGGACTGATGGTGGTATTGCTTGCGGGGCCGACGTAAGTGCTGTCAACCACTAGGCAATCGTCCTCATCTCTCTGACATAGCTGGGGATCGGATTCCGGCGACCATTCTGGTACTACTTCAACTTCTCTTTCTCCCGGCTCGTGGGGTAGTGTGCTCCCCAGAACACCTCCCAGCACTGCACCGATGACCACCAGCACGGTGACAGTCAGTACGTTTCAAAAGGTGCGTCTCCTGAGAGGCGAGAGAAAGTCGCAACGGGTGGTGATGCGCAAAGGCCCGACCACTGCGCCACCGGCGGACGGTTCACCCAAAGCAATTCTGAACCGTGTAAATGCCAATTGTAGCGCCCGTATATGGTAGCCCCAAGACTTCCACCGTATAGCTGCTGAGTTGATACTTTCACTCTCCGCCGACCAGAAGATTAATCCACTGCTGTGTTGGTCAGCTAGACCCCAGACTGGCTTTGTGACCTGTAGGTTAGATGCTTCCACCAAAGACCAAAATCGGAATAGAACTGGCTTGCTCGAGCTGGCTGCAGGTAAAGACAAGGTTTGGCTTGAGAGGAGGTGGCCGTCTTTACGCCTGGACAAATGGAAAAACTCAGAAACATCATCGCACAAGCAAAGGTCCGCAATCACATAAAGCACCTCCTGGATGTCTTCCGGGTATCCTAATATACAAATTTTGATTGTGGAAATCGTCTATTTCTTTTTGCCCTTCTTCAAACGACTCTCTTCTGCCGTCCGCTTCTTCTTGGGCGCACCCTTGCCTCGAAGTTTGGCGAGCTGGATACTTTCTAGCCTAGCATCTTCATGTTCGTTGCTTCCTTCCAAATCAAATCTCTTGAACTCATTCAGCATGTCCTCCACCGTAGTCGACCGTCTCGGATAGTATGAAGCCAAAGCTGGACCTCGTAGTCTCGCTCGTAGGATTTTATTGCCCAGTCTCTGTTGGTTTGGGTTGAATGTGGTAGAAAATATTGAGCATCGGAGCTAAAGACAAAGATTCTCGTTAGCAATGGCCCCGAGGACAGTCGGCGCAAGGTCTGGAATGGAGGTGACTGATCGATAGTCTCCTTCAGACTAGGTTGGCGGGTTGTGGTCGTACCTTTGAAAGCTCTAGTAGTCGACCTCTTGAAACAGAAGCCATGGCAATGCTGTGGGATGAGGAACAGGGTTTGAATGTGGTGATGTGTAGGATATGGGGAGCATTGAGATACTCGAGATGCACTTTTGGACAAAGACTGCGATGTTCGGCTCGACTTTCCTCCATCACGTGACTCGCTTAGAATTCCATTTTTAGTCGTCGGTCTCTATCAAAATCTCATACTGATCATTCTCGTATTCGTAGCGAATCGTTCTATGCACGCCATGGCATGGCTCCGAGGACCTCATTGTTGTTGAATATTGTCTAAAAGTCGATAGTTCATCTTGATGTGGACCGGTCACAATGTCGAACTTCGACAAGAAGAAAAAGAGAAAGGCCGAGGGCGACCATAATGTCCATGCTGCCAAAAAGCCTCATAACGTTCAAAACAACAAGCCAAATGGCCATGTCACTCCCAAATCACTTCCATCACTACCACAAATTCAGGACAAGTACATAGATGAGGTCTTCACGCATACTTCTCTCTCCCACGAGAAGAACTACGACCGACTGGAGTTCTTAGGCGATGCGTACATTCAAATCATTGCTACCCAACTCATCTACGAGAGTTCAACAACGCTTTCAGCCGGCGAGATGTCACAACTGCGCGAGTCGTTGGTTCGAAACGAAACTCTGTCGCAATACACGGTGCTCTATGGCCTTGACCAGCGACTCAAGCAATTCAAGCGACTTTCGAATCTGAGTTCGCCAGCCTGGCTCAAAATCAAGGGAGATGTCTTCGAAGCGTACATGGCCGCCGTCGTTCTTTCCAATCCAGACGGTTTTGCGGTAGCCAAAAAGTTCCTGACGGAGCTGTGGACACCGAAAGTGAAAGCTGTTGTCGCTGAGCCGCAGGCATCACCGATGAGTAAACAAGAACTTGCCAAGAGACTTCACGGGAACGGTGTCTTGATCAATTATGTTGATGAGAGGAAACCTGAGATCCACTATGGCCAAGGCAAAGAGACATATTACGTTGGGGTGTATTTCACCGGATGGGGCTGGGAGAATCAATACCTTGGGAGTGGAAAAGGGTTGAGCAGGACTGCGGCGGGACAAGAAGCTGCAGCTGTCGCTTTGACAAACCATCCTCTGATTGATGAAATCGCTGCTGTGAGGGCGGACTTTTACGCACGCAAAAAAGAGGAAGCAAAGGAGAAGGAAAGAGACAAGGAAGAAGCCAATCCGAAGCCGAAAGAATGAAGGTTGGCGGTTTTGTGGCTGCATCAGCATCCCTTTAGATCCCAAATCAGGACCAGATCAGGAAACTCTCGGACACTTCAACCAAAAACGACTTTCGAACTTGTGCGTCAATGCAGTGACTCTCATCTCGACAGCGGACACGCGTACCCTTCCTGCACTTTATGGTCAATCAACGACATATTGCGAACAGCATCCGGAGACGTTGCTCTGAACAAAAACATACTATGAGAATCTTCCGTCGATGGTGCTTGCAGATGCGAAGTAATCTCACGGTCTGGGCATTATCCTCAGCTGTGGTCGAGTGCTTTGGGACGCCTCAAAAAGGCCATTCAGATATGGTATTGCCAAATGTACTGTTGCTGAAAGGATTGACAGCTTTGGCTGTACACGAACTGCCACTGGTGACGAAATGTAGTTGAACGGTCAAATAGTACTTTGGGAGTTAAAAATCTTGGGCCAGTAACCCATCGGATAGCATCCCCCTTGCTGACAGAGCAAGAATAGGATCCTGCATGACTGGAACTACCTATGAGAGACCTTTGGTGGACCTATCACTGTACAGATATCCCGAACCCGTGTGGTGACTGCTATGAGAACAAGCCAGACCCGGTGGAGGATCCGACATACTTGGCAACGTCAATTTCGTCCGTTCTCGTACATCCCAAAAACACACCACCAAGTACATCCCTTCGTATATGCCATACAAGTTTTATTCCCTCGCACGACAAGAACATTCTCTCCTTTGATGCAACGTCAACACATCGTACATTGTATGTGGGGTCGACTGAAACATGACTGGACAATGGTGTCTTCTGTTACAAATCAATCCGTCCAGAAGGTAGTCTACAGAGCAGAGTGAATTCTGATAAATACCTGGTCACGGCGCCAGAGAACGTACGGCCATTCTTTCACTTTGCTTGCGAGTTGAGTTATTCAGTTGTCTCAGTCTCCTCTACGGTATCACACCCATACATTCACCCATCAAGCTCATCACAACTCCCCACAGTGTCCCTATCCCTTCTGTTATCTGAAGTCACCTCTTTCGTTCATTGCCAAATCATGTCTTTACCACATATCGCCCTCGTCGGTGCCACAGGTACCCTTGGCCCGTGTGTGTTGAAAGCTCTGGTGGCTGCGTCGTTCCCAGTCACCGTCCTCACTCGCGTCGGGGGTGGTTCAAAGATCAGTAAACTCCCAGCAGGGTCAAACGCCACTATCATTGTCAAAGAAGTCGACTACACATCTCACCGGTCCCTTGTCGAAGCTTTGTCGAGTGTTGACGTCGTCGTGTGCACATTGGGGTCTCAAGATCTGTTCGAGACCCAAAGATCCCTCATCGACGCGTCCGTCGAAGCCTGCGTCAAGCGCTTCATCCCGTCCGAATACGGCAACGGAGCCAACGAAAAAGTTCGACGTTTCCCACTTCTATGGGCCGACAAGGACAAGACACAGACGTACCTCGAGGAGCAAGTTGCCGCGCACTCAGTCTTTACGTATTCCGTCATCAACACCAGCTCTTTTTTGGATTGGCAACTCGAGAGGGGATTCATGGTGAATCTGAAAGAACACACTGCGACGATTTACGACGGTGGGAACGTTTTCAATTCCGTGACGACCCTGGACACCATCGCCGAGGCAGTCGTGGCGGTGATACGACACCCCGAGGAGACCAAAAACAGACACGTCTTTGTCCACGACGCTGCAATCACGCAGAATCAATTGATCCGAATCTCGAAAAAGATTGATGGAAAAGAGTGGAAGACGACGCCAATGTCGACTGACCACACAGAAAAAGACGCCTACGAGGCCGTCGAGCAAGGTGATCACATGATCGCGACCCTGGGGTTCATTGCTCGATCCTGCTGGGGTCCAGGGTTTGGACAGGACTTTACTGAGAAATTGGACAATGACATGCTCGGGCTTCCCGTGATGAAGGAGGAAGATGTTGAGAATCTAATGAGAGGTATTATGGAGAGTTACTAACTGATCAATTCCATTCTGCGTTTGAGTCAATTTTGGGATGTTAGGTGGTTACTTTATTGTCTCAACATAGTTCCAAAAAAAGATTCTGCAACTATACACCGGTATATGGTGTATGTTTTTGTACGTCAAAGTCTGTTACCTCTCAAAAACATAAATCTAAGCTATGTCAACAAATCCCGACCTCATCTATTATTCATCGTAGACTGCCTTGTCTTAAATTATCTATGAAGGTCTAAACTCCTGCGTGACTCTCTTCGGTTCATAGTACGGAGTTCCAAGAGGTATAAAGTCCATATCATATCCAAACTCTTTCGGTCCACCGATTCTGATACCTTTTTCAGTATACCTGTAGAGACGCAACGAGCGTTGGTCAGTTCAAACAATTTCTTTCTCTTGGGTACATGTCGTCTGCGTCGTGAGTGGAAATAGAGAGAGAGAGACAGAAACTTACCAATGAGGATGAGCGACAAACGCAACGACACTAACTCTTACACCGTACCTGAGATCCTGAGTACCCAGAGCGTACCCGTCCGTACCGACCAAGGAAATCAAATCTGGCACGGTACAAAGGATTTGACCTTTGGTGCCCTTTTCGGCCTTTGGGTCGACTAACTCGGCGTACAGATACTCATTTTGGAACGGCAAGACCATGTCCCTCGTCTCTGTCATGGCGGTGTCACCGTACTCTTGTTCTTCGCTGCTGATGGGTTTCAGACGGACCGCACCTTCGGTGTACCCGGCCGCCGAGACGTAACGGTTCACCGAGACGATCTTGCCTGTGTACAAGACGCGTCCAGAAGGGTTGGCTTGGACCTGTCAAAGCGTGTTGTGTTAGTGGACATCCTTTCTGTGGTTTCCAAAACAACAGCGCTCGACTGCAGGTGGTTATAAGACTTACAATAGCCTTCATGATATCCGTCTTCTCCTGTCTAGCAAGGTAGACTGCACGACCAATGTACCACGCCAACGAGGTCGTTCCTAGCGTGCCGACCCTCTTTGCGTCCTTGATCTTCATCGGTGGTGGGACCATCTGACTGAACAGACCGAGTTCATGGCCAGCTTTTCGATGGATCTTTTCCAGCTTGTGAGGGTCGGAAGACTTGTGGACTGTCACGACGTTGCCATTGCCGTCACTCTGGGTACATGGTGATAGGGGAACTCCGTATACTAGACAGTAGTACACCATTTTTAGCATTTTTAAACTCCTGGCATTCAAGAATTTACACAGGCAGCTACTCACGGTAAGGAGTCATGATGTAAATTCTGGGGTATGCTCTTCCCATAAAGTCACCATCGATGGTTGGGACACCACCATACTGTGAACCGACAAGGAGTGGTCGAATACCGTTCATACCACCGATTTCAATCTGTACAGAAGTCAATATCTTGATGAATGTGGGGTTTTCCTGGGATGCTGCGGTCTTGTTCAAGTGACATTACATACCGCAATCTGTGCGTCCATCTTCACGCCTGGATGACAACTCAACAGGGCGTCTGTGGCATCGATAGATTCAGTTCCACTGGGAATACGTTCGAGGGTCACGGTTGGAGCACTATTTTGGTCCCCCTCGTGAGCTAGGCATACTAAAGTGGGAGAAGGGGGTTTCATCGCTCACCCGTATGAGATACTTCCCAAAACATGACCTTCTTGTGGCAAACTATCAATGTCGACAACGGCCATGCGCTTGCCGGCTTTGATTGCCGCTCTGGCTGCCATGTAGCACATGTAGCCAGGACCACCACCGCCGCAAGCCAGGATACTACACCCGGTCGCCAAAAACTCACAATCGATCTCAGATACCCACCAGTTTCCGTCCTTGTCGACTTCTGGTTTGTACTGACGGATGTCGACTGATGCCGATGGGCTGACCAGAAAATCCTTGGGATCTTTCTCTGCATTTTTCGTCTTGGACTCTGTGACTTCTGCTTCTTTGGTGGCAGACAACTCATCGACGCTCTCCAAGGGTACATAGTCAAGCAGGGCATTTTGATTCAACGTACCAGCCTACAGCGGTTCAAGTCAGAGTGTTGTGGCAACGGGTAAGCAAGCAAGAAAGGAAAGGCAACTCACAGCTCTGACGACGATTCGGCTTGCTTTCATCTGGACATATTGTAGTGGCATGTTCTCAATCGTGGCAATGCGAACGGACGCAGGATCGGCACCAGCATCAATAGCCATGTTCGTAGCCTCCATGCATACCTCTTCGACGACTTTTTCCTCGTCAAGACCTTCGAGGACCTTGACGACGTCGATTTGTCCAGAGATCTTGGCGATGGCAGCACCGACGGCGTTTGCGCAGTCGTGGAATCTGGGAAAGAATGAAAGTCAGTAACAAAATACAACTTTACAAACACAGGCTGGGATGCACGTACGGCGGTCTGATGATTCGGCCAACTCCTTCCAGGTCATCCATGTGCACGATGCTACCACCACCGACAAGGATAACGACAGCATCATCGGCACTCAGCTTCATCGAGTCCACGGCATTTTCTAGCAGCTTCTTCATACGGAGTCGGGCCTGGGCGATGACATCTTTAGGGACGTCCTTCACTCTCGTCTTGTCGCCGATGTCAGCGTGACCACTGGCGACGACGATGTCGGTGGTCGTCAGAGTGTTGCCTCCAAACACGAGACCTTCGGTTAGGAGTCTGTGGCCTACTGATTCAGGACCGACGATGACCTTTCCGTTTTGTTCTTCAACCTTGGTACCTCCACCGAGGGCGATAGAGAGGACCTCGGGCATGGGGAAGGCGCTTCGGACACCACCTATCTCGACCCAAGTGCCAGCTTGACGTGGGAAACCCGACGACAAAAGTGCACAGACATCTGTCGTCGTGCCACCGACGTCTGCGACGATCACCTGTGCATCCTGGATCTTGCCTTCCTTGGTGTCAAGGCCGGCCAGGTAGGCAGCACCCGAGGCACTGTTGGTAGGACCACTGGAGAAGGTCTTGATAGGGCACTTCTCGGCCGAGTCGGCGTCGATGATAGTGCCGTCATTCTGCGTCAGGTACAGTGGACATGAGAGACCCAGGCCACGGATGGCAAGCTTGAAACCTCGAATGGTCCTTCTGGCGAACTTCAGAATAGAGGTGTTGAGGATGGTGGCGTTTTCACGCTCCAGGTAACCAAGTTGACCGACTACGCCAAAATTTAGTCTCGAAATCTTCGACATGGATGTGGAAATTTGTGAAAATGAGCAACCTACTTTCTCTGGATAGAACCACATCAGCACCGGGAATTTCTTCAAGGACAATCTCCCTGACTCTCGCTTCTTGCTTTCCAGAAATGTCGAGCGGCGAAAACACTCCCACTACTGCGATATCTGTGATGCCCCTTTGCTTCAGGATTTGGCACTCGTTTCGAATCTGTGCCTCGTCAAGGGGCATGATCTCACGAGTGTCGACTATTCTGAATCAGTACCGAGGAGCTCACCGTGACTGAGCAAAAAAAGTCAGAGCACTCACATTCAAGACCGCCGTCCAGATACGCAACGTGGCCGTTCATAATCCTCGCGAGGATAGGCGGGAAATCCATGAATGCCGGGTTCTCCTTTGTGTAGGGGCCGCATACACGCAGAACACCGACGCTCCTCAGATTCCGATCATCTGCCTGGACGACTGCGTTGATAAAGTGCTAGAAGAATGGTTAGCCTCCGCCATTGCCATACACGTGTCTTTACTCAAGGTCTGAACTTACCGTAGTACCGATCATCACGGCCGAGACGTCGTGCAAAGGAATACCACATTGTGAGATAGCACCTTCGATGGCTTTCGTGATACCCTCCGTGACGTTTGCTGTTGTGGGAGTCTTGAAAGCAGTCCTGATACCTCGATGCGGCAAGTGTGCTTGGCCAGGGTCTTTTCGTTCGTTTCTCGTCAGCATGTTTTATTTCGTGCCATCAGCCTCGAACACTCACGGAGTATAACACAGTCGGTGTTGGTACCACCAACATCCACACCAATTCTGTACACCTTTTGAATAGCCATGGTATGTTTTCGTTTCTCTATGTTCCGTTCTTTGTAAAGTTCCCTTGGACAGTAAAACACTCAGAGATTGGCCTGGCCGTCCACCGATACTCTGGTAGACTGTAGTGCGGTCGGCAGTCTGCTGGCTACGAGGGAAGACTAAGAAGTGCCGCCAGACTTTAATCCCAATTTCCCCAAAAGCACTTAAGAAAGTACCGAGTACGGAGTACTGCCTTTCGAAATCGCGGTTATAGTCGGGATCCACATCCTGTATCCATTTCGACCATTCGCATGGGGAAGTGTTGAACAGGATGAAAGATGTACTGTAACTCGTACTTCCGTTCTGGGCGAATCAGCCACCAAAAAGCCAGAGATCTCGGCAACTGTACGGTGGTAGATACGGTCGATAAGCCAAGCCTGACCCATTGTGTCGGCGAGGGCTTCCCAAAGCTATGGCACTTATCTCGATTGCCTTTACTGGCTGCCCACCGACCGGGGGTGGACCCACGGTACAATCGACAACGACTGGCGGTGATCCGCGCTCTCGGGTACCCTCCTTGGTCGGCGAGGCATACCTCTCCATATTGAATTGCCACCTTCCATTCCGTATCAGTGGAGGATGACTTCTCGCTCGCATACTGGAAGTTGTGTGTCCTGGGGATGTTCCAGAACCCATTTTAGTCTTATCAAGGAATTCCTCATGTGAGCCAGCCAAACCTTTCAAGATCCCAGGACCCTGTTTCCCCCTCCCAGCACGCGACAAAAAGGGATCGGGGACTAGGTATATAGTGGATGTGAAACCTGTACTTACTCTCTATCATCGCTTGGGTGCGGAGTCTGAGAATACCTACCACTCCCCTTTACCCTGAACAACAGAACAGCCCCCCCGTTTGTGCTTTGTACTGTACGAGGAAATCTTGTTGCCGGCAACAAACAAACAGAACAAAAATATGTCTCTCGTCAGGCGCGCTCTGCGCAAGATCGAGCTCCCAGAGAACGAGCGAGGAAATCGATGGGCAAACGAGGATATCCTGCCCGTTCCCCCTGAGCGCCAGACCTGGGGTAAGTTTGTGAGAAACGTCTTGAGTGATCTGGATGTAGTCTGATCACCTTGTTTGTGCGCAGGGCCCCTTCAGTTCGTCGAACTATGGTTCCTTATCAATTTGAACATGTCGACCTACCAGACTGGTTCGTCGCTGCTGGCCTCCGGAATGACATACTGGCAAGCCATCATTGTCATCCTCATCGGCAACGCCCTGGCTAGCGCTTTCGCCGTTCTCAACTCGGTGTCCGGTGCTCAGAGTCACATCGGCTTTCCAATCGTCTGCAGGAGTGTCTGGGGTATGTATACATCCCTCCCCCGTCCTTTTTTGGTTGGTTCTTTCTGTGTGTAAATCGACGTTCTGACTCTTTATCAAACGCACAGGCATGTGGGGTGCATATTTCCCAATCCTCAATCGTATCTTGACGTCCATCACTTGGTACGGTGTCCAGGCCGTCATTGGAGGAAAGATGATATACGTTTGCCTTCGGTCGATCTGGTTGGACCTCGATGAGAGAATCCCCAACACCTTGCCACAAGGTATCGGTATCACCACGGCGCAGTTCATGGGATACGTGCTCTTCAACTTCCTCTGCGCCATTTTCATCTGGTTCAGGCCTGGACAATTGCGCCCGTACTTTCACGGTGCTTCGGTTGTCGTCGGCATCACGCTCTTCTGCCTCCTCGGATGGGCTGTCGGCACCAGCAAAGGGTACGGTACCGTCTTCGACGCAAAGACGACTATCAGCTCGTCCGAGTTGGGATGGCAAATGTCTGGCGGAGTGATGAGCGTCATCGGCAGTATCGCTTCCGGCATCTTGAACCAGAACGACTTCACTAGATTTGCAAAGCGCCCAAGCCACGTCACTTACACTCAGGCCTTCTCCTTTATGATTACCAGCTCCTTGATGGCGATCATCGGTGTCATCGTCACTGCAGCCACCCAGAACCGTAAGTCTACCGTGTTTTTTAATGACGAAGGTGAAGATATGGCTAACCCATGTTTCCAGAATACGGCAATGGGACACCGCTTTGGGATCCTAGCACCTTGTTCATGGCGATCCAAGACCAGAACGGATCCAGAGGTCGTGCGGCCGCCTTCTTCTTGGGCATCGTCTTTATCCTCTCTCAGCTTTCCATCAACGTCGTCGGGAACGTTTTGGCTGGCGGTCTCGACGTTGCCAGCGTGTTCCCCAAGTACATCAACCTGCGCCGGGGCGCGTATCTCCTGGCCATCCTCAGTGTGGCCCCTAACCCGTGGCAACAAATGTCCTCGGGCGGAACATTCTTGGCCGTCCTCTCAGCGTACGCAGTCTTCCTGGGTCCCATGATTGGTCTTTTGTGTGTTCACTTCTACCTAATTCAAAGGAGGGTGTTCCACATTCCCGATCTTTACGTCGGCTCCAAGAAGTCGCTGTACTGGTACTACTACGGCACCAACTGGAGGACGGTTGTCGCTTGGGTCTGCGCTGTTGTTCCCAGTATGCCTGGCTTCGTCCACTCGGTCAACCCAAAACTTCATGTCGCCCTAGGAGGAACCAGAATCTTCAGTCTCAGTTTCGTGTTCGGATTCGTCGTGGGTAAGTTTTTTAATTCTTTTATCTAGCCCAGCGCATACTTTATGACCTGACCTGCTGACACGTTCTTTCTACAGCTGCTCTCATCTCTTACATACTTCACATGATCTTCCCATATAATTATCCAGAGCAGACAATCATCGAAGGTGAAGAGGAGACCCGTGGTGGTTCCGAGTCTGATCAAGCGGAGCAAGTCATTGAAGAAACAAAGGTTGCATGAATAGCAAAGTAATCATGTCTCTGCTTCTAGATGCACATGGTGTATGGAATGACAATTGCTGATCAGTGTCCTGAAGAGAGAACTTCGGCAACGAGGATCCAATGAGAAATAACCCAGTATATATAACATGGATAATACTGTACACAGGAGTGGTTCGCCATGAATGAATAGTGTCAATGATCTTGTTTTGGCTCAACGTTCGTTCTTTCCTAATGCTATGTTCATTTTGGTATCTCCAAGGATAAAGAAAAATCGTGTCTATTTCATTTCATTCTGCCTCAGAAAAGCCCATTTGCCTGCAACCAGGGTCTGATCTCCGAGGCTGCCCTGGCCTTGTACGCTGCGTTCATTTTGATATTGTCACTGACCACCTGAAGAGGATGCTCGATGCCGGGAACATTCCTGGCCGCGAAAAATTCAGCAATGTCACTCTCGACATCCAGATCATCGAAGCAACAAAGACCACTTTCGATGAACAGGTTGAGAGCGACACCGTTAACTGAAAGTCTCTTGTAGACCGTGTCCCAGTTCTCCTTGACGTATTCCCATAGCACAGAACTGCAAGGGCCGTTGGCCAAGGCGATGGCGACAAAGTGGATGTTTTGTAGTGGAATGTGATCCTCTGACATAAAAGTAAAGTCGAGGAAGTCCCGTGCCATGGCCGTAATCTTTGTCCGACCCATTGCTGCAATACAGATCTCTCGTCCGTCGATGGATTGATTTCTTATGTATTCAGCTTTGACATCCAAGTATTCCCGTTCGCCGCCTATTGCGACAGAGATACCAAAGATGGGTGACTGGAGGTTTCGGTTGATAGAGTGAGCGCCACCGTTCTTCCACTCTTGGAACCTGTTCTTGACTTGACCAAGAACTTCCTCGTCGTCAGCCACGACACAGAGTTGAATAATGTTCTTTTCGAATTCGCCGTCAACGTAGCTGTCGGTCTTTCCAGTCCAGCTGATCTCGGCTTTGACTTCAGACAGCAGTTGCTGGGTGTATGCCTTGACCGCTGCTACGGCTTGACTGTCACCAGAGACCCCCGACATCACCAAAGAGACGGCTTTCTTGACTTGGGACCAGACAAAGCAGTCTCTGTCTTTTTTGAAAGCAGGCAGTATTGTCAAAAGATCACCGGCTGGTCTCGACCCGGCAAAGACAAGGGCTCGCATATCGGCAATGATACCCACCTTGTCCTCACTTGATAGTTTCGAAGGGGCCCAAAGAATCGAGAGGAGATATTCTGAAGGGTAATGAGTACGATAAAAGCCGGTATGACCATGGTTGATTTTTGAGACTAGGTTCGGCATTTTGAGCTGTTTGGACTTTGTACAAAGTCTCTTGCAATCATCGTTGGGCTTCTGTGCATTGAGACCAAGAGGTACGTGCCAAGTTGCAGTCTTATCGCTCGTGGCTTCTCGGAGGAACGGCGTTTGTGACAACTCGATGCAATCCAGTGTAGGGACGACATTTACCAAGGGAAACCCTGCCCGATGAATCCAAGAATCCATCAACTCGCCCACGTCCAGACCAGATGTTTGTGACAGAGCACGCCACAAATCATCTGAGGTTGCGTTTCCGTATAAGCGGCTCTCGAGATAGGCTGCGATGCCTTTTAAGAAGATCCCTTCACCCAGATAGCTAGCGAGCATGCGGATGACCGAACTTCCTTTGCAATAGCTGATGCTGTCAAACATTTGCCGCGCTTGACTTTCAGTCGCGAAATTTACCTCAATCGGGTGTGATGCGTCCAAGCTATCCAGGGCGAACGCTTCTTCCATGGCTTCGTCGACGAACTGACCCCAGATGTTCCAGTCCGGATGCAGTCGATCGACGGCGAAATAGCCGGCCCACGTCGCAAATCCTTCGTTCAGCCAGAGCTCGTTCCAACCACTCATGGTGACGAGGTTCCCAAACCACTGATGTGCAAGCTCGTGTGCAACCACATAGGAGGCCTTGGACATGAGTCTGTTGTCTGCAGTGACTGGATCGAATAAGATCTTTGTCGGCTTGTATGTGATCAATCCCCAATTCTCCATGGCTCCGGATATGAAGTCGTGTACCACAAGATGGTCACATTTTGGCAAGGGATACTCGACGCCAAAGCTCTCGCTGAATAAGTCAAGAGTATCACACGCGTCTTTGAGTGCAAACTGGGCGTGTTGGACCAGACCCTTTGTGGTGTAGATTCTCACTGGGATTTTTCCAGCACTGTAGGTTCTTGTCGTCAAGGCTTCAACGTACTCAAAGTCTCCTACAGCCCACGCAAGAAGATACGTGCTCATGACAGGAGACTTTTCAAAAGATACCGTCTTCAAGCCCTTTTTGGGGCCGTCGAGAGACCGACACGATTTCTCCGGCATGTTGCTCAGAGCAGTCAAGTCTTCAGGAATCTCCAGCTCGAGCTCAAAGGTTGCCTTGAGATGAGGCTCATCGAAACACGGAAAAGCCCTCCTCGCGTCACAGGGCTCGAAGTGAGTTGCCAGCATGTAGCAATCGCTACCGACCTTGACCGAAGCAGCATCCAGATCTTCATGAGGTTCATATCTGGATCTGTAAAATCCTGTCATGTCAGGGTCACACTGACCCCTGAACGAAACGAGGAGTTGAAAGTGGCCTTTCGAGATCGCCTCACTGAACTGTAAGCAAACTTGCTTGTCATCTTCGTTCAACACTATCGACGAGGCATCCTGGACTGTGAATTCCGATATCAGCATTAGCCTTTTCCGATGGCTGGTGACGTGATAGACAGTATCGAGTGGACTGACCTAGTGAATAGTCAAGACCTGACTTGACCTCAGTACTCAATATTTCGAGGTCTTCAGAATGCAGGATAACTGTGTTGGTCGTCACGAAGGCTTCAGCATCGATTACTGCCTTCCCATCATACTTCCATTGTCCTCCAAACTCGACATTTAAAATCGAGAGTTGATAGTTGGATGGTTTTATCCTGAAAGTTTTGTTAGTTTCCCTGAAAATACCTCGTCGACTCCTGCCTCGTCTTTTTTCCCCTTACCTCTGTGCAAGCAGCGTCGGCGCTTTACTCGTGTCCTGCTCCAGCAACATGGCGTCGTTGGATCATTGAATGAATGACGAACTCGTCTCTGTGACTTGGTGATCTTGCAGGACTTGTACGAGTAAAGTCGACCACGGGCCGTACAAGGCTCACTTGATCTTGTAAGTTTGGTAGCGTGATTGGCAAAGGCCTCGAACTCATTGTCTCGGCGAGGACTGCCCATGGGATGGTGGCGAAGGTACAGTACAGTAACTAAAGGTGTAAAACGTGGAGGTCAAGGGTCCCCCAAGGGTTTGGTTGCCACTATCGGTACTGTCTCCACGGCCATCAGCGCCGGCCAAGATACACCTGGGACGCACTTTCTCGATAGCACCTACTCCGTAATTGTGGGGAGACACGGGCCTGGGGCGGACCCGCTTCGAGATCGTGCTCGATAGGCACTTGTTAGATAAGGAACGCTCTGTCGCCGAGGCCTTCCCATTATTCACCATTTATTACTGACTTACCACTTCCTCACCTCCTGACCCCCCATCTAGATGATCGAACTCGGCGCACACACGTGATGATGGGATGAGACCGTCTCTCGCTCTCCCCCGATGCCCCTTGCGAGGCAGCCCAAGGCGCGGTCGCGAACCTTCACCTCTTGTCTCGAGTGTAGGCGGAGAAAGGTAAAATGCGACCTGACCGAGCCGAATTGCAACAATTGCCTCAGGCTGGGCTTGACGTGCCCTGGCTTTTCCATCCAGCTACACTGGTTACCCGGATGGCAGCCCGGTCAGCGCGACAGCAAGACCAAAGGCGCAACTGATGGTGATGAGGTCCGCCGAGTTCGGACGGATATCTTCGGTAGTACGTTGTTGGTGCTGGTCTGACCTGGCCTCTTTCGGTCCCAGGTTCCCCCCCAAAGTTGGTGGTCGTTACTCGTTTACTGACGAGAGATGTGTGAACAGCTCGGTCCGGACTGCAATTCTCTGATGACCTGGTTCAGCAACTCCTACAGTCAAGTCAATCATTTGCCCAGGTTGATGACGTGCTCGAGGCTTTGGAAGGTCGGATCAGAGAATTAGAAGTCAACTTCGACCGTCAACGGCACTGGCAGATCATCGAAGGCCCATTCTCTGTCTTTTGCCCGACTCTGTCCATGGAGTCTGGCGTCGCAAGTCAGCGGCATGTCTCGGCCGGATCTCCATCACCCAGCAATGAACTGAGCGCTGGATTGTGGTCCTCGAACGATGACTGGTACTCTTCATTATCCGACAAAGCTTTCCTGAATGAAGTATTCACGCCAGACTTCCTGGGATTCGATGCTGGAGAAACTTTTTCGAGCATCGACAAATCCTCATCCCTCGGATTCGAGCACGCTTTTCTGCCCGGTGCATATGGGGTTCTTTCCTCTTCTGATGATAAGCATGCGTGTCTTGATAATGTCGTCGACAAATACCTCATTCCTGACCCAACAAGCGGACTGAGCAGCTTCTACGGACATCCCTCGGCCACATCCTTACCCAATGGCTCGCCATACCTCCCGTACAACGTGCGCTTCTTGTTGTCGCACTACACCAGCCATGTCATCGACTCATTGTCACTTTTGCCGAACAACAAGGCTCCGTATCGTGGAATCCATGTGCCGTGCGCGTTGACCGCATATGGCGAACTCGACATCATGGGGCAGTCGGGGTTCGCCCGGGTATCACTTTTGTACAGTCTACTGTCCCTGACCTGTTACCACTTGAGCTCGCTATACGAGTCTTCTTCTTCTACAGGCGTTCAACAAAACAACCATCATCATCATCAGTCCTCTTCATCGGGAGCTCACCCCGAAGGGTCATCGAATGCACGATACTGGGGCTCTCAAGCACTCAAATTCCGCGACATAGCTCGCACCGCGTTCCGTAAATGCCTTCAAGCCATGGTGTCCGATCCCACGATCAAAGTCAAATACAAGGAGCTGTTCGTGGGTGCCATGAGCCTTATATGTACTGGGGTAAGTCAGCGGCCCCCTTCTTGTCAAGTCGTTCGGTTTCATTTGAAGAAAGAAAAAAATTACTTTGCTGATTCATTTTTACAGATTATCAGTGGTGATCCGTGGGATGCTCGCTTCTTCATTCTCCAGTGTGAAGATATTGTCAATCGGATCGGACGAACCAAACGAAGGTTCTCAGACAAGGCTCTCCAGCTACATCGGATTTTCTCCTACATTCGAATCATTGAACAGACCACGTTCGTCCAGACCCGTGATCAGTACCTGGAGACCCTCGACAAGCACGCCTTGTTCCCCGAACACGTCGAGATGGTGAAGCAGATTCCCCAGGACACATTTTCGCACTCGGCCACGGTGGCATTGAACCTCCAGACCATGTCGGATCTAGGCCTGACGGGACCCGAAGAAGAGACGTTTTACGAACTGTACGGTATACCAGGCTCTTTGATGCGCCTCATAGCCAGGACGAACAATCTTATTGCAGACATTGACCCGCCCGAACTGCACGGTACGGCTCCCCCGGCGATGCCACCCTCGATAGTCGCAGCGGCCGCGGCACTCGAAAATGACATTTGCAGGTTCCAAGTCCCCAATGTCCGGGATACCACGACGACGACGACATCATCTTCATCAGCAGAACCGACGAGCAGTGATGTAATAATCACCACCACCGACATCGTGAACACCGAAAACAACAATAACGCGTCACAGATAATGCGATCGCACATGGGGACGGCGATGCACCACGCCCTGCTGGTCTATTTTTTCCGGTTCGTGAGAGGCACCAACCCGATCATCCTACAGCACTACGTCGAGAGCATCCTGAGCAACCTGGAAAGCCACCAGGCGAGCAAGGACCGCTTCTTCATGGGCGTCCGACTCGGTACGACCGTGTGGCCGAGCTTTATAGCGGCTTGTGAAGCCCTGGGCGATGACCTGCGCCACCGAGCGATTCTCTGCATGAGGCACGCCAGTTGGGCGGGCTTCAAGAATGCCGAAGCAGCCGAAGTCGTCGCTCGTGAAGTCTGGAGGAGGCGCGACGCCGGCGAGAATGACGTCTCGTGGAGCACTGTCCTCCGTGAGAGTCGTACTATCTTGCTATTGACCTGAGAAGATTGGTCCTTTTGTTAGGGGTGATACCCGCGATTGCATCGATACTTTGTATAAACTATGTTCATGAATGGAATGAATTTCTCATCTGCTCTCATCGATACTGCTGTCTGCATCCTCTCCTCGATTTCTAGTCAGGTCCGAGGAGACGTCCGCAATGTCACCTTCGACTTGATCCGGAGCCTTCCAACCCAAAGGAACCCCATCATCCGTGAACTTCGCCCACTCAAAATAACCACACCCTTCGCCCCCTCCAGGCTTATTACCAACCTGGCACATCCACATATACCGTCCTCTATTGGCCTTCTGCTTTTGCACCACCTTCAGTACGCACGGGACCTTGCACCGACATTTGGGGATGTACTTTGGCCGAAACTCCTCCCTGTACCAGCGATAGGTTATGTTGATTCTTTTGTTGGCCGCAACAGGATGTGGCGTGACAACCGCTGCTGGTGCAATACTATGCTTCCATTCCTCTTGCATCTCGGCGTGCATGACCAGTAGCGAATTGTGAGGCAGGTGAATCGCAATCTGACCAGAGACATCCGCTGCCAAATCCGGATTTTCCTCGTCTTTGGGTACGATCTTGCGCACGCGAAATTCTCGCGCCACACCAAGGGATAGACTCCCTATCACAGCCCTGGGGCCGAGGTAGGAGAGCTGATCAGAGTGGTAACCTACATGCTGAGCGCCTCCGTCGTAACAATTGACGAATGCCGCGTTGGGCTGCCAGGTTTGTGGAGATTGATATTTGAGTTTCTTGCCGTCGACATAGAAATCACGAATCCGTATGGCTATTTGTTCATTGACTGCGTCCCGGACGAGGACCTTCACCTGCTGCATAACGGGGAGAATCTGGCGAATATCGCCCAGATCATTGCCATTGTAGTAATATTCGGATCGTTGACGCTGGAGGTCGGCGAGGGAGTCGACATAAAAACAGGCTGTATGGGGCGATTTGACGACGTTATCGAAGATTTTGAACGAGATCGATTCGTAGCTTGGGACTTCGGCAAGAAGTTCTTCGAGCAGGGCATTGGCTAGATCAGGCGGGAGGAAGTTATGGACGACGGAGCAAGGTGTGTGGTTGGCAATGTCTTCGGGAGTGTAAAGATGTAACGTCTTGCCCTTTTTCGTCAACTGCTGCTTCGAAGGAGATTTATTGCCCGTAGACGGGAACGGAAGGGCGCTCTGCAGGCCTGGTGTCGTATGTCTGCGCTTTGCTGGCGACTTGGTTGTGGACAGGGAATCTAGAGCGAGTTCGACTGAGCCGTCATGACAGAGGAGGATTTCGAGAAGATCATCATGCGTCCTGTCTGGGTGAAGAGAGGATAGAATAGCTAGTTTGACATCTGTTGAATCCTCCTCTTCATCTTCGTGTAAACAAGGTGCTGGAAGTTTAGAGGGCGCGGTCTGAGTCTCATCCTGTGTCGGCGACGAGACGCGTCGTCGTTTGCGAGAGACGAAGGCATCCATATTGGAAGACCAAAACAATAGATACAGAAGAACCTCTGCTTGGTGCCATCATCTATGCTTTGACCAAAGATCGTGTTAGTAGCTCGAGTTGCTGTGAAACTGTCGAATGGAGAGTGGCGTCGTGGGATCTTAATAATGTCGAGTAAACGTCGATATGCAGTACGCAGTCGGAATTGTTGATACGCGGGGGGCGAAACCTCGGCATCTCCAGTCATACATCTTCGTCCACTTTGAGCTGCTTCATCCTTGACTACCACGGCGAGCAACAACGTTGTGTCGATGCATGATACCAGGGAAACATTTTTGGCGACTTCAAACCCCTCAATCCATACAGAATAGACTGGCGCATGATGTGTGACTGCTGCATCAGGATACCAGACTACAGGCGTCTCATCAATCCATACTCGCCATGCTAGAGTACCGCACACAGGGCTTTCAAGGCTATGCAGTCAAGTATTCACCCTTCTTTGACAATCGCATCGCCGTAGCGGCATCGGCCAACTATGGTCTGGTCGGCAACGGACGACTGTTCATTCTAGAGTTGACACCGCAGGGCATTGTGCCTTTGAAGAGGTAGGAAGAGGACTTTGTCTCGATAAAATGTCACCAAGGCTGATCCGTGTAGTTATCCCACCCAAGATGCGCTATACGATGTGACGCACTCCGAAGCTCATTCATGTCACGTTCTGACATCCTCCGGCGACGGTTCTCTACGACTCTACGATGTCTCCCTCGGCCCCGAATTTCCCATAGCCACATTTCAAGAACATTCCCGAGAAGCGTTTTCCTGCAGCTGGAATCTCACCTCGAAAGCCACCTTCGCCTCTTCATCGTGGGACGGATCAGTGAAGATATGGAATCCCGAACGGCAGCAGAGCCTTTTGACACTGCCCACCCATTCCTGCACGTACAGTACCCAATGGAGTCCGCACACGGACGGGATGCTCAGCGCGGTCTGCTCAGATAGCCACCTGCGTGTGTGGGACCTCAGGACACCGGCGAGCGCAAGCAACCATCTCACAATGCAAATACCAATACACGCTCCCCTTTTGTCGACGGGTGTCGCTAAACTCCAACCGACATTCCCACCCTCGGAGGCCCTCACACACGACTGGAACAAGTACCGAGGCACCATCGTGGCCACGGCAGGAGTTGACAGAATCATTCGAACATTTGACATCCGGCAACCCAAAGGGCCCTTGCAGCTGTTACAGGGCCACGCCTACGCCGTACGGAAGGTTGCATGGAGTCCGCACCTGCCGGACTTGCTGCTGAGTGCCAGCTACGATATGACATGTCGAGTGTGGACGGACGGCGGTGATCCGGGCGGCCCGGCTCGAGAACTCGGACAGATGGGAAGACATACCGAGTTCGCAACCGGCGTCGACTGGTGCCTTTTCGGCAGTGAAGGATGGGCGGCCAGTTGCGGATGGGACGAAAGACTATGCGTGTGGGATGTACGAACCGTCATGCACCAGTAGAGGAATGTTGTTGTCCTGGAACACAGGTGCGCGAATCTTGGAAGACCATTGGGTATATACTCTAGTACGGAGTACTGGGGACAAGCTTTTTCAGCAGGTTATTAGCAAAGTACAGTTGATGGTACAAGTGACTTTGTAATGAACAACTGGATAAATTATGATAAAGTGACCAAGATTTGAAAGGTGTCACAGGTCTCATGTTTTCCAGGCTTCATGCATCAAAGGCTGATCGGACACGAAAACGAGGCTGTTTGCCGTGTCATGTTACATTTCTACAACCTCAGGCAACCCTTAGTAGCCAGTCGTGTAATCGTATCAAGCTACTCGTAGGTATCGCCCGGGAACCTGACAGTCCTGGCGTAAATTGTGTAGTTGTGCTTCGAGCCAATCGACTCGCGACGAGGCTTCCTCGGAAGGGGGTGGAGCAGGACGATCTATCTCTCCCCGACTTCGTCGGCAACTCCCCTCGTCGTCGTGCTTCACATCTTGACCTTGATAGGGCAGGTTGACGAGATCGCCCTGAGACGCAAGCCATCTCAAGCCGAAAAGCTTGTCGCTAACCTGTGCTGTTCCTTGATGCGACCTCTTCCGCAAGCGCCAGACTGGGGTGAAATATTGTATCCTGCTTTCGAAACGAGCGAGCCACTCAGGTTGCGAATGGACCTGAAGACGGAGATCCCGCTGTGTACTACCTACGTCGATCCTGTCCAGAGTAGGTAGGGACGCGATGCATGTTCTACAGCATCGAATGTGCATGGGATAGGATGGGGTTGATTCTGGAAGATGAAAGGGATGCCATGCGGATCCCTTCCTCATCAGCAGCACACACAACACACACTCTCTCTCTGGAGAGACAGAGCACGATACGAATTATGAAGGAGCGAGCGAAACGATAGGTAGGTGGGTTGCCTTCTACCGAGGTCCTTCACGGACTTATAGTGCTGTATATAAGAGGCCGAAGGTGTCTCCCAACCTCATACAATCCTGTCCTCTCTCCAGGTCAAAGCAACCCAACCCTCGACGTCAACTTCTGCTGAGAAGGTATAAAATCGACCAAAACACCATGCATTTCCCGACGTCCCTTCTGTTGGCTCTTCTCCCTGCTGTGGCCCTGGCCGCCCCCAAACCCATCCTTCACGCACGCACCACGCCTTCATTGTACCCTCGATCCTTCACGCCCGACACTCTTGCCCGCCGTCAGTCGTGCGTGGACACCTGCGGCTCCACGTGCTACTGGCAAGAAGATATCGACGCCGCCGTCCAAAAGGGTTTTAGTCTTCACCAATCCGGCGACACCCTCGGCGACAACGACTACCCCCACGAATTCGACGACCGCGAAGGCTTCGACATTTCAGTCTCCGGACCTTGGTACGAGTTCCCCATCCTGAGTAGCTACGAGGTCTACTCGGGTGGATCCCCCGGAGCGGACAGGGTCGTCTTCAACGATGTAAGTACTTTTGTTCAGTGTATATCTCATTTCTTTTCTTTCTCCCTCTCTTGTCACGGGGTAGGGGGGGGCGGGGGAGATCAGAACAAGTCCTGTGGGTTTTCTCAAAAATGGAACACTAACCAACACACCATGCGTAATGATAGGAGGGAACACTCGCCTTGGTTGTCACACATACTGGTGCAAGTGGTGATAACTTTGTCGAGTGTCAAGGGGACCAACCTTGAATTAGATGTGGTAGTAGATTGGTGTGTGATTTGAGGTCTGTCAGAAATGTCGATACGAGTCGGATCTGAGTAGTTGTTTTCTACCAGATTTGTGAATTTTCCTGAGAGGTTAGACAAGGCTTGTCATATCCCGTTTCTGTTGTACGAGGGGGCTGAATCGATTGCAGGCATCGGCGCGAGACATCGTAGATGCGGACAATATAGAGTATAGCATGAGGATTGAAAATACAGTAAAAAAGAGTCGATGTTTGGCTGATACGTAGGTATATCTATGTCTCTCAAGCTACACCGAACTATTAAATAGTGGCGAGAGAAATAGACCTGCGAAAAACAATGATCGAGGCGAATGGTCTCGCACGTACGAAAATGTCCCTTCATGGTTGATATCGCTTGTGGCAGATCACACCCAACGGAGCCCCGTATGAGTCGAGAGTCGTTTATCTCAGGATGAAATTTGGTGTACAGTCTGAGACCATCCAAGCATGGATCATCCTAGATCTCCTAGTATGTATTACCACCATTCATGCTGCTGCTCAGCTCGGCCATTGTGATGTAGATACTGCACATACCATTGTCCATCCACAGAAGGTTCGGCCCAGGTCAGGAGATCCATTGCGCTTGATGAGATCATCCTGTCTCAAATGTTCCACCAACATTAGTCTCGCAGTCGGCGATCCGAGCCGAGTCAGATACAGAGACAGAAAGAAAAAACCCAGCGTCCAATCGTGAATTGTCTCCAGCCCTTCAGGCGAGAGGAGTGTGATCTTTATTTCTCGGCCAATCTCTTCTCGACGCCGTCACGGATCTGCCGTTTCGCATCCGCCAGTTGCTCCTTGCTGGCGTCGTACCTCACGTTGCCGACCTGGTTGAAGGGGTTCTCCTCGCTCTTTTCAAACTCCTTCCTCACGATCTCGATGCGCTGCTGTTTCCGTAGCCCGGGGTGCTCGAGAGCAACCTCCGGCAGCCTCCGCTCTTCGTACGCCTTGTACGCCGCCGCGAACCGTCGCTCGGGGTGCCTGTCCAATTTGTGCTCGTTGCTCGACCCCGTCAGGCTCAGGGCGTCGAGGGCATTGTCGATACCCGACGCGTTGAGTGCCGCCGCCGACTTGCCACCACCACCGCTCGGTTCGCCGTCGAGCTGGCCCAAATCGAGTGTGCCCCTCGTCTTCTTCTCGGCCGTCTTTTTGTTCGCGCCTTTACCCGTCGACCTCTGTGACTTTTCTTCTTCCGCTAGCATGGCGTCTCGTTCGGCCTTTTTCGCCTTGGCTTCTGCTGCCTTTCGTTCGGCATCCTCTTTCCTCTTGTTGTCCTTGGAGCCCTTGGACCACTTGTCGTCCTCGACCGCGGCGACCTTGGCATCCTGGGCGGCTTGTTTGGCGGCGGCGGCGTCAGCCTTGCGTGCGTTGCCCACGGCTTTCTTGGTGTTCTCGCCGCCTTTCTTGCCCCCCATCGTGATCGTCGGTAGAAATGGAACTAGAAGCCGGAGGAGTTCTGTTGCGTGTGGCTCCTAGGTAGGCTTGGGCAGTGATATAGGTTGTGAGATTGACAATGACGAAAATCCGAATGAATTGCGCCGGTGAAAAGACTCGGCGGGAGTTGAAGGGCATGCAAATTTACCAGAAAGGAGGTGATACTCTCGGGGCAAATAGTCTACGTGTACCCAAGACAAAGATGACTCCGAGTCCAACGCAAAGACTTGCATGCATTGGTTTTTGACCCCGTTGGGTATCGATGCCTGCGGTTTCGGTGGCGCTGGGTGTGGGGTCAATTTCTATACGGAACGAGTCATGCGGCTTTATCCATCTTATCGAATGGCTCAAGCACTAAATACTGACCCAAAGGTCGCCTCGGGTACCTAGGTCTTCTCTCCATCCACAGCCAGATACAGAGAGTGGATCTGGGTAGAAAAAGGGACAACTAACTAAGAGAAGAGAAGTTTGAATGGGTTTTGCATTGTTCTTGAAACTCATAGTTCTAGAATCATTCCGGGTTTCTCATAATCACACAGGGTATCTTTTGAAAAAGAATCTTCGCCGCAATTTAAACAACACCGATCCTTGACGCCTCCTTAAACGCCTGTCGACAAATGTGCTGACCACGCCAGATCAGTCACAATTGAGTCCTCGTACCGTCAAACTCCCGTTACATGCGCAATCGCAATCGTAACGATATGCCCATGTTAAACCTTGACAACTCATAATCATATCAACATTCACGCTGACCGTCCTCAGATCAGTCTCAAGGGAGTCCTCATGCCGGCATACCCGCGTCGCATGAACTTGTAACGGTTTGGAATCACTTGAAGACGACGGAAAGCCTCTCTGACATGCTTCGGCTCGACCGGCGTGCGACCTTCCTCGGGCATCTCGAATAGGCTGCAGCCGGCTCGCTTTCTCTTCTTAAGAGCTTCCTGGTCTCCACGACCGCCATTCGCCTTCTTGTTTGCCTGGTCTTCTATAGCCTTGACCTTGAGTGCCTCCTCGGTGAGTGTCTGGACGACCTCGAAGGTCAGGAAACCGAGAACATCAACAACGTCGTCGTTCGGTTTGCTATCGATGACGGTGCCAAATCCGGCCCACTCTCGGAATCTCTTTCCCTTGCGGAAGGTGAAGCTAGCTTGACGGCAGTCAGACCAGTACACGTACTCCTCCTTGGTCATGTTCTTCGTGCGCTCGTCAGCAGAAGCAAGTCGTGCGAGGGTAGCCTCGTTTTGCTCCTCTTCTTCCTCGTCTTCTTCATCCTCACGTTCGGGAACCTGCTCGGCGTAGAAGGACTGGACTTCCCAAGGCAGAACCAATCGAGCCTTCTTGTTGGCAGTGGTCTTTTGAGGAGCAGAAGGGTTGACACCGCCGGCAGCCTATCAACACATTAGTGAGGGCAGTCTGAAAGGGAGAGAACGTGGCATGCCTCGTCAAAGTCATCAGCACCGTCACCGCCACCTTTGTCATCGGAATCCTTGACGTTCTTGCGCACGTCTTTCCAGGAGAGGAAAGTCTTGAGTCGGGAGACCTTTGCTCGGTCGTGACGAATCTGGAAGATCAGGTCGATGATGGAGATTGTCTTGGAGCCACGTCGATTGGCGAGGCCGGTGGCTTGAGTGAGCTTGCCAAATGTTAGTCAGGGAGGGGGGTACACAAGACCTATATAGACTTACCATCTCAACAACTTGCTCTCTGACAATCTCTTCGATCATCCATGTTGTCTCAGCGCTGGGTTCGGCAGTCTCTCCACTCACAAACATCATCTGTTCAATCCAATGAATCAGTCTCTGCTTGTACTCTCCCATGGTCTCAGTGTCATTCTCGTCGTGATCAGGCGGATGATCCAAGACAGGGGAGGCAGGGGCTGAAAGTTCGCTCATGGTGTCGCTATCCATTGTCGTATTGTTGTTCGTGACAAAGGAGAGCAAGTTTGACACGAGTGTCAATCTGGATTGTCGCGTCTCACACAACCAAAGTTGGCTTGTCACTCTTTGTACCGTGGCAACGCGGTTGCGACAAGCTCACCGGCTACGCTTTTTGAGATGACCGCGCGGCGGGTGTCGGTAAAAACGCCATCTGGCTCACCGGCTTCATCCATCACCTTGCGAGTTGCACTCGGGTCTTTCTGATTTGAAATTTCTCCCAAGAACATCGCCCGCAACACTCCATCGAGCTGACAATATCCCTTTGTGCGAATGAAGACTTGGAAAAGGCACCACGGACATCTGATGGGGCGAAAAGAAAACACTTTGTATGCTTACCTGCTGAATCTCCTGCCGGTATTTCGCACGTTCAGCCATCTTGACTCCTGACCACAACCCCCGACAACCTCGGAATTCTCGATACGATCCGGGGAGATGGGAAAGCGAATCTTAGAGGTATCCTCGCGACAAACGCCGCTCCGTCGCTCCAGACAATGAACAAATGTACTTGTTGATTCAAATCGATGGTAACGAATGTGGTGGTGATGAAATTCGAGGAAGGTGCGTAATGGCGATAACTTCGTCTTGCTGGTCAACGCTCTGACTGCCGTTGCCAAATTCCACCACGACGGACCCGAAGTTCTTCCATGCGGATTTTCTCCCCGCAATTCATTTTTCCGAACGAAAGTCTAGATATCTAGCATTTAGTTCCTGGCCAAATGGTGGGCTCGATCTGCAATTACTGACACGACTACGGAGTAGACTACCTTGTGTCCAAGCCACTATGTTGTACCTGGTAGGGCTCGGCCTGGCCGATGAAACAGACATCACAGTCAAAGGCCTGGAGGTCGTGAAGCGCGCAGAACGTGTGTATCTCGAAGCCTACACGAGCATTCTCCATGTTGGCAAAGAAAAACTTGTACGTTGTAAAGACCCATGCCGCGAACGAAGCTGACGAGGCTGGTATCTGACAGTGAAGGTAGGAGTCATTCTACGGTAGACCCGTCATTGTTGCAGATCGTGAGATGGTTGAATCGTCTAGCGATGAAATCCTCTCCGGCGCAGACAAATCTGACATAGCATTCCTTGTCGTCGGCGACCCATTTGGTGCTACTACTCATACTGATATCGTCCTCCGAGCCAAAGAGCTTGCGGTTCCAACCAAGTCGATCCCGAATGCCTCTATCTTGAATGCGGTTGGCGCTACGGGACTGCAACTGTACAATTTTGGTCAGACAGTATCCATGGTGTTCTTTACCGACAACTGGAGACCTGCTAGTTTTTATGATCGGCTGCGAGAAAACGCCTCGATAGGGCTACATACGCTACTACTACTGGACATCAAGGTCAAGGAACAATCATTAGAAAATATGGCAAGAGGAAGAAAAATATACGAGCCACCACGGTACATGACTGTGTCGCAGTGTGCTCAACAGATGCTAGAGATCGAAGCCGAGAAGGGCGAAAAGGTGTACGACGAAGACAGCCTTGCTATTGGTTGCGCTCGTGTTGGTGCAGATGACCAGAAGTTCGCCTGTGGAACATTGAAAGAACTGTCTGGTATTGAACTTGGCCCTCCTCTGCACAGTGTTGTGCTGCTGGGTAAAAGGGCACATGAACTCGAAAGAGACTACATCAGATTGTTCGCCATCAACGAGCAAACGTTTGATGCCAGCTGGAAGAAATACCACGAAAGGCAATAAATGTCATCTACGGTGTCGATTTTCTGGCACTCAATCCGGGCTTTTGACAGGAGAGATCGCCACGAAGCACCTAGGAGGCCACTGTGATTATTGCCTTGCTATACTCTTCAATATGGGCTAAAGGCCAAAACAGGCTGGCCCAAACGCTAGTCTTCCAGCCAAGTTGGTCCACGGCAGCATCACGATCATCTACTCCAAGTCGAGATCCTACAAGCTGGAACATTTGATCGGCCTCGATATTGCCATTCATACCATTGAATGGAAAGAGAGAGGTCACCGATGTTGAGAGGGTCTATCCGTCCGGGCTCGTGCATTAGGTCCGAATACGAGAAGCACTCCCTGTATTTTGCATTGATGGGAGGATATCCTGCACAGCTCGCCGTGCGAAACTAGCAGTCCGATGACGCAAGTACTTCAATTGCCAGAATCTACAACCAGCATGTCATCAAGGGTATAGAACAACACCCTAGCTACTGCTTCGTTCGGATGGAAGATGCGCACAACATGCTGTCTGACAGCGCAAGAGAAGTCCTCGTATCAAAAACTTCTCGCCTCAGCAGTTTCGAATGTATCAAGAGTTTTGACCCACGATCTCTCTCTTTGGAGATAGATACCATATCCATCCGTAGGAAATAAGGTGCCCGAATTTCTCAGCTGGTGGGCAGACGCATGCTCCTGTGCCGCGTGGGTTTTGCAAGGCTGACATTCCTTGCATCTCGCTTTGGTTGGTACACTATACGAGTCACTCGGACAGTAAACAGCCGCCTGGACAAGCGTAAATTACGTACCTACCCAGAGAGTGATACAACAGATGGACCAGGGAAGATATGCCTATAGATAGGTAGGTAGGGGTTCTCTTAGTGAGATCCCCTGGCCCGGTCCACCCCAGCTTCGGCTACTTCCCTGCTAATGTTTCCACCGGCGGGGCACCTGGACATGTACCTACGGATATTGTACATATTAGATCCCCGGCCTGGTTGTATATACCTATGCTTCGCAACTCGTACAAAGGTTCAAAGTATCTGTACCTTTTGTCCCCTGTCGCACAGAAATCCCAGATCCGTGCGACCCAATGTTTTTCTTGCCCTTATAGCGGATAAAGAAGCGGTCGACGCGACTGACTGACGCTAGGCGCAGAGAGCATCCGACACACTTCGTCAAGCTGCAGCTGCGCTCTCCTCAAAGCGTTGCAAAAACAAACCGCACACAACTGCCATCGATCATGTTTGTTGTTGCTGGTCCTCACTCACCCTTACTGCTGGACTCACGATCCATACGAGTACCGCGACAAAATACGTTAGACAACGACGATAGTATCTACAGGTAGTTCAGCCCTGCCTACTCCCATATACCTTGCGCCTCGCTCTCCGCAAGTCTACAGTGTATACCTCACCTCCGGACTTTCACAGTCGACGGAATCGGCGCAGTCTCTACCCAGTCTATCCAGGCTCTCTACGTCTATATACCTCTGCTCTCCTCTCCTCTCGATTCTCTGATCCGTGTCAACGTGCCGGGAGCTGAGCTCGCAAAACAAGCAAAAAGGCACAGAAGCACACGGAAATGCCAGTCTACCTAGTCCACGGCTTCCGCTGGCCGCGTGAAGGCTTCTCAGGCATCCGAGTCCACGCCATCGTGAACAACCTCGACAACACGAGCGTGGAGTACATCCAAAACGAGAACTCGCGTGCCGACATCCTGGACTCGTTCCACAGGTTGTACCCGGACATCATGAAGGAGCTGGTGGGCGGGGGACCCGGCGGTCGCAACCTCGAGTTCATAGAACAATACAACCCGGACGACGTGGACGGACCGAACTCGGTGAGCCAGCCCTACGCTTACGTCGGCGACAAGGTGGTCACGATCGCCGGTCGGACACCTGGGAGCAGCAACGGCGGCGGCAGCAACGCGGCACCTCTGGTCTCCACGACCTCGAACCTGACGCCGACGACGCACCCGTCGGTCGCGACAACGCAAGGACAGAATACGGACACGTCTACCGCAAGAGGAGAAAAAGAGTCAGGAAGCGGTAACAATAACAGTCAGTCTGCCACCACGTCGTCGTCTCCGCACAGATCCCGCGCCAACACACAACACTCTGGCGGCAAGAAGCCGGGCCCCGAAGAGACGGACCTGAGTCTGAACGTGGAGGACGTCATCGCCGCCGGTCCCGGCCTGACGAACAAGGCGTGGGAAGCGCTCGCGGACCTACGTGACAAGATTGCGCCCAACGAGAAGATCGGTTGGTGGGTGGTGTACAATGGCGACCCGGAGCGTGCGTTCGATGAAGATGACGAAGATGAAGACTACGACGACGATGGAGACGAAGAGCACGACTACGACGATGACGACGACCAAGGCCAGGAGCTCGCAGACGACGAGAGAGGCGCCGACCCGAAGACGGCACCGTCGCCGCGCCGCAAACAAGGACAGGGACAGCCTCATTCGCGCGGCTCCTCTCAACAGCTGAGACCGCTCACAGGTTCGACGGGCAGTCCCGCGCGGCCGAGGACAGCCCCTTCGGCTGGGGCGTCCGATGCCTATCCACCGCCCCTGCCTCTTCCTCTGTCCGCCACCTCGCCGCGGGTTTCACACCAGCAGCAACCCTCGGGGCTCACGGCGCTTCCTGTCCGGCCGACGAATGTGGCAGAACAGACATCTAAACCCGACACCAAGGGCAAACAGAAAGAAGGAGGCCAGGAAACGAAATCAAAAGAGATGAGCAAAGGCCAGAGTTTTAGAAAGAAGCTCTTTGGCAGAAGAGGTTGAGAAAGACCACGTTTTGCCAGAGCGCTGACCAATTGTATTGCTACCTACTATACCTAACCTACGCAAACGACATTACGAAGTATCTGAGGGACGCCCTTACCCTCATTATCAACGACCTACCTTGGAGTTTAGTGAGGCTAAAAAGCAGCACATGCATAGAATGGCGGTCGACCCATGCGACAGATCGCTGCAGTTTCTGCAAGGCACTACGAGGAAGTGCTCGCCCGCAGATGATAGCTGCGACATTGAATCCAGCCAGGTGTAGAAAAGGGAGGGAAGTGGGCACACCATGTCTACAGGTTAGAACGCGATGTGAGCTAGATCGTCGACGTCAAGACGTGCAGCGAATCCTCAGAAAGAAGACCTGAATTAAGAGAGAAGGAATCGTTGCTTTAGGAAAGAGCTGGGTGTGTCATGGAAGGTGGGTATATGAGGAGGAGCCATGGTCCGTTCCAAGAGAACGAGAAGTCTCGGTGGCCAGCAATGCGTGGAAAGATCCCGATCCAAGCTCAAGTCACATTCAAGGCATCCAGATTTGTCAACATTTGTGCATTTTCCATTCCAGTTCATCAGTTTGTGTACGTTCGAGGAGCATTACCGATTCCAAGGCCCTTAAAAATTGCTTTACATAGACAGAAAGCGACCACAAGCCGAGCCGAACCAATTCCTCGAGGTAGGAGAATCCCGTAATCAAGACTCGAAAAAAGCCGACATAGCCCAAAGAAGATACTGCGAGAGTCGCCCAAGGTGATTGACATAGAGAAATCCCCATGGCAAACAAAGATCAGGTGGACTTGTCAGGTCGGAAAGTTGTTGCCACATACGAGTCCATACTTGCCACGGACAACACAGACGGAGTCCTTCTATCACTAGTAGCGTCGGTCATCATAGCCACCGTAGCCGCCGTAGCCATAGCCGCCGCGGGGTGGGCTGCGTGGTCGAGGAGGGTATGGTTCTCCGTTCCGTCCATAAGGATCACCATAGCCTCGAGCTGGTGGTGGAGGAGGTCCTCGCGGAGCATCATATGGATCCAGGTCATATCGTCGTGGTGGTGGGTAGTCTCTCGGAGGGGTACGTCTACCGTAGCCACGGTCGTAAAAGTCATCCACGGGTGGTCGACGTCCTGGAGAACGTTCGCGATACCCACGAGGGCTCCAACCGCGAGGAGGAGGACCACGTCGGTCATAGTAATCATCCATGGGATATCGACCTCGCGGAGGAGATCTTTGACGATAGCTTCGAGGGTCGGGACGTTCGTCCTGGATCTGCAAATGTGTTAGCTAATGTCATTTGGCAATCCGGGGAGAACTTACATCAGCTGTACAATGAACCACCGCACCTTTGAAGGTTTGTCCATCTAACTTCTCGACAGCAGTTTTGAGGTCGGCCTGGGTCTCGAATTCGACAAAACTAGACAATGATAAGCATGTATTTGAACCTTCCAAATGCACTAGATTTACCCTTTGCCATCGCGTTCGCGACCAGTTTCGGAGTAAACGACATCCAGTTGGCCCGAGCTCCTGGCGAAGTCCTTTAGGTCCTGTACAACAGTAAGAGGATATTCATGGAGCAAGCGAGAATGAGTTTCATAAGGCTGGTGCCTGGGAGATGCAACGCAGGTGCGTTTCACCAAATGCCTAACTCCGTGGATGGAAACATGATCTCTGTGAAAATTATGCGGCGGGAACATGAGATCACCAATCCTTGGTAGCTTTCGATCCAAAAGAGAAGAGCCTGGAGATGGACATATTGGGGTATCTAACCTGCCAACTGGTATCTGGTTGCAAGCCCGTGATCTGCATGCGATAGATGGTGCGTCGTGGTCGAGGGATGTTTCGGTCTGGTGGACCAGAAAAGTCGTCCTTGCGACGAGGGCCACGTGCAAATTGGACAGTGAGGCGTTCGCCCTTGAATTCGGTTCCGTCTATGTTCTTGTCAGGGTACATTGCAGAAGAAAAGGAGAGGTAAAAGAGGTAGGATGGCTCGTACGGAAAGCTATGACAAAGTTAGCTGGAGATTCAGAGCATAAGAGGTGTAAGCTGTACCTGGCACGACATCACGGGCATCCATGGCGTCTTCATATTCAATGAAACCAAAGCCATTCATGAGTTTGATCTCTTTGATGGAGCCAGCGCCATGAGTTCCAAAGTGATCCTCGATGTCTTGTTTTGTGACTGGATAGGTAATCAGCGACTGGTGTTATCCGGGTGCGCCTGCGCGCAACAGGCAGAGCTTCCATGGTGCCGCATTGTCTGGGGAGACCAAATGAAATCAGTGAATGAAGGTGAGCATACTATTTCGTGGAAGGTTGCCCAGATAGAGCCGCGTAGAGGAGACGTCCGCCATGGTTGGCTTCGATCAGACCAGACGACTGGTCCGAGGGTGTGGTGATCCCAGAATGTGAGGCGCGCCGTGGAGAACAATCCAACCAAGGGCAGAGATGGCGTGGCCTCCCACAATTAGAGACGGGTGAAGGGGTCCTGGATAACGTCGCAGATGGTAGAGAGAATGTGATGGTGAAGACTATGGATGGAGTCAAACAGATGGCCAGATCAAGTTCACCTTGTCGCAGGTCCGCCTCATTTTACGGGGAAATCACACTACAAAACAATTGGTCGCTTGAGCCAAGGCAGACAAGTACCGGCTGACTTGCCTATGTGGGATACGAATACGATTACGAATCCCCGGATGCTGACGAGGCTCGAATGGCTTAGGCGGGCAACAACCCGGACATACTATGGCACCTCTACTTCAGGAACAAGACACAGTCCATGCCTCAGGAGCCCGGACATGCGTGTCATAAAGATGACAGTTGGTAGACTGTATAATGCTCCAGGTAAGATCTCTTTTCGTACTTTGCACTTGAATAAACTTCGCTCCCGCAAAGGAGAACTTTAAGCTTTAAGATCCGTGGATGGTTCTTTTGAGGTCAACATTTTCGTTTTCATCTATTTTTCAACCCCTTTCCGGGCACCAGACCCGCCAATCAGGGCGGGATCCAAGTATAGCTGGGTCCGAACATGCAATGTCCTATAATGGAAGAGATTGCCTATTCTTTGACAGATTATGCTGCGGCATAACACGGGAAGAACGGCTCCAGGTGTCTCGGATATAGTAACCTGATGGATCGAGCATTGATGTTGTGGAAACTGCCAAGTGAGTGGGTGACGTTTTCTCTACAGTGGTTCTCTGTGTACTTCTGTCCAAGATTTTGCGCAATTCGCACCAAAGATGTTTCCAAGCATCTCATCCGTAGTGAGGCCGTTCTATGGCCATGTTCAGCGAACGAGGCGTTATGCTGAACCAGCGAGCCGCCACGCTCATCGTCTGTGGGCTGATATCATTGAGCCTTTTTGTGTGGTGGTCAACAAATCATCACACATCACATCTTCGAATCCAGTCTGGAGCCGCTGCGCTGTTCCAAAAGGGACACTTCAACGGAACATGGATTTATCAGAGAGATGCAGCAAACCTGATGTTAAATACGCAGCAATGCGACCAAGCTTTCCCCGGCCTGTTTGAAGAGGTGGATCGACCTGTGAAGCACAGGAGCGCATCGCATGTCACTGTTGCGGAGCTTGACGAGATCCCGAAACAGAATGGCTATGTTCGTGCAATGATCTTCGATCAACAGGTATGCATCACATCTCTTCGATCGTGCTGAAAGCACAAGATTGGTTTGGGCCGAGATTTATAACATGTATAGCTCTATGTCATCGAAACAAAGGGTCAAATCTATTCTCGAGGCCTCGCAACCCTCCAGGCACTACATCGAGCCATTCTGTCTTCACCTGAAACTCTCCCAAACATTGAATTCGCCTTCAACACAGACGATCGCGTCCCCTCGGTACCTCTTTGGAGTTATGCACGCCGCGATGAAGACAAAAAGATCTGGTTGATCCCTGATTTCGGACATTGGTCTTGGCCCGAGACAAAAGTTGGGACTTTACCAGAAGTTCAAATGAAAGCTGCTGCGCTTGAAGAAGTCTGGTCATGGTCAACTAAAGTGCCCAAGCTGTTTTGGCGAGGGGCCGTGATGGGTCTGAAACTGCGAGAGCAACTTCTCCAGACTACTGCTGGCAAGCCCTGGGCGGATGTCAAGGCTCTGACGTGGAGGGAGAAGGACTCGATGGCCAACGATCTCAAATCCATGCCCGAGCACTGCCAGTATAAATACTTGGCGCACACCGAAGGAAACTCCTACTCCGGGCGACTCAAGTACCTTCAGAGCTGTAAATCGGTTGTCATCGCCCACAAGATGGACTGGATTCAACATTATCATCCTCTGATGAGGTCAAATGGACCGCAGCAAAACTTTGTTGAGGTTCAACGCGACTATTCAGATTTAGAGGACAAGATTTCCTGGCTCGAAAACCACAGCGAGATTGCCGAAGGGATCGCTTCAAACAGCATGCAGTTGTTTCGTGAGCAATATTTGACCCCTGCTGCGGAAGTATGTTATTGGCGAAGGTTGATTCATGGATGGTCCATGGTTAGTTTTGAGCCAGAGTTCTACAATACTGTTGACGGCCAGAAGGTCTGGCGGGGAGTTCCGGTCGAGTCATACTTGCTGGAGCGCAGACTCGAGTGGGATCCATATTGAGCCCAACAGACAATCAATTGAACAAGGATCAGAATTCATGCTGAACCGAGTCACTGACGAGCTGCGATCAGAGGGAAGAGCCAGAAGCAGCCAAGCATTCCCGCCCGCAAAGGATTAGCGAGCAAGCTTAAGTCACTCTACCGACACAACTTCATGCGAAGAAGAACTGCTCATCAAACGATGCCAATCTAGATGCGTATGGATTGAGTCGACAAAACACAGAACCCTTTACGAGAAACAGGTGCCAAAATATCGTCTGCTTGCAATCTCTTGGCCCAAAAAAATATAGATATCTACAAGGCTCTTTACGGAGATGACGGCCTCGTACTAGTTCAAGTTCGCTCAGGAATGTTCGGACACGACGAGCTCGGGTTGGATCTTGATCCGGTGTCAGGGCATGGATCAGATCAGATCAGATCAGGCACAGTGACCGTTGGCCACCGAACGCGCCCCCAGGAGTGTTGACGATCTCTTTGAGGTCCGCTTGTGCGTTGATCGCCTGTTGCCTCAACTCTCAAGACGACGAGACGATGTACTGAGTAAGTGGGTGTATGACTGCAATGTTGGTTACGTAGCAGGGGGGCAATCGCGTAAGGGTTTTCGGATCTGTGTGCCACAGAGGCTGCCAGCTTGCCACGTAATTGGATACACTCTGCACTGGATGAAATTGTTTTATTAATCTCCGATCTCCGTCAGCTTCGACTTCTGATCTCCAAATCGTGGCGCCACCACGCGACAAAATGGTAGTGCCGAACATGAAGAGCCATGTGTCACCGACGTGAGCTTTCGCTTTGAAAGATATGGGAGACCACCTGGCCAAACACAATGGTTGCCTCGGACGATATGGGGTCCGGTTGTTGGTTGCAATACGCCCAAACTCGTCTAGCACTTCGCTTCCACAATCCAGACCAGGAAACGCTCGCTCGGCGCTTGACTGGGATTCGTTTTCTTTATCTCGGGCCTCATTAGTCCTTGCAACTTCGTTATCACCCGGCTATCAGCGATCGTTGCCTTGCCCAGACCATGAGGGGTTAGCTACGTACCATGTGATGAGCTATAAGATGGAAGCTGTCGCCTCGATGCCGTCAAGAGAGATCATCCTCGATCTTCTCGAAAGCTTGTGGGCATCACAAGCCTTTTCCAAGGATTGTCAAGCCTCGGTCGCCGCCCCGCATTCTGTATGCGATAAGTGGGACAAACCTGTTACATACATACCCAGCGTCCGATAACAGTCAACAGCGACCGACCCCTCTCATCATGGCCGACACCGAGGCTACGGGCACTGCGGCTCGCAGCATGTCCAGAGATGAGGGTAGATTGCGAGAATTGGGATACAAGCAGGAATTGAAGCGTGATTGGTCACTCATTCACAATTTTGGCGTCTCTTTCAGCATTATCTCGGTCATTACGGGTATCACTACGCTTTTTCAGTATGGTCTGACCACGGGAGGTCCAGCTGTCATGGCATCAGGATGGTAGGTCATTATCATCCCCGCTCGCCGCATCCAACCACCTCCCTTGAGTCGATTCAGAAGTGAGAGGGTTAGGCGGGAATGGTTTGGGCGGCTGTCGTGCACCGATTTGTCACCAGAAATTCGTTTGCTGATCGATTCGTATCGTGTAGGCTCGTCGTCAGCTTCTTCACCATGTTTGTCGGTCTCGGAATGGCAGAGATTGTTAGTGCTATTCCGTCGGCTGGAGGTCCATATTTCTGGGCAGCAATTCTGGCCCCCAAAAAATGGGCTCCTTTCGCCTCCTGGGTGACTGGTATGATACTCTTCGACTGCAATCCTGGACGGTGTTTTCTGATGTTGAGGAACAGGCTGGTTCAATCTTTTGGGACAGGTCGCAGTGACAACGGGCATTACATTTGGTGGTGCTGGGCTGATCTCGACACTTGCAACAATCCATGGCTACGAACCATCCGCGGGCAAGACGTTGGGCATATACGCCGCTCTTCTCTGCTCTCACGGCCTCGTAAACTCCTTCGGCGTGCATATCCTGCGTTACCTGAACAATACTTCAATCACCTTACATTCCCTCGGCATCTTCTCCTTTGCCGTTGCTGTTGTCGCCAAAGCTCCTCATCATCAATCCGCGTCTTTCGTCTTTCAAAAGTTTTATGATGGTACGGGTGACCCAGGCTGGTCGGTGAGAGCTTCGCCAGCATATGTTGCTTGTATCGGCATCTTGATGTCACAGTAAGTTGTGAATTGCAAGCAATACAGTATGTGAATTCCAGGCTGACCGGTACAGATACACCATCACTGGTTTCGATGCGAGGTAGATAATGTTTCCTGCCCTATTCATCACGGAAGGCTAACGGTTTTCAGTGCTCATCTCTCAGAAGAGACTCAAAATGCGTCTTGGTCAGCTCCATTGGGCGTGCTAATGAGTATCGGCTGCTCTGCACTTTTCGGATGGTTTCTCATCCTCTGTCTCCTCTTCAGCATTCAGGACTTCGATCAAACCATTGGGTCGGAATATGGTCAGCCGGTGCTTCAGATTCTAGTTGATGTTTTTGGGGAAACAGGGGCAATCGTTCTCTTTACCCTCGTCATTATCTGTGTCTGGCACTGCGGGTTGTTCAGTCTTACTTCAAATTCGCGAATGATGTTCAGTTTCGCTCGAGACGGTGGTATCCCACATTTCTTCCACAACGTCGATGCCCGCTTCAGGAGCCCCATCCGCACGATTTGGCTCGCTGCGTTCCTCGCATTTCTACTCGCCATTCCCAGTGTCGGCTCCTCGGTGGCATTTTCAGCTGCCACTTCGATCGCCACCATCGGGCTATACCTTTCTTATGGCCTTCCGATTCTGATCGGCATGATCAACCCTCAAGGCTTCATTCATGGACCTTTCAACTTGAAATGGTTCTCGCGGCCTGTTGCCATGATTGCTTGTGGCTGGATCAGCTTCATCACCGTTATTTTTTGCCTTCCTGAGCTCAACCCGGTGGATAGTCAGACTCTCAACTATACGCCTGTGGCGGTTGGCATTATTGGTGTCTGGTGCCTTGCGAGTTGGTTCCTTTGTGAGTTTCTTCCTCTTTGAAATATTTCATTCTATCGTTCCCTGTATCGTACACATTACAGTCTTCTGATTCTGAGTGATGTTTAGGGGCACACAAATGGTTCAAAGGTCCAATTCGCCAGATCGAAGCAGAAGTCGCTGGCGTTAATGTTGAAGATCCGGCTGCGATGGAACAGGCCGAGCGAGAAGGCAGGATTCCGCAGATCGAAGCATTAGAAAGCAGCAAGGAAGCGAGTATGCTCGCTGCTATGAAGCAAACCTACAACTGAGAGATAGTCAGGTGTTTGGGTACTTCACCAACCAGAGCACAACAGTATTGCCTCCAAGTAGATCGCTTGGTATCGAACTTTTCCCAGGGCAGTTCATTGGCGAAAGTGGTTCATTCTCTGGCATAGGTAGACACGTGGCTTCCTATATCTATGATTCTGTAGCCCTGGTACACCAACATTTGTCAAGCACGTCTTCACTCAAGTCTCATGTCAGGCAACCTGCCGCTGTCGATGACCTCGTATCCACTAACCGCATTTGGATTGACTGGCGGCCTCACATCCTCATCACCCACTCGTTTCTTGCATTTTTCGTTTTAGAATAAACCAATGGCAGAAAAATCACCCCGGAAATCATGAATCCATACAGAGCCTGCTAGAGCTGCAATTCTTCCTTGGTGGTGATTCTTGCAGTTTTCGGCCAGGCAATGTCCAACACCGTTTCCGAAACAAGATAGTAGCTCAAGCTTGAGAGAGCCCAGCCCCCAGGTTCGGGTCCACGTTGACTCCGTCTGAGGCTGATTGACTATGCAAAAGAGAATACGACAGCTAATACGACGACCACAGCTCCTCATCTAGGCAGATCAAATAAAGCTGCTTGTTGCCTGCGGCGGTATACATGTGCAAGGCCGTGAGTACAAATGGAGGGCCTGAAGCTGGGAGTGACTAGAGTATCAAGTAAAGCGGAGGAAGTCAAAAAATATCAACCTGGTCCTGTTCATCTCTCTCTATTTCGCAGCGCGAGCAGATGATACAATATGATCCGGATTGGAACTGAGAAGGTGCGGACAGGCTGCGTAACATGCAAGTAAGTATCATCATCACCACCACTACAGCCACCACCTGCCACGGTGTGAATCTTACCCCACGTAGCCGCGTGGCTCTTGATGAGGTTGTATCCAACACCCCGGCTCTCCGGAACTCTCTCATTGACTGAAACCAGGCGGCGCAGGGTAAAATGCGACGAAGGTCGTCCTCGATGTGCCCGATGCATCAAGGCTGGTCGTGCATGCGAAGGTTATACCTCCATCCCGGGCCGTCCGGGTCATGGCGAGGCGTTCAAATTTGTAGTCTACACACCAACTCAGGGACAACTACTCTCGACCGACCCTGATCTCGACTGGTCCGAACGGCGGTCACTCAGCTTCTTCCAGGATCGGACTGCGCTCGAGCTGTCCGGGTCGTTTCAAAGCGACTTCTGGTTCTCCACAATTCTCCCGCTCGCTCGACAAGACCCAGCGGTGCGACATGCACTGATCGCGTTGAGTAGTATGCACGAGCATTATGCGGGAGTAGATCACTTCGCACCCCCCAGTGGCCTCGATTTTGCACTAGACCATTACGGCAAGGCCATACGAGAGCTAGTGCGGCTCAACAACCAGAAACATGGGGAGGGCCGCTTCGATTGTGCATTGGTGACGTGTGCCTTGTTTTCCTCCTTCGAGTCTCTCCAGGGCCACTATCATACCGCTTGCAAGCACGCGATCTCCGGCATGAAGATGCTTGCCGAAGATCAACGTCAGAGCCACGACTGCTCCGACACTAGCCTGGGACCGAGAACGATGCGCAATTCCCGCTTCGAATTGACGCGCTTCTTTACGGCCATGAGCCGACAGATGCTTGAGATTGGAGACTCGAACTTCAGTGGACCGCGGCCATCTATAATCTGGGGCGCACCATCCATGCCTGAACGGTTCGCCTCGTACGAGGATGCCTTACTACATATGGAAGTGCTCTTGACTCGGCTGAACGACTATGCCAATCGAGTGGACGAGCTCGCTAAGGCTGGTCCCGTCCCGGACGAGATGGCAAACAACTTCATGTTCGAATTCGTCTCTATCAAGGATCATGCAATAAGATGGAGTGCGATGTTTGACGTACTGAACTCCGAGCAGCGACAGAATGCAAGTCAAGATTCGACACCCGAGTCAACTTCTTCCAGCGAAAAGCCATCCTCAATTTCAGGGCGTACTTCGACCATCCCACCCGCCGCGTTGTTGCTCCAGGCATATCAGTCATTACTGGTTGGGTTCTTGCAGCGGGTCGAAGTCAACGATGAGACTGTTTTGGACAACTACGCCTCAGATTTTGAAACCTGCTTAGATTTATGTGAGGCATTTCTCAAGCAGACATCTCACATCGTCACGCCCGAACCTATTCCGGTACAGCCCTCTCAGACACCGAAAATGGCACGCCCATCATACTCCCTAGCCCTAGGCGTGGTGGCGATCATGTTTGTAGTCGCTACTCGTGGAACTAACATGTCAAGTCGAGAACGTGCGATTCGTCTCCTCAAGTCATGCCACCGACGCGAAGGTTTCTGGGACTCATGGATTGCTGGAGAGCTCGCAGACCGCATATACCGAATCCAAGCCATGGTCAATAAGAAGTTTGGAGATTCGGCTCAAATTGGTTGCAAGTTGCTGGATGTCAGTTTCCTGCCGGACAGGAAATGCGTCCTACGGTATACTTTGAGCAAGCCTCGTCCTCTGGGACACGAGCATGTTGTATCACCTGGAATATGGGTCGGACCAGTGTCAGAGACTATGGATGAAAACAAGGTATATTATGAGAGTTTGGAGTGGGATGCGATGAGGACGTGGAAATCTTAGCAGTGATTAAGGCTTGGTGTTGTGATGTCCCATAGTGTCATTTATATACATAGTTCCTTTGAGACTCGAAAATTGCGGCCATGGATCTCAAACATACATACTCGTATAATCTTCTGGATCTGGATAAGAAAGAATATCATGTATCCCCGTACTCCGTAACGTTGGAAGTCTAGAATAGAAGTATGATTAAAGGACGGGAAAATATTTACTCCGTCCTCGTATTCGTATCATGGATAATTATAGCCTGCGCCACGTTCAACCTCGTATGCGCTAACCCGATTTGTCTCCAATAAAAATATACGAGGATGTTTGCTTTCCTAAGTACCTTATGAAAACGTGGACAACCAAGATCCACAACCCAATGGCTTCTCGTATTGTCTAACCTCGCTTGAAGTGATGGATTATGTCCGGATCACTGTATGAAGCGTCTTGGTAACGGAAACAACTCGGATGGTTTTCAAACTCAGCCCCGGGCCTCCAGCCATACAAAAAGTCCGTTGTCTCCATCGTCCTCGAAATGGGTTGGTGAGTACGAGCAAATGGATGGGTCATATGAATATACGAGCCTCATACGCATGTGAAATACAACTTTTGACTTGGATTCCACCTCTGCAAGCCCACTCTTGGATCCCTGGTATTGACAATAAACATACCATGCATAGCCTCGTCGTGACGCGGTTCACGCAGACCTTCGAAACCCCATGTGCACTTACCTCTACCTGGTCAAGTATCTACCCTGGCCAAAAGATCAGGCAGCCATTTTTGGAACAACATTTGGATGGAAATTGACAGTATCAAGGCAAGGGGGGGCCTAACATGGTAAGAGAAGACTTCTAGGAGAAAGAATATATACATATATATGTGTGTGTGTGCACACACAGGTATGTAAAGTGATAAGTTCGCCACCTCTTTTTTGTTCTGTTTTGTGTGAATAACTGCAACTCGAACGACAACGACATCATCTCTGAAAAAGCGAAAGCAAAAGTCCAACACCCTTTCTCATCCTCATCCTCATCCTCATCCTCCTTCCTCCTGACCCTAGACCAAATGCCTTCCATAACGTGTCACGCCGGTACAGGGGACAATTTCTACTTTGCCTATTGTCCATCTTTGGCCGCCGCAGTCATCTTTGCTGTGCTGTTTGGTATCACCACGACCACCCACATAGCTCAGGCGATCCGCTACCGCAAAGCTTTCGCCACGGTCCTCATCATGGGAGCCGCATGGGAAACCGGGGGGTACGTCGTACGAACCCTGGCCGTCTACCACCAACTCAACGAGACCTTGTACACCGTCCAACAACTCCTCGTCCTCCTCGCACCTCTCTGGATCAACGCTTACATTTACATGCTGTTGGGACGGATGATACATTTCTTCTTGAGGTCCGACAGCGTGTTCAAGGTTCCCGCCCGCAGCATCACCCGAATGTTTGTGATTTTCGACATCACCGCGTTTTTCATCCAGGCCATAGGTGGTGTCATGGCCGGGCCCGACGCGAGTGCGCACGTACAAAGATTGGGGATGAACATTTACATGGCCGGAGTCGGTGTGCAACTCGGGTTTCTTGTGGTTTTCACCTCGCTCGCGGTCAGGTTCCAACTGAATCTCAAGAGACAACAAGACTCGACGACGACGCAGCCACGGCAGCTCTTTCAAAATCAACCGTACACGGGCATCTCCCCCTTTGACGAAGAAGAAAATGCCACCGCCGCTGCGTGGCCCAAGAACGATCCGCTGGACGACGAACCGTACGCTCCGTACCCCTCTCCCACTCTGGCCAAAAGACTCCTCGTCGCCCTCTACGCCGTCATGTTTCTGGTCATCATCCGCAACGCCTACCGCTTGGCCGAGTTCGCGCAGGGGGAAAACAGCCCGGCCGTCACGCACGAGTGGTTTGGTTACGTCTTCGACGCCACCCCCATGTTCGTCGCCACCGTCGTCCTCAACGTCTGGAACCCCGGGAAGGTCCTACGGGGCGCGAGGAGTGACTTCGGGCGACAGGACAAGGCAAGGAAGAGGGCCAAAAGGGAGAAAAAGGTGGCGAAGAAGGAGGCCAAGAGGGAGGCCAAACAAGTGCGCAAAGACCAAAAACAAGAAAAGAAGAAGAACAACGACCCAACTTTCGTATCATCTGAAGAGGTCAATGGTGCCGGATACGCACCTCTACAGCGGGTTTGAAAGTCGGGTCTAGTTTTGTCAACGGCTTTGTCTGTCAAAAACACTTGATATCCAAAGCCACTCATGCGATAACTTACATGATTACCCGGCTCGGTATAGACGAGGGAGTCACGGATGCATTCAGCCAAAGAAATCCTCGAGTGTCGATATGCTTGAATGGTTTTGGTGTTCATTGGTCATTGGCCATTCACTAGTTTGGCGTTATTTTTCTGGTTCATTTTAGAACCACACCACATGTCGACGAAGGATCACCGCGGATATCTGAGAGATATTTTCCAAGGACAAGATCGAACAGAATAGCAACAAACTCATACTACGAGTACATATTGAACGAGCCATTAACATTTATATTCATCATACCTCCGTAGCTGCTATATAGCTACTACGTGGCAAGTATTCAATTTCATCTCACTGGCCGAACGAGAATGACTCCACCTGTGAAAAAGAAAAAGCCCCCAAGGCTGCCATTGCAATGCCCTTCTCTTTTCATCCTCCGTAGAGCCTCGAGACGTTTCCTCTCCAATTCTAGGCCTCTATAGGGTAGTGACCCGAAAGAAACCGAGAAGTATCCAACATAGAACAGACCCATCTCATGCAGCGACAGATGCGCACCTGCGAATCCATTCTTCATAACTCTTCTCGAGAGTAAAAGTAAGTGGCACGTCGTCGGGCTTGACACTTTCCTCACAGAGTGCACACCTTTTCCAGGAGCCGCATTTTTCACTGTCCCGCGTAGAATACCAGCTTCTTTTGTCTGTGTCGTCCTTGTACCCTGAGATATTCTCACACATGGCATCATCCCAACTACCAAATGCCCGAGCGTAAACGTCGTAGATCTCAGTACCCGGATTAGCACGGGGAGTGACTCGGACGTGCGTATTTGCTGGATCCGGATACGAGGTCTTTTCCAGACGCCTCCTCAAGGCCCTCAAAAGTCCACCGTGGTCCTTGATTTGTTTGGGCTTCTTCTCGCTAGTCCTCAGCTCTGTGGCTTTGCGTACCCTGCGAGATCTGCAGGTGGGCAGAATGCACTGGCGTTTAAGCGCAACCCTGCGGCCAGCACCAGCACCAAAAAGACCGAGAGCCTTTTAAACCAAAGTCAAGGTCAGTGTCAAATTCCTGAAAACCTAGGGGGTGATCAAATAATACCTCTACACCAGTTTCCGGATTTGCCTCGTACTGACTGAGAACTGATACTGTTTTATTTTCGATGTTAGCGTTGACAGGTGCGCGGTGGTTCGAGTCTGGATGCTTCTTTACACCATCTCCGGCCAACCATGCAACCGCTTGAAGATGATTAGGGTCGGTGCAGTCGGTAGCCGCTTTTGGGGGATATGAGAAAAGATATCGATGAGATGCAACTGGGGAGTTGCTTCGTATGGTAACCAAATGTCCCCTCTGCCTGGCGCGTGTAGGTTTTGCTCGCCTTATGGCTGAAGCAGGAAATAGAGGCTTCTTGAACTCGAAACCAGGTCGATCGCTTCCTCCCTCCATCTTCTTAATTCCTTCCTCCATTGTCATCGAATCCGACGTATCTCGAGTGTTTACCAGGAATGACATCCCACACGGCGTTATAACTCCGGGCTTTGAGAGCAGACTTTGGCAGGTTGCATCCATTGTTCACAAGGCTGTGCGGTGGAGTTGGACAAAGTTTGGTACACCAATACGACAATGTGAATGACAGAGGAAAGATGGGTGACATCTGGGGAAGAAACTGGTCGATATCAAATCAGCAACAATTGTTGAATGTGGATGCACCAGGACAATAGGAAAAGCATAAATGACGCGAACCACCAAAAGGCAGTGAAATAAATGTGACAGTGAGACTGACAATAATGAGCCACAGATGATCGTAATGAATGCCGTATTTAGAGATGGTAGCATAGAGTAGTAAGAGAAGGCCATGGTCGAGTTCATCAAAAAAAACCAAAAGATAACATGGTCGACCTGAGAATGGGCAACCACGATCGTGAACGGAAAGACCAAAATGGGCGACAGTCTGCTTCAGGCCCTCAAAGGCGCCGAGACGATTCATTCGTGTTGCAACTCTGTCGATATCTTCCAATAAAGTCGGAGAAGGAGGATGTTTCCCCGAGAGTGCTATATACTGATGATGCTGGGTCTTTCAGCTCTCCGGTACAAACCTGGCTCTCCATTGAGTCTGAGATCTACCAAAACAGAACGCCTCGCTATCCACATAAACAAATGTGATGTCCGCCGGCGGAACTCTGCTCAGAACACACTGATATAGTTGCCTATACGCTCTTTTTGATTCTGTGCGATGCATTCAGCGATCCAGGTGATGTTGCGGATTTCCTGGAAGATGTTAGTCCTGCTAGACACCTGGGTCATCAATGACATGCCTGTTCTCTCAGCTTGACCCACGCATATATGACTGCATGAGTAAATTGTCTCGTGAAAACCATCTTTGATAGTTCCATCTCCTTTTGGTAGAACATATCTTCTAGAGATTTCGAGTCACCTCCCATGCCTCCTGACATATTGCCACCACCAGTACCACCTTGGTTGAAGCCAACTTCGTCAAAGAACCTCTTGTAATCGCCCACTCCACTCACAGCAAGACCAACACCCTCTAGGTCATCGGCTCTGGAGAGCATCAACATACCCTCAGGATATAACTTGCCGAACTCAGGATAGAGTTTTTTGCGTTGATCCTTGGTCAGCTCTGTGCCAAAGGAGTTGATAGTGATGTTGATGGCCCGTCGGTCTGCCTCGAACTCTAGGATTTCAGACATGATCTCGCCAGTGGGTGTGAGGGCCATCTCAGGGTCATTATTGACGAAGTTGTAGAAATCTTCTAGGTAGTTCTTATAGAGGGTGTTCCTGACGATTTCAATGTTGAGCTCATCCAAGTCTTGGTGGCTGAGGCTCCCTTTGAAGTATGGAGCCAATGGGGTCTCGATGAGAACAGAGTTGTACAATTCTTCAATATTTGTCGCCACGCAAAGGACCGGCATCGTCTCGAACCAACCCAGCGGATGACATCTCTCGAGGAGTTCCTTTGTGTCTCTTTCGTGAAGTGTGCCGGTGATGAGGAGCGCTACATTGTCGATCATGTAGGAGTATGTGAGGTATTCCATGAATTTCGATAATGACCCCGTCGCTTGGCCTTGTAGGTATCTAAAGTCTGCGACAAGTTTCTCCGTTGTCTTGGTTGCGAGGGCAGATGTAGAAGGGTTCGGAGGTAAGGATGAGAGTGTTTCGCCATAGGCTGGGCCTAGTTGTGTCTTGACATCGTCGATAGTATCGCATTGCGTGAGCTATTCCGGGTCAACATCAAGTGCTGAGGGCTACATCGAGCAACCTACATTGCCGTAGTTTGTGCTTGTAAGTAAGGTATTTCGATATCCACGCACGACTCCTTCGAGATAACCACCATTGACATTGAACAATAACCCTTCAGTGCTTCGTTAGTCACTTGAACATAAGATGCTACAGTATACATACCCTCCATGTTGATGTAGCTGTTAACTCGTGCAATCCACTTCGAAAGGCTTGGAATCTAGCAGCAGCTCGGACAATGTCGAGAGAGTAGCGGCAGACTGTGATTCTGCGGATGCACGCAATGTCGTCGTGAAGCCAGGCAGGCGAATAGAAGCACCCCGTCTGTCCCCAAGTTCAAGCTGCGCCCGCTCGGCAAACATTCCCAATACAATTCTTGGCATAAAGTGGGTCTGGAAAAAAGCAGCTCAAGATGAATGATTTTTTGGAGACTGAGAAGAGAGATGTTCGTTCACCAGACCATTTTCTTGTATATCCTTCCACCCTTATTGTTCGCGCAAAAGGCGCACCATATCGACAATGACTCTTCTTATCCTTACCGAAACGGCCGCCGGTTACGCCTTGCTCAAGGCCAAGGACAAGAAATTACTCAAGCGGGATGATCTTGCTTCTGAGTTGACTGGTGTTGAAAGTGTAACCTCTGAACTCAAGTTGAAGGAGTTTCAGAAATTCGACAGTGCTGCTGCGGCGTTAGAGGAGGCAGCGGCTCTTGTGGAAGGCAAAGTCACTCCCAAGCTTTCGTCGCTACTTGATTCTCTCAAAGATGAAAAGAAGATTTCTTTGGCTGTGGCAGACCCCAAGCTGGGCAACGCTATTGGAAAGCTCCCTGGTCTCGACATCAAAGCAGTCGCTGATTCGACGACCGCCGACCTCTATCGAGCCATTCGAGAACACCTGCCCTCCCTGATCCCCGGACTCATGCCCGAAGATGTTAAGACGATGTCCTTGGGTCTCTCACATTCGCTCGCTCGTCACAAGCTGAAGTTTTCCCCGGACAAGATCGATGTGATGATAGTACAGGCTATTGGTCTGTTGGATGACCTGGATAAAGAGTTGAACACATATGCAATGAGGGTGAAGGAGTGGTATGGCTGGCATTTCCCAGAAATGGCCAAGATCTTGAACGACAACCTCGCCTACGCCAAAGTCGTATTGAAGATGGGAATGCGCACGAATTGGGAGAAAGCCGACCTGGCAGAAATCCTACCCGAGGAGATCGAAGCAGCAGTCAAGGCCGCCGCGGACAGGTCTATGGGTACTGAAATCACGGAGGAGGATCTCGAGAACATACAAAGTCTTGCTGAACAAGTGGTACACTTCACGGAATACCGAACGCAACTAGCCAGCTACTTGACTGCTCGAATGACCGCTATTGCTCCCAATCTCACAACTCTTGTCGGTGAATTGGTTGGCGCACGACTCATCGCGCACGCCGGAAGTCTGCTTAATCTTTCAAAGAGCCCTGCCAGTACTTTGCAGATTTTGGGTGCCGAAAAAGCTCTCTTTAGAGCACTGAAAACCAAACATGACACCCCCAAATATGGTCTCATTTATCATGCATCCCTCATTGGACAAGCTTCGGGCAAGAATAAAGGTAAAATGGCTCGAGTCCTTGCCGCCAAAGCTGCACTTGGTCTCAGAGTTGATGCGCTCCAAGATTGGGGCGAGGATGAGGCGAACATCCCTGAAGACGAGAAAGCTCAACTCGGAATCGAAGCACGTGCAAACCTCGAGCGCAAGTTGGCGGCCATGGAAGGCAAGCCCATCAAGCCGAGAGGTGTTGCGATCGGCCCCAATGGTGTTCCTGGCACTTCCCAGCCTCAGAAATGGGAAATTAAAGAGGCTCGGAAATACAATCCTGATGCTGATGGTCTTGCTGGTGACGAGGCTCCAGCCAAACAGAGCAAGAAGGACAAGAAGCAGAAGGAGAAGAAGCTCATACAGGAACTGCCTTCAGACACAGTAATGGAGGACGGTGAAGTCGACGGTGACGAATCCGACTCTCAACCTGATGAACCCATAGACGCTGCTGAAGCGGCTGCCATCAATGGTGTAGATGGAAAGAAGAGCGCGAAGAAAGCTGAGAAAGAAAGACGGCACGCTGAAAAAGCAGCTCGAAAATCAGCCAAGAAGGAAGGCAAGGGCGAGAGTGACGAGACCAAGATCGAAACGCTCGCTGCCTCGTGCGGCCTGAGTGTCGAAAGATACAAGCGCAAGCTGGAAAGAGGAGAGATCGAATTCCAAGACGGCAAGCCGGTGGCTATCTCGAAGAAGGACATCAAGAAGGCCAAAAAGGCTGCAGAGAAGCAAGCAGCCGCCGCAGCAAATGGGGAAATTGACGGGACTAAGAAGCGGAAGCGATCAGAGGAAGAAAGCGAGCCAGTCAAGTCGGACAAGAAGAAGAAGAGAAAAGACAAGGCATGAGCGACTCGGCTCTGACGGCTTCGTTTCTTTTCTTTCGTTTTCTTTCTTTTCTGGCATTTTCGATTGCAAGGCGTCCGGGCTGGAGTCGTAGGCGAATGGCACGAGAGTCACGAGAAAATGTATCTACTAAGGTGGTTGGTAGCTGGCATCAATACGCTGTCATGCAGTTCAAAAAAGATAAACCCATTGTGACTTACGATTTATTGTTCTCCCAAGGTAATCATCTGTAGCAATTTTGTCGCCTCGTCCCTGGGTATATACAGTATGTGTTTATTTAATCGTGTCCTCCGTAGATAGTATTTGGCATTCGGCATTTCTCTCTCACCGCCCGCTGCTGCCCCCCAATACTCTCCTGGCAGAATAATTTTCTGGCTTCACTCCGCATTCACGGTTGGAAATCATGTACAGTAGGTACTCGTACTGTCTTCCAGCTGACCACTCATGATATACATCTGAATACGATGGCGGATGTGACTCCCTGTTTATTCTTTGCACTCGTGTCAGTTCAAATCCCTTGACGTGAACGGTCTGGTATTCCCTGAAGACCGCGGCATCCTCCAAGCGCCAGCAGTGCCTTTTCTGAATCATCAACATGAAGGTCAGTCTGTGCAGCAGATCCTTGCTTGTTGTTCTCGACTGTAGAGTCTTAACACGATTCATAATAGGTTCTCGATCCTCAAGCTGCCCTTCTCACTATCTCGGAAGTCCACCATTTCCTCGCCAGCAACCCACCCCGACCGCAACCGAAGAAAGTTGGGTCGTACTCGTCGGTGAATACCAAAGAGTACCAGCGAGTTCGGGATGATGTATGGCCATGTACTTGGAGTAGCGCGATAAAGAGACTGACAATGATTCACAGTTTGAACATTACGTGACGACTACGGTCCCATATATCAAGGACTTTCCTGCGCCCGAAAGTTTTGTTAAGACGGTAGTCCCTAAATTGAAGGCGTTTGGTTTGACCAAGACCGAGGTCTTCAACCTGATCAACCTGGGAGTCGGCCTGCCTACAGCTCAATCTACACAGAAGTCAGTCGAGGCCGGCGACGGCATGGATGTTGACGGCGAGGGAGCTGGAGAAGATGCCGCGGAAGAGCCAGATTATCGACAGATGTTGTCACTGATCGTAGAAGAGTTGGAAGACAGATTTCCAGGCGACGAAGGTGAAGCCAAGATTCAGAAGATATTCGACACGATGCGTAACGAATATCAGCGGGCGAAAAAAGGCAAGTCCACCAAAGGGACGAAGGTCAAGATGAATGGCACAAAATCGAAATGAAGGCCGACGAATGTGCGCAAGAGTGCTGCTCAGAGACACATGGGCATCCCCACCAGCTTCCGCCTACTCCCTACTCAGGCCGCGCAGGCTAAATGCCATAAAGAGCATACCTGCAGAATGCTGGAAACCCAACTCTGCTGTCCCCAGCAACCCAAGAAAGTCGGCAGTCCGTACAAACAACGGACAGTGGAAAGCTCATTTTCTTTGGTCCAGATTGTTATGTAAGATCCAGGAGGAGCCTGAGGCTTGGATTTGCGGTACATGCAAGATCAAATGTCTATCGTTGGTGTGATGATTCTTGGGCGAAACTATGATGGGCCTGCCCGAACAAGTCCCATCATTACCAGACTGAGTGTGGTACATTACAGTATCATCTTGGCAAGGAAGATTATTCTCATTGACTTTTTGGGAGGCCTAAGGACCTGGAGAGGCTGGGGTCGAGACACGTTGGATGTAGCAGGCCCCAAGCAAAACATGATCCTGCGACTTCACGGACACGAGATGAGCTGAATCACCACAAGGCGAGGTTGTGCAGATGTTTCTGGTGATGCCAGGGGAAGACCAGGGAGCCCAGAGTGCCCAGAGTGCCCAGAGCCGCCACACGCCCTCGGAGAAGTGTCACAATGGGGCGGTTTGTTGCCCGTGAGCAGAATTGGTACAAGTACCTGATGAACAGTACGAATCATAATATTGGTGACTTCTCACTGTTCTTTGTTGCTCATGGTTAGACACATCTCTCTTGGGAAGCCTGAAAACGATGTCCTTGTGCTTACTCCGTACACCATGTTCTTATTATTGAGATACTGTAGAGAAAGGGCTGTGGGGTTCTAAATAGAGAAGTTCCTCCTGGATGGCAACGAAACCATACAAATCTCCATAATTGCAATGTTCAAGCCTCCACGATGGTTTCAAATGGACGTGACGGAAATCTCTTTGCCGCTATTTTCATGCAGGGTTCAGGGCTTTCTCGTAGCGCGACTTCAGCTGATCTACAATTCAGACTGTGGCCTCCAATAACAACACGCCATCTCCATCTGGAGCCTTGTGAGGCACAACAGGGCTGCAAAGACGATGGGCTTTTTCGGGAGAAGCTCGATCCAGGTTTCGTGCTTCCCTTTCGGACCATAAAATGCGACCGTTGAGACCGTCAGCCCATGCATTCGTCCGAATACGAAAAGTATGATGCATTGTCGCCCCCAAATATAGAATCAGCAGCCGGAGAAGCTTTGATCACCACCTGAATGAGAACGAACAGTGCTTGTGCTCCTCGATATATCTGACCGCACAGACTTTTCTTTTCCTTCTTCCCCAGTGCCACTTTTTCTGTCTTGTCACTTTCCCTCCCTCGGTGTTGGTACGAGTAAACACATTCTTTGACCCTTTGACCCTTTGACCCTTTGACCCCGTCCTTCCTTACATTCCCACGTTCAGGCTGTACCAATCCCCCAGGTGCTCTTTCACACCCTTTCAAGGAACAATGGATCAGCAGCAGCAGTACAATCAGCAGCCGATGGGCACTGAAAAGCAGGCCCAGGGATATCCCAACAATTCTCCGCCTCAATATCCACCCAATGCCGCTCTTCAAGAGCATCACCAGCAGCCGTCCTATCAGCCTCATCAACATCCTGACGAGTCTCACCAGTACTCACACTCCGCTGGCAGCCATGGGTCGTGGACATTTGGGTTGTTTGACTGCTGCTCTCCATTTGGAACCTGTTCGTCTTCCGAGGCATCCAGCTAAGCCGATCACGAGACTAACAAAGTCATTCCAGGCTGTATGGGATACTGGTGTCCTTGCTTTCTCTACGGCAGGACTTATGCCCGTGATCATGGTGATCCGGACGCCAGTGCAGTGAACGGATCGGTAAGTTTTCCAGCTGCTCCCAAGCGTTGGTCCTGCTAACTCCCACAGTGCTGCGCATGGTACATGTTGTCTTGCTTCGGAGCTCAATGCATTCTCCAGTGCATCAACCGCACTTCCATACGGGAGAGGCATGGCATCGAAGGTGGCAGCTTTGGTGATTTCTGTACCTCGTGCTGCTGTACATGCTGTGCATTGATCCAGGAGGAGAAGGAGTCGGTCGTCAGAAACACCGGTAAGCTCCATCCCAGAAACCGTCCGTGCAATCTCCCTTACACCCGGTGCAGGTATCAATCCTAAGACGGATCTGCCATACAGCCCTCCGTCACAGATGACTTATCCATAGAGCAAACGGCAGGATGCGCGACAAGTCCGAGGTTTTTTGTTTGTTGATGCAGTTTTGGTTTGTTGTCGGCTGTTGATGGATGTTGTCACAACACTCCGTCTTCAGCCTTGAGGTGGTTTCTTTCATCCTGTATTTTCAGTGAACTGTTGGCACAGTGTCCGAAAAGGTGATAAAGGTAACATAATATCCAGATTGTCTTAGACGCTGGCTCTCATTTGGTTTACATCCACAGTCTGCTATGGGCATCCTCATTGCTCTACTTGTCTATTTCGCTTCGCCGATCTATCACAGTCGCTTCAGTTGCGATTACTTGCCGTGACCACAAGGCGATGCTAATGCTTATCGATCTCAAACGGAGTTCATTGCATAGGACCTGTGTCGCCATTCCGCACGTGCCTTGCACTTTTGTCAATATAAGACTCACACTTCACTTCACTTCACTCCACTTCTCTTCTTACTTTCTCCCATCTTCACGTTCTCATCTTCACGTTCTCATCTTCACGTTCTCATCTTCACGTTCTCATCTTCACGTTCTCATCTTCACGTTCTCACTCACGCTCACATTCACGCTCACTACTGATGACGCACACCATCCCACATCATCCTATACCATATCTTATAACTATGTCTCCTCTTCTCCTGATACTTGACCTCATCTCCTCTTTCCTCATTATTTGCTTCATTTCCTCCATCTCGTCTGCTACTGTCCATCCTCAAGATCAGCCAGAATGGACCTTGCATCGGTTGCCCCACCTCGATTGGGTCATGGCACTACAATGGTCGAGGTTTTCGTTGGCAACAATCAACAAACTTTCAAAATCCACGAGAGCCTCTTCGCTGCAACTTCCCAGGCCTTTCATCAGATTATCGTGCAGTGGCACAGCGGTAAAGGTGTCGAACAGGATTCCGTCTGTAAGGGCATCACGGTCAGATTCAATAAGAGCTCCTACAACAGCGAGTTGATCCTCGAAATGCATGACGAAGAGGCCGGCATCTTTCAACTCTTCTATGATTGGCTCTACTCTGGTTGCCTGCCATTCAATCTCGCTGGATACCTGACCTCTGAGGACCAGCCTCCTGACTCCTTCTGGTGGGATGTGCTGTGTTTCGCTGAACATTATGAGATCCGCACCTTGATTCTCTTGGCCGCCGACAATCTTGAGGGATACTTCAATCCAGACGAGGCCTCGATTCCAAGCCCCCAATTCATGCGCGCTCTTTTCGATCATGAGTGGTCAAAGGACTCGTGTTTCAGACAGTACATCAGTCAGCACATCGCTTTTTGGCTAGAACAATCAGCGAAACCTGAAGTCTGGTATCCTTGCATCTCCATCTGCAATCAGGCAGCGCTTTCCTTTGCCTATGCCATTACCCGAAACTACGGAGGACATCCTATGTTCCCGGCCAACCCCGTCCGCAATTGCAAGGCTCTATGCCATCACATCATACGCGACTCGGTGAAAAATAAGGACATTGCTGCGGAACCGGAGACTGTGCAACTTGGTGAGTCATCAAATGGATAAAAAATTCCCGAACCTGTCACTAACATCGAACAGAAGAGGCTGAACTGATTGACGATGACTTTGGCGCCGTCAATGGATCTACCTCACAAGTCAAAACATCGCATCTCGATCCTGAACCTTCCATGAATGATGATGCTCCTTCTGCAGCTCCAAACGACCGTCATTCACGACCACCGTCTCGGGTCACCAGTGCGCACTCACCGTTGTCAACCTCGGAGCCGATCGAAAGTCCTGATACACTCTGGAACATCATGACACCACTTTCCTCAGAGCGATCTATGCAGCACCTCAATACGCCGTGGCCTGAGTCGTGGGATACAACGTGGGATTCGCCGGCTATGGCAGCAACACCTCACGATGAAACACCAACCATCGAAGCAAAGACCCAGTCAGCAAGCAAGGTGCCAGCGCAAGACCTACACTCCAGCGTTGGTGGTCTCAATCTCAACCAGAGCGCCGACCCAGGTTTCGAGCCGAAGCGCGACATTCCGACAAACGATGCACAGAATATGCAACGACCGGTTGCGCCAGGCGCTCAAGGCGACTTTGGTGCTCAGCCCTCTGGATGGAAGACTCGACCAATGTATGTGCCTGTTCCAGTCCCCTTCCACAGCCCAATTCCCCAAGCTGTTCCATACGGCATCCCCGGATTTCTCCCGGTCGATTACACTCAAGGTATCAAGCCACAAAACTTCAATGGCCTGTGGAATCGACCAACAGCTATCACCACACCTACTCCAAGACCAACGTGGCCTAGTTACAACTGGGACGACAACTGGACTGTTGGTACGCCCTAGACTTGGGAGAGTCGCAATCTCTTCAAAGAAAATCCCGGTAGCACCAAAAACGAAAATGGCAACGCTTCTACTGATTGGTCGGGCTGGAACTCCAACTAAGGATGACTGGGCAGGAGGTGCTCAGGGAGAAACCAGTTGGTACTAACCTGAAATGAGGAGATGAATGTTGGCCCCCTTCTCATGGTTTGCAAGTTGGTTGGGGCGCGAGAGCCAGAAAGTGATGAGAAATTCAGATTGACCTCTTCTGGGTACATGGTGAGAGAAGACTAGAGCCGGCCAAGTGGGCTATTGATCGCGGATTCGTGCTGAAGACTTGCACCTGGTTGATCTTTACTAGGAGTGATTGCGAGCCTGATTCAAAGACAGAATGGTATCCATCAATGTTACCTAGGTAGTTATCCTAGATGCAATGAAACATTCAAACAATTTGACTGATCCGAAAACCGGAGCCTCGTAATGGAGTACATGAACTTGAGGACCATGGCTGTGTTTCCCGAAACAGAATAGCGTGGTCCGTATCAGTGTGAGACCCGCCGATAGTGGCTTCGAGGCCTCTCTTTACTCTCTTATCAACAACCCCCTCCACATCTGCCTGCGACGTCGAGTATTCGTGCTTCGTTGTACGGGATATCAGCCACCTCATCTCTCAGATCGCACCGTATAGTTTACTCCCGACCAAAACTCTCCGCATCCTCACCTACATCTTACAATCCTCCCCACGGCTTACGGTCATCCCTCCCTCATCATGGGAAACGCCCAATCCTCCCGCGCTGGCCCGCGGCCGCGTGCCCGCAGTGCTCAGGACGATGCAGTCATCGAGGCACTCACTCAGCAAATTCGCAGCATTCGCCGTGTAGACCTCCTCGACGAACAAGAACACTCATATGTCCATGTGTCGCATGAAAAGGGGATCCCATCGACGCACTCGACCGACCCACGCCTGTCCCTCAGTACCACCACGAACTGGGAGAAACACCTCCTCTCAGACCCCAAGAACCGCCTCGCGCTGAATGCACTCTTGTCCAACGATGTGCGAACGATTGTCTCGAACAAAGTATCGACGCTCGCCGATACACAGACCTTCAACATCAAGATCCCTTTTGAAGGATCGCCTGTTACAAATCAAAGATCAAGCGGCCGATGCTGGCTCTTTGCGACGACCAATGTCCTCCGCGTGCCTATCATGAAGAAATATAACCTGAAAGAGTTTGAATTGTCCCAGTCGTACTTGTTCTTCTGGGACAAACTCGAGAAAGCCAACTATTTCCTCGAGCAGATTATCGACACCGCGGACGAAGATCTCGAGAGCAGACTGATTCAAGAATTGCTGTCCGCGCCCGTTAACGATGGAGGACAATGGGACATGGCTGCGAATCTGGTGTCAAAGTACGGCCTGGTCCCGCAGAAACTATACCCTGACTCTTATAACGCCATGAACTCGGGCTCTATGAGCTCGATCATCACGACGAAGCTGAGAGAAGACGGCCTTATCCTCCGAAACATGGTGGCCAAATGCAAGGCCGCAAGCGACAAGACCAGACCAAATAAAGAAGCAGAACTCGTGTCCGTCAAGGCGAAGATGATGCAAGAAATCCACGGCATCTTGACCCTCATGCTTGGCCCACCACCCAAGCCCGATGAGACATTCACATGGGAATACTATGACGCGAATGACAAGTACCACAGTGTGACCAAGACACCATTGGAATTCGCAAAAGACATGTCCTCACCCTCGCTCGTTCGAACACTAGGTGCGAACGTGAGTGAGCTCTTCAGTCTGGTCAACGACCCGCGCAACAACTACAATCAATTACTGACCGTCGATCGACTGGGCAACGTCGTTGGTGGTCGCGGGGTTACGTATGTGAATGTCGACATGGCGACCATGAAAAAGGCGGCGATTGCGATGCTCAAGGCCGGCTTGCCCGTGTTCTTTGGCAGCGACGTTGGCAAATTCAGCAACTCCAGCTCTGGAGTCATGGATCCAAACCTGTACGATTATGGTCTCGCGTTCAACATTAACTTGGGCTTGAGCAAGAGTCAACGCTTGCGGGCGGGGGAGAGCGCCATGACACACGCCATGGTCCTGACGGCCGTACAGGTCGAAGGAGGCAAGAGCGTCAGGTGGAGAGTGATGAACAGCTGGGGTGATTCGGCGGGCGAGAAGGGTTACTTTGTCATGACGGATGAATGGATGGACGAGTTCGTGTATCAAGTCGTTGTTGATCCATCGTACGTGACTAAAGAGATTAAAGATGTTTTGGACCAGAAGCCAAAGGTACTTCCACTCTGGGATCCTATGGGTGCTTTGGCTTGATCTTTGTAGGAGGAAGTTGGACCAAGCATTTTTACGAGGAGCGTGACTGTGACTTGATGGGGGAGTGCCGAGTCTTGAATATCCATGTTTCTGGGATGGAATACTCCGTAATGAATATCAATATGAATCTTTACGACCCAATAATCGAATCCACTCTCACTACCCCCAGGTACGCCGTCGAAGCCGACCTTTCCACCTCGGTTTTTCTGTCTATCTATCTGCTCCTCTCGCTCTTTCAATTTCTCTAGTCAATGGAAGATAATTAGAAAAAAGGGGGGTTTTTGGCTTGACACCATGCCACATTGTGTCACTAGTCTACACCATCACTTAAAATTTGTGCAACTTTCTGCTTCGTCAGATTCGACATGTCAAACACGTCGACTGAGAGGCAATATGTTCCTCATTGGGCTTAGTTCCCCACTTCTAAATCGTCAGCCAAAAATATCTGAAGACTGACAGAACGTTGTCCTCCCTTTTCACTAGGTAGGTATTTTACCCCGTATGCAAGGGACAATTATGACCTGAGATCAAAGGTATTTGGACGAACGGCAGGTGCCGCTAATCTAGTTATGTGCAAAGGGTGTTGAAAGTGTCAGAATTGACAAGATCGGTGCGTTCTAGACCACATACAACAACAAACTTACACACAGATCCCAGATACACCGTGCTCTCCACGTAATATTGTACCTACAATATTACCTAGACCGTTGTTGTACTTGTCGTACTCCTTCACAATACGTCCGGGACATCCCTTGCTCAAGGGAAAACGCGTGCCCTGTCATGCATGCCACGGGGCGACACAACACACACCCTTTGGACGGACATTAGACGTTGGACATTTGATCCAAGGGATAATGGCTTTCGAGGCTTTTTCTTTCTTTCTCTCTTTTCTCAACTTGCTGTGCAGTTGCAAATGTAGAGCTACACTGTACCAAGTGTGTGCAGCGATACCCTTTTCCTTACCCGCTCTCTTTAGGAGAATGTCTCAGAGCCCTACAGTCCATATGCGCTCGAGAGACCGTTGCTAATGTCATGTCAATGTGACTCTTGAAATTCGCGACAACACACATACTACAGCATTTACCAACCGTTTTGTTCACTCGTTCTTCTGCCGACCAAGCGGCGGCCAAAATGATCGAATCGGTCTTGAAAACAACAACAGAATCAAGCATGTCATTCAAGCTCACGTCACTCCAAGCTCTCCGAGATCGATTCCAATTCGAATCTTCTTCATCCTCCAGACGCGTCATCTCTGGTTACCTACCTCGGTTCTGCAGTCCAAAGACGTTATTCCAAGGACGCCTCGTCCATGGTAGTGGTAATGGCGAACAGCAAACCGACACTCTACCCCCGACGGCATATCTCGATGCGCTTCGAGGTTACGCCGCCTGGATTGTGTTTCTGGCCCACGGTTGGGACGAATTCCACTTCTCCGTCACTCGTCAACCCATCCTTTCCGTCGTGGTCGCCGCGAAATCCATGGTGGCCTTGTTCTTTGTCATTTCCGGTTACGTCCTGAGTTATCGTCTTCTCGGGCTAGCACATCGCCATCATCGCAATCAACACAACCACCACGACCACCACGACCACGAGAAACTACTGACGAGTCTGGCCAGTTCGACCTTCCGTCGAGGTATGCGTCTGTGGGGTTCGACCATCTTTGCCTTGGCCATCGCCGGGGTATTGGTCTGCCTGGGTTGGGACGGAGGGTACAGCGACGACCGACTTGGGAAAAACACCTTGTGGGAACAAATAGGAGACTGGTTCGGTCGGTTGATCTGGTTCATGAACCCGTTTGTCGAGGTGGACGGGTATTTCTGGGCCGGAACTCTGCAGAATGAATACCTGGGACCAATGTGGACCATCCCCGTCGAGATCAGGGGCAGCATGGTTTTGTTTCTTTTTCTCCTGGCCACTTGCATGATGGGTTATCGCAAACGAGCGGCCTTGACTTGGCTGGCGGTCGGTGCGTGTTACTTTTGGACCAAACTTTACGTGGCTCAATTCTTGATGGGCATGGCCGTTGCGGATTTTTCATTGTCCAGAGAACAGGACCAGGGGCAGCAACACTCCCCTCGAAGATCCGGGGGGTACGTTCAACTACGTATGCCGTCCAACTCGTCGACTTCCACCACCGACACCACCGGACCTTGTCCTTTACACGAAGCCTCGGATGATAGTTTTACGACCGCAACACATCCGTCTCAAAGCCACAGATCAAAGATTTTATCCATCGCCATGCTCGTCGCCGGTTTGATTTTGCTTGGTCAACCCAACTCCGGAGGTGACAACCTTGGGATCCTAGGAGATTTCCCTTGGAAGTTCCTCCACAGCCTTCCCCCTTCACAGTACGCCGACAACCGGGGAGCTCACGACTATTTTTATTTGGGGATCGGCGGGTTTTTGTTGGTCCTCGCCCTCGACACTTATCCTGTTCTGCGTACTCCTTTGAACACCCCTTTCAGTCAGTACGTGGGGGACCTAAGTTTCGGGATCTACGCCATGCACCCGATCATCCTCATCATGGTCCTTCGACAATGGTACAACCCTCGTGTTCGTGTCCAGTTATTTGGGGATGGCTTTTGGGGTCACGTCCCAGGGATGATCCTGGCGCACGTCCTCGTTTTCGCCTGCGCCGATTATTTCAGCCGCGTGGACAAAAGAGTGGTGGCGGTCGCCAGGAGAGTATCGACTTGGTTTTTCAAGTAGTTTTGGTTTTGATAGCATCATTTTTTTCTTGGTCAGAATGCCACGGGAAGTTGATCAAAGTATCACGATCAGATGTCACCCGCCAACTCCCCGTATGTTGACCAGGTAAATGACAACGCACAAGATTGAAGTAACGAATCAGGTTTGTTGCGACGAAAGTAGCCGAGCCAAGTGTCGTCTTGCCGGCAAATTAAGACCCTCCTTGATTGTATTCATTATATCGCTCGAGTGGCTGCGATTCTTTAGGAGGAAGAGGCACTCACACCCCACGCGCATTCATCATACAATCACAGCATGCTGGGAAAGACCACCTGTCTTTCTCCCTACAGTATCACTAAGGACCTAAGCATTTCTCCATATTACGTGATATAGTCTTGTATACCGAGTATATTAGTGCTTAATTTGATGACACGACTTGGCCCGAATACCCAATTTGTACCAAGTAAATACTTTGTTCGTAGAGTACCATAGATGAACAGTTCAATTACGTATCTTATGCATAATTTCTCGGAATTCTTTACGTCTTCTCATGAATTTTTTTGTCTCTAGATTTTCCTATTTCGGGTGCGTGTCGGACCCCTTTTCCAACGCCGGTCTCTTATGTACCATGGTCCAAACTACCATGGTGGGTACTCTACGTGTCTTGTCTATTATTCGTGGCTCTCTTGCCAAACCACGATCGTCTACAGTACAATCACGTAAGACTTCAGCTTACGATATTGACCCCACTCGGTAGCCCGAATATCTGCTCATTCATCTCGTCAAGGCACACGGCCAGTGTCGGGACATTTCTCCTCCCAGCGCCGGCACCACCAATTGTGAGGCACTCGCCAGAAATCAGGCTCACCAGATTTCCCGACACATGGCTCACCCACTGCTGTGCCGCGACGCCCGGCTCACAGGTCGACAGACTCAGAGACTGATTTCCTGCATTCGTCAGGCATTCGGTCTTGTGCGACAGAGTGTTGAGGCTTCCGTCGGGATGGACCTGCCAAACTTGTCCATCGGCAGCATTACACGGCGACACCGTGAGAAGCCCCAGGCCGTTGTTGGTCAGGCAATTGCCGGACGGCGTGTTGAAGACCATCCCTGTCGGTATCGTCGTCATGCACGTGGTATCGTCTGACGCGATTTTCAACATGGCGGTCCCATGTGCCGGTACGTGGCCGACCTCCACGTGCCCCGTGGCCTGGCTGATTCCACCCCCCCACAACTCTTGCACACTGTACGTGCAATTGTCAGCGGAGGACAGCCCTACTCTCTCGAGGTCGACCTGGTGGCTGCTCATGCTTTCACCGCGGTTCAAGATGGTAAGTAACCGCTCCCCGCCACTTAGGCTCCGCGTCAACACGTCCCATTCGCCATCCTGACTCACCAACGTCGCCTGCAGACCCAAAGTGTCTTGATCTACAGCTATGATCCGCGTGTTTGTCAACAAATCCATCTCATCCTCGCTCAATCCGGGAATCCACGCGCTGATGATCAGTGGCGCACCCAGACTTGCCCACAGCGCGACCTGGCTGCGTTTCTCATCCATGGTCAGTCCCGGATGGTCCGGGATGAGAAAATCCGGGTCGTTGACGAATCCGGCTCGTTGATATCGCGCCAGCATCGTGTTCACGCCGTAGTTGTACATGACGCTCTCCCAGGCGCTGCCGCCGCCACCGGTGGTGGCAAAGTTGACGATGTCGGCGCTGTGACGTGCCAGTTCACCATACGCCGGCACCCAGGACATCACTCGATGCCAGTCGCTGAGATTCGCTTCGCGGGAGAAATACGCCGGGGCAGACTCGGAGAAGACGAGAGGGGTCGGTAGCGCTATGAGGACATTGTGCCAGTTCTCGAAGATGGGCGCGTAGGTCGACTCGTCGTATTTCGCACCCGTGGTTGAGGGCATGTTGCACGCGTCCAGTTTCAAAAAGTCGACCCCCCAGTCGCTAAAGGTCTTCGCGTCCAACGCCTCGTACCCCAAGCTCCCGGGGTATCCGCCGCAGGTCTTGTTCCCCGAGTCGCCGTAGATGCCCAGTTTGAATCCGCGCTGCTTCAGATAGTCTGAAAGCCACGGGATCCCGTGAGGGAATTTGACAGGGTCCCACTGCAGCGAACCATCTGCGGCGCGGGAATGCAAGGCCCAGCAGTCGTCGAGATTGAGTCGATCATAGCCCGCTGCGAGAAGGCCGCGTGAGAGCATGGCGTCGGCGGTCTGGGTGAAGAGAGATTCATTCAGGGCGCACTGGAAGCGAGACCAGTTGTTGAAACCCATTGGGGGTTTGGGGGACAGCCATGGTGATTCCACAGACGCGGCTGCAAGTGTGGCCAAGGAAATCAGGACGGCGGTCGTACTTGGTACCATGCCTGCGAGCATTGTTTGAAGGCCGGTCCGATGCGTGGGCGAATGCTCGTGCCATGCGTGAAGTTGGATAGACACCTCACACTTTATATCTCTTGTTCCTCGCCGCCGGAAAACTCTGTTTTTCGATGGTACTCGCACACTCCACTGTCCAACGGCTGTTTTGTCAAATAGCCATCCAGGAGTGCTGCCACATGGCATGCCGCAGACTTTCAGCTTTGTCTGGTCTACCACGTGTTGTAGCATTTCGACATTCATCGGAACGGGGTACGTGTGTGCGAGACGTTTCTCAGTGAGCTAATTGCCTCGCTTCTCGGCTTCACTTGAAATGCGTTCTGTTCTCGGTTGGTTGCTTGGTTCATTACCCTAAGCTCCCGCCAGGGACGTGCATGGGGCTGCTGCTGTGACTGAAGATATCCTCGAAAACCTACCGAGTATGAGTCCTGTGATCTCATTCCATGAACGAAACATATGCATATCATTCGGGCGCACGTCATGCTCCATGTCCTTGGGTTTCGTCTCGTCGGGGACCCAACCGGAGCTCTGGATGGAAAATTTTGTGACGCGTACGTGGAAACCAAACACGGGATATATCAGCTTAAACCGTATAAACTTAATATTAAAAGAACAGCAGCTAGTGTTGGACTACTAGCTAATAGTGGTTCAACGTGAGCTTTGAATTACCGACTGTTGATGATAAATTGTGGGTCTCTTATTGAGTGGTATGATTGAAATTGAAGCGGAAGATGGAGATGGAGAAATGTATGAAATTAAAGATGAGGACGAGTACTATCATGAAGTGATTGGGGATACCTGGACAAAGCTTGCACACCTCACCCTTTGCTTTGGTATCAAGTCAGGAGGGCTTGTTGTCACTTTCATTGGCCTTTCAGAGAGTGTCAAAACTTGGCCGTCACGAAGTTTCGTCAATCATGTCAATGGTCAGACTACTATCTTCTTGTTCTCTTCGATATGACTGAGAGTAGAGATGATTACGACTAACTCACTACCGATTCAATATCTCTCACGGACGGCTTATGAGTCGGCACTCTCTGCTGGCACAGGGCATCGAACACACCCTTTCCAAACTTCTTGAATGCCTCCGCCAGACCTCCAGCAGCAATCAACGACTTTTCCATCTCGCTCAGCTGGAACGGAAATTCTTCCCCAGCGACGCGCACCACACCCCGACCGACATCGACCGTCATCTCGGCCTCTTCGTTGCTCGTCACCAGCTCGTGAAATCTGTCGTCTGTGATGACAAACCCCAAGAGTCCGATGTTGGGTTGGTTCCGGGCGTAAATGAACGCAAAGGACTTTGCGATGACGCACTTGACGCCGGCACCTCGCAGGGCGTTGACGGCAACGTCACGAGACGAGCCACACCCAAAGCCTTCGCCGGCAACGACGATGTTCTGCCCAGACCGTACGCGGGACCGAAAGTCTGGCATGAAATATTCCATGCAATGCGCGCCGAGACCTTCGTCGGTGCCGTTGCCGGCGAGGAAGGTGGACGGAATGATCTAGAACAGGGAGCCATTGTGTTAGCGGAGCACGTCACAGAGGGAATGGAGAAGATTTGTGGGGGGGGTTCATACTGCATCGGTGTCAATGAAATCTCCCAGTACCAAAGGCTTTCCCTGGATGATCTTGGGGGCGGTGGTGGTGGTGATGGCGATGGGCGGGGACTCTCCTGAGACGGCGGGAGACGGAATGGTAACCTCATCTGTCCCGGATGTCCCAGATGATGGGGCCCCCGAATTCGATATCCCGTACGGTTCGGCATACACGGTTTCCACCGCCTTCGAAGGTACCCTTTCACTCGGAAAAGGTAGATACCCCAAACACCGTTGCAGCTCAGTCATGTCAATGGCGTCCAAAAGTGGCCTGGGGTCGGTGATTTTCATCCCAAACGACGATGCCGCCACGGTCGCGGCAGAGCTGAGATTCGCGATTGAGCCTTGCCATCAATCATCCATGTCAGCAGGTCTGTCTTGAAAAGATCAAAAACAAAACAAACCAATGGTCCTTACCTGGACCCATGCGATTCTTAAAGTTCCGGTTTTGGGATGTCAGCCACACCTCACCTGGCCCAGCCTGGTCGATCCCCTGTCCAACACACATGCTGCAGCCGGGGACGCGAACCTTGAACCCGGCTCGAGCGTATGCATCCAAGAGTCCCAGCTTCTCTAGTTTGTGTCGGATGGGCTTGGAGCCCGGCACCACGATCCGCCGGCCCGAGTCCACCGGTACCATCCCCTTGTCCAGACCGGCCTGGAGCACAAACGCCGCGATGATCAAGTCCTCCTCGGCGGTCGTGCAAGCTCCGATAAAGGTACCGTCAAGGCGAGTACCCGCCACTTCACTGACGGGCACCACGTCATCGGGTGCGGGATAGACGGCGACCAAAGACTCGACCTTGGAGAGGTCGATCTCGTAAGAGGCTTCGTATTCGGCGTCCTCATCGGCTCTATAGTAAGTAGCACTGCTTCGATGCTTTTTCACTCTTCGCCGCTCGATAAATTCTACCGTCCGCTCGTCAGAGTCAAAAATTCCCGTAATGGCTCCAAATTCCTGCGTAACGATTAGCTTGCACAATACCAGTAAGCCAAAGGGGAAAAAAGATCATTACTGTGCACATGTTGGCAATCGCGAAACGAGCATCACAAGAGAGATATTTGATCCCGGGCCCAGTAAACTCGACGACCCGATCCGCCGCGATCGTGTTCCGCTTGAACTCTTTAAGGATGTAGAGGATCGTGTCCTTGCCACCGATTCCCCTGGGAGGCTTGCCGGTGAAGCGAATGTTGACCGTCTTGGGCACGGTGAACCACGTTTGACCCGTCAAGAGCGGTATGCAAACATCCGTGGAACCCATGCCAATAGACAAACAGCTGACGGCGCCTGCCGAACAGGAATGCGAGTCGGCTCCAATACAAAGCATGCCTGGCTGTGCTCTTTCCCGGACGAATTCGGTATGGAGAATGGTGTACTATTTTTACTCCGACAGGAGCATCAGAGGTCAGTCAGTGGTCTTCGCTTCGGTGAAGGTAGGTAGGCAGTTGCTTGGTTCCCAAAAATTAGACTGGTCGGTATACGTGCATTGAATCCTTGAAAGTCGGTCATTTTGAAATCTTTTTGAGCTCGCTCGCTCAACTGGATCAGTTTTTTGACCTTGGGTTGATCGTACAGGTCCGGCTCTACACGATGGTCGCCGGCCAGCCAGAAGCGGTCGTTGCGGAAAATGCCCGGTCTTCCGACGGAAGAGTAGACACTCTCTATGCCCTGTTGGCATGGTGTGAGAGAGAGACCACACAATCAGAGAAGAGCTTGTCGCTTTTCCTTACCTGCCACGAGAGTTCTGATGCCAAAATCCAGTCGACATCGACCTGGATGACGTCCCCCGGCTTCACGTACCCACGCTGGGAGACTTCGTGTGCCGCAAACACCTTCTCAGCCATGGTCATGGGCCGCCTGCCTTTCGGTCTGTGTCGCAGCGGCTGAGGTTTGGACCGCGCTCGTTCCGCACTCTTTACGGCCTCGATGAACGCCGAGCACAAGAACACGACGTCGTCTTCTTGCGAAGGTGTAAGCGGAGTTGCGGTGTCGAGACCATACCCGCCAAAGTCACCAGGAGTGGTACACCTGCCGACGGTCTCGTAGAGTGCCTCGGAGAGATGACCGACGCCGGCTTGCTCCAGCGTAACTGCCAATTTTTGTAGCAACGAGACAAGACTTGCATGCTGCGGCGCGTTGATGTCTCGTTGTGCCTGTAGTTGGATTTCTGGAGAGAATCCTTTTACCAGTTCGATGCATCTTGACTCCGACGATGTCAGAGGCCTATCTGGCAACGCGATAGGGACGACGATCGCTTTCGCAGTAACAGACGACATGCCTTTGGATTGATAATTCTTTGGAACCACTGAGTAGTGGGTGAAACCGTACTCTTGTTTTCCTTTTGAAATATTTGATCTCTTTTGAGCACGAGTGATCACCACGACCCCAATCTCATATAACCTGCCAACAGGCCTGTGAAGGTCTCGCCAGCTGTCTCAAATGGCTACTCGATGACCTCAGTTCGCCGGTAGCGGAGCGGCATAGGAGAATGCACGCATATAAACACGTCGGGCCGTGTGCGGCAAGTCCCCAAGTTGAGGGGCTTGACAATCTGGTCCAACTACATTTGATTGTCCTTCAGTGGATCCGGTCCGATTTCAGGGTCTAACACGTTGGACTTACAGAGTAGGACAACAATATATCAGTCAAGGGACGTCTAGACCTTGTTCAACGGCTCTCCAAGAGGCGAAAGAGAAAGTTCTCAATCTCACCGACACCTCTCCCGTTGATCCAGATTTCTCACCACAATGACAGTCCAAGCATCCACGCGCCTTTGGGCCCTCTTGAACGATCCTTCGCAGATCGTCGTCGGTCCTGGCGTTTACGACGGCATCACCGCCCGCCTTGCCCTGAACGCCGGCTTCCAAACCCTCTACATGACCGGGGCGGGGACCAGCATGTCCACGCTGGGCATGGCTGACCTCGGCCTCGCCACCATGACAGAGATGAGACAGAATGCCGAGATGATTGCCAACATCGACCGGTCGGTGCCCCTCATCGCGGACGCGGACACGGGTTACGGTGGCACCCTCAGCGTCGCGAGGACGACGGCCGCGTACATATCGGCCGGCGTCGCGGGATTCCACCTCGAGGACCAGGTCGTCAACAAGAAATGCGGGCACCTCGAGGGCAAGCAGCTCGTGTCCAAGGAGGAGTACCTGACGCGGATACGCGCCGCGGTCGAGACGAAGAAACGGATGGGGTCGGACATCGTCATCATCGCCCGGACGGACGCCCTACAGTCGCTGGGCCTGGAGGAGTCCCTGACAAGACTAGAAGCCGCGGTCGACGCCGGTGCCGACGTCGCCTTCCTCGAAGCAATCACCAAACGAGAAGAATTGGTGGCGGTCTGTGAAAGGTTCAAAGGAAAAGCACCGGTCATGTACGGCATGGTCCAAGGGTCCAGCGCTTACAAGGTGACGGTAGACGAAGCCAAGGCGTTGGGGGTCAAGATTATCGTGTATGCCGGCGCGTGTCTGATGCCGACCTTTGTGGCCGTATCTCAGGCCCTGAAGACGTTGAAAGAGACGGGCGACTGCGAACAATATGGTGGTGGGCAGTGGTCCCCCCACAAAGTGTTTGACGCTTGTGGAATGAAGGAGTTGATGGACTTTGATCGCATGATAGCTAGTAATGCAGCGAATCCAAAGTAACAATATATATGATATATATACTTCCAGTGAAAGTGTTGCACACTAATCTAATCCATATATTGAACTTTTCTTAATAGTCCCGAACTAGCATCAACGTCACATTCTTCCCAAAGATGACGATAGTTCTACCAAAGTTGCTACTCCTGTCAGACTCCTCCATTCCCTCCCCTCCCCCTCTCCTTTCCTTTACCACCGAATGTTCCGAGTTTCTCCCCTCATTTTTAGACAATGTACCTGAAGCTGATGTGCTTGTCGCAAGTTTCCTCGAAATCCTTGTCCAAGTCCGGATGACGTTCTCCTCTCGTTTGATAGTCCTGGACAATTGCGTCCCTGTTGCGATTGTCGCGGACCATCAGAGCCCTGGCCAGGACCGTACAGACCAGACCCATGGTCACGTAGCCGATCAGCACGCCGTGTCCCATGAAGAAGCGAGGCGGGTCCTTATAGATTTGCGCGCCGGACATGCTCAGGCCCTGGCCAAAGATCATGGCGACGCCCCAAGACGTGGCGCGCTTGGTGTTGCCGCAAAAGGTGATTTGTATCCAGGCGATCTGCAGCACAGAGGCAGGGTACGCGCCCCCCACCAGCAGACAGGCGGCGAAAATCCCTGCCGTCTTACCGGTGGTGCTGATCAAGATGACTAGCCCGATCAGGCACGACGTGAGCGACCCGATGATGAAGTAGGCCTTGACGCGCATGCGATCAGAAAAGTATCCAATGGCGATCATCGAGACGAATGCCACCGCGTACGGGATCACCGTGAAGAGCTGGGCCCGCACCGCGGTGAATCCGAATTCCTTGACGATCGTCGGCAGGAAGGCGCCCGTGGAGGCCAGTATGGTCGAGTTGCAGGCAGCAAGTAAAGCCAACAGCCACGTTTTGGGATCCTTTAGACTGGCCAGGACCTGGTCGGTGCGGAACTTGGGGTTCTCCACGTTGTGTTCGCTGCTTCTCTTGCGTGCGACGAGGAGCTCCGTCGGGGTGAAGATCTTGGACGTCTTGATCTTTTCGGGCAGATTGGGAAGGGCGACGGCGTTGACACAGCCAAGCGCGATGGCTATGACGCCCTCAATCAGGAACAGCCATTGCCAGGAGGTTCTCCCCCCAACGCCTTCCATGGTCGTTTGTATACCATATGCGATGAGGCCACTGAAGACACCGGAGATTGTTGTCGCCGAGTAGAAGAATGCTACATATTTTTTTTTTGTGGTTAGCAGGGCTTTCTTCTTCTCATGCCAGTTTCTGATCTTACCAATTCTTCTGCCAAGTTCGTGCCGACCGTACCAGATGACCAGGTACAAGGGCGCCGACTGCAGCAAGGCCTCTGCACCACCCACGGCGAATCGAAGCCCAATTAGGTCCGCATAGCCGCGAGATGTGCAGTAGCAAGTGACAAAGACCCCGAAAGTGATTACGGCTAACCCAAGCTGGATCTTCGGCCCTAGCTTCCTCAGCAGGAAGTTCGCCGGGAAGATCAGAGCAATGTAGCCAGCATCTTAGGTTCCAGGTCAGTCTCTGTGGGATTACCATTCGGGGGTTTTGACAAGCTCTTACAAAAAACCATCACCGAGTTGTAAAACTGAGAACCCGAGAGTTTGAGGTCTTTCTGCAAGCCCATAAGTCTTGCATATCCAATGTTGTTCCGATCCTGGGGCTTAATCAGTGTCTGGTCAAGGGGCAAACAAATGTATAAACATGACTCACAATATATGCCATCAGGTAGGAGAGAGACACGAGTGGCAGAAGGATGAGGTCTAGCTTCCTCAACATGGACTTTTGCGCAGCCACTTCCTCTGGAGTGTCGAACAACAACGAAGAAGCCCCTATGTGTTCGGCTTGTTCGACGGTTGCTGGGTCGGCTTTTTGCCCAGAAGACATGTTGACACTGGGTATTGAGGGTCTTTGTGTAGACTCTCGAATAAAGCTTTGCTGCTACTGGAGATTCCGATGGAAGGAAGACTGAAGGGTCTTGTTGAAGAGCTATAGTCGAGTAATATAGGTCCGTACACCCACCCCAGGAACCGAGCCCCCGCAAACCCCTGTATACCTTTGTGGCCGAGAGGAGCTAGGGTATCGCTATCACCTATGCTCCTCGAGAAACCTGCGTGCGGCCCGTGAGAATGGAGGCGAGGATGTTCTTCGATTGGACCGCTTCGCTTATTGGTTGCCATGCAAAGTCTCGACTCCTCACTATTTGTCTAATGGGCTGGGAAAGCCATAGGCGTCGATCTTGTGTAGACACTCGCCAAGTACGGCAACTCATCCAAGGAAGTGGTTGTCTTCTGAGCCGCTTACGGCCCGGAATGGCTAATGATGACACCAAGATGCCGTCTGCGGCCCGGGGATATCCCAACCCGGGACTGACGAAAGCCTTCAGCGTATCTCCACAGAGTACCTCCACGACCCCAGTGCATCCATAGGTCATTTGGGAGTATCACACAAGTGGTGAGATTGTATATTGCTCCACTACTCGACTTTCGCTAGGCAAAAGATATGTATATATATATATATCTTCTCTCGTTCCTGAGCCTGTATAGAGTATAGCAGCCAAATTATAAGCTAGCTAGGTCGATTAGACAGGTTCTAAGCCAAGGACTTTTCTGTGCCTCCCTCTTGTAATACCACATAAACAATCACGACAGAAGCCATGCCGGCACCTTCACACTCGACTTTCGACGTCGTCGTTGTGGGAGGTGGTAATGCGGGCCTATGCGCAGCACTTTCAGCGCACGAGGCTGGCGCTCGTGTGATCCTGCTGGAGGCAGCAAGCAAGGAGGAACGCGGTGGAAACAGTCGTTACTCGGGAGCCGTCTTTAGGGCAGTTCACAATGGGATAGATCAGGTCAAGACCGTCCTGACCCCACAAGCCCTAGACGAGGCCAAACGCTGCTCCATGGCGCCGTACACCAAGGAGCTCTACCACGACGACCTCGCCTCGACATCCCACGGAAGGAATGACCCAGGCTTGTCAGAGGTTCTGGTCAACGAGAGCTGGGCTGCCATCGAGTGGATGAAGTCGAAAGGAGTCATGTGGGAGACGACTGTCCGCAAGTATTATTCGGAGAAACTCAACGGTGCCGTTGACCTCTTGCCCGGAGGTACCGTTAAAGCATACAAGGACGGTGTGGGGTTGATTCAGAACCTGTTCGATGCTGTTGAAAAGACCGACATTGTCGTCAGGTACAATGCTCCTGTGCATGTCCTCTTGGTCGCTGGCGACACCGTTCACGGAATCAGGGTCAGGGAAACTGATGGGTACAGCGACGTCCACGGTTCGGTCATTCTGGCCTCAGGCGGGTTTTCGGCGAACCCTGCCATGAAGCGACAATACCTGGGAGAAGGCTGGGACCTTGTTCCAGTCCGCGGGACCAGGCACAATACTGGTACGATGCTTCGGCGTGCGATAGAAGCTGGTGCGCGACCGGTCGGCCATTGGGGCGCAGCACATGCATCTCCACAGGACATCAACGCCCCTCTGGTAGGCGACATTACCAAGACGCCGGTCATTCCGAGGTACTCCTACACCTACGGAATCACCGTCAACGTGAACGGAAAGCGGTTCTTCGATGAAGGGGAGGATGAGTTTTCAATGACGTATGCGAAGACTGGCAAGGTGATCGGAGACCAACCTCGGTCGATAGGGTACCAGATCTTCGACCAAAAGACGGTACATCTACTGCAGCCACGGTACGTCACCGGAGATGCCATCCATGCCGACACTATTGCAGAGCTCGCGAAGAAGTTGAGCATTTCTCCCGCGAGTCTAGAGCAAACTGTAAATGAGTTCAACGCTGCATGCCCTGCAAACGTGGAGACATTCGATGCCCAGCACTTGGATGGTCTCTCGACTTCGTCTTCATCATCACTGGCGGTACCCAAGTCAAACTGGGCCTTGCCGCTGAGCAGCCCACCTTTCGTTGCGTACGGCGTCACCTGTGGCATCACCTTCACCTACGGCGGCATCGCCTCCGATACACGAGGGCGGGTGGTGAACAACGAAGGGAGATTAATGCCTGGGCTGTATTGCACCGGTGAAATTGCCGGTGGTGTTTTCTATCACAACTATCCTGGGGGAGCTGGCTTGACCAAAGGAGCGGTCTTCGGTCGTATTGCTGGACGGGAAGCGGCTGCTTATGCAAAGGCTAGGCGAGAGTGCTTGCGGTAAATAACACTGACTCAATCACGAAGATAGATCGGTCATGGTTCATGGGACTGCCTGCCAGAGTTACATAGCAGTGTGATGTTGACATGTGTGTCTCTGTAGCATCATGTCTCGCGTAAATCAAGAAATTCGTGAAGAACAATCTGAAGTCGATGATGTCTAGACCGGCCTTGGCAGTAATCCAAGATCTCAATTGCGTGACTAAATGCCCCCGGTGCCGGTCTGGCTCCGGTTTTAGCCCTAAAAAGGCTAGGCCCGACCCTTTCTGAAGCGAGGTAATTGTTCCATGACCTACAAACTCCTGCCTTCCAGCAGCCATTAATCTTCAATCGGCCATGCCACTGCTACTTACTCTCTACTCAACTGCTGTTCTTCATGCTGCGGAACCCTGAACCTAGATTTGAGACGGCCATTCTCATAAACAGGACTTGAGGGGAGGATGCCGCCAAATCGTTCATCTACAGATCCTTCCCGTGAGAGAAGGACTCGAGTGGCGTGTCGTAATTGCCGGCAAGCCAAGATACGATGCGCACTTGACAGGGTTCCTTGTGCGCGCTGCCAAAGACTGGGACTTACGTGCTCGATCGAGCCATCATACAAACGCACCAACAAGCAGGATCGAGTGGAAGAACTCCAACAACGCGTTTCCAGCTTACAAGGAGTAATCGAGCAGCATATTCCTAGCCACAGCACTCCTTCACGACCGAATCATCCAGACACATCTCAATCAGCCCTGGACGGGCTTGGAGAAGAAGGGGCCTCGCGGCCCACTCCTCGCAACGAGAACCTCTCTGATGCGTCACCCTTTCGACCTACCTCCATCCCGTCAGTTGGCCAAGGAGTCGTATATACCCTTGGGAGTGTAACAATTACCCAGGAGAGAGCGCAAACTCTATTTGCCATGTAAGTGTGTTTCGTTGCTGTGTGTGCATGTGAAAGGTGTTGACGTGGTACCAGCTTCTTCGAGAAGTACCATGCCTTTCTTCCCATATTGGACCCGAATCGAACAAGCCCAAAATGTCACGACCATTCCCAGCTCCTCTTCTGGGTAATAATTGCAGTATCGAGCAGGCGTATCGGCGACGATTTCCTGAACGGTCTGACTCCAGAACTCTCAAGACTGCTTTGGGCAACTATTGGAGGAAGCCTCTTCACCCTGCCAAGTGTGCAAGCCTTGCTCTTGCTGGCGTCCTGGACGCTGCCAGATATGCACTTGTGGACAGACAAATCATTGGTCCTTGCCCGTCTCGCCGTAACTTCGGCCCAGATGATGGGTTTGAACCGGCCGGGATGTGAAGCCGAATATTCGAAACACTCAATAAGTTTCACCGGCCACGACATAGCTGAACGAAGTCGTACTTGGTTCGCATCTGTGGCAGTGTGCCAAAGGTGAGTTAGAGACCAAACCCAGCCCCGGTGATGCTGACCGCACAACAAGTCTATCTACAGAGATCGGCGGCGAAGCAATCTCGTGCTTTGACGATTTTAGTATGCGGAAAGCCTGTTCGAATGCAGAAGGCATACCGATCGAGCTCCACCACAGTCTCATCATACAGAAAGCCACCAACGAAGCACTGAGGTCCTGGCACGAAGCCGCCGAAGAGCCGTGCGGTAATCCTGACGAGGAGGTCGGGTGGGGTCTGATACACAGGGCAGAGCAAAGCCTTGTTTCCATTTCGCGGCAGCTCTGGAGTCGCCTGTCATTTGCAAATCGACTGCAGCTCGAGGTTTCTCAATTGAGACTTCAGTGTTTATTCATGCTGTACAACACCCCCAGTGAAATGCGAAGTTCCGGTATCCTTCGCGCGTACAACACTGCTACGGACCTCATCAATACTGTTTTGTCGCAAGTGGACGGAATCCAACACCTGCCGTACGCACCTTCGATACTCGCTCGGCACATCTCCACCGCCGGCCTGGTAATCATCAGAGTTCTCCATTCGACGTTCAGTGTAGGGCTCGACTACGAGAGAGGCCGCATTCTCCTCAACGCAGCGGCATTCTCCTTGTCCCAGCTGTCGAGTCACCAAACCCCGAAGGACCAGGCAGCGCGCACGTCGGACATGCTGCGTCGGTACTGGAGCGCGGCAGAAAAGAACCCAAACATGCGGCAGCGCGACCTGCGACTTCGAGTCAAGTCGCGAGTGGGCGCGAGTTTGGTGTACGACTGTCTGATGAGTTTTCGGAATGTTAGTCGTGCGGAAAGTGCAGAGTCGGCGGCAGCGCTCGAAAGCAACCAAGCTGGAGCCGACGCATTGGCGACAACTGCTCCCGGCGGCGGAGCCTCGGATGCTGTTGGTGGGGAGTACATCAGCGCAGGAGTACTAGATCCTCTGTCAGACCCGACGGGATATGACTTTGATCTCTTCCAATTCACCCCAGGCGTCGATTTGAGCGACATGTTTGTATTCGACGACGATGGATACTCGGCACTTCCTTGAATCTGGCCATCTAAAGATATGGGAGAGTTTATTGAACCATTGGCCAAAAGGGGGAACCCAAGCACTACATGTATAACAACGATCAACTCAACAGAACCTGTTCGGCGCGACAAGTTGACTCAGGCTTCAAAGCCAAAAGTGATATTGTATATGGTAGTTACTCTGTACATTCTCCCAAGATTCCAACACGAAATGTCATTCGTTCGTTCTGCCACTACACCTCCTGTCTACCCCCCTATGACTTGTCAAAGGTACTTTTTGAAAAATTCGGCTGCTTGCTCGTATCTAGCCACACACACACATACATGTTAGCTTGGCCCGGATTTTGGATTCTGTCCCGCCGTCTCAAGCGCCGGGGACACGACGTTCCACTTACCCGCGAGAGTATTCCTCGCGACTTTCTTTTGTTTCCAGGTCCGCGCGAGCACCCATCCACCCGTGCCACATGGTATGGTACGTCTCGACCACGCCACCTACGCCATTTGTCTTGATGATTTCCGTATACGCAGTGACAGTGTCGGCTGGCTCGTCTTTGGATGCAAGTACAATGTGCGGGATCGTCAACTTTTCCGCATCCGCCTTGTCCATACGTCTGTCGTAGATGGTGAGCGATCATGGTCGAAATGTCGGAGGGAACAGAGGCAAAGGTAGAAAGAATCGAGACTTCGGCACGTCAAGATTCTCGAAACTTACCCAGGATGAGCTTGTCCAGATGCCACAAAGGGAGATTCTGGTCCCGACGCCAGCACCGCCACCTAGAACGTAATCAACCTCGTCAGAGTAATACCTTCTTATTTTCCGGGGGTTTGCACCGTCAAGTAACGCGTAGGTCGATGAGACTCACTTTCCCACCCCAACATAGTCCAAACGTCGCCCAAGAGTTCACGTTGGCGAACGTGGTCTTAGACTCTTTCGTCACCCTCAACAACAAATCCACATTTCGAGGGAATGCAGCCTTTTCACTCATGAATCTCGACAACCAGGCTTTCTTTTCTTCAGTGTCGGCCGGTAGCCAGTCATGACTGACGGCCTCGCCGTCGAAGAAGTCAGGGACCAAGACGACGGAATTCGTCCGGGCAGCGAGGACGTCGGCACCTAGGAGGGTCTGCGTACTGAAACCGAAAATGTCGAAAATGTCTACGATACCTGATTTTGCTTCTGCGGTAGACCCGGTGACGTCTATTTTTACAGTGAGCAACCATTTGTCAACGAGAGAGGGGGGGACGGAGGAGGAACATCAAACAAAAATACTCACACGTATTCAGACCAGCGATGGTTTGATAGACTCCTCGAGGTTGGTAACCTTTTGCAACAATGGCAGGGATCCTGCAGCAAGCTTCAGACGTCATTCTTGATTCTCGAGTATTCAGGCTCTTGTCGAGAATCAAACAAAAAGTGGAAAAAAAAACCAAGCCTTTTATCAGCACCACTAGGAGCAAAAAAGCTTTCTTATAGTTCAAAAGAAAAGGACCTTCTCTGGGTTCCACGAGGATGCTATGCAAGATCCCGGAGATAAAGGAAGGAGGTAAGATGGACAACCTCCGTAGGGTTGATGTTCCTAAACCGGTCCGGTATCGGGTGGAACGGCCCGAAATCTGAAGGAAAGCCAGCTCCTGAACAGTGTGTGAGAAGCTCGAGAAAAGGAGGTTGAAGATGTCGTAGCTCGCCGTTGATGTTTATCAGGTCAGTTAATCAATCCATCAATCCTCCGCCTGTGGCTTGAGTGCGGACCCATGAGCGATTTCGGGACGAGACCGGTCTAATGATCTGATACAGTAGTACAGGTACCACACAGAGTTACTCATATTAGGTAGGCCCGGAAGTGACATCCCTCGAATACAATTACAACTATTTAGCTCCCGAAAATCATATGCTAAACATTGTCGATGGCATTGTTGGCTCATTCTCAGTCTAACAGTACCGACCTACTGGGCACTCTTGCGTGCGACAACCAACACTTGCTTACCACCAACCTGCGGCACCACCTTCTCAATATCCAGTCCGTCAACGCCGTCGATCAACTCGTGCCATTCTTGGACGTCTCTCTCCATTCCATTCATCGCGGCCATCTGGAACAAGTCTCTCGCACGCTCTAGTGCTTCGGTACGTTTCCCCAGAGTACCTCGATCGTGCAGGAGGAAATTGTTGATGACCACCTTGGCACTTGGTTTCATGGCGGCCGCGATTTGCGACAGTATCTCCCGACACTTTGAGGTCGGCCAGTTGTTCAAGACCAACCTGAGCAAGAAGACGTCGGCTTGTCGAGACGCCTCGGGTTGTGGCTGGAAAAAGTCATGCTCGACAAACTCTAGCTGTGACAGCGACGCCGATGGCGACGCTTTGGCTCTGGCGACCATGGCAGGCAGATCTTGTACCGTAAAGTGCAACAGTGGAAATGTCTTTGCAAGGGACGCGCTGACATGACCCATCGAGCCACCGACCTATTCACAGCCCATTCTGTCGTTAGCACACGGTTCGTACATACCATCACACATGCACTGATAGGCTCAAATTCTAAGATACTCACGTCAACAACATGTGCCTTTCCCAGCCTGGCCCAGTCGAAGCCATCGGAGAGGAATTGTGGACTCGTGTCCTCGGCGCTCGACACAAATCTCATGCTGGCGCCAAATCGTTTCGTCAGCTCCGGGTGCTTCGAGACGTAGGCGTAGAAAGGGTCGTCGGTCTCCATTGCAAGGTTGAAAGCGGACCGTCCCTTGGCAGCTTCTGACGACTTGACAGCCTCATACAAAGACTTCATCATCGGTGCAAAGAAGCCCGTCTGGAGCAGGACGACCTGGCGGTAATCCTCGTTTCGCGAGAAAGCAAGGGAATACGGCGTATGTGCGACACGATTAGGGGTCGGCTCGTCGAAGAGGCCTTGAGTCATGGCAAATCGCAAGATCCGACAGAGTTCCTGCTCCGGCACTCCAGCGACAGCCGCCAGGTCCGTGTACGTGATAGTTGTCTGATCATCCTCTGGGACCAGAGCAGGAATATTGAATTCCAGCAGCCACCTAAGGGAGGATTCTGCACAGAACTTTTGGGAACACGGTGTCAGTATTTACCGCGTCTTATAAATAGCACCGCGGGCACTATTCCAGTTATGCGATGTATCGCTTACGTTGATCGTGGTCTGTTCCCAATGTTCGGTCGGGGTAGAGACGAGGTTCTTCCACCTGGCAATGTTTTCAAGCAGAATCCGACGACTTCCTTGGAGGTTGGACACCAACACTTCTTCCGTGTTGTTATCCTGCTGGTTCTGAGTCGCTAAATCGAGACACTGTTGGTAATGGCGCGCTGCATCGATGAACCTCTCAATCTCGACCTCGATATCATGGGCCATTGTGCTGATTCTTGGTATAATGCTCGAAACCCCGAAAGAAGAGGCAAAGACTGAGCAAGTGCAGAAAATGTCGTGTCAACTGGGTGCGGTAATATTGACTCTTCGGCCAAAGACCGTTACCGGAACACTGAGATAGTAAGGAAGGAGGAGGGCGGTGAAGGAAATGGCAAGCATGTTGAAGACACACAAAGCGGCTGAGCGACGGGCTAAATATCTAAGCGCTCGTCTACTTCCATATTCAGTACTTTGCATGGACAACAGACTCGGTACAACAACTTGTTCTTAACATGTCCATAATCCATGTTGGAAGCTGTACCACTGTGCGCGACTTTCAGCCACGGCGAAACGAATTGGACTCGGGTCCCCCACATTTCAAACACGGCCATCGTGGAGACTTTTTACAGGTGTAGGATACCAGGTGGCGTTGTCCTGAGGCTGCATGTTTCAGTTCGGTGAGTTGGGAATACGAGGACCACCAGCCCCCTTTCAAACTCCGGAATTGACATAAATGATGTTGGGAGGGCGTTTTGTTCCGTCACGTGGTTAGGATTGATTTGCTCCTCCTGTGTCACGTGTCGTCTGCTTCGGCTTCAGTAAGCGTTCCCAGGTGCTGATAGGCACAGTGCTCCATGTCTTTGCACCTCTCTAGCACTCGCGGTGGTGAATCGTATGAGGCAAAGAATCATCAGACCGAACAAACCTGACAGGCCAGGTTTGGGCTCCTTCCCAGCCAGACCAGCTTCAGATTCCACAGACAGACCAATACATCAACTTGGCCTGAGAAACTGTCACTTGCTTTTCAAAGGAAATCGGAATTTGAATGTGAGTTGTGAACGTTCCATTAGAGTATACTCGCACGCAGATTCCAGCAACCCTGACGTTCGACCATCAACCCTGAAGACTCGACCCTGCCAGGATGACCTTTGAGGAAAGAAAAGGAAACACCCCTCTGAAAAGACAAAAGGCAAGCACGCATTTCTAACCCAACGCCTTGCCCATTCCCCGCGCAATACCATGCAACCGCTTTATAATTTGAAAAATGCTCGTTCATCATCGATAGAGATCATGTCAGGTGATCATAAGCTGAAACAAGAATAACAGTCACTCTGCTCTCCACCAGCAGCAGCAGCAGCGAGTGTGTTATTGTGTCTTCTCAATCCTCCCAACTCTTCTCCACCGTCTCACGCACTCTCTTGATGTATTCCCTCCGATTGTCCTTGTACATATTACTCGCCTCGACGTTCGCGGGGGAGGACGTGTTCGGGTCGTTCAGAAGAGACTGGATACTCGTCAAGATGGCCGCGACATCGTACGTGGGTGACCATCGGTTCTGGAGGATATCGAGACACAACTCGCCCGTACCGTAGACGTTGGGATGGAACATTTGAGACACGAATTTCACCCCCGGTGGTTTGTTCGGGTACGCCTCTTCAAACTGCATGACCAGGCGGAATGTGCCATCTTCAAAGGGCGTGTCGGCCGGTCCGATTATGACTGCGTTCCTGTAGAAGGGAGAGCATTTGTTGTTAATAACCCTCGTAATCCTTTGTCTCCTTCGTGGTTTGTCGAAGGCGGAAGGGCCAAATGCGATTGATTGGGACCCCCGGGGGGGGGGGACACTTACCATGTCATCACATTGTCCGCTATGGGAGACGCCGAGACTCCGGCTGGAGGATCTGTTTGCATGCGCTATAGAAAGAAAAGGTCAGTTGAACCATGTCAATGTGATGAGATTCGGTTCCGGGAGGTAGAGATTTGGGTGTCGGATCCGGGAGTGGGAGTGGGTGGGTTGCGGGCGGGCAGGCGGGCTGTTATCGGGGAAGAGAAAGAATGAGAGACTTGACTCACCTTGAAGTCTCTCATCAAACGACGACGTGCTGAGGTTGACATTCTGCTGGGTATGGGGAGGTTTTGTTGTATGTGTGTTTCTGTAGAAGGATGATTGTTCGACGTAGACTGAGGAGGCAAGTTGGTGTTGGACCAAGGAACTGGGGATTGTTTGAACCTCACGCGATGGACATGTACAGAGTGAAATGATTTCACAATTCCAGTTCGCCGCAGGCTGCGCCGGAAGAGAAGTCGCTGCTTTTAATGCTGACTGACCGTGAATGGTTAGCCGGGTACGGAGTAGGAGACGAGAGTTTCCTAACTGTATGTGGTTAGTCCGCATCAGGCCGTATCTTCTCCGACCTTCAAAGCTGGAGCCGAGGATGAAGGTCGATTTTCCTCCGATTCCGTGCTACATTTTGAGAGTCTGGAGTTCTCCCTTACGGCTCCCACTCGGCCACTCGGACGGACAATGTAGGGGGAGTGCCTGAAGGCGTTTATATAATAGAGGACGATTGTTCTTTTCGCATCCGAAGGTATCTCTAGGAAGAACATCCCACGCCTCACGCAAGAGTAGAGCAAATCAATCATTCTCCGTCCTTTCAAATTCCGCGTCGTTCCCCGCTTGTAACCGAACAATCCCCTTGACCAGTTCATTCGCATGTGCCCACGCGCCGCCTCGGACCAATCAATACAAAGTATACCCAGGACATTATAATAACCCCGACTACCTCCTCCTCTTCTTCCTCTTGTCGTCAAGCTGGCTTCCTCAAATCCCACCAACATTTCCACCTCCTCCTCCGCCTCCTCCTCTTCTCCCTCCCCAGTCGACGACAACATGTCTTCGTTACCATCGACAGCTGTGCGGGCGGCGTCCCGCTCCGCCTCTGCCAGTACCTCGGCTGCACGCCTCTCCCAGATGCGGTCACACTTCTCTTCGTCGTCCGCCGCACGCAAGGAAGTCGGCGAGGCCTACATCATCTCGGCCTCGCGCACGCCCACGGCCAAGTTCAATGGCTCCTTCATGTCCATGACGGCCCCTCAACTTGGCGCTGTCGCCATCAAGTCGGCCATCGAGAAGTCCCGCGTCCCCGCCTCCAAGATCACCGACGTGTACATGGGCAACGTGCTGTCCGCGGGAGTCGGCCAGGCGCCCGCGCGTCAGGCCGCCCTGTTCGCCGGTCTGAGCACCACCACCGAAGCCGTGACCGTCAACAAGGTGTGCGCGAGTGGCTTGAAAGCCGTGGCCCTGGCCGCGCAAAACATCCAGCTCGGTCTCGCCGAGGCCCAGGTCGCAGGGGGCATGGAGAGCATGTCGAGGGTGCCGTACTACTTCAACCGCGCGGCCCAGCAGCCGCCCTTCGGCCACGTGGGCATGAAGGACGGCCTGATCGAGGACGGCCTCTGGGACGTGTACAACCAGTTCCACATGGGCAACTGCGCCGAGAACACGGCCAAGAAGTTCAACGTCAGCCGGGAGGCGCAGGACGAGTACGCCATTCGCAGTTTCGAGCGGGCGCAGGCCGCGTGGAAGGCTGGCAAGTTCGACGAGGAGATCGCCCCCGTCACGGTCAAGAGCAAAAAGGGCGAGACCATCGTCAAGGAGGACGAGGGCTACAACAATCTCAAGAAGGACAAGGTCGCGACCTTGAAGCCTGCGTTCGTCAAGGAGGGCGGTAGCGTCACCGCCGCCAACAGCAGCACCTTCAACGACGGTGCAAGCGCTCTGGTCCTCGGCAACAGAGAAATCGCCCTGCAGTACGGCAAGGACAGCAGGGTTCTCGCGAGGATCGTCAGCAGCGCAGACGCCGCCATCGACCCCGTCGATTTCCCCGTCGCACCTGCCAAAGCCGTCCCCATTGCGTTGGAACGAGCCGGCTTGAAGAAGGAGGACATTGCCATTTGGGAGTTTAACGAGGCCTTTGCGGCCGTCATCAAGGCCAATGAAAAGGTAAGTACACCCCGGTGGGGAAAAGAACGAACTTGAAAAGATGGAATGAGATGAACTAACAAGCCATCAATGACAGATTCTCGGTCTCGAAAACGCTCAAGTCAACTTGCTCGGCGGTGCCATCTCGTTGGGCCACGCACTTGGCAGCTCCGGTTCCAGAATCTTGACCACGTTGTTGCATCAATTGAAACCGGGCGAGTACGGTGTCGCTGCCATTTGCAACGGTGGTGGTGCGGCTACGGCGATGGTTGTACAGAGAATCGCCAGCGTCGAGTAAACCAGAAAGGAGGCACAGAGAATTGCCGACGACGAGTTGAAAGAAAAGCAGCGACACATTTGCGTATGAGGGCAACCCCACGACACCGCCTAAAAAAAGGGGGGGTTTATATGTTATATGTTATAGATGTAGCAGCAGCACACGAGTTATAAGGGAAAAGGGGACCCTTCGAGGAGATGATGGATGGCCGTGGCAGCATAGCGATGGCGTTGTTCTTGTTATCTAGGTAACATTTTTGAGTGAGTAGGTAATTTATACCAGATCAGAATCTTGACCATTGCCAAAAAAAGGTACCAATATCAAAGATAATATACCTCGTACGTCGTTCGTTCACGCATTAGGCTTCTAAAACAAAAAGACTTGAAGAATCTCGATGAGTATATGGATTCGCCTTGACAGGTATAGATGATACCTTCATGAATTCACGAGTATGCCCGTGACCACCAACGGTACAGTAGGGGCAACCTAACTCATTTACATGAAGAACTACCCTAGGTATAAAAGCCCGTGATGTATAGCATTCTCTCGGGTCTGGAAGCCCGCGTTTCATTTCCACACTCGCTCGTTCAGATGATAACTGCCTTGAGATATCGCCGAGCATTTAAGATAGAGAAAAAAAATAAACTTCGAACCCTCCTCCTCAGACAGCCACATCCTGGTCCAAAAGCGCTCTCTCTTTCATTATCGAGAGAGAGAAAAACGGCATTCGCAACCCCAAGAATACCAGACAATATGGAAACTAACAACAACAAAAAACTCGATAAAAGAAGTAAGGCAGACAGAAAAATGAAAAAGGCCAGTCGCAAGTCCCACACAAAAACGAGGAGGATGCCGGCCGTGTACATGTACGGATATGGGGTATATAATCAATTGCAGATTGATTTTGTTATTGCAGCAATCGCTTTCTTTCTTCCCAAAAATGTTCAGTCTTTTGTGTGTGTCGTTATAAGTCGTTGGGATGGAGAGAGAATGCGCTGCACTCTTTTGACTCTCTTTGTCGCTCCAAAGAAAATAGGTGTTGGTTTTTGCGATGAATCATGGAATGGTATTGAGGAGAACAAAGAAAAATCACACAGCCACTGAGGAAGTTCTAGTCATCCGCTTCAGAGACTTTTTCCTCAATACTCGAGTGTCATGTTTTCCCGGGACGGTGACAATGCCCAGCACGTTCTCCCTCTCGCGGCCATCAACCACCGGGTCGTCGTACTGTCCCGAAATGCGATCTCCGCGGTCGTATCTCAATGTCGAGGATAGATCCTGGACATCGAGCCTTGACGACGACCAGTAGTCTGGCACCTGAGGTTCGTATAGAATCCCGCTGGGACCGTGCGTCGATCCGGACTTCGGTGTTGGGGGTAACATCGTCGCGCCACTACTCCGCTTTGACCCACGTGTCATCGACGTACGCTTGGTGAGATCAGGTTGAGACTTGCTGGAATGTTGATACATGGACCGGGTCATAGACGTGGGCGTCGGGTAGACCACAGACTTTGGTGCTGGGATATCCGGAACAGGGATGTTTGACTGTCGAAGATTCTCTATCCCGTTCTTTCTGGAGATTGTTGCGTCTGCAGTGCGTGGTCGAGGTGCTATCGAGTACGCGGATTGGTATGTTGGTTGAGAGTAACCCACCGAGGCACTGAATGAGTCGGCGTCCTGCGCCAGCGGTGGTGTTGACAACGGGCTGGAACGGAAAGTGGACGGCGTCTGAGAGGTTGAAAAGATAGGTTTTGGAGTTGCCAACGGAAGATATGACGGTCTTCGAGGTGCTTCAGCGCCAGACTGAGCAAGACTTGGAATAGGTGTACTGTCGACGGGATTTATCGCGGCTTGATAGGGAGAATGAGTGAACAGATCTGGTGAGTTCGTGCTGATCATGGATTGATGCGGAGATCTCTCAGAGATCCGTGAAAGGGTATGCTGTGATCGCTGTGTCAATGGCGAAACAGGCATATTGTGCGTAGAAAAAGACCTCGAGAAGTTGACTGTCGTCCTTCGACTCGAGGGGGACGGACTTGGTGATGCCGAAGGCGGAGTGATCTCCCAGCTTCGCGTTGTCGCTTCTTTGCTCTTCTCTGGAGTTTGGATTGGTGTAACGGGCCGCATGTCGCGTCTTGTAGATCTTGACACAGGTCTTGACGATAGCACAGAGCTCGTTTCTACCTGTGACATCTGGTCCAGCCGGGAATGCGATCTCTCTGCCATGACCGTATTCCACCATTCAAACGGACTTCTCCTCCCGGTCATAGTCGACTCATTATCGCCAAGTAGTCCAAATTGTCGCATGCCAAATTTGGAGCCTGTCAGGGAGAGATGTTGCGAGGTAGGTACCACTCGTCCTCTGCGTAAAGTAACTCGGCGAGTGGCACCTGTGAGATTATCGAGGTCCCCCCTTCGGGACAGCCCTCGCCTTAGACACCATCGTAAAGAGAGTGCGCAGACCAACACCAGGAGGGTCGAGCCGACAACAATGAGGACGATATATACCCAAAGTGGTAAACCAGTATTGTCTAGGAGAGACGTCATGAAGAGGGATGCCGTGAAAGGAATCCGAGCAGCATCGAGTTGCTCGGGACTAATAAAGTCTTGCCCGGTATCGAAAGTCGGAAAGAAGTTGAGACGGGAAGATCAGCCAGGTGGTCAATGCTGAAGAGATATATTCCGATGGTGTGGCATGTGGCGGCCGTGCGCCGAAGAGACAGCGACCCAGGAGGACAGTTTCACCGTGTGGTGGTGTGGGTGAGAAAAGTTGACGTCCGGTTGACAGCACCTTTGAAGGCTACTGACTTGGAGCGGTGTCTATTCCGAGACACAGAGGGCGAAGTCAGTCTTTTTGTACGGTAGCTGGCAACCTCTCAATCAGACCAGCATGACTGGGAAGATGCCGGTATCTGTTCAGAGGTATTTGGAAGCCGACTGAAGGAGGAAACGAATGTATGAGACGTATAAGACAAACATGCGGCCGAAAGGAGGGGACGAAAAAAAGAGACAAATAGGAAAGCGAGACTTGCTGCTGGTCAGATGGACACACGAGAAGAAAAAACACGAGATGCAGGTCACCGGTAGATGGTCATCGACAATTGAAAAGAAAGTGGAAGCGTGTGCTTCAGACAGGGACTATGCTGGACAACAGCTCGAAGCGGTGGAGGATGCAGGCAAAGTTCACTGATGCTTGCTAGCAGGTGGATACGGATTGGGAACTTGTGCGTCCAGGGTTTCCAACGTATCTGGAGCCCGGGGCCAGTCACAAGGCGGTCTGTGGACTCGGACACCAGAGAATGTCAATGAAGGTCTGGATGTTCCTAGGCCTAAGCCTAACGTGTTGGATGGCTTGAATTGACATGACAGGGGCAATGGAGAACGACCTGGATAAGCATCCGGATATAGTAATGGTATATGGAGCAATGTCATATGCAACCTCTTGAGGGCTGCATGGTTTGGCAGATCTGGTTTTAACCATGGTCACGACGTGGGAAAAGACTCCACGCCTCTGCGGTCAGAGACCATGCTGTAGTCTGTAGACATCATCAGAGGACGGACAGAAAATGACGAGACACAGTTCGTCAGTAGTCCAGAGATCGCGATGACGCGGATAACGACATCAACGATGAGCGAGAAACAAGTCTTCAAACTGGACACGAGGAAAATGCAAGAAAGAAAAGGCGAGGCGGAGTTGGGCATCGGGAGGCTCGGGCGACTCTGAAACGAGACAAAGAAGGCAAGGGGACAAAGCACAGCGCAAGGGGTGCATGCATCTGTGGGGATTGGATTGGCGGACCTCGACAGCCACCGCTCAGCAAGGCCACAGATCGTCAGGAACTGGCGTGCATGGACCATTGAAGCGTTGACAGGATTAGTGGAGAGGTAACAAGGGTTCTGAAACGATAGCGAACAGAAAGACAGTTCGCACTCCCAAGCTCGCCTGTCATCCTGCACGCGAAGAAGCTTACCAGAACGCGACCTGGAGGACATGATTGGGCTTCAGGGAACGAGATTTTTGTCAAACTCCCTTTCCGGTGTGTGGCTCGTTGGTAGCCTGAAAGTTGACAGCGCGAAGGGTCGAGAATGATCATGAGAAGAAGGGCGACGGAAGGACGACGGGGGTTTGCTCATCCTCGTACGAGGGCCAAAGCGGTCGCAGCGGATCATCCCTCGTCGCCTAGCTTAGCCAGCTTCTTTGAGCGGGTGCCCGGGTACTGTTGTAGAGATCTTTCAGCCACCACGACCCATGATGGTATGGGCCCTTGAAACGGCCCAAAGGTGCATGGACATGGCGTAGCTTGGAACTTGAGAGGCACGCTACCTCCTCACCATCCAATTTCCATTCTCCTCTTTCCTTGCTTTTTGAACAACGTTCATCTTTTGTCCGCGTCTTATCGGTTGTATTCTCCACTGGGCCAGTCATGGCGTTGGTTCAGTAGACATGACGCCTCGTACTCCGTACAACAGAATGCATGCACTTCTCGACTTGACAACCACGCTTAACTGATCCCTTTGACAAGCGAGATGAAATGGCAATCATGGTCTTGGACAGAAGATCTCCATTATCCTGGCTCCCGTAAGAAAACCATCATAGGGACGGCACGAGCTGACCGTTACTCCGTCCCATGGTGCCAGCAAACCTTCGCTCTGGATCAAATTTTGAAACGAGATTACCGGCTTACAGTAGGTTGGATTTGGAAAATGCACCGATCGAGATGTGTACTGTATCATTGTTGAATGGATCTGAAACCTGCTTCGCCCTCTGTTACTTGCTTAAGGCTAGAATGTATGCGCGTAAAGTTGCTCTCGCAGCTGTAGACAAGCAACAGTGGAAAATACTGTACGGTGCCCATGGACAATTGGGTCTTGCGAACTGCAAGATATGAACAGTTCCAGAGCTCTTTCCGCACATCGAAGCTATCATGAAATTCATTTCGACAATGTCCACCCACGGTGACTGGCGACGAAGATCTTGGCCACGGGGTGCATGATATTGCACTGCAAGGAGTACGGAGTACGGTATATATAAATAGGTGACGCTAACTTTCCAGGCATCAATTCGATCGCTTGCCTTGTTTCAAGCATATCTCGGCGTGCTCAGCGTCATTGAGCCTGCTGAGCTGTCTCTTCTCGCCTGGACCATGAAGGACGAAACGACTGAAGAGTAAACTGCCGAAGATACTTTCTCATTTTTAGCATCTTAGTCCGTAGTCCGCAGGAAGTAAACCGTAGATGGACTTGCTCAAGAGGCGGTGAGCGCGGCAAGGGATACGCTATTGGTTTAAATGTCTTTCTTGTCTCACTGTGTTTGGCTGCAACGGCAGTGACAGCGGCCTGAACGATCGAAGTCGTGTGCTTCTCCAGAAGGGTTTAGACGCCGGAATGGAGGGTTAGTAGAAATTCAACAACCATACCAGGTGCGGTGGAGAGGTGACAAGGACGAGATCTGGTCAGTGTTCATGATGGGCGCTGGTCGGTAATCGTAGTAAGAGGACATTGATCGCCATCGTATTGGGCATAGAAGTCGATGTATTGAACATCATGATAATGTCGAGGTGGTTGCTGCAATCCTTCGCACTGCTTGGGAACACGTAGAGAGACAATTGGATTGTTCTGTGCTGAATGCAGTTCTCCGTCTGACGAGCAAGGAGTATCCCAAATCGTCCGAGTCTTTGTCCTGCACAGGCTGAATTAATTCCTCCCTCGACCAAAAATGGAACGCGGACCGCTCCTCATCCTCATCCTCCATCATTTTATGGGGTTTCGCTGTGTTTGCGTTGCATGGCGGTATTGACTTCATCATAATTTTCGCGGGGCTTCACCATGACTTGAATCTTTCATAGCCACGTTGGGTCAAAGATACCGCTAGGCAAAGTTGACCGCTCGATTCATTGCGCACCATGTGGGTGTCTTGTTGATGCTTCAATTGTCTGTCGTGCCTCATCAGCGGCTCACTAGTCTTGTCTTCCCCGTGCGCCTGCGCCCAAGTCTTGCCTCCACATCCTCGTTTTAATCGATCGAACGAAGTGCCAAATTCCTCCAATATGGGTAAACAGCCGGCGGTAATCATCATTACCAGGTACGATCCCTCTCCTCTTGTGAACACAACGACACAACTGACACTTTCATATAGACATGGCGCCCGTCTCGATCAAGCCGACCGGAATTGGACATCAACGGCCGAAAAACCCTACGACACTCCTCTCTCCTACGGTGGTTGGATACAATCACAGACACTCGGTGTAAGAATTAATAATGAGCTCCATCATCTGGATGCTTCACATACGCAACATGCGGAACACAAGGACGATGCGACACACGACCGTCCTCATAAGAGGCGGAAGATCATCATACACTCTTCCCCATACCTGCGCTGCGTCCAGACCGCCATAGCAATCAGTGCTGGTATACAACATCCCCAGAATCACATCCGTCCACGATTGAGGCCCCGACAGCGTTCCTCACGGGCCAGTCTCCTCGCCGAAGAGGAGGTTGCCCCAGATTCCCATGAAGTCGACCACTCATCCCTGCAACGCACCGTAAGTCGTGAGCCCATACATACGAATCGGTTGGGCTATAATACATGCCGGCTGCGTATCGATTCTTTTCTTGGAGAATGGCAATGTCGAACCTACTTCGAATCGGCCCTTCCCCCACCGACGGCGGTGATGGTTTCAGAAGCAAAGATGGCGCTACAAGTACCACAGGAAGAAATCAAAGGTGCTGACCTCTCAGCATCTTTGACTTGTGAACTCCCAACCGTCGAGTGGGAAGAGAAGGAAAGTGAGGCCGCTTCTGTGCCTGTCCAAGAAAAGACCGGACTGAGAGCGATGGCTGCTGCTGGTCATTCGTTTCCAAAGCGGCCGCGGAACATTTCATTTGGGACGGAACTCGCCAATGGCGCCAGACTCCTGAACAGAAATTTGCAAAAGCATCCCGTTGGATACAGTCCACCTGTTCCCACGTATGCGATGGGTTCGTCGGACAAGATTCCTCCTGGTTATGTTGCCCACGCCCGTGATGTGTGTGTAACAATTGATCACGACTGGGACAGTGAAGCCGAACCTCTGCAATGGGGCGATGGCGGCCCATTTGACGAAGAATGGGGAAACATGCATCGAAGATTTCGAAATGGCTTGCAGAAAATGATTGACTACTATGAACACGAAGCCGCTGAACAAGATGATGGCGGCAAGGAAGACGAGGAGTTGGTCTTAGTTCTGGTCACCCATCAAGCAGGTTGCAACGCCCTCATCAGAATCCTTACTGGTGCCCCTGCTCTTCACGACGTTGCAACTGCGTCCTTGACCATGGCAGTACGAACGCAGGGTCAAGAAAAGGAGGGATCGCCCATGTCACCCACACGACGCAGAGGGTCGCTCGATCTGAGCATCTCCGATGACTACGAAATGAAGATCATCGCATCGACGGAACATTTGCGAGCTGGCTCAAACCCACTAGGGCTGAACTCGCCACGCCTGGGAAAATCACCAGCGTTCGCCAGTCGTCGGGCCGTCGGTGCGGATTCACCAGAGGGTTTTTCTTTAGGAGAGTCGTTGTCTCATCATCGTGGCTCCCACGGAGCGCTTGTGGCCAGAAGTCAGAGTCAGAGATCTCATGCTGCTGATCCAGCAAGTAATGAGGAACCACCGACTGGGCTTTGGCGGAAAGGTAGTCGTTACTCGAGAGACGAAACTGCCGACTCCAGCGAAACTGGAGCAAGCCCGAGTATTCAGACCCCCAGTACGTCTAGCAGCATTCGAGAAGAACCCACCTGGCAGGCAGATAAACTACCTGTTCGAAGTTCCAGTCAACGTGGACTTTGGGGTGGTGAATCGGTGCACAGAGACAGGAGTCCTGGGAAGAGAAGATGGACAGCTGTCGAGAGGTCTCCATGATTGAGGACAATGGGGCGTGGCTCACCTTGAAAATACACAAATCGACTTACTGATGTTGCTCAATGTCTCGCTACTCTCCTATATAATGAATAATGACATGTTTCTTGGTTTGTTTCTGTCAAGTGGTGTGCTTCTTTTTTCATGGACTTGAGTGCGGTGAAGACCGAAGGAGGACAGTAACTGGTATTGCCATTCCATCAATGTTCAACAAAGTGATGAATATACATTGCTCCATCTGAGTGATTTGACGAGATTATTTTATCATATCTGTACTTCGTGCCACAGATGCCCAGATCAGTGGTGTGACAGGTGCATCGAACCACCAAATGCTTGTCAAAAAGCATGTCGTGTGAGTCGCGGCTTTCACATCCAGCGATAAGGAAACGTGAAGTGGGTGGTGGGTGTCTATCCGCTATATACAACTAGGTAGAGTGTTAAATGCCGTTCAAAGACCCACCAACCTTCATCAATCGCGGAATATCAACGCTCTATCAGATTCAAACCCCACACATGGTTTGAACCCGACTACGCCCTAATGACAGTATTCTCACACATCCTTATCATTGCCACCCAACGGCAGGATACGACAGCAGTCATCGTCCAACCCATTTTGAGAGCCCATAGCTCCTGCGCCGGATACGAACAGGAGTCAGACAGAGCGATCTACCTAGGTAGGTATTGAGGTTACGATGGGTTCTCTACCACATTGGAAAGAGACGGCTTTACGACGTCGTCAAGCCCAGACCTCAGCCATACCTGAAGAATGGCGAATGAAATCTATCCCACCTGATTTCAAAGTAAGTACCCTGGGAGACAATTCATCTGGGGATCTATCATTTTTCGGGTCCATCGTCAAAAGATTAGGGAGATGCTAACCAGATCTCCCAAATTACAGGACAGTCGTTATGTGATTGAAAGATGTGGACTTCTTACACCTCTCGAGGTTGAAATCACCTCGACGATAGGAGCACGTAAAATTGTAAGATAATCCAGCTAGTTACCTACTACCGGGACAACGGCACGACAACGTTATCAAAATGCTGCTATGCTCACACATTGCTGACACCCGCGCTCTTTCTGTCTCTCTAGCTCCGACGGTACGAAGATGGTTCGTGGACGTGCGAATCCGTGGTGAGGGCATTTTGTAAACGTGCCGCTCTAGCCACTCAACTCGTCAACTGCTGCACGGAACTCATGTTCGAGGAAGCCATCAGCCAAGCGAGGGACCTGGACCGGTGGTACGCCGACACGGGAGAATTCGTCGGACCCCTTCACGGCATCCCGATCTCACTCAAGGACAACCACGTGGTGAGAGGACACGACACGACTCTGGGTTGGGTCGGGTTGATCGGGAGACCCGCCGAGGCCGACGAACTCACGGTCCAGCAGTACCGCGCCCTGGGGGCGATCGTGTACTGCAAGACCAACGTCCCCCAGAGCCTCATGATGAGCGACAGTTACAACCACGTCTGGGGCCAGAGCGTCAACTCCCTGCACAAGTCCCTGATCAGCGGGGGCAGTTCGGGAGGCGAGGGCGCGCTCATCGGCGCCCGAGGGAGCGTGTTGGGCATCGGCACCGACATAGGAGGAAGCATACGCATCCCCGCGGCCCTGCAGGGTCTGTACGGGCTGTGCCCCAGCGTGGGCCGCGTGCCGTACAGCCAGAGCTCCAAGGATCAAAAGTACATCGTCCGTCCCGTGGCCGGTCCCATGAGCAACTCGCTAGGGAGCATCGAGTTGTTCATGGAGGCTTATTTGGGTTTGGAACCTTGGAATTCTGATCCAAACATCTTACCCATCCCCTGGCGGCCGGAGTTGGACGAGCAGGTCCAGAACAAGGAACGACTGCGGATCGCGTGGATCGTCGACGACGGGGCCGTCAAGCCTCACCCGCCCATCGCGAGGGCCGTTCGAGATGTGGTGGAGCGGTTGAGGCAGGCCGGCCACGAGGTCGTCGAGTGGGACGCCAAGGACCACGAGCGAGCCTACTACGACCTCTGGGTCAAAGCCGTGCTGGCAGATGGCGGAAAGCGGTTCGAGGATCTGTGCAAGATGGTCGACGAACCCCTGATCCAGGGCATGTTGGTCGGCACGGAAGAGACGTACCTGGGCCCCGAAGAACGGATGGACCTGAGTGACTCGATCCACGGCTACAAGAGGGAGTACCTGAACCGGTGGACCGAGTCCGGCATAGACGCACTCATCATGCCCGTGACGCCCTGGGTGGGGATGCGACCTAAAATTTGGGTAAAGAGTCGACAGTACGTCGGGTACACCGCTCTCTGGAACATGTTGGATTATAGTGTCTTGACCATGCCGGTGGGCAACGTCGACGGTGTCCTGGACGACCCGCGACGGGACGACGAGTGGAAGGCACACGCCGCCCAGACGAGAAACTTCTCGGACGACTTCAACTACAAAATGTACCAGGACTTGTGGGACGACGGGCTCGTGCAGGGTTTGCCGGTGAACATTCAGATCGTGACGGGTCGCTTTGGAGAGGAAAAGGCCGTGGGTGTGGCGAAAGTGCTGGAGAAGTTGGGCATTGTATGATGTGTTGATGATGTTTTCCCATCTCCCTTACACTCTCGCCTTGTTATCATCCTTGCACATATCCGAGTTTGAGGTTCTATGGTTCATTCAATTGATATTCATGTTGATACGTATATGAAACATGGCACAACTCTGCACATATATATATCTCATATATATCGACAGTACATACTTCATGCCACCTTCTGGACAAACTCCTCAATCTTGGGACCGACAATATCATAAGCCTCTTCAGGCAGATAGTGTCCATAACCTTCACCCACCCCGACTCCTTGGTAGTCAACGCCCTCGGAGACCCAATCCTTCCACACGCCCGCGACGTCAATCCGTGCCCCCAGCTTGGCCTTTGAGAACATGACCAGAATCGGCACCTTCACCTTCCTTCCTTGCTCTTGGTCCTTTTTCTGCTCGTTCGCCTCGGGCGCCGCCCCCGCAGCGTAGTCGAGAGCCGAGTAGTACAGGGTTTCCTTCTTGTCGAACGACTCGGCGTACACGTCCAACGCGCCGTCCGAGGAGATCCTCGCGGCCGACTCGGGGTTGGGGCCGCCGATACGCAAATGTGCCTCTCGACACCACCGTGCGCCGCCGTACGCGGAGATGATGTCGACCGCCATGTCGGCGTTGGCCAGCAGGGGCCAGTGGAAATAGCCCTGGCTGATTGCCGGGTCGGCAAACGCCGTCCACTGAGCGAGCGTGGGCACGATGTCGAGAAGGATGGTGCCAATGACCGTCAGGTTGAGCTCAGAGTACGGCGACGTTGATGATGATGCGGCCGGTGGGTATGAGAAGTCGACGGCAAGACGGTGGCAGATGCGCGCGCCGCGGTCGTGGCCGCCTAGAATCACTCTCCGGGGTGTCTGGGAGGTATTGAAGACCGATGCGAGCGACTCAATGAGTGCTGTTCCCACGGCGCGTTTGGTGTTTGCGTCCTTGTCTTTTATGGGTGTTGAGATGCCGTAGCCGGGGAGCTTTAATGAGGATGGCGATGTCAGATCTCAGTCATTCAAAGAAATGAAAAAGGGGAGTTTACTGACCTCAGGAACGAAGAGCGAGATCTTGCCCTTGAGAGCCGGTACGACCTAGTTGCAAATGAGTATTAGATGGGCACATATCCATGAGGTATCGAGGACACTGAGACAAGACTGGACGTGTAGAGGACGAGTGAGGTAGAGAGGAAGATGTGGAATGCTCACTTTCCGCCATCTATAAATCATTATCGTCAGTGTTAGCTATTCGTTGCATCGTACCTCGCAGCAAAGACGTGGAGACTCACTCATATGCCGACTGAGGATATCCATGGATCAATGTCAATATAGGAGTCTCAGGACCTAAATCAGAAGTATAGCTATGGACCTCTGAGCCCGAGGATGTCTTGCTGACGTTATGCGTCAGGCCGAGGGAGTTGTAGAGGGATTGGGTGGTGACGGCAGCCATGATGATTGTTGATCTGATCAGTTGCACGAGGCAATCTCTGTACCAGCCCCGGCTACAGAGTTATATAAGTGCTCGATGCCAGACTTTATTTGCATTTATGACTGGCCTGAGCAATGGTGGTGGCACGCTGCTTGGGGATTAGTAAACGATGTATTCGTCCATGAGGCAAAGGTCGAGTCATGATGGAAATGGGGGGTAAATACTTCCCCGGGTCTCGTTCGTGCACGCGTAAAGACGGAGCATTGGCAAATGGCGTGCTCTATACCAATGTAAGGGTTGATTACCAAGACAACAACAAAGACAATTGAAGAGTCCGATTTTGTGAGTGCTTGAGGTAATGTTCAAACAGGCACCTATGGAAGCTGAATAGCCAAGGATGCGACGACATTGCAGGCGAAGTAACCAAACGCAACAGCCGAAATAGAGGAACGTAGTTGATGACACAGTACGTTCAGCAGCTTTAAATGATATGTCTCTTGTGACTAGATTTCCCCGAATAGAACTGGCTTGACTGATGGTGGACAGCAAATGAGCAAGGGAATCAATCACCAACATCACACCCAGACTCGGCATGATATGGAAATAGGATACTGTAAGAAATTGACTCTTTCTGTAGAATCTACAGTAGCTTGAACCAGCTCATGCAGTGTTGTTGACATGTAATTGTACAAAACTCCTTGCCCAAAGACTATCATATCAAGGCAAGCTGATCTCACCCTTCCACATGGCATCATTCAAGCCAAGTTTGTCGACAACGTTCTGCCATCGAGGACCTCCTCTGTCCTGCCGCCTCAGGTAAGCCATTAACTTCTGTCTTTTGTGAACCAGCAATCGTAGACCTCGCTTGTTGTTCTTATCGTTATGGTGTAAATTATCCGCCAGCACGTTGATCTTGGCCGTCATGATTGCTATTTGCACTTCAGGAGAGCCGGTGTCAGATCCGACTCGTCGCTTCACTGTGCTTGACCCTTGTGCATGCAGACTTTGTGGTTTAGGTGGTATGGTAGAGTCGGTGTTGTGGCGACCAAACTCTTCAATGCATCGTTGAATGTTGATACGAAGTCTGTCTTTGCTGCTGGCATTCTCCAGATCTGCTATCGCCAACAAAGCCTTGGAAGCATTCTCATGAGAAGCAGCATGCTCCTGGATCTTCTTCTGAAACTCTTCGGCGTGTCCGGGTACAGGACTCTCTTGTGGGAGAGGTTCGGTAAGCCATCGCGAGTACTCCAATGACTTGTCCACGTCGTCCTTTTTCAGAAAATAGTTCAGGTGATCTCCCTTTAATGTCTGGAGAGGACCCCGAGCGCGAAGCGAGTTGACGAAGGGAGTTGGTCGTGATCTGATGGGATCACCCAAAGCGAGTTTTCGTTCTTCTTCTAGGACATTTTGTCGGGCAAGGTTCGCGGACTTCCTTTGACGAGCCTGAGCTACTCGATAAGGGTCGATATGTTTATGCTTCCTGACTTTTCGTTTCTTTGCTCTTTTCGCATCCAATGGAGCTGTGGTCGAAAAAAGGCATGTGGAACATTTTGTGAAGGCATGATTCCGTGATGCCGCAGGCAAGCTCTGAAGGAGGCTTGTCACTGGATAGATAAGTTAACTAGAGTCCTGACAGTAAAACATCTCTACTCACAGTTGAACACGCTGCTTACCACGGTAGGTAATGCGCGTGGAGGCATTGTTGCTTTGTTCTGATGGTAGCACAGTCTCCTGCAGCAACTCTGGACGAAATACTTGAAGAACTTCGGGACCTCCCTTCGCAGAAACATAATTCCGGCCCCGGAAGGCCCTAATCCATAATAGGCCAAGCGTCTTAAAATCTTGGCGGAAATTTGTCGCACGAACTTTCCTGCGATTCCAAGGCCGATCCTCTACAATCGCAGTTCGCATTTCTTCAGCTTGCCATTCCTCTAAGAACTCACTCGATTCAAGTCGCTCAACACAGTCGCAAACATGGCGAGCCCATCCAACCTTCCCGCTATCTTCAACCCTACGTCCCAGGACATTGAGATGCTCCTGGCCGCACAATGTCACCTGGGATCTAAGAACTTGCAGGTGCACATGGAGCCATACCTATGGAAGACTCGACCTGATGGTGTCAATGTGATCAACATCTCAAAGACTTGGTAAGGAAGTTCTCAGGAAGACCGTCCGAACAACATTGCTAACTGTGATTGTTCAGGGAGAAGATCGTTCTCGCTGCCCGCATCATCGCCGCCATCGACAACCCAGCCGACATCTGTGTAATCTCCGCCCGTCCCTACGGTCAACGAGCTGTCCTCAAGTTCGCTGCTCACACCGGAGCTGTCGCTATCGCTGGTCGTTTCACCCCTGGTAACTTCACCAACTACATCACCCGCTCGTTCAAGGAACCCCGCTTGATCATTGTTACCGACCCTCGCACCGATGCCCAAGCCATCAAGGAGGCTTCGTACGTCAACATCCCAGTCATTGCTCTCTGCGATACCGACTCCCCTACCGAGTTCGTCGACGTCGCCATCCCCACCAACAACAAGGGTCGTCACGCCATCGGTCTCGTTTGGTGGTTGTTGGCTCGTGAGGTCCTCCGTCTCCGAGGCACTCTCGCTAACCGCGAGGTTGATTGGGACGTTGTGGTCGATCTGTACTTCTACCGTGATCCCGAGTCTGAGGAGCAGAAGGAGGAGGAGAAGCAACCTGGTGCTGACGAGGCCGGGCCGGCCGCTGTTGACCGCGGCTTCACCGACAACGCGGACTGGGCTGGAGAGTCAGGTGCTGCGCCGGGCATTGAGGGTGCTCCTCAGGCTGATGCCACCTGGAACGACCCTGGTACCGGTGGTGGTGACTGGGCTCAAGAGACCACCGCTGGCGCCACTGCTGGCTGGTAAGAGGTTGCGAAGTCAAGTTGTTCAATGTGCATGAATGCAGTATCTGCATTTTCCCGCCTAAAAAGCTCGACATCTACATCTTCCATCTCACTCCATGCACGGGACTCTTTCAACCACGATCTGCTTGCTATTCGCTATTCACGATACAACAAGGCCAAAAGTCGACGGCACTCATGAGGGAAAGATACTCTACTGGGATCACTCGTTCTTCTCGGAAGAGGGAAAGCCCTGTGCTGGAGATGAAGGGAGTGTACTTAATCGTTGCCCGGTCTTGTGATAACGTGTGTCACTGAGCATATCCAAGAAAGGATGAAATAGAACCAAAAAAGATGAAGAAAAATTGCCATTGCATACTTACGCTTCTATTCCTTTCTCTTTCTTATACATGTACTGCTTTTCGTACCGTCATTGCCCTGAACCTCCATCAAACATCCAAACTGTGAAAACTGCCGAACCCAAATCCTCGCCCATAAGACGGGAGTACTATACTGTAGACGCCAGCGTCTTCAAAGCTCATCGTTCCCTAGAACTGAAGTCTCTCATTGTGTCGATTTGAATGTTGCTAGCTCGATCAAGAGGTCAACGTAAAAGAAGAGTCGTCAACGCCTTTATTGTGTAAATGCTGTAATAAATGTAATGAATCATGGTGTAACCCTCTCGTGTATCTTCGCTGGGCACAACAGCCGTTCATTAACGCAACTCCAGGTAGCATTCAGAGCAGTAGTACTGACTGCATAGACGTCGGAATTGCTCGCCATTTTGTACAGGTTGGAAGCAGCCAGAACATGTGATCGCCTCGAGAACGTGTTGGGAGTCAGCCGAAGTGGTTGGGGGTTTTGGAGGATTGGTTTCTTGCTGTGGTGCAATACCGGTGCCTGTGTCCTGCTTTGAATCCATCTTGCTAGCTGCTTCAGGGTATCACACTCCTGATTGTTGGGTCTTGTGGTTCGTGGTTGTTGGATTTCAAAGTTTGTTTCAAAGGCCGACTTTGTTGTTGTTTGGTGATGATACGAAAAAGGTTCTGGAGCAAAGTGAGCAGTATTTATACATGAAGTCCATCGTCTTCAAGACTTATCATAACTGCTTCGCACATAATGAGGACACAAAGGACCATGATGACCAAGTGCACTCCCGCTTTGATACGATCCGAGACATCCAGGTAGAGACTCAAAGCGTCACTTTGACATGGGCTCACCGTGGCAGTGGTTAGAAGCTCAACCCTGGAGTCGTTTCCACCCTCGTCTGAACAAAGGAACCAAGGTACGTCCCTCTGAATGAAAAGCACTAGGATCTCGCTGCATCGCTAAGAGAGTCGGTGCATTATCTTCGGTCAACACCTTACCGAGACAACATGTTAAAGGAACGCACTTCTTAGCCTCACTATGTCTTCTAGATTGTAAATTTGCATCAGACAGACTGTGCATTCAGTCAAAAGGAAGAAGGCGATGTCATCAACGGTGATGATCAACATACAGTATATACATATACAATAGCAAGTTTGTGGTATGGGAGTACATTTATTACTCCATGCCCCTGTCGAAAACGGAGATGAGCAGTGCAGCAAGCGTTCAGGCCGCCAGGGTCTGGGTAGACGAAATCATCTCATGGCACGTCATGATAGGGCCGCCCTAGGTAAAGGCCTGGCCTCGCTTCCTGCAGGACCCTTGCTTAGCTTCTGGGGCTGAAACTGATGTGGCAGATTCTCGAATTTCATTAACCTCCTCAATCAGCTACAGTATCTTCATGTTGTGAAGGCCTCAACAGCATCTTCTATCACACTATGCTTGTAGTGAACGAGAACAAGGGTGTCAAAAGGTCGAGAGCATAAACCAACTACGTGTTTGCCCATGGTCCCACATATCCGTCACAAGCCTGATCGAGCCCTGAGTTCGGCACGGTCCTACAAGTGGGATCCAAGCTTCTGGCTGTTCCCGAGAAAAACAGTGGAGGCTCCCACGCACAGGGCTTATCATCATCATGACCTGGGTGCCATGGGAATCCGTACACAACTGGTCGCCCTTCCAGATAGACGCCCTCGGTCTTGTCACCCTCCTCGGGGCAGATGAGGTCAATGGTGCAGTAGGGCGCCTTGTCAAATGTGCCTACCTTGAGTATTTACCGATACTCGGTGCGTTCGTCATTGCTGGCAACCAAATTACGGACAAAGCCGCGGGCTGGAACCTCTACAACGTTTCACAAGGTATCCATACAACCGATCTGTCCGCCTGGTTGACAAGATGGATGCTGTCTCAAGACTTCGAGCAAACCCGAAGCTTCGTCATATGGACGGTCACTCCTCCGAGATCCCAATGGAAAGATATCACCGTCTCGTTGATTATCAGCATCATCTTCAATGGTTTTTTGCTGGCATTGACCATCGTATCGAGAGACTGGTACGGTTTCGCCAATGCCTTGGCTATGGATATCTCAATAATCGTTCGGGTTTACGTTGTAGGCCAACAAAGGGCCGCAGTGGATGCCAGAGTTAATGAGGTCGTAAAGAAGGCCCGGGAAAAAGAGGAAGAGAAGAGGAGAAGGCGGAGCCACGCATCAAGTCAAGATACAAATGGTGGTAGGACAGGACGACTCGACGCCTCTTCACAGGACTCTATCCCACCAAAGCATGCAGAGGAGCGGGCAAGAGTCTCCAATCCAGAAGATTCAATTGCACGTCCGAATTTTGATCGAAGCAACCTCAAATATCCGGATGATGAATGGACTGGAACCTCAACCAAAGTCTTAATCATCCAGACGGACTCCAAGGCTGTGACATTCTGGATGCCACAAGAACTACTCGCCCCGCCATCCTTGTTCATCGAGGGCCCAAGGCTATTACATCCGCGGATGTATTTTGTAGCTCGATCGATTGGTTGGCTCGCTTTTGCGGTCCACATTGTGGCGATCGGTATGGCAGATTTGGCTAGTCAGCTATATACCGTTGTTCTCATTGTGTTGCCGACGCTCCTGTTGGTACTCAAGTTCTCTTGCGACGACTCAAAATGGATCCAGACATTTTCAGAATGGATGAGGAAATATCTTGAGACACGTGCCATGGCATCAGAGCGCCAACGATTAGCCGATGAGAATGCATTGTCATCTGAGCCGATAAAACTGCGGAATTGCTGGATCGGTTCACGTTTGAAAGCCGAAATCTGCGAGTGGCCAGAATCCTATGAGTTCGTCGAGACGGCCCCATCGGAATGGTCGAGCGGCAGTCCTCGCAAAGAGAGAGGACGATCAACGAAGCGCCAAGACCTTTACGCCTGGCTTGCTCTCAGCCATGCCGAAGAGGAAAGCATGGACAAATGGGATCTATTCCCGCATATTCGCAATGATAACACTACATGGTGGGAGACTTACAAGCTGAAGAAGAATTGTCTGAAGCGGAATTCAACATTTGGACCACAGCTCACACCTGACAAGTCTTCCACCAAGGATACCACAGATGATGTGCCGACTTCGATCTTCCAGAAGGGCCGAACCAAGACGATCAACTTCGCCGCCAATATGTCGGACGGTCAGTATGTCCAAGCTCGAAGAACGAGCAGTGTCGTCGAGCATAGCTCAGCATTTCCTGCAATTAGTGATCATGAACAGCTGGAAAATATCATCGATGGCACTGACGGCGTCCTGACTCAATCTCCGGTAGAGACTGTAAGAGGAAGAGGCGGGCTGCTTTCTGCAGAGACTTCTGATACCATCATGAGTTCTACTCCTGATCATCGTCAGGCTACTGGTGGTATTAAGGAAGATTGAGCTGGTCAATCCAAGATTCCAACCAAGATTCCAACCAAGGAGAATTTTGAAAGCCATTTGAGCAAGCGTGAGAAATTTAAAGAGTACTGATTAAAAATATGGAAAGGTCACAAAGTTGAGTAGGTCTCTGAGGTAAAGGGTATGTAGGGAGGAACCTTGAATACCTGGGTAGCTTCAGTCTAAGCTAAGACTGAGGTGAGGCATAATCGCGAATATGAAAGAAGAGCCTGCTACTTTTTTCCGCATAGTTCAAGAAAATCGAAGCTCACGGATAAAGTCAACTCCGCTGGAGAAATATTCCACAGCCTCGTTCTAAGTCACTAGTGCCACTTAAGCGACGCTGTTCTCTCCAATTGATGCGTTTCCCCTTTCTGCAAGGCTGATCTAGTGCCGCCAAGTGCATAAAGCGCCAAGAGTTGAAAATAATCCAGCCTTCTCGAGCTCTTGACTCATTGACTGTTGGTACCGTCAGGTGAATTCAATCTGGTAGTCGGTGCGTCAAGATGCCGATGGTCAATGGAACGGCGAAAGAGGTTCGAGTGAGTCTACTCGGCAAAGAAAGTATCATCATCAACTTTGGACTATGGCGCAACTACGTCGCTTCCGACCTTCTCACAAACCTCGAGTCATCAACCTACGTTCTCATCACCGACACCAACCTTGGCTCCCTTTACATTGAATCCTTTCAAAATGCTTTTCGGACTGCATCTCAGCAGAAGGCAAGCTCATCAAGGCTACTAGTTCACCAAATCCCCCCAGGAGAAAGCTCAAAGTCTCGGCAAACAAAGGACGATATTGAGGATTGGCTGCTAAGTCAGAGCCCACCATGTGGCCGCGACACCGTCATTATAGCTCTTGGAGGTGGCGTTGTGGGTGACCTGACTGGATTCGTGGCTGCAACCTACATGCGAGGTGTACGGTTCGTTCAAGTGCCGACAACGTTACTTGCCATGGTCGACTCGTCCATTGGCGGAAAGACAGCCATCGACACGCCTCTCGGCAAGAATCTTGTCGGTGCTATCTGGCAGCCTCAGCGAATTTATATTGACTTGGACTTCCTGGGGACCTTGCCGCGAAGGGAGCTCATTAATGGCATGGCCGAGGTCATAAAGACGGCCGCGATCTCCGAAGAGGAAGAATTTATCGCTCTAGAGCACAACGCCGATCAGATCATGGCCGCTGTCAATGACGATGTCAGGAAAGGCGCTGCCAGATTCAAGGACATTGAACCCATCTTGATTCGCATCATATCTGCCTCCGCAAAATTCAAGGCTCATGTGGTAACTATCGATGAGAGAGAGACCGGACTGCGAAACCTGTTGAATTTTGGGCACTCCATTGGTCATGCTATGGAAGCTTTCCTGACGCCACAGGTGCTGCACGGAGAGTGCGTGGCTATCGGCATGGTGAAAGAAGCCGAACTTGCTCGACATCTCGGTGTTCTTAGTGGTGTAGCCGTCGGACGTTTGCAGAAGTGTATAACCGCGTACGGTTTGCCGACGAGACTGGATGATGAAAGGGTGCGCAAGCTATCAGGTGGCAAGGTATGTACTGTTGACGGCATGCTCAAAAAGATGGGCGTGGACAAGAAGAACGACGGAGCAAAGAAAAAAGTCGTCCTTCTCTCTGCCATTGGACGCACATATGAGCAGAAAGCGAGCGTTGTTGCCGATTCTGACCTCCGTGTGATTCTTTCACCAAGCATTGAGGTCTTGCCTGGTGTCCCCAGGGATCTGAACGTCGTCTGTGCGCCACCGGGATCAAAAAGCATCTCCAACAGAGCTCTTGTCCTTGCAGCTCTTGGCAAGGGTGTTTGCCGCGTCAAGAACTTGCTCACGTCCGCCGATACAGAGGTCATGCTGGAAGCACTGACTCGTCTGGGAGCTGCCACGTTCTCTTGGGAAGACGATGGCAATGTCCTGGTCGTTAACGGAAACGGCGGCCAGCTTCGTGCAAGCCACCAAGACTTATACCTGGGAAATGCTGGGACAGCTGCGCGCTTTCTGACCACGGTCGCAACGTTGACTCAACAGAGCAACGTAAAATCTACAGTTCTTACGGGCAATGCACGGATGAAGCAAAGACCTATTGGGGATCTCGTGGATGCGTTGAAAGTCAATGGTGCTGGGGTCGAATACCTAGAAAGTCAGGGATGTCTTCCTCTAAGGATTGCAGCTTCTGGTGGCTTCAATGGGGGAGAAATCAGACTGGCAGCCAAAGTCTCGTCTCAGTATGTTTCATCACTGCTTATGTGCGCACCCTATGCAAAGGAAGCGGTCACACTTAGACTTGTTGGCGGAAAGCCAGTTTCGCAACCATACATCGACATGACTATCGCCATGATGGCGTCATTCGGCATTCAAGTCGAGAAGTCCAAGAGTCAAGAACATACCTACCACATCCCACGTGGTTCTTACCGCAATCCGTCAGAGTACATGGTGGAAAGCGATGCCAGCTCAGCAACTTATCCTCTCGCTATTGCGGCAATCACTGGAACGACTTGTACGATCCCAAACATCGGCTCTGCATCCCTGCAAGGCGACTCACAGTTTGCCGTCGACGTTCTTCGGCCGATGGGCTGTGAAGTTAAGCAGACGGCAACGTCGACTACGGTGATCGGGCCGCGTGGTGGGGTTTTGAAGCCTCTCTCCAACGTAGACATGGAACCAATGACTGATGCCTTCTTAACAGCCTCTGTCTTAGCGGCAGTCGCTCAAGGCACCGGCACAAGCACAACGCGTATATATGGCATCGCTAATCAACGAGTCAAAGAGTGCAATCGCATACAAGCCATGGAGGACGAGCTAGCCAAGTTTGGAGTGACTTGTCGCCAGTTCGACGACGGTATCGAAGTCGATGGTATTGACAGAACTCGACTGAAGCAACCTAAAGGTGGCGTACATTGCTACGATGATCACAGAGTTGCGATGAGCTTCAGCGTGCTAGCGCTAGCGGCACCTCAACCTAGTCTGATCCTTGAAAAGGAATGCACAGGAAAGACATGGCCGGGTTGGTGGGACACGATGGCTCGCCAGTTCAATGTCAAATTGCAGGGAGTAGAGCTGGATACTGTCGTGCAGTCACCGAATAAGCGACTCGACCGTGATTCTGCTTCCATGTTCGTCATCGGAATGAGAGGTGCTGGAAAAACCACCTGCGGACGCTGGGCCGCGAAGTCGCTGGGAAAAAAGCTACTCGACCTCGATACTGAGCTTGAACTCCGGGAGGGCATGGGAGTTGCGGAGATCGTCAGAAAACATGGCTGGGAATACTTTCGCGAGCGCGAACTGGCGCTCCTCAACGACGTCGTAAAAAACATGCCAAACGACTACATTCTTGCCTGTGGTGGTGGCATTGTCGAAAGTCCGGAAGCACGACAGATTCTGGTCAACTGGCATCAAACAAGAGGGCACGTCCTCCTTGTCGAGCGTGATATCAATCAAGTCATGGGCTTTCTGAACATTGACAAGACACGCCCTGCATACGTCGAAGACATGATGGGTGTCTGGCTCCGACGCAAGCCATGGTTCGAAGAATGCAGTAACCTTTTGTTCTACAGCCAAGATATACCCAACGAGAAAATGTCCGAGGCTGCCGCAGACTTCGACCGCTTCCTGCACGTGGTGACTGGTCGAACCGACACGTTGTCCGATCTCAAACGAAAATCTGAATCTTTCTTCGTAGCGCTCACATTTCCAGATCTCCGCCCGCACCTGAACATCCTTCCAGAAGTATGTCTCGGTTCCGACGCTGTGGAACTACGTGTCGACCTGCTCAAGGACCCAAATTCCTCTTCCCGAACCCCTTCGGCAGAGTACGTCACGGCGCAACTCTCTCTACTCCGAGCTACAGTCCCTCTGCCGGTGGTCTTTACGGTACGCACGTCTGCACAAGGTGGTCAGTTCCCTGACGACGCCCATGCCGAGTACGCCGAACTGTGTAAGTTGGCAATCAGAATGGGTGTCGAGTTCGTCGATCTCGAAGTCGCCACCTTGCCCGAAGGTCTTCTCAACTCGATCCTCGCGCTCAAGAACAGCAGCACGTCGCGCATCATTGCGTCTCATCACGACCCACAGGCCCGTCTGTCCTTCAACAACCCGGCCTCCTGGATCCCCGTGTACAATCGCTGCCTCCAGTACGGCGATGTAGTCAAGCTGATTGGCGTGGCGTCCAGTCTGGACGATAACTTCTCCCTGCGCAAATTCAAGCAATGGTCGGCGAGCCAGCATCCTGAACTTCCCCTGATTGCCATCAACATGGGCCGTGCCGGCCAAGCGTCGCGGATACTCAACGGGTTCATGACGCCTGTGAGCCATCCCGCGCTCCCCTTCAAGGCGGCACCGGGCCAACTCAGCGCGGCGGAAATTCGTCAAGGTCTAAGCCTGATGGGCGAGATCGTCCCGAAGCAGTTCTACCTGTTCGGAAGTCCGATTAGCGCGAGCAAGTCTCCTGCCCTGCACAATACCTTGTTCAGGGAGACGGGCTTACCGCACCACTACGAAGCCTTCGAAACGACCGACGCGGACGAACTGAAGAGCAAGATCCGAGCGGCCGACTTTGGCGGCGCGAGCGTGACTATCCCGCTGAAACTCGACGTCATGCCATTATTCGACGAAGTGGACGAGAGCGCGCGGCTGATTGGCGCCGTCAACACCATCGTGCCAGTCCCCGTCGCCGGCGCGCAGCAAGGCGCGAAATTGGTCGGACGCAACACCGATTATCTGGGCATGATGGACTGCCTGCGGGCGGCGGGCGCGAGCGCAGCACTCGGCGACGCGGAACAGTCTGGGCTGGTCATTGGCGGAGGCGGCACTGCTCGCGCCGCGATCCAGACGCTACACACCATGGGCTACAAGCCGATTTACATCGTCGGCCGGGACGCACGAAAGATTGAGGAGCTGGCCAGGGATTTCCCGACACGGTACGACCTCGTCGTCCTTGACTCTGGCGTCACAAAGATCCGCACGCCGCCCACGGTGGCCATCGCCACCATCCCGGCCAACATCCCCATCGACAGCACGCTGGCCGGCACGTTGCAAAAAATCGTCAAGATGCCAGTGCCCGAATCCGTCATGCCCAAAGGTCAAGGATCCAGCGCACCCGGTAGGATCTTGCTCGAACTCGCGTACAAGCCGGCACACACGGAGGTGATGAAGATGGCGGAGAGCGGTGCGTGGAAGACGGTCCAGGGGCTCGAGACCCTCGTCACCCAAGGTGAGTGGCAGTATGAGTACTGGACGGGGATACGGGTGAGAGGTCTCGGTAGTAGGATCACCAGGGTGAGTTTTGCTTTTGTTCCCCCCCCCCTTTCCTCGCTTGTTTTTCGGTTCATCACCCGATGGGAAAGTTCTATTTCAGTCCACTAACAACTTTTTGTTTTCTCAGGGAGTCGTCCTTGGATCAGATGCGTAGAAATATTTTACAGTCGGACACAACCTATTTGAAGGGGAGGATGTACAAGGGTGACGCACATCGTTCAGCTGGGATTGCACAAGCTTCGTACGTGATCGCTCTGGCGGATCCAAACGGTCGCTTTTTTTCAAAAGCTTTAGTGGTATGAAAGATTTTTGTTTGTAGGACAGCGCTGTACAATTGGATCACACAGTACAATCCCACACACACCCCAACCCCACGAAAAAGACGCGTACTTCTGGTGAAATTTATGGGTTAATTAATGATGTCGTCTGTCGAGCAACCGCCGTTATGATACAGTAGATACTTGGATACTCACACCTCGCCTTATTTACCTACTTGATACAACAAGACTTTCCGAGAACATTGCCACCGAGAAATGCAGGGAAAGATACCGTACCTCCTTGGTGTCTCGCCTTGAGACCCACAACAACACTATACAAAACCATTTCAAGACCCTTGGTTCCTTCTCTGCTCTTCTGCGTGTCTCTGCAAGGCTGCCGCAAGAGCAGGATTACCTGCCCACACTCCCGGATTGTGAAACGGTTGCGACGATGAAGTCTTGGACTCGGTACCAGGAGCAAAATTCTGCTGACCGTGTTTGGAGGGTGGAAATTGTGGTGGAAACTGTTGCTGCTGTTGCCGCTGCTGAAATGGCTGTGGCTGCGTCTGTTGAAACTGAGCAAAGAACGATGGAGACATTCCCATTGGCATCTGTGGCATCTGTGGCATCTGTGGCATCTGTGGCATCTGTGGCATAAAGGGAACTCCAGCTTGTGGTGCTTGCATCTCCCCGAAACTGAACGAGACGTTGGGCAGAGGAGTCATCGGCGATGGTGTAGTAGGAGGGTATGAGATGTTGTGTGGTGTGATCGACGGGGTTGTAGGAAGATTGAGGTCTGGTGCGTTGGGTCGGTAGCCACCCTGGGAACTGTGGGTGTTGTGCTGCTGTTGGCGATTATTAAAGCCACCGCCACCACCTCGAGAGTGATTGAACCCTCCGCCGCCGCCGCGGTTATTTCGCGAAGTCCCTCCTCGTCCTCTGAGATGACCTCTGCCTCTTCCCCCGAAATCAGGTCTACCGTTCTGGAAAAACGGTGGAGGAGGAGGTAGATGGCCGTGACTGTTCTCTTGAGGTTGTTCGCCCCTCGACAAAGCCTCGGCCATATTGTCAGGCCTCTGAAGGGGAGTATACCCTTCATCACCACCGTCCGGGACATCATCATAATTCATTTGAATCGACCCGTTACCATAACCGTTGTTATCGGTGCTATGGTGAAGGTGTGCTCCACGACTACCACGATGTGATGATCCTCTTGCCAACTTTGATCCACCACGGCCTCTACCAGTGTCCCCCCTTCCTTGTTTTCTCGCCTTCATTTGACGTTTGTGCTCTGCTTCAGCTTCGTCATCCGAAAACTCCATCTCATCATCACCCACTTCTTCATCATGGAAATTCGATGCATCGCTGCCCTTGACGGCCTTCAGAGGCTGTGTGAAAACAAAGGTTGAATGCTGGGGTACGTAGAAGACTACAGTGCCGATCTGCGAGAGACCAGCCTCTGCGATAGCCTCGTCATTGGTGAATCGGATCGTATACCGGGGTTCTTCGACTCGCCCTATCAAGTCTGCGACAACCCCGACAACAGATCGGTTTTCGAGGCAGATCAAGGATCCAGACTCGAGAACCTGGTATTCTCCAGACGTCTTCGCTTTGATCACCACTGTGCTCTCAACCACGAACTCAACATTGCCCAATTCTTCGACTTTCATTTCATTGGTCACAATGATATCAGGCTTCGGTATCACTTCTTCCTGTCGCTCATTTGCCGTCCGCAGCTGGGCACCATCTGATTTGTCTCGGGATCTACCTCCTTCGTCGTCCGAGCCTCCATCTTCTTGCATCAGCATCCTAGCTGTCTCTTCTGGATCAAGCATTGAATATTCTCCGTCAACATCTTCATCGCTGTCTTCATCCGAAGATGTGGTGTCGTCCGAGGAATCGGAGTCTGAAGATGATTCGTAAGGTGAAGAGTCGATCTCCCACTCTGCGCCCTCGGCCGCGGTCTCATGAGGGTGCAAGTGTTCTGCTGGAGATATGTCTTCAGAACTCTCTGGCACAACCGGAGCAGCTGGGGCACCGGCCTCGTCTCTCACTGTCGGGATGGCTTCATTGGTGTCCGCGTTGATACCGACCATGGCATCATGGGCAACAGCGTTTTGTGTCACTTGAGCGGTCGACTCGCCCTCGTTTACATTAATTGAGTCGATAGTTGTGGTATCCTGACGAGGATTTTGTACTTCTGCTTGAGACCCATGTACCCCAACAGCCATCGGATTCTCTTGTGTGGTGTTCTGTTCACCATCTGCAATGGACATGAGAGGTTGGGTTGAGGACGGCTGAAGTTGCGCAGCAGAAGAGGATTCGGCTTCGACCTGGAGCATCAGCGCATCCAGTAAAGAATTCGGGTCCCGAGAACTAGTCATATTTTCCAACACTTGTTCTTTTAATTGGCCGAGTCCAGGAATAGTCGAAGTATTCTCTGTTGACGCCTGCATCGTCAAAACATCACATCCGCTAGTTAAGTTCGCATTCTGAGAAGAAGGGCGGTCTCCGTCAGGCGAGGCTGTTCTTTGGCGTTTGGAAGGAGATGTGGGAAACTCGTCAACATCCATGGCGTATGAGACACGAGGACAACTGCAAAATCACCCTGGATGGTCAAGATTAAGTATGAAAACCAAGATGGCGAGGGACATTTCGAGACGCCTTCGACAAAAAAAATATGGAAGATGCGGAGAAGTTCAAATGACGAAAATTGGTCTCAGCAATTGGAGTATTTTTTGCTACACCAAAAGACGATCTGACTGCTGCACATGTATGTGTTGTTCCACAGTCGAAGTCGTGAACTCATCGGCTGGTGTTGGACAATAGGAGTTCGCCAATCTACCAGTCAATCTCTCTGGTACGCCATGCTGTCTCTGGACTCCGTCGTACATTTTATTCCATGCTCCAGGAACCAAGACGCACGTCCTAGGAAAGATACCCACCCCCCACGCAGACACGCGAAGAGCATACAGCTGCTCCAGACCGCGGGAGATGTCGCTAGGCAAGCATTCGAGGTCCATACATGATCCTACATAGTCCCATCAGAAATACAAATGAGGCGGTTACCAAAGGGAAGCCCAAAAACATCCGATGGTACGTTAGCCGCCATACGGCGGATAATGCACCCTTCAATCGGCTTGCAACCACAAGGCATCTGCGGGCACGATACCAGCCGATGGCTCGATCTCCTTCATCATGTGGGATTATTTTTATTGATAAGGCGGCTTCTTGAGATCCAGAATTGGTTTTTAAATAATCTCGAGAGCCAACTATTTGGTCTATTCCATCTCACCTTTCACGATACGAAGAAGCGTTGAGATCACTCTTGATCCCAAACCCATCACACCAGGTCAAAGTATTCCTGAACCTCATATCAACATGGGCTCTATTTCAGAATCATGGCGCAGACTTTCTGTCGGAATTTGTGGCGGCGGTATAGGTGGCATGTCGGCTGCCATCGCTCTTCGTCGGTCTGGCCATGATGTTACCATTTATGAGAAGCACGACTTTGCTGGAGAAGTAGGCGCCTCGGTATCCTGTGCGGCAAATGGCACACGGTGGCTTCACGAATGGAATGTGGATGTCGCCAAAGGAGACCCGGTTGTGCTCAAGAAGCTCATCAACCGCGACTGGAAAACCGGCGAGCCCGTGAGTGTGTATGATCTGGATGACTACGAGGAACGATGGGGCTATGTGTACAACATGTTCCACCGGCAGTATATGCACTCAATGCTAAAAGATACTGCCCTACAAGAACAAGGAGAGGGTGTGCCGGCAATCTTGAAGGTCAATCATTCCGTAAGTTCAATATTTGTTATACGTATTGTATGGACACAAGCACTGATCCCATTATATCCAGTGTGAAGATATCAACCTTGAGACAGGAACGATCACGTTTCGCAATGGTGTTACTGCACGACATGATCTGATCATTGGCGCGGATGGTATTGGCTCGGTCGTCCGCGGGATCATTGGAGTTCAGCCTGAGAAGACTCCGTCGGAACAAAGTTGTTTACATGCAAACGTTACAACGGAAGAGGCTGTGAAACTTGGATTTGTCGATTACTCACAGGACAGTGCTTTGGAGTACTGGGGTGGTCAAGAGGGCAAATGGGACAAGATCGTACTGTCTCCCTGTAACGGCGGCAAATTATTGTCGTACTACTGCTTCTTCCCTCGGGACAAGGGTGATTATTCCACTCAAACATGGGGTGGCGACGATCGGCCTGTCGAGGAGCTTTTGGCGCCATACCCCGAATTGGACTCGCATGTCCTGAATCATCTCAAGATTGGCAAAGAAATTCGGCCATGGCGGCTGTGGGTACAGTATGTGATGTCGATGATCCGCTCTTTCTCGCTGACGACATGTTGTGGTGCATCCTGCTGACTGGGATGTAGCAACCCCTATCCCTACATCCACAAGAACATGGTGTGTCTGTTGGGAGATGCTGGACATCCGGTATGTCGCCCAATCTCCGGAGATGAGCATAGATCAGTGAAGCTGACTGGATACAGATGATGCCTCACCAGTCGCAGGGTGCCTGCATGGGCATTGAAGATGCCGCAGCACTCGGGATTCTTTTTAGCAAGAAATTCTTCAGAGGAGACATTTATGAAGCACTCGCGGTCTATGACCAGATACGATTGCCACGAGCAACGAGGGTACAGGCCGCTGCTGCAAAGGCTGCGTACAATATTAATGAGCGAATTGGTAAGATGGCGCGTTCCACTCAACAGGAAGATGTCGACTAATCTCGATCAAGGTTTCTCGAATAACAAAAACATTGCAACGTACAAGGTGGAAGATGAAAAGAAGAAACTGACGATAGAAGAGATGAACTCGTATGTACTCTTTGCAATCTTTCAGACTCACTGATTAACTATGGTGGCAGATACGATATGTACCAGGATATTGAGGAAAAGCTGGCTGCGAGGCGAGGCGAGAAGTACCAAGGGAAATGGATGGACGGATTGCCGATTGGTTTGGAACTGCCGAATGGTGTAGTTATCGGCGCATGAACTGGTGTATGTTGTTATTGTTGTTGTTTCTATGAGTAGATGTCTGTACTCCGTACCCAATACTGGCTTGGGGTCTATTGTGAGGATCCGGGAGGAAAGTTCTTCCGCATCCGTCGTGAAAATCCCCCGGATGCCGCGCACGTGATGAGCAAATCCGGGGGGATTCGCTGGATTCGCTGGCTGCGGCGATCGAATTGAATGGCATGAAATTAATTTTCCCAGATTTTAAAGGAGCTGACACAACCTTCTCAACCCGCGTCAAACTGCAAGACTATTCTTTCACCCTTATTATCCTTGTGGATTCTATCCTTATATTGTATCGAGTACCTCGTACTGCTCATCGCCCTATATTCACCGTCAATGGGTCGAACTGCCGTCAATATTTCACTAACTGTCTTGCGCTCTCCTGCCGTTTGCTCCCTGGTTGCGGCTTCCCATGTGATTGAATCTCCCACTGCAATCATCTCCGACGCCTGCAGGCTGCCCTGGCTACTGGCGCAAGGTCCGTCCTGAACAAGGGCGGACGGTAAACACGCGGAGCGAGTCGAAGATATATCAGTGAGGCTCCAAACAATAGCCTTACGGACAACAGAATTGCAACTCAACAGAAATAATCAGGAAATATGAGCATTCGCCATACTGAAATAGCCATGGACAAATACCAAGATGCGGATAGGGGCATTGGTTCGACTGCAGACATTTCTACAAAGCTGGAAGATGCGTTGAATTCGCTCGCGCTTGGAAACAACGCCCCCGACAACGAGCCAGAAATCACTCCTATTCGCACAAAGAGCCCTCCGATCACTCCCAGAAAGGCCACTTCGAACCATCGAGGCCCAGACAGTCCTCTGGGTGGAATAGAAACCCCACGAGGAAGACAAGAGATCAAGGGAAGCACCATCCTTTCTACAACCGCCGCCAAGAGGAAGAAAAAGAAGAACAAGACAAGAACCTCGGAAGCATCACAGGCCCTCAGCACTGTAAGAGGCTTCACTCCTCTTGATTCGGGCGCCGAGGATTCGGATGTCTCGGTGAACAGTCCTCGGGTTTTGTCACCCATCCCACGGCTACCTGCGTTGGCTGGTGCCAGCCCCGGCCTGAGGCCACAGTCGCCCGGAATCAGCAGTCTCAAAGCACAGCTTGACGCCTTGAATTCAAGAAGCCAGAGCCGATCTACATCCTGTGCCCGTAATAATCAGGACTCCGAAGCAAACAGCAGCGCGGCCAGTGCGGCATCGGATACTCAAACCGACGAGACACCCGAAGAAATTGTCAGTTACAATGTCCAAATCGACCAAGATTTCATCAGCCAGTCTCTGGCTGACACCGAGCCTGCGTCCGCATCCCCCATCGCCATGGATGCAGATCAACGCGCCACATCTCTGATCGCACGCAAAATGACTGCGGCGGACTTCACCCCCATCCGATGTTTGGGAGATGGCGCATTTGGAACAGTTCTCCTTGTGAGACAAAATGCAACTGGACGCCTCTTCGCGCAGAAACAACTCACTAAGGCGTTCCTCAAGATTCACAAGAAACGCATCGAGTCGACCAGGTCAGAGCGTACCATCCTCGAATTGGTCAATCGTCATCCCTTCATCGTCAACCTCTATTACGCCTTCCAGGACCATGAGAAGCTCTACCTGATCCTCGAGTACGCTTCCGGTGGTGAACTCTTCCGTCACTTGGAGTTGGAGAAGTTCTTTAGCGAGGATGTGGCATCTTTCTACATTGCTGAAATTGTTCTGGCACTGGATTACCTCCACAACACTGTCGGAGTCATCTATCGCGATCTCAAACCAGAGAACTGCCTCTTGAATGCCGAAGGTCATCTTCTTCTCACCGACTTTGGCCTCAGCAAAGTAGCCGTCCCTGACCCAAGCACTCCGGGCGGCAGTCGATGTAACAGCCTGGGTGTGGGGACTATCGAATACATGGCGCCTGAGATCATCCGAGGCTGGGATGAATCCGATTGGGGTCCGGGTTACGGCAAAGCTTGCGACTGGTGGTCGCTGGGTGCCATGGCGTGTGATTTGATGACGGGGAAACCACCCTTTGGCGGTGGAAACTGGACCAAGATTCAACAGAACATCATGCATCAAAAATTGAATCTTCCTTACTTTCTGTCGCCGGATGCCAAAGATCTTCTCACCAGGCTCATGCGCAAGGAACCCAAGAAGCGACTTGGAGTTGGCCCCAGCGATATCAACGTTATCAAAAAGCATCGCTTCTTCCGGAAGATCGACTGGAAGAAATTAGAGGCACGGGAATTGGAACCACCCATTAAACCATTGGTCACCAACCCGGAATTGGCTGAGAACTTTTCAAAGGAGTTTACTCTGCGAGAGGTAGATGCCGTTCCTCTTCCACACAACAGGACATTGAGCAAGTCTGATCCCTTTGGAGGATTCAGCTATGTTGCAAGCCACAGTCTACTTGAGGAATCGATGCTGTCGGAGTTGGATGAAGCCATCGTCGATGATGAATTTTAGACTGTTAGACGAGGGTTGAATGGGGTTTGCTATAGAGTATGTGATAGAGGCTCACTACTACTGCAGGTTATCGCGGCGTTTCAACCGGGGTTTTATTTATAGATGTTTTGATTAATTCAAGAACATTCCGCATGGGTTATTGGGAGTACAAGCATCCATAGATGAGATCTAGATTTTGCATGGTTAAGGACCGATATCTACAATTCTTGTGAACATTTGCACAGGTACGAATACGAATAAGAATAAGAATACGAAGATGGTCTTTTGGGCGGTGATGTCACGTGCTCTTGTCTGCCAAAGTTCCTTACATTAGTACCTTCTGCCTTTCTTGTCTCTTATTAACTAAACAAACAGCTGCCTGAGTATTGAATCAAATTCACCTGTCTTTCTCTTACTTCTGCCCTTGCAATGTTTCGTCTTTCTCCATCTCATCTTCGTTCCTGCGCAACCTCACTCCATCACATGAAACCTGACTAGAACTTCTTTCGTCGTCCTACGCGGACGTCCCATCCATCCATCATGCCTTCCATACGCATTCTAGACCTCAATGTCGAGATCCTCGCGGACATCTTTCAAATCGTGAACGATGAATCACCACGAACCACCTCGGCCATCGCTCAAGTCAACAAGACCTTCAACTTTGCAGTCGAACTGGTACGGTATCGACGAGAGACTCTCAAGTGGAGCAGTGGCCTCGTGAAGTTTGTCGATGACTTCGATCGACCTGTAGAGCTCTTGTCACCAGATCGGCTGCGCGGACTACGACATCTGACCATCTCCAAGGGCGATTTTCCTTTTGAAGACATCCACGATGGCCCGGCGACGACTCACTTGATCGAGTTGCTGGATGCCACCTCCAACCTCAAGTCACTGACCTACAAAACCGGAAATTACCCTCCAAGCGATCTCATCCGTGCGATACAGAAGAGACATCCACGGACCGATCTCAAAGTCTACATCGACGCAGAGGAAGCTTCACAAATCTGCGAGTCCCAGTCTCTCTGTCTGGCACAATCCCGCGTGACTGAATTTACAATGGAGATCCCCAAGACCTATCTGGGAAGGGACAATCGCCACCAGGAGTTCGAGCACATGATCTCTACTGCGAAGCATTTGAGGTCTGCCAGTCTCACTTCGTTCAACATTCACACATCACGGATGAGAAAGTGGCAAGCCGGAACAGATTCGACATCAGGCAGGAAGCGCAACACTTCACTTCGTCAATTTTGTCTCGATGGTTGGCCTGTCTCGGCAGACACGCTGGAGTACTGGTCTCAGTTCATAGACTTGTCGCGCCTAGAGACACTCTCATGTACCCGAGGTCCTTTGCACACTTCGTATTTCATCAAGGCAGCCGAGATCCTACGAAATCTAAAATCTGTCAGTCTCAACCTCAGCCCTTTTACATGTTCCGACGAGACTGCCAACGCAGTGGAACAGTACATTGGCACATGTCCTCCTTTGACAACACTGAGTCTATGGTCTTGGATGGGCAAGGTCAGACTCGAAACCATCCTCAGCCATCATGGTCCTACTTTGCAGGATCTACAACTGCATGTTCGAGAAGAGGAAATCATGCCGGATGGTCAGCCGCAGCCATTGCCGATCGAGAAGCTCAAGGCCATTCGCATGTCATGCCCCAAGCTCTCCAGGTTCACGTTTGATGTGAAACGCGTGTCGAAGTATCTTGCATGGAACGAGTACAAGGAGATTTTTGACGAGGTCAAGCTGTTCAACCTGAATTACTTGCAAGTCTACATGGATTGCGGATTGATGTACATGGTGAACAGAGTGCGTACGCACAATGATGAGGAAGACGAGGAAGACGATCCTGATGTTGATGATTATGACGAAGACATGGACGGTCTCGGTGATGACGATCCCTCGCCTGACGGATGCGGTGGCTTGATGGACTCGGAAAGCCTCGAGACGATGGACCCGTCAGCAGAGTTTGACGTTTATGATCATATCTCAAGCCTCCATCCACCTGTCTCAACCAAGAGAATTCCACCATTCGTCCATCAGGTCTGGAAGCACGTGTTTGGAGATCGGATCACGGGTGACGGAGTATTGGATGTCAAGTTTGGTGAATGGGAACGAAAAGTCGCAGTTGGAGCGTTTCGATATGACGGTGAACCTCAGAAGGATTTAAGGGTTTGGTGTCATGCAGAACCACATCCGAGAGATGACAAGAAAGGACAAAGTGAAGTGGTCTTGAAATGTTGTCAAGGACTTCATTTGGCAAAATGCAGTACCGGTTGAGGTGTCGACCATTGATCATTGATCATTGACCCTTGGCGTCATGGCGAGAAGAAACAAAAACACAAGGTGTTGGTATGATAAGGGGACAAAGAGAATCGGTTCCTACTTTCGGAAGAATCCAACAAGAATTCAAACGACTTGCGAAAATCACATTGGCACTGGACGGATGGTGTTTCGGATTTGGGGTTGGCCAACAAAATGCATCCTGGGGCGTCGACAAGGGCATTGTTCCCACCAGATCGAGTGCTGATCAGGTTGAATTAGACATTGCACGGCGTTTCCCCCCTCTTTTGTCAGGACAGTCAAACAGATAGAGCTAGAATGAATACGAAACCATGAATTTTCTTCATCTAGGCGGGAGTTCGTGCGGATTGACGAGGAGAGACGCAACGATGTAGAATCTTCATCAAAACGTTTCCAAACCGGTTTCCTGGTTAAGTCTTGAAAGGTATCATCATGTGTCAAAAGTTCCATGACCAAACAATGGATGCCGACATTAATACGGACATGACGAGAAAGTGCCCAATATCACACAGTCATCACACGCGTCAAACGGTAAAAGAACGACATCACAACGCACCCAAAACAAACAGCAGCGCCACGGCCATCATCACCACGACCGACGCCTCTTGCACCCAAGTCGAGTGCCTAGCGGCTGAAGAATGAAGCGGTGAAGAAGGAGTAGTAGTAGTAGTGGCCGTATTCATCGCGTCGCCACGACTTTGGTCTCCCTCATCGTCGTCGTGATCACCAGATCCCAGGTGTGTAATCGTGGAAGAACCGTTGTCGGTGTCGGTGTCGGTGTTGTTGATGGTGGTGGTGCTAGAATTCGACCAAGCGACGGGTGCGATGGTCAGTGTCAATGTCACCGTGGTTTCTGGCCTTGTAGTTGAACCGGGTGAACCGGTGGTGACCACTGCTGCCGTTTTGGCCGCTGCCGTCGTCATCGGAAAAGAAATTGGAAACGAATAAGGTTGATGATATTGATGACCACCACCACCTCCTCCTCCTCCTCCTCCTCCTCCTCGATCATCCGCAGAAACAGAAGAGTACCATTTTTGTACATCATTTGCGAGTGAAGAAATTGATTCGGTACATGGGATTGTCAGTGTAGTTGTCGTCGTTGGAAATTCACCACTTTTGTCGATATCCCCAAATTCATCCCGACTTTTACCGTCTGACCGTGATTGTCCTTCTTCCACCACCACCAACACCCCCGTGGAAGTCACCAGACCAGCAGGATACCCTGCCAGAGCAACAACTTTGGTGGTCATAGGAACGGTAGGACTAGGTTGGTCGGTACAACATCCACAACGTAACAAAACAATCGTCGTGGTAAGGACGGTGATTGTCGGAGTCGGAGATGTGTCACAGATTGTGGTGTAAATGGTTGATATCGTAGTCGGTGTCGAGGTCCAGGTACTCAAAGTTGAAACGAGGGCGGACGTTGACGTCAAAGTCAATATCCCACTATCGATGTGTGTTCGTCCTGTTGTTACTGATGAACTCACGATTGTGAGAGTACCGGTTTGGGCCTGTGTGCTTGATGATATACCTGGTGGTCCTGATGTCGACAAACCACCCGTACCGACAGACGTCGTCATCGTCGTCATTGCAGAAGAACTAGATGATGTGTCGACACCATCACCACCCCCACCGGCGAAAGTATTATTATAAGTGGTGATCAAAACTATAGTATTGTTATCACCACCACCACCTTCCGGAATCTGTCGTTTTCCAAATCGAAAGCGACCAGACATAGATAACTGCGCGATACCACCGCAGTGTTGAGTGTCATCACCCGGACAGGGTGTGTCACACGCCGAGTCCGGATAAGTGACAAAATCTTGTCGAGGTGGTGATCCAGAGTACAGGGAACAAAAACATCGTGTGTCGTAAATCCCGGCATAGTCGAATCCAGCACAGTCCGATATACATTTTTGAATCGACATGGTGTCCGAAACGTCACTCAAGATGAAAGAGTCGGCGAATGGAGAATCCGGTATGGGACCGAGACACCCCGCGTATTCAAACGTTGAGACTTTGGTTGGTTCTGCGAATGATTGACTCGTTGTTGTCGTTGTTGTTGTGGTCATGGTAGTCGTCGTTGTCATTTCCACAATTCCTGAAGATGATGACCCAGTAACAGGTATGGTCACGACGGAGGAGCGAGACTGTATGAAAGTCGTAAATGACTGTGGTGGTGGAGGAAGAGATACAGATGTGGTCGTCGTGGTCGGCTGCGGTAGCTTCGACGTCGTGCTACTCTCATCAGAGGATACTCTGGTCGAAGGTTGTGATTTTACCGGGGAAGGAGTCATTGATGAGAACTGTTGTGACGACTGGGATGGGGTACTTGGCGAAGTGGATAACACTGTAGGTGAAGACGTGATCACAGTAACACTGGTCGATGGTACGACAACCGTGGTCCCTGACGTGGGATGTGAACTCGGGGATTGTGATGAGAATGGACTTGATGTCGATATACCCGCAAAACTCGAAGACTGTGGCGGTGAGTTAGATTGTGTAGTCGTCGATGATATCGGACGTTGACTTGTCACTGAAGATTGGCCCCGTACGGTACTGCTGGTGCTAGAACGGACAGTCGTCTGCCCTATCACGCTAGTAGAAGATTGGGCTGGATTCATAGTAGATGAGGACGGCGCAACAAACACCGTCGTCGTCGTTGAGCTCATTACCACCACTGGAGTCGTACTGGATTGCGTAAGCCTTGTCGTTGTCGAGCTGAGTACCATGGCCGATGTCGTGCTTGATTGTGAAGGCTGTATCACCGTAGTCGAAGTCTGAATTGCTGTTGTCGGCTGAACTATGGTTGTAGAACGTAAACCCGATATCGAAGTGGTTATCGAATTCGAAGACGAAAGTACCTGTGTTGATAGACTCCCGATAGTCGCAGTGGAACTCGTGGCCAACGGTTGAGTTGATGAAGTACTGACCGCTACCGATGCCGTCGTGGATGACTGTGACAGTACAGTTGTGGTCGACGACGATGACGATGTCGCTAGTGATGCCGATGAGGTCGATGTTGTTGGGCTGATCGAGACGCTCGACATCGAACTTGATGAAGAAGATGTATCTCCACCTGCCCCCGAAGAAGTCGTACTCGTTGCACCACCACCGTCACCTCCCATGCCAACACCGTCAGTATAAGAAGATAACGGAGTTTCGCTGATCAGGACAAAACTTGTACTTGTCGTGCCGCCACCCGACAAAGGAACATACGTGTTCGGGGTCGGGGTGGTCTGCACGTACGAAGTACTACTGCTGGTTAACGTCTGACTTCTCGGATCATCCGTCACCTGTGGGTAGGCGTAATAGATCAGCCGAGCACCGTTGTACGCTGCGTTGGCAGGTTGAGCGTAACAATCCTTTTTCCAGTAACAAGCCTTGCTGCTGAATTGATACGTGACGGCGGCACAGTAGTTGGCGGAAATGTTGGCGTTCCAGTAGCTGCACCCTGCGATACAGTCTTCGAAGGAATTGACCTGGAATCCCGAGTACGGCGCACCAATATCGTGACCTCCAGGGTTGACGCCACACTCAATCTCGTAACTGAAAGCACCCAACTGGACGACGGTGAAGTTGTACCCTGGGCACAGTGCCGTGGTGGGTGTCGGTGTCGGTGTAGATCCCGTCGTGGTGCTGATCGTCGAGGTCGGTTGCAAGCTGGCAATGTACGGAGAAGAAGAGGTCGCGCTGGAACCGGAGTCGACAAGTTGGTACACTCTCACCGAATTGATGCTCCAGTAAGCATTCTGAAAGGCTCCAGGTTGGCCAGCCACGTATGCATTGCAAGTCGCATATCCCGTAGAAGCCGCACAGGAGTTTGTCGAAGAATTCCACACGGTCGAAGCTCCAGCATATTCGCCGCAAAAGGCATTGTTCATCACAATCTTGTGAGCCTGGAACTTCTGATCAATCTGGCAAGACCCTTGAAATTCAGCCGCCGGCAAACCCCATCCGGAAGGATTGGGAGTCTTGTTGGTGATGTCCGCTGGGATTGAGCCTCGAGGGAAGAACCATACGGCAATATAGTCGGACGTCCATTGCATGGCATAGACACCACCGCCACCAGTGTTGAAGTTCGTGCCATAACTCTGACTGCGTCTGTCACTTATACTGCAACCGACATTGTAGTTTGGCTTATGTTCGCGTTAGGTCTTGTGCGTGGTGATCCTTGAAAAGTTGGCAAGACGGGCTGACTCACATAATAAGCACAGTTCGAGCTTTGAAGCTGTCCCGACATCAATCTGCTGTCTCCTGCAATCGTGCAATTTGGGGACCTACAAAGCCCAAGGGTCAGCACCGGTCATACTCTGACGCACCAGAACGGCTTCTCTTACGCATGTAGTGTCATCCCATTGTATGTATTCAAGTTTGCACCTTCCATGATGTCGATTTCGCCATTGTATGGCCAATTCGGGCCCAAAGTCCAGACTGTGTATACTCACTCAGAGTGGAACCACCACCGACACTGGGATAAGACTCACATGCCGGCCACGTCCCGCAGATCCCAGCGGGCGAGTGATTGAAATCCCCAATGAATAAGCCATGGGTCCATGACCGTTTGGTCGATATTCTCACGCTGGGTCTGCCTGCGCCGTTCGGGTTCCCGATGAGAGTCGTATAGTCTGAGCCGATATATGTCGGTTGCGAACTGCTGGAGTTGATCATACCAGCAAGTTGCGCCGATGAACGACTGTAGTACGTGACGAATCCACCTGTCGGATCTCCTCCCTAAGTGCATGTATGTCAGTCTTCTTTTTCTGGCACTCGTTTGCGAACTTCCCTCAAACAAAGCGACAAAGTTACAGACCGTAAAGAAATCCCAGCCATCGAAGAAATTTGTTCCTGAATATTCCGAGTCAAGTTGATAAACGGACCCAGTTTGAGCGAGTGCATGTTGGAAACACCAAAGAAAAAGGACAACAAGGACGCCGATGCCACCGTCGTTCTGCGACCGTAACGAATGAACAGCCATGGTCGGCAACAACCAAACAGACTCGTAGCCATGAAGAAAAACGCGCAGAAGACTTGTCTCGGTATATTCATGTCGAAGTTGGTGGTTGTGGTCCAAGAGGTCGGAGAATTCCAACGCGACGTGGTCAGGAATGTAAGAGGACCAAAACGCCATACAACAACATTGAGAGTAAGGAAAGGGGGTTGGTTCTTGGGTCCGATGAAAGGTCGCACCCACCAACGATTTCAAACCAGCATAATGAAGGTCAATAATGAATAGATCCATGACCTGAGCGATGATATCCGTTGAACGTGGTATCGAAACTTCATTGCACCGCAACAACGATAAACTCGAGGCTGCTCAAAAAAGGTTTGTCATGGCCACAGTGCTTGTCTACCAAGCATATCATTCTTTTACTTGCCTGATTTCCTCACTCAAAGTTCGTTGCGACGACCGTGAACTCTCGTCTCTCGTAACGTTTTCGTCATGATTCTTGTCATCATCTTTGCTCGTCCCGACGAGATCACCTTCTGTCGGGTTCTCTCGCTGTGATGACTGTAGCTGCGCTGGAAGATTTGTTTCTTCATCCTCCTTCACCACCTGCGGCTTCTCAGGAACCCCCTTCCGCATATTGTAACCTCCCCTCCATCCGACCCACCCTTTCTCATGCGGTCCTCTAGACAGACACACCAAAAGTGCAAAACTGACAAACCCGACGCTCGCACTCCCTGAAGCGATCCAACCACTTCTCGCGTACAGTCGATTTCCGACCGCCGTGCCGATAAGCTGGCCCACGAAGACACTGACCATGTACGCGGTGTTAACTCGATTCCTGGCCTTGGGGGCAACAGCATATATCGCCGTCCGGTTTGCGATCTGGCTCGTCTGCAAGCCGACGTCGATCCCGATGGCTTGTATGATGGGTCCCGCCACGGTAAACTCGCCCGTATACGTGCCCACCACCACGCCCGTCAGGCAGATCAACTCGCCTATGATGACCGAGAGCAGGGGCTGGTGTTTCTCCATGAAGGTCCTGGCAAACACAGGCGCCCACGTCATGCTCCCTATGCCGATCAGGGCGAACAAGCCGATGACGAGAGAGTTGTAATGATACGGAGACCCGGCGAGCAGAAAAGTGAGGGTGGTCCAGAAACTCGTAAACGTAGTGGCCGTGAAAAGACCGACCAGGCACGCTTGAACGAGCACGGGATACTTCGCGACGAGTTTCAGTATGTCCCAGAGCAGGAATGGATATTTCTTGACCACCTTCACATCCGGGTTCGTGGAAGGGTAATCCGGCATGAACAAATGCAGCAGGATGAGAATGATGTACTGCAAGGCGAACGAAATCCAGTATATATATCGCCAGCCGATGAACTGCGCGACCACGCCCGAAAGGAGCCGGGCGCAGAGCATGCCGAGCAGCATGCCCGACACGACCACAGACAAGGCGGACGCTCGACGGTGCGGAGGTGCCAACTCACCGACCAAGGGGAGCATCAATTGCGGAGTGACCGTGGTGACACTGGTGATGAACGTAATGGCTCCAAAGGCGGCAAAAGACTTGGTCACACAGAGTCCTATCCTGTAAATTTTGACACCAGCTGTCAGTTCTTGCCTTCTCGTCTCCAGCAGCGCGTTGGGTTGGGGGGAGGGGGGGCAATGGAGAGAACGTGTGATGATTCATTCACCACAATGCTAACAGTTTACGCAACATGGAGCGGAACATGTGGTGTGGTGGTTTGTTTACCATAACGTAGCGGTGAACCAGACCAGCCATAGTGTAAACGGTCTTCTCTTGAGCAGATCCCCCAAGGGACATATGAACAACAATCCTCCTGCGTACCCTGCCTGGGCGAGGGTGGGTATGTACGAGGCTTCTTCATCGGAGACGTGGAAATCGTCCGCCAGCAGGTTCAAGATGGGATGGTTGTAATAGAGGTTTGCGACCGTGAAGCAACCCGCGAAAGCTACACTCGGAGAATGTATGTCAGTGATTCGGTCAAAACTTGATCTTCGACCTGGCAGGGGCTGTCCATGTCGAAAAGGTCAAGGATAGGACTAACCAAACAACAGATTCAATCCCATGGAAAACTGAAATGGTGCTTCGGGGTCATATCGACATCGGGGTGGGACATAAGTCACACACGCCCACGCTTTCTGCCGCACGTTTCGTCCTTTTGGCTTTTGGCCATGCTTCTCCGTGTGGCCGCCGTCGTGTACATCGGGAGGATTTGGTGGTGATGGTGACGGTGACACCTGCGCCGTGTCATTGCCTTTCTCGTTGTCGGTCACGACAACCTCGGTGTCGTCGCCAGACTGTGACAGAGTCCGGGCCATCCTCGTGTACATTTATCTGTCTCGGTCTCTCTGGCCATCACAGTGAACAGGACGCGAAGAAGGAGGAGAAAGAAAAACATCCATGTCGGAATTCATTTTATCGGCATCCACGTCCCGAGTGGTAGAATGGATCGCTCTCCTACCACTTCGTACTCCCGTACATGGTGTACTAAAAAAGTCGAGATTTGGAGAAAGAGGGTCTATCTTTTGCCCGTGTAGATGGGAAGGGTAATTGAAAAGCCGGTCGGTATGGAATGACGCCAACGATAACGGAGTACGGAATATGGCCTGGTGAACAAGCCCTGATAGATACAACCTGTACTTATTGGAGCAGAAGAAATGATGGCCAATTCGATGGACATGATAGGCGGAAAGTGGCCGCTATTTCCCTTACAACATACTTGCATTTAGGGACGACGAGGGGAAATGAATCTTGTCCCCGGGAGTCGCCGATGGAGATGGTCGGGGTCTCTTGCCGATTAAACAGATCATCTTCATCAAGACAAGACTCATCTCTGCACGGATACTGTACTGTAGACTACTGAATACAATAAGTAGCACCAAAGAAAAAAAGAAATCCGATACACGTTGTTTACTCAAGTCAACAAGCCACCCGTAAAAACACGAAACCAAGAGTCTCGCCGCCGATCAACTCGCTGCTGCTGTAATCGCTGGCTCTGAATACTTGACGCAATCTTTGGGGGATAGAGACACAAAGCAATAACTAACTACCTCAGGTAGGTTCCCAGAATTGAAACTTGAGCTGAGAAGGGAGAAAAAGAAAATACGATGATAAGGAAAAAAGATGCACAGAGGGTATTCAAGGAACCCAAGCCTCGACGCATCGTGACGAGTCGAATAACACTTTTTCCCTGTCCTCGTTTTCGTCGTTATCGTCATCATCGTCGTCGTCGTCGTCATTCCGTAAGTGGTCATCAAGGTCATAAGTCATTGGTCGTACCGTAAATAAGTCATGGTGTTCTCAAAAAGGTGGTCACGGCGCCGCCCGTACGCCTCGATATTCGTCGCCAAAGTCTTCGATCGTCTTGACAAAGTCCTCCGCATCTACGCGCACACACAATGTCAGTCCGGTCTTACGCACCATCTCACCATGTCCGCAACCCATCATGGATACGCTGGAGGAGTTTCAATATCATTACCTGTGAGTAGTTCAAAATCCAAAAAATGTTCACCATTGGCAGCCATGTGAGGCACATATTCGGAAGAAAAGACATGTCGTTGAAGTTGGGCCAAGTATACTGTGTAACTGTTCTTGGACCACCGAAGCCAGGTGGGAGAAGTGACATGGTGAGTTATAAACGCTGTCCAGATGGGGCAGCTGCTGGGAACCTTAGCTTGCCATCGACGTGCTGGGTCACGTTTCATCCACTTACTGCTTCATATCACCGTCCAAGGCCGATGCCTCCAGTCGTATCGCATCAGTTGATTTGTCGCGATAAAGACGGAGGGCGTGCTTGAAGCCGCTATCTCGGATCGCCCTATCGAGGAGGTCAGCAACCCATAGCCAAATCCTGCACGCGCGAGCATCATACCCAGCGAAGTTGAGGGTTTCACCCTTCAACACGTGATCGAGACCATTGTTGACATGTCTCACGCCGTCGTGCGACCTCAGGGACAAGAAGGAGCAGTGAAAGATGACCAGCCCTAACGCATCTTATTAACCTATCCGGTATATGATCCGAGGTGGGGGGGATTCTCACATTCATACGAGGTAAACTTGAGACTTGCCCAGCAGGTACTCGGCGCCGTAACGGTGGGCCGACAGAGGTAGAGAAAAGGACCGGCTCGACGAATATGTAATTCACTGAGAGGCAGACATGACCATCGAACGCTGCGACGGCTTTCCGGCCATTCACATACAATCTTGCAACGGTAATCGCGAGGTCGCCAATATAACTTGACGCGGAGGCCGCCCGGGAATTTCCTGTTCGGCGTTAGGTCGTCACGACAGCACTTCATGTATCAAGGCCCCTCACATCTGTAGAATACGCTCGAACTCGGGATCTGGCAAACTGCGGCATTTGCCTGCGCTGTCTCCAAAGCACCGTGAACTATTTTGGACATCAATGACCAGGCATGACAGCCCTGTGTAGATCTTACATTTCGGGGTCATCTTCGAGTATGGTGGTTGGTAAATTATTGAATATGGTAGTGGCCCAATGTCCTATGTCTGCATCCACACTGGAGGCATGACTAGTGGTGGAAAACGTCGTGGTGGGAGATAAGGGAGGCGGACTCGGCACGGACACATTTTGGTAGGTTTCATAGCTGTCGTGGGAAGATGCTGGTGACATTGGTCGTGGGTTTTGGGGTCTGATCCGTTCGTGCGATTTTGGTTGGATTACTGTCCTCCGTCAGTACCTTTGCCAGGCGCGGGTTTTGACTTGGGCTGCAAGTACCGGTTCTCTGGACTGGAACCAGAGAGAGATTTGCAAAGGTTTCGGTGGGCGTGATCAATCGTCTATTGCTGCGTTGTAGGGACTGTAGGTCGTTGATTTCGTGGCGGAGGTCTTCGATTTCTCGGCGACTATAGGTTTGTCTGACCAAACAAAGGTTGAGCACAACATCACCGGATCACAAGTCACCGCCTTACCTTTTCAATACCCTGCATAGCCCAAAAGTGAATAATTTATAGGTCGACAGGCGCATGTCAAAGGTCTGCTTGCCCATGGTGTGACAGTACCGTGTAACTTCCTTCCAGGCGTTGCGATAGTCGAGCTTGGTGGCATCGGGTCGGATTTTGCCCAATATGTGCCAGACATCCTGAAGGGTAAAAGCAACACTGTGTTGGAGAAGGGTAAGATCGGTGGCGAAGACTCGAGTCACCTCACCTCCAGCGAGATCAATCTGGTCGTTGAGTTCGCGGAGAGCCCAGCTGAGGTCGTTCAGTCCCGTGATGGCCAGGGTGATGGGTTGCAGATGGTCCTGGTCAAATTTTCGCAGGCTGCTGAGGATCTCAGCAATGTCCAGCGCCCGTCCGGCCTCCTCGGCGAGTAGTAAATCCATGCATAACGTATGATGATTTTTCCACAATGTGAAAGATTGTGGAAGATGGAGATGTCCTCGATCAGGTGGGCATGGCACAAAACGGCGATGGCGGTGGTGAGGCTCTTTTGGCGGTTGAGCTGGCTGTGATCGAGACCAGACCAGCGCCGGCCCGTATTGGTGATCTCGAGAGAGAACGCGCGGAGACGACTTCTCATGCGGGTGGTTTGACGTGTCAAGCAGACAGCAGGCAAGGGCGAGGGTTGACGGCGCTGCTGCATGGACTAATTAGGCCCAAGACGACGCCGATTTGTCGCCGCGACGCCTGCACATGTAAAAGACTGCAACACAAAGCTCACCCACCGCTTCCCCGTCACGCTCTGTACCAGCTTTAAATGGCCCTGGCCCCCAAAAGGACAGAGTTTTCTGCCATTGAAACAGATTGGCGACCCGTGGTCGCTCCCAATGGTGGTGATGAATAAGAAACACGATAGCGTCATGCTGCGGGCAATTGCTGCCTAAGTCTGGACCCGGGCGTGGTCACTCGGGGGGCATCGATGGAAATGCTCCCCCCCGAAGAAGCGAACCCTCTGGGGAATGTCGACGTGTTCTGCCATCGGGACGAATGTCACCTCCCTCGGGCTGTGTCTCGTCCGTTGAAGCCTATAATGGTTCGTCGCGTGCCAGAAAGCGACTCACCGGTGGAAAGCGTGCGGTTTGAGTCGTGCGACGCATTTCTTGGTGTAATGCTCAGAGCTGGGCAGAGCAGTTCGGAGTAATACCGAGGCTGGGCCAACAGGTCTGCAGAGGTTGAGATTTGGAACACCCGGACGGTACGATCGAGGCTGGATCTATGAGGGCGAGAGGCGAAAGGAAGATCAGAGATGGCGTTGTTCCATAGAACATACGGAGTAGTCACACACACATATATATGTCCCAGCCCTGCGCCTGGTTGATGCCTGAGGCAAGGGTGACTGACCAGGCGGGCTACGGAGGGGGAACGAGCGGGCCAAAAGTGTGAAAAGGATTCATCAAGCGGCCGTCACACACCATCGCGTATTGTGTGGCATAAACAAGGCGGATCGAGTGACGAGATTCGACTGCTACAATCCTACTCCGTACTCCGTACACTTGAAAGTATCCGTCCTTTGCGTATCCACACGAGCATTCCATGGTACTGTACTCCGTATCAATCCATCCAGATCCTTGTCGCTGAGGCGCGTTCGAGTCGACGCGTCTATCGAGCTTCCCCAGCCTGTGGCGAGGCCCGAGTGACTGGTGAGAGGGATGGGTTGATCTGCCGCTGCATCGTTATCGTTCCGTGGGGAAGAGCAAGCCGAAGAAAAGAAAAGAGATCTATGAGAGACATTGCATTGCATGAAGAGCTAGTATACAGCAAGTAGCACGGTATGCTAAGTCACATTGTCGATGGTTGCAGTTCACTTTCATCACTGATTGATGATATTGTGTCGTGAACGTCGATGCGATTCCCCATCAGCTGCCTCTGAAAGCATGCCATTCCCGTTCCACATCGCAGACTCCGGAACCCCTGCCACCCAGCCCGATCGTTGGTAGTAAACACATAAACAGGATAAGGAAAAGAGACTAAACTCGTTCATCAACAGAGATCGGAATTGATGATTGGGCATCTAGTCTTCATCCTCGTCACTGCCAGCGGCCTGAGGAGGAGTCAGTATTTGTGCTTGTTGGGTTGGGATGCGACACCACTTACGTTGTACTTGGCCTTCTCGTCTTCGTATCGCTTCTTGTCAGTGGCCGCCTTCTTCTCGTATGGCTCACGCTGCTTCTCGCTGAGTGCCTTCCACTTGTCACCGAGGACTTTGCCGACCTGGCCTGTTCGGGGAGGTCAGTACGGGTGCTCTGCTCAATTCCCTGATGGAGGGAGCTTACCGAAGCTGATGCCGGGGTTTTCCTCGCGGACGTTCTCGCGCTGCTCGTTGGCGAAGAACATGTAGGCCGAGAGACCACGCTTGGGCGCGTTAGGGTCTGTGGCTGTCAGCTGGAGGTCTCAGGCCAAGGGGGTTGTTTACAAACCCTTCTTCTTCTTGTCACCTCTCGCCTTTGTCTTGGTCTTGGCTGCGGCCTTAGGCATCTTGATCGCGTGTGGATCAGAGAGTTTGGGAGAAAGTGTGGATGATACGGTTCACTTGTAGAAAGTCAGCGGATGGCTTCTGGTAGTCGTTGAGATCGCGAGTGGTTTGGAAGTAATTGAGAGTGGAAATGGAGGATCGGGTAATCAAGCAAAAGGGTGAGCCAGAGAGACAGGGCAGAGAGACAAGGCAGAGAGAGCGAAGGCGACGGACAAAGCCAACAAGAGTTTTGGGATGTCGGTGGTAGCGGTGTCGCTGCTGATGGCCATGCTTGCTATGCTTGCGCAGTTGGAAGGACGATTGAGATGGTTTGTGCCAAAAACGCGTCCTTTGACGCGCGATTCGAGATCGCCTGGCCGATTCCACTCACCCAGCAACAGAAAACGCGTCGGAAAGGTGAGGTGGAGTGCGTGGATTGTGGTGGTGGTGGTCACCGGTTGGCGACGCTGCAGCGTTGGCCATGGCGACGGCGACGACGAGGTCGGGTGAAGGTGCAAACAGGGTAGAATGATGACGGGAAGGGCATTTTCGACGGGAATTGAAACAGAGACGACGGGCGAAGAAGAGTGGTGGTGTGGTGCGAAAGGCGGGAAAATAGTAGAGAGGGCAAAGTACTTACAGTGTGTAGTGAGTGTGTCGCAGCGAAGGGTACTGCGCAAAAAATTGTATGGGAGGATTCTACAGTGAGAGAAGCTGGCGGTGTGTGGTAGTAGTAGTAGTAGTAGTAGTAGGGAAGTAGTAGGAGGAGAAATTGGGTGAGGGAGAGAGAGAGGGAGGCAGCAAAGAGGGAGGACGGGCGGGCAGCTGGACTGGGCTGGGCTGATGAGCTCTGCCCCCTTCAATAATCCTCCTCCCCCCCTCTTCCTCTCCCCCCTTCACCGGATCAATTGATCTGACTTGCCGCAATCACAACAACACAGGTTGCGTAGTGGGAGTGATCCTGATCATTTACTCGTTGATGGCCTTGTTAGTACGGATTGACTACTGTAAGGTATCCCCCGTAGTCTCTCTGTCATTATTCATTGTACTCCGTACAGTATGTGTGTCTTTTCCCTGTTCCCTCTTCCTTTTCCCTCTCTGTCTCTCTCTCTCTCTCTCACCTTGTTACTCCGTCTCAGTACACTCACACGACTATTAGCCTACATAGGTACATACTCCGTGCGCTGCTTACCTTTTGTTTACTCCCGTATGTGTGTCGATGCTTTTCTCCTTCCCATGCCTTGGCCTTTCTTTCCCCTTCTCCTCTTATCCTCCATCCTTTCCCAATGGTGCTCCGTATGGATATGTAAACAACCAATGATGACAATATCTCATCCTGCTCTACTTGGTAATTGGCAATCTCGTACTTCTACCACAATGTATAATTTCCAATGGGCACCTCTATGCGTATACCGTACTCGTTCATTCATACATAGATTCACCACCTCGCTACAATTACAAACCATACAATATTCCCTCTACTCTCCCCCCCTGTCAAGATTGATTAATACCCCCGCCAAGCGAGTCAAGTCAAAACTCAGCCATCTCTGACTGCTGCAAGGTGGGAAACCCGCCTTTCAGCTGTACGGATACCTTTCTTTTCTCCTCTTTCCACTCATCTTCTCGTATCATCTCACACAACTCAATCCATCCCTTACCCCATTGTCCCATATCCATGTCCATCATCCCTACAGTACTCCCCTTATTAATCAACCCGAGTAAAATGATTTCTTGTCAGTACGGAATATCCGTGCCCTTGACGGAGGATAACCTTTGAACCCCTAACAAAACCAATCATGTGGCGTGTCGCCTTGACTCTCTTTTCCTTACCTAGGTACAACATAACTCTCGTAAGGAAAACTCCGTACTATTTACTCCTTGGAGCCCGTGTCAGGGCTCGTTGCTCGGTCATTAGTGCGTACAATGAGCAATAGTACAGTATTACGGGCTTTTCCTTCCTTCCTTCCTTCCTCCCTCCAGCCACCACTGTACAGCATGGACCACCTCGAGCCCTCGTTCCCGTATTTCCGTACATCAGGCCAGCTACTGTACGCATCAACACAGTACAGTACAAGCTTGATCGCGTACTTTTCCCACTCGTCAAGGGCCTTTTACTGGGCACAGCTTTGTCTTATATGGCACACATTACTTGCTCGTCAGAAATTAACGTCATGTAATACCCACAGTTCTCTCTGCTCTCATGATGGCGCACCATCTACGGAGTACCTGTAGCCCATTATTTCTCTTACGCAAAAGCAAGATAAGCCAGGGCAGCCATGTGCTACGCAGACCACTGCCCTCTTGACCTTGGAACCTCTTCCCAGGTCGCATCTCATCCCGATATACTCTACGCAGCTAGTGCATCAAATCATTTCTTTGACCTTGGCCGTGGCAGAGTTGTCAATGCCAAAGAACACAGCTCCATGGTATCACGTGATTGGTTATGTCATAGATCACACTCTACGGTGAATTCCTATGCCGATTCTGCACTTCCTAAGGCGTGAAGACCACCATGGTTGGTCCAACGACCGCAGGGTAAATACCCTATTATAGGTCCATCCACAGTCAAGACCGGAATTCGACATTAAACAGTCTGTCCCATGGTCTAGCCTTGGCTGGCGATGGATTGCTCTTTGCCGGGCTCGCACCCTGCCTCAGAGTCGAAACCTTCTGCCTCGAGGGAGATTGGGATGCCCCCCTCAATGTTAATGGCGACTGGCCGGTCTGTAACATCATCATCAGTCGACCTGCGCGTGTCCGTCAAGGACCAAGCAAGAGATCCCTTCTCACCACTTCAAAAACCTGTGCATCCTCCCTATCCGTCTGGCTGGCCGCAGTGGGCTGCCGGACGAAACTCGCCGTTCCAGCTTGGGGGGCCGTGCTAGAGCCTGGTGCTGCTTGCTGGTTCTCGTTCTCATCATCGGCGTCTGTACCTGTCTCCTCCTTGGCAGCTTTCTTGACTTGTTCGGTATCCGTGTCACTTGCGATGGGGGCAAGGGTGGCAGCTTTAGCGGGCATATCCTTAACACTGCTACCTCTCCCGCTGGTCCCGTCTTGCTTGGCCTTGACGTCCACGCTTTTCTTGCTTCCTGAGCTCGATCTCCGACTATCCAAACTCTTCGTCAATGTCTTGGTGACCATGCTGGCAGTCGGGATGCCACTGGCTCCTCCAATGCTGAGTCCGGATTTGTGCTCCTTTCGGCCCATATGGCCTCGGACCTCGACGTTGGTCGCAGTCACTGTTGATTTGCCCACAGTCGGTGTCCCTGGTGCACCAAGTTTCTCCTCGGTTGCGTCGATCATGTACCACCTCAGCCCATCCGAGAGCTCAAAGGGGTTTTCGTCATCGATCGATTTGCTAGACGCACCATCATCAGCTGCAGCGCTGGATGACAAATTTCCACGCAGTCCGGACGACAGGCTACGTGATAGGTCGACCATGCGTTCTTCAACTTTCGTGATTCGTGCCAATAGCCAATCTCTCGCCTGCAATTTATGTGCATCTTGCTCTCTGAGGAAGTAATGTGGTGCTCCAACGTTGAAGGCGGCCCAAGGGCGAGTCGCGTTATTGCGGGTGGGAAGGAATAGGGCAAGATCGCCCTCTTTGAAGCTTCGGTATGCAATCTTGTCATGGGCTTCAGCCTGGCTGCGGTGAGTTCGCTCGCGATATGTACGAGACTCCTTTTGATACCTCTTGGCCAGCGTCTCTACATCCTTGTATCGCTTGGTGATGAGGTCGATGGTACTGTCCACGTCCAGACGTTGCAAAGCCGTGAGGAAGCCACTATATTTGGTCGACTCAGATCCGAGGTCACTGTCTGACATCCAGTATAGCGTTTCCAGGTCAGCTGGGTCAGAATAGTGCGGGGCTGGGGTGCTGCCTGAGATAGTCCGTCTCATATTAGACGGCCCGGTTCCTTCATTGCCACTGAGAACTGCGCTAGCATTCGCCTTCGATGCCCTCTGGATAACCATTTCGTCATCTTGTCGCGAAATCGAGTATCCAAATTGTTCCAACATGCGGACGACACGGTCATGGTAGTGGAACAAGCGCTCTGACAGCTGCTTGGCTTTCTCGCCTCGCTTGTCGAAATGCTTCTTCAGCTTTTCTTGTCGCTCAGTCGCTGCCTGCATTTCATGCATGTGATTCTCAATCTCGTGCTTCAAATGCTGGATCGCGCTTTCATGATCAGCCTTGTGGTCCATCAGGTCAGCAACCTTTTGTTCCTCGGATTTGAGCTGTTGCTTCAGCGCGTCCGATCCGGTTTCACCAGCAGCAAATTTCTGTCGAAGATTGTCCATTTCCATGCGTTCTCCAGCCAGCTCTGTTCGAAGCATGGAAACTTTGCTTTTCTCCTGCTTTAGGTCTTCCTGGAGTTGACTCACTCGTGCTTCAGCTGCGGAAATTTGTTCCAGCATCGATTTAATCTGGGCTTCAGCATGGTTCAACTTGTCCTCCAGAGCTTTGTTCTCCGCAGTCGCAAGCTGCAAGGAATCATCGAGACCGCGAGCATGAATGGCGGCACCTTCAGACAGGATCTCTAGAGCGTTGACCAGGCGACGGATATCCTCAGGTGCAGACCCTGCAGGAGACAAATTCGAATGAACGCCTTGTAGGATGGTGACAAACTCGTGTTGTTGGCCCTCGATGGCCCTCAACTGGTTGGCAAGGGTCATGTTTTGCCCTTGGGCAGCTGCGCGCTCGTCCTTGACTTGATGCAATTGACGTTCCAAGGTCGCTGCCCGCTCGCGTTGAGTAATGGTGTCTTTTTGTGCCGCCTCAATCCTTCGCTGTGCTTGAGCCACATCCTCTGTCGACTCCTTCTTCAGCTGCTCTACTTCATGTTTCAAATTTACCACCAGCTGGTCCTGTTCCATCCGAAGGTGGTCCCGCGACTCATTGAGTCGATCAAGTTCATCCTCTGCCTCTTCCAATTTCACTTTCAGGCGATGAACTTCATCGTCCAGAAGCTGCCGCTCTTCTTCAAACTCCTGTTTCTGTGCTTCGAAGTTTGCCATCAAGTCTCGTTTGACTAATTCGGCTTCTTGCATTTTGTCCCGACTCTCCGTGCTCGACCGTCGCTCTTCGTGTGCCTCTTCTTGTAGTTTCTGTATTTGACCTTCAAGAGAGACGATTTTCTGCACTAAAGGCTTTTCATCCTGAGTATTTGACAGTCGTCTCCCTGACACTGAGGATCTACGTGACAGGTCACTCTGCCGCTGGAATGGACCAGGCGACGGGATCTGTCGCTCAAAGTCGGCAGCGCTGCCTGGAACAAACATACCACTTGCTGGCCGGCTGGATTGACTTTGGCGGTGCAGCAAGTCTTCGAGTTTACGAACTCGACTGTCAGAAGCACGCAATTTCTCCTCCAATCTGGTCTTCTCGTCCTGCAAACCCCTAACATCGTCGCCGTCACGAAGAACTCCACTGCTCTTGAGGTCGTGAATGCTGCCATTCTTGAATGGCCTGGCCTTCTGCTTACGGGCGGGGGCATCAAGATCTTTCATGCGTTGAGTAATGCCTTGGACAGCTTCGTCGATGCCTAGAGCTCGCAAGTCGTCGATCCACGCAAATATTTCGTCTCTATTGACAAAGGGCCAAGAGTTGCGCGGGGCAGACGCTTTGAGATCAATCAGGGCGTCCTTTGCATTCAGATCCTCGTTCAAAAAGTCCACGTGAGAAGAGGCCCATCTCTTCCGACGACGTTGTTCTTCCTCGGTCTGCTCAGATAGATCATCGCGAAGGCTGTCAACTTCTATCCTCATACGCTCTGTCCACTCTGATCTTCTGGTGGCTTCCACCAGGGTAGCCCCATAGACCAGAGGTAGTCGAAATACGTGCTCTAGGACTGTATAAGTTTGGTCGTCCTGGAAGTCTAGTGTCGAAACAGCGGCCTGCAACTCTTGAAGACGGGATTGTAGTCTCGATATCTTCTGCAAAGTCGAATACCAGTCATCAGAAACGACAGTCCTGGCCTCTGATGCTGCTCTCGATCCGATAACAACTTCGTCCACCAGATTCTGAAGACCTGGCAGCAGATCTCGAGTGTGAACAGCAGCCTTCCGAGACGCCGACACAACTGATTTTGGAATATCCTGCATCTTGATCACTTCTTCATAGTCGGCGCTGACCCGCTTGGCCAAAGTCTCGGCTTCGTCTATAAGGGCGCTGATGTCAAATTGTGGCACTTCTGTGGCGTTCGTTTTCGCATCGTTGGTATCCTCTTTCAGCTTTTCAATGCCTGACCGCAACTCTTGGAAGCTCTTCTCAAATTCATCTATGTTCTGCGCAATACTGTCCGCAGCTGCTTGCGCCCGCTTACGGTCGACCAATTCGGACAATGTGCCAACCGGGGCTTGAGACTGTGTATGCCCAGGGTCATCTGGCCGCCGCAAGATTTTGGCAACATCTTCGCGCACCGGTAACTCAGTCAGAGTATCCGCACACGTTTCCCAGTCTCTTACAGCACCTCGGAAGTCTTGGATCAAATCCTCTGCCCACTGGCATGTGCTGTCGAATTTCTGCTGTAGACTGTTCACATGGATTCGGAGATTGTCCAACGCGACGTTCATAGACCGAGCGATCACAGTGGCCTCGTCTGTACACATTTCGATATTCTCCACGCCAGTCCTCGCAATTTCGAACGCTTCGAGCGCCCAGCCTCGTCTGGCCATGAAGAGATCTTGCCATGCTTTTAGGCTGTTCTCGTCCACGAGGGAGGAAGGGATGTCGGGGAGAGGTAGAAGTTCGATGGCGGGTCTGGAGGACGGTTTCGACTCGGAGGAAAGGAACTGTTTATCGTAGACATATATCTCGCTCTCGTTGGACAGGTTCTTGACTATCTTGCCTCGAGGCGTCATGAGGATTTGACGATTTGCCGGAATCTCAGTATTCGACTCGATCCACGACCGCAGGCCTTCGACTCGGGAACCAACATCGTGGAAAGTCAAGACACTGCCGGTGTGGGAGATGTAGACTTGCAAAGCCATCGTCCCCTTTCACCTCCACTGTCACTGGCCATGAAAGTAGCAAACGAAACGAAACCTCACGCTGATGTCGAATGAATAATACATAATAAGGCACATCTGCCCATCACCAGGGCATGTCACTCGCTGTTTAGTGCCAGGCAATAGCGCGTCATTCGGCACGTGCATTAGTTCCATTGTCGGAGTTTCGGCGCCTCCAACGCCTAGAACTTGCCTGCGATTCAAGCCTCTGGAGAAGCGTTCTAGGCGTTGATGGAGATCCAGACTATCCGGAGATCAGCGTTCAACTAGAAGGGCGGGTATTATGACCGCATAGAGGAGGGCTTTGTCGAGATCTAGTTGATATACAGATTACGAGTCACAGAAAAGACAGCTTCTACCAAGATCGATGGGATGATTGTTGTTCTGTATTACAGTTGGCTTATCCATCTTTCTGAATGAGGCTGGTGAGTAGCACGAACTGTGCCTAAGGCATCTTTATCCAGACACATCACACCGCCAGGTGCGAAAGAATATTACAACCCTTGCCACTTTGATAAAAGACACCAGACGACAGTTTTGGCTGTTGTATAATAGTCAAGATGCCCGACCATCTACCACACATCATGAAGCCGTCCTTCAAATGGCACTGGAGGTCGTGGGAAGACATCAAAGCCGCCTCGCTGTTCACACAGGCCAACTACGTGAACATCATCCTTCTCATCGTATTCCTCTACGTCGCAGTGAGGCAGATCTGGGTCAAGCAGGTATATCTCTCTCGTTGTATGCTTTATAGTTCCGTCGGCCCAAGACTAAGAAAACCACGACGTTGGACAGGCCGCCATCAAGAAATCGACCTACGACAAGCGGTATCTCAAGGCTGATGCTTTTCCTCCCGTCGAAGAACAACCCGACTTTGACTGGAAGACGACCGAGCCCATACAATATCGACCTTTCAAGCCGAAATACCACTTGACGATGGGTGAGTTTTTTTCCTTTACTCCCTTTGTTTCCTTATACTGTCTCCTTTTTCCTTCTCTTTGTCCTGTGTCCCACTCGGGCAAAGTGAAAAGAAAGGCTAATGAGGCTGCGCGACACTTTGAGCCGAGTCTGACGACGCAGCCCTCGAAAACCTCGAACCGACCGAGCTCCTGGTCATGGACAAGACGTACGCCGAGCGCATGGCCTACCGACGGCGCATTATCGACGAGCAAGGCGAACACGTCGTCAACGTCAACGACGATGTACGCATCCGTCCCGCCGTCTTCGAGCTGTACCGGTTCCTGATGGGCACGTACCTCCCATTACGCTTCCCGCAGGTCTTCAAGCTGCACGAGACGGTGTACAGCTCGGGCCCGGAGTACATGCTCGAGAACAAGGTCACGGGCTCGGTGATGCCGGCCAAACCGTCGGATTACCTGGAGACGGAGCAGCACCTCTCGATCCTCGGCCGGACCGTGGACGAAGACTTTCTCTTCCTCCTGCCCGAAGAGGGCGGCGGCGACGACCCAAAGTACGTCCTCGAGGCGTACGTGACCGTGTGCCCGTCCGGCTTCGACCCGGCCGAGAAGATCGGCAAGCGACTCGCCGCCATCCACACACCCGTGCCGGGCTACAGCTCCAAGCTCGAGGGCAGCATGGACCGCTTCTTCTCCAAGCTCGAGGTCGGCAAGTACGTCAGGCGCGTCAACTGGGCCATCACCACAAACACCGAACTCTTCGCGGCGGGCAAAGGGACGACACACGCCCACAAAGGCGATCAAGTTGAAGAACTCGACGAGATCGATGTGGACACGACGTTTGTGAGGTGTGAGCGACAGACGCTGCATCGCCTCCCGAACACCAAGGCGCTAGTGTTCGCCTTTCACACCTACCTCTACCCGATCAAGCAGATCAAGGACGAAGGCGGAGGGGAGGACCTCGCCAATGCCATCGACGGGTTGAAGGAGGGCAGCGTTCCAGAAATGCACTTCTACAAACGAGGCGTTGTGTGGGGGGAGGCTGTGAAGAAGTATCTACGCAGCTAAAACCCGGCGCACACACAGACGGCTGTCTGGGAACGAGCAAAAGCAACAGACGATCTAAATTCCAGGTGTTTCATGATAGTGCTATGTCAAGTTCAACGTTTCTACACGTAGACGAAGTCTTGGAATTGATGGATTTTCTCCAGCGTTTATTCCTATCTTCATCACGGTTCATCCTCATTTCTATCTCAATCTCTCAACGACCTTGATCAGATCCCCCGTGACACCCATTGCAGTGACCTCGCCACCAGCACCAGCACCCTGGATCACTAAGGGACATGGATATCGCTTCGTGTAGAAGCAAATCAGATTGTCGCTACCCATGAGACTTGCAATCGGCGTACCCCGATCCACCATTTGGAGACCGACTTTGACCTCCCCCTTTGCCACGTCGATACTGCCGACGTACCTGACTACCTTTCCTTGCTTCGCAGCGTTGTCCTTGTAGGCTTCCATGTCGCCATCAAACTCTGGCAGCCTCTGCATGAACTCTTCGCTACTCCCCACGGTCTCGAGCTCTTTCGGAATCAGACTCTGCACAGAAAAGCTCTCCGGGCCTTGCACTTTTAACCCCGCCAATCTCGCGAGGATCGTCAGCTTTCTCGCAACATCCATTCCGTTGAGATCATCACGCGGGTCAGGCTCGGTGTATCCAGCGTCTTTGGCCTGCGACACAATCTCGGACCATTTACCCTTTCCACTGCCATCCACCGGTGCAAAGCTGTTGAAAAGGAAACTCATAGTCCCACTGAACACACCCTCGATCTTGGTAACTTGATCTCCGGTCGCAACGAGATCCTTCAGCGTCGAAATCACAGGCAATCCAGCGCCCACGGAGCTCTCATGGTAGACCATTGCTTTACCATTGCTCTTATCGACGGCATCGAAGATATCATTCCACAGGCTCAAGCTAGAACTGAACGCCTTCTTGTTCGGTGTGACCACGCTGATACCCTTGCGTAGAAAACTGGGATACGCCGCTGCGACGTCCTGGTTGGACGTGTTGTCGACGAGTATGCTCTTCCCTGGGGCGGCCGCAAGATACGTCGTGAGCTCCGGGAGGGACAAGAGCTTAGAAGGGGAGGTCTGAAGGTTTGAGGGAGAAATAGGCTTGTAGTCATTGGTGTATAGTTGTTTTGAAGAACGTGAAATGAAGATCAGCGTAGGACGCATCGATGGCGCAAGGCTGGCTAGTTGAGAGAGAAAAGCTGTACCAACGCCGCCAACACCAATAACAGCGAGGTAGAGGTTCGACATGGTTACTGAATACGAAGACAGCCAGGAGTGCGCAGACAATCAATGGGAGTCGAAACTTTTTGTGTGAGCAAGACAGGACAACGCGGGGAAAATGCAGGAACAAGAAAATATGAGGGGAAGTGCAACGAGGCTGTGACTTGGCCTTGCCGACCGAGAAGGCGGCCAAATTACAGCAGCCAGCAAGTAGCTCGAGGCACACAGGGTTATATGGGCCATTTAGGCCGTTACGTCTACACAAATCCAGGCAAGCCAGCCTCGCCGCCAATATCATCCCAGAACTGGCCGTAATCAACTCCCCTTTTTGCTAATAGTTGCTTCAGTTCCCGAAGAGCATCAGCTTGTCGTCCTTGCGTAAACCCTCCTGGCTGAGAAGTCTCGAATTGGACAATCTCAATCCAACGGAAAAAGACGTTTGCTGCTCCATGGTCTGCAAGTTTCCGCCTGAACCTTTCCACGACACTGTCTTGCTCCGTTTCCTCGGGAGTAATGTTTGGTTGCTCATAGACACGCCACATCAGCCACTGCTTCTGATAGTATACCAATGCCAGATTGTTCAAATCCATCATCTGTATTGTGCCATCCTGAGCCAGACTGTGGGCATCTACCATGGCCTTGTAGTCAAGATCCCAGTCTTTGTCTAGAAGCAAAGAGCCAGTCTTCGCTACATAGTCAGGTCGCATTGCCGCTTCCACCTTCACCTTGATGGTCAACTCTTCATCGACCATCCAGGTCTTGGTCTGCTCCGGCATGTCACTCGTGACCAGGGGCGTATCCCATTTCCGGCCACACCTCACAATGATCTCCGTATCCTGGAAACCGATTGTCCTTCTCCATGTCCATGGCCCTGTGTATCGCGACCATCTGCTTCCGAATACGAACTGCTTGGGCCAGCTACCGATAAGAGCGAAGATGGTGTAATCGACCATCAACAAAAATGTCCTCGAAGCAATTGTGGTCAGGAGCTCTCCAGTGCTTGCCTTCTTTGTATCCACCTTATATGCAGTGTCATATCCAAATATTGTAATGATCTGTTCAAGGTAGGCGGGTGTGGCATAGTAGGCTCGGATGCAGAGACCGATGGTAATAAGCAGATTGAGGAGGATGGGTACCAAGAAGACTCGCTTCTTCAGGCTCGTGGGTGTATGATCGAGATGTACGAGATATATGTGATCGGTCGGTAGGGTGGAAAGAAAGGGTTGCAAAGAGGCCGGGACATGTTCGAACGGCGTGGGAGGTACAGCGGTGCTTTGTGTCTGAGGCTTCGTTATAGGGGTTGTCGTAGCCTTGGACTTTCCGCTTCGTTTCCCAGCCGCACGAGCCATCTCATCGGCCCTCTGAATAGTGTATCTAAGGCTTCACTGACGAGAACCTCTAAGCCATCACGATACGTAGCACCGACTAGGAATTATTTCTGGGGGAGCGACTCAGTACTACCACGTGACAGCCTGCATTCCGAGTCATGATCTCCGTCACTTAGATAAGCGTCAACCTCTAGAGGGCTCGAGACAACGAACTGTTTGTTCGCCCATTTATCCCTGCCTCGAATTGAATGAACCAACATGCATGCATAGATTCGAAACTCCAATAGAACGCCCGCAGCTGAGAGACGAGCTACTAAAAGTAACCCCAAAGGCCTATTGCTGCTGGGGTAAGATCTAAGCCCGAAGGATCACAAAGCTTGCTGAAAGCTTGGTTACACGAAAAGCATGAGGACAGTGGCGGAGACCGAGAGTGTCCAGGGATCCAAACGTCAAACGAGCGCCGGAGTATCCAATCTGGCTTCGTGTCAACCTGCCTTTGATGCTATATCAGGCACATCCTGCTTACATGACCCTGTACACCAAAGGTTTCAAGCAATCGGAGTATGGCGAAGCCTCTTGCGCTAAGTGCTTATGCTGACCAGCGCCACGTTCCATGCTTCGGTCCCCTCGTTCCACCTCCTTTGAGCTTTCAGCCGCGCTGCGAACTACTCACGGAGTACAATAGCAGCCATTTCCCTCCTCAACATGAGCTATTCAGTTTGTTTCTGCGTCTTTTGATGCGTAAGTTGTTCTACTCATTCCTTGTTGCTCACATTCAATCCTTGCATTGTTTACCGTCCGCGACCGCAAACCGCTCTTTATATACCTATCTAGTACTTCGCCCACGATACCTGAAAATGGACTACATTCCTGATCGGCTGGTGAGGGGTTTGAAACAAGCACGAGGTGCAACGTCGACCGCGGGCAATACCGCAACGGCCACCATGAAGAACGGAAAGATCACTCACGCCGTCGGCAAACTGGCACAGGCGGGAGTAGTAGACGACAGCGAAGGTGCATTGGTCAACACAGGCACAACGACCTCGACTATTCATTCTGAGAAGATCACTCACATGGCGACTAAACTGGCCCAGGCTGGTCTGAGCACTGATGACGACGGCACCAAGTCAAGCAGCCACGGCCTCGCCACGAAGTACATCATCATTATCGCCGTGGGCAGCGCACTGGTACTTCTGGCGGCTTTTATAGGCGGTTGTCTGTGCTGGAGAAGATATAGGAGGAGAAGGGCATACAACGTTGTAAGCAGAGGAGTCGACGCAAATGACAAACGGCTCAAGCGTGAGAAAGAGGACGTGTTTAATGCGGATATGGGAGAAACGGAGAATTTCAATACCGAAGGATCTAAACTCACCGAACGAAATTTCGAGAGCGGATACGATAAAGTCGATACTGGGTATGAAGGTACAGGTTACGGGGCGACTGAAGAACAGGGACCAAGCCATGGAGACAGGAGGTCTAATTTCGAGGCCTGATGAAAGCATGAATCCTCAATAGACATGGGTATCGGCGTCGAGGATGTTTGTAGAACATGTGAGCCCGGCGTCCAGCAAGTTCAATGATCGTGGAAGATGGGATTATTATCGAATGCCCTGAATGAACATCGGTTTGAGCGCAATCATTTACAGGATAAGATAATCGAGCCCGACTAGGTGCAACAGTACCGGGAATGGCATTCTGGAAATAGTAGAAGCATCGATTTCTCTCTATTAGATCAACCTAACAGAGTAAAAAACAAATATAAGATAATACAGAAGCGAAGTATTGTACATCGAAGGTGCTGAGAAGGGTTAGAGAGACTGAAGTCGACGAATCGCTGCAATTAAAGCGGCGTGCTTTCGGATTCTCGGTAAACATTCAGGTAAACACACCCGCGCCAGAAAGGAGGGTGGGCAGATTCTCATGGTCGTTTAGATTTGAGGACGCGAAAGAGTTCGCGCTGCGACAATGAGTTCACCGGCATCGAAGCGACTGCGATTGTCGACATCGAGGACCTCTGTCTCGGGTCGGCGACCGAGCGTTTCTGGAGGTCAATCATCGCTCCCACGTCCAACATCTGCGGTAAGCCACGTCGAGAACAATAGTGAATGTGAATCGCTAATCAAAGTTAGACTGGGCACAGGGCGAGCAGCACGCAACCGACTTATGATTTTATCTCAGGCGGCGCCTCTGACAATCCTCTACCACCTCTGCGACACTCTAGACTGCGGCAGTCGTCCGTTACGAGGCAAGGTCAGCAAGGAGAATGACCTTTCAGAATGAACTCAATTCTGATGATTTCCATACAGACCATAGCCACGATGAAAACCTGCGAGCCAAGATCAATGCTCTAGAATACGAACTCAAGAATCTCAACCAAGAACGCGGATTGTTGGCTCTGCAGCATGATAAAGAACTTCGCGAGCAGCAGGCAAGGGCGGAGGCGGACTTCAAAAAATATCAGGTACATAGGCATTTATATTAACAGGCATGTTGGACTGACAATCCCAGGCTGCGGAAGGTGCTGCACAAAAAGCAATTCAGCGGCAAGAAGCTGTTGCCCGAGAATTGCGAGAAGCGCGAGATCAATGGGCGAACGAAAAGACCACATTAGAGCGAAAGCTCCGAGATCTACAAGACCAAGCTTCGTCACACAAAGAGGATGCCGAGGACGCCCAAGCACGGCTCGCCGATGAAGAAAGACATTACAGACATCAGCTGGATGACGTGGAAGGCAAACGTGTCGCGCTCCAAGAGACTGTAGACAGTGTGAAACAAGAGCTGGAAGAGTTGTCTGGGCAATTTGACGCATCGCAAGCGAGGTTGTTCGAACGGGATGCGCAAGTGCAAAGTCTTGAAGCTGAAGTTTCTTCGCTCAAATCGCACTCCTCGGATAGTGAAGCACTGACTGTTCTGCAAAATCAACTATCCGACCAAGTTGCTCATATACGCAAGCTTGAACAGACGAATAGAGAACAACTGGGCGAACTGCGGCGATTGCGCGAAACACAGCGAAGTGTTCAAGTGGTCGAAGAGCAGAAACATGGTCTGGAAATTGAAATCCAGGTCCTGAAAGACGTTGAGCGACAACTAAGCGAGGCCCAAATACAGAAAGAAATTCTGGAAGACGAGAAGAGGACGTGGACGAGCCTGTTGGAACGCGATGGTGAAAACGAATTCGAGTCTCCTGAGGCTGTTGTCAAGGCTCTTATTCAACAACGAATCGAATATGCATCAGTAATGGACAGGTTAGGGAATATCGAGAGCGATTTGACCGAGAAGGACGAAATCATCAAGGCGCTGGAAGCCGATAAAGCATCCTTAAGAACCGAGGTGGACAAAGCCAAAGCTGCACAAGCTGCACAGACTGAGCCTGCCAGTGACAACAGAGCATACAAGCGACTCGATCGTCAACGAGTGCTTGCGGTCAAAGAAGTCGAGTATCTACGCGCCCAGCTGAAGACATTCGATACCGAGGAAACAATGTTGATGGACAACCAGAACTTTGACGCGCAACGGTCAGAGCAAATCAAACAGCTAGAAACTCTCGTCGATCAATACAAGGCTGAGGTGCAGAGTTTGCACAGTGAATTGTCGAAACTTGAGACCACGCCTCCAACAGCCTCCAAGACGGAGGAGCTTCGAGGGACCAAACGATCCGCTGAATCGCAGGAGCCGGACGGCGAAAGCAATGCGCAACTCGGGGCCCTTCTACGCAAGAATAAGAATCTACAGATTGCATTGCAGAAGACGGCCCAACAATCTCAGATGTTGGCCACGGACCTGCAAGCCACCAAAGCACAACTAAAGGCCTTACGGGATAGTTCCAAGACTCGCATACTGGAGCTCCGGGATAATCCTACGGCACAGGCTGAAACGATCAAAATGACCACTTTACGGACGCTGAAAGAAGAGAATGCTGGTTTGCTGGCGCAATTGCGTGGCGAAGACCTGCAGGGCATGAAGGTTGTTCCTGTCAGCACCGTGGACGCCCTTAAACTCGATCTTAAAGACATGGAGATGGTTGTCGCGGAGAAGGAGAAGCGCATGAGACGCCAACGCGAGATCTGGACGCAGAAAGCCGCCGAGTTCCGCGATGTGATTGCTAGTGTGCTGGGCTACAAGGTGAATTTCCTCCCCAATGGCAAAGCAAAAGTATCGAGCATGTACTATGGCAGAACCCACGCTGCCGACGAGGACAGCGATGAAGAAGATGACGAGCATTACATCGTCTTCGATGGAGACAATGGTACCATGAAGATCAGTGGAGGTCCCGACGGTGCTTTCGGCGAGGAAATTAGAGATCTGGTGAACTTTTGGGTCAAGGAGAAGAAGCAAATTCCCTGTTTCCTTGCAGCAATGACTCTGGAATTCTACGAGAAGTTCACCAACAATAGCGGGAAGCTAGATGGGTCTTGAAGAGGATGAGTATTGTAGTCTCCCTCGGTATACAGGGGATGTGAGAGAACCTACGTCTGATCACTCATTATAACTTCCCTTATGGAATGAATTTAGCAAGCACGCGATTGACCACGGTCTGTGCTCCGTGTATGTTGTAAGACCATCCATCCGCCATATCCAGCTATTGCATGAGGTACTCAGTCATTTGGTACCGAGTGTCCGTACCGAGTCATAACTCTCCCACATGCGAGGGGGCCCTCACTACACCGTTTCGAGGAACTTTTAAGGCCCCCTGCCGCGTCTACACTACTACAATATGTACTCCGTCCGTAGGTAAAGTAATAAGTGGTACGGAGGACGGATACGAGCAGGTGTACGACATACTGGGTACCTCCGGAAGTAATGATGCCGGGGGCGTTGATTGTCCGGTGCTTACCGAGGCTAGAATCTGCCACCTCGTATTTTTTCTCTTCTCGACCACCCAAAGACCATCGAATGGTTCGTCTTTTTTTCCACACTTGTCAATCCCCAGATTCTGTTTCAACGCCTCGTTTTGTCCTCCACCCGTCAAGACGCCATCGTTGTCACCACCCATTCTACTGATGCTGCTGGTCTTCGTGTAATGGCCAAGGTTGAACTACTGTAAAGCCCAGAGGACTGTGGACATCTCAGCAGAGGCCGGTTGATCTTACGTCTCACTCTCCGGCTACTTTTTGGGTCATGTCGACGTCAAAGATTAATGATGAGACCATTCGTGGACGACATCTCGATCCTTGATCATGGCACCGCAGTTCCTCTTTGTCAACAAAGATGCGGGCAGCGCGTCCCTTACGCGCAGTAATGCCGTAGAACAAACGGCCATCAATTCCTATGTCCAACGGGGTCGCCGACATAAACGATCCGCCCATAACAAAGGCCGCGCCGGCACTCAGGGCCGGCGCTCTACCAAACCAGACAAGAAAGGTGATACTGATGATGAGCTTGATCTTGTTTCAGGCAGCACAACGGCGACCTCTGCTGCCTCCTCTCTTCCAGATGATGAGTCTTCTCAAAGCGGGGTTAAGATCCCGAAATCGCTGTCCTCCCGTTCTGGCCCCAAATCCAAAGCTGCTCGCATCACAGCTTCCAGCAAGGCACGGCCGAAGGTGCAATTCACCCAGCGCTCTGATCGTGGTCAATCACCATCGAATGTCAAGTCCCGTAAGAACATGGACAAGACCATCCTGCTACTAAACCCTTCCAGCGCTCTGAACTCTCCTCGGGACATCAGCCAAGTCACGTCGACTTCTATTGATCCTTTTGGCCACTCGGTTGTCAAGATGGATCCACATGTTGCAGAGCTCTGTCGTTATTTCTGTGACAAGTTCCATCCCAGTGTCTGGCATGCGGAGAGCTGGACTCTCAAGGGGCAATATACTCACCAGAGCACTTCCAGTGCCATCATACAACGAGCCATGCAGAATGAAGTGGAAATGAATGCGATATTGGCCTGTATGGCGGCCAGGATCGAAAATGTTGATCTCATTCCAGGCCAACAAACCGATAGATTCATGGGCAACGCCCTAGTTGCGGTAAGGAAGCGGTTCAGCTCGCTCAGCTCGGCTTCGAAACATCAGCTACTATTGATCATCTTCCACCTCTATGCGGGCGAAGCGTACCGACAAAACTGGCAAGCGGCCCGGATACACATGCGCGCTGCAAAAGATTTGTTCAATTCCTGGGGCGGACTGGCTCATGTTCCTGATCAGTCCATCAGGGAGTCCTTCATTATCGGGGATGGCAACGTTTCTGCCTGTCTTATGGAACCCTGTGAACTGCCCTGTGAATACGACCCAGGTCCCTACTTTACGGTCACGCCTCCGGAGATGCTCCTGGAGGCACCACAAGATCTAAGCACAATAGCGCCTGCCTTTCGGGGTATATTGGCTGATGGCTACCTTCCCTCCGACCTCGCCGAGGTCCTTCTCGAGGTTGTCGAATGTGCCTGGGTGCTGCGGTATGCTCGCACGGGTACATCACCACAGGCAGCCAAGCATGCCGCAAGATGGCTGCTGTGGCGCAATTCCGCCGTCCGCTACCGAATCCTGGCCACACAATACACGGATATGGCCCACGAAGCTATTCGCACTGCCCTGTTCATCTGGGTTGTAACTGCCATGGTAGTGCCGCTTGGAGTGATGAGAATAGCAGATCTCAATGCTCCAAGACTAATGCGCGCTTTACAGGCGGCCAAATGGCCCACGCATAAATGGAGGGGCTTATTTGAAGTTAAAATGTGGGTGCTCGCTATCGGTGCCCAGGCTGCGCGCCTCGATGGTCACGAGGAAAAATGGTATCTGGACCAGCTCTTTGAAGTCGGCATGGTGGAGAACATTCGAAGATATCGCGAGCGCAATCCGGACGTCGAGACGGCAGATGTCTTGAGGCAATTTCATCAGAGATTCTTCTACTACGAGCCCATTCAACGGCCAAGATTGGAAAGACTAGCGCACCTCATTGGCGGCAGTGTTGACTTTGGTTCAAGGTCTGCTTCGAGCAGCAGTCCGACCGATAGGACTAGCAAATCTCGATCTCCACCCTGACTTGACTTCTTCAACCTGACGAGTACAGTACGAAGATCGTTGCTTGCGTGCGTGTGGGGATACTCCTCCCTTGGGGTTGGAGGCTCTTTCTTTCGGCTCTATCCTGCAAGGATCTAGGTGAGGGATATTGATCTCGGGGGAAATGTGAGGGTACGAAGTACTTCGTACTATATGTCCCATACGGCTAATGATGTTCAACTAATTTCGCTGCGGCTTCATGTGGAGGGACCCGCATCTCGCTTTGCGCTCGATACTTGTACTTGTAGTTGCGGTGTTGCACATGCACTCGAGAGAACCATCGGAGCATTCTCCAGGAACCGGGGCATGAGTGGATACAGGGCATCGCTGGATCTTCCGAGTAGGGGACTCACGACCTCCCTATCCCGAACGCCATTCCGTTTGAAACGTCTGTACGGTAGACTCAACGGAGGGGCAACGGACCACCCATTTGTCCCCAGGGCGAGATTCTCTCGATCTATGGTTTTGTCGGCTTACCAGGAGGGCAAAGATGTTCAGCGTATTTGAGATTGTACGGTACTCAGTCCTCATCTGCTGCACATTTATTGGTATGGACGGCAATAATGAACGTCCACAGGATCGAAAGCAGATACTAAAGAGGGAAAAGATCCCTGGTCTGATAACCCCAGAATAAGGGGCGATCCCTTTGCTGATGCTCTTCATTCGCGTGGAGATTTGGTCGACGAAAAGAACGAGGTGACGGAGGTTCTTGGACTATCTGCCCTAAGTCAGATTGCAAATTGTCGACTTTTGGCATGAAGCGTGAAGACTCGTCTGCATTCGGACGTGTGCAGATGTAGTACTTGGTGGACTGTAGATCAAACGAGATGAAGTAGCATGATTAAGAAAATGAGGTCGGAACCCCTGTTCTTCCGCCGCGCAATCGTAATCTCGCCAGATTCACACCGCGTCAAACAGTGAACTCCATAGATCTGAGATTAAAGCATGCATTAGGGGCATCAGGATCAGGGGCTGATCGTGGCTTGAGTGGTGGACGTGTTTACGCGTTGGCGGAAAATCCATGGTTAGGTAATCATCGGAACGGAGAAACATAATTGCGCCAACTCTTCAGTGTCTTGCTTCATTCAGGTCGCACGACGAGGTACTTGCCAGCTGTTCATTTATACATGGAAACTCTACAGTTTGGCAGACTCAACACGGATCATTATTGCCAAATAAGACTGTCGCTGACTTCGGAGGAGGCTGCTGTCTGCTCCTCCGTCCTTTGACACGCATGTCTCCCAGGTAGGACCAAATACACGACGAGGGTGAAAGTCCAGGTGCCTTCAATACTGCCCCCAAAAAAACGTCGACATCGGGTTGGGCTCCCAACAACAGCAAACCCGAGGACTCTGCCACTTCTGTTGGATAACACGTACAGGACTCGAATTTACTGGGTCATCTTCTCGCACTCCCTGTTCCCGAATTCATCTCCCGTTGGCCACTTTTCACAAGTTGTCTGGAGAGAGGTCAAGCTCCAGAATGAAATTTTTCGACTTACAGGTAATTGACAGCGTACCTTGCAGAACAGGACGGATTCCGAAAAGTCCACCATCCTTGACGCTGCATGCCGACGAGGGTGTTGAGCAAACTTTTCGTCGTCCATTCCCGAGTAATGGAGATGTCAACCGAGATATGGACCGAGTCAAGGCAAGTCGCCCACCACATGTTGCAGTGTGTGAATGGAGAAGCGCCGTTGTTCATGCAAGGGTGTCCAAGCGTTGTTCCGACGAGCAGCAAGGGACGAACTTCGGACAGACCCTGAAGGTTCAACAGCTCAGCGCAGTCTTCTGAACGAGTATCGCTAGCGCAGATTGACTAGCACGAGGTCTGGAGACTGGAGAACCACGAGGTCGCCGTCTGCGATGGGTTTGCGTAGTGACTGACCCTACAGGGTAGTGTCGAGAGAGGAAGAGCGACACACCGTTGCCGGAGTTCTCCAACCGAGCGAAGTACGGGAAGTGCCTGGATGGAGAAAAGCCATCGAAGTCTCTTTGCGCAAAGATTGTTACTGGTCAATGGTCAGCCACCACATTGAAGCAATGCAAAATCCTCGGGTGGCAGTCTGCAGAGGTTTTTCTTCGTTATCATCTTGCCGGCGCCATGATAAGGAATACGCATATCCACCACCTCCACCACATAACTCGGTACCCAATAGGCGACGGATTGTACCTGGCAGACACATGCTGGGCCGAGCCTTGGCACCGAAGCGAACCCGTTCGGAAGAAGAGAATGCTTCCCAATTCTCACGTTGCAAGGGAAAATCCACCCGTCCCATTCGGTTCCTACTAATGGAGAAGATAATGGTTGAAAATTCTCTACCATATCTCCATCGTTCACATGTATGTGGGTGCCCGCGGGACTGCATCATGGACCCTCGAAAAATGCAAGTGGAATGCAGCGGCGATACTCGTAGGCCACCAGAATATCGGAAGAGAACTCCACCTAAGGCTCGCACATAGCACCTTTCCTTTTGCAGCCATTTGCGACAGAGCATACCTCTTGTACGGAGTATTCGGAGCTGCAATCAATGTCTATACCTATCGGCGTACGTGCGCAAAGTTCTGGGAGCTCATAAGAAGAGGAAACGACCTTTTGAACCAACTTGCCGTGTTTGATTTCGAGCAAGACCGAAAGATTTGGCCATCGAAGTGGTGGTTGCGCCTTTTTCTGCACTATCAATCCTGGCAACATTTTGCTTTTGTTGTTGTGCGAATCATTTTCGTCACCGACTACCTTCTCTAGAGATGTGGTCCGCAACCATTACGAATATTTTGTCCGTACAACAACGGAAATCTGCATCAGATCGGAAGTCGAAACCGTTGCGCACTTCTCAGAACATGTCTGCCGAAGTATGTGCAGTGAACCAGGCATATCCTGACTTCACGAAGCCGGATGGCCAAAAAGGCGCTGCGAAACTCATTTGATTGGATTAGACTGACGGCAAATGCAAGTCTTAGTGGGATATGCGGGCAAGGGTGCCTTTATAGCCTTTCTTTGGTTATGGCTGTGTACTGCATACTGATGCGTCATTCTCATCACTATCCAGTATACGTATGCTGTGTCTGGTCCACCCGACTTTTTGTCTGGGCGGGCTTGGAATTTTTGTCGGGTGTCGTTCAAGCGTGGGCTGGGTCACCAGGATGCTTTGCGCACAGGCCCAGGGGCACTGAGTCAGGATTGGGCCAGTACCTGAGCACCACAAAAGTCTCCCCGAACAAAGACTTTTCCTTACCTTGGGCTGCCAGGTTGGCAACGCGCGCTCTGCCACATTCCAGGAGTTGACAAGACAGCGTCGAGGCATTCCCTTTCGGGACCCAGCCCCCTTCCTCCTGTCAAAATGTGCCTGGCACCGAAATGAGCTTTGAACCTGCAGTTTCGATCTACGACGCCGTTTGACGTGGACGATGGTTAAGCTCCGACTGGCGCCAGGTACGCGAGAGAAGCCACCGACACCATTCGTCAGGCGCTTGGAAATTGGCTGGAGCTAGAGCGTTTCACTCCAGCGGACTCGAAGGCTAAAAGGCCCATAGACCCAGACTCTGACAGGGATGTTCTGGGGCGGTCGCGCGCCACGGCAATGGCTAACAATCGGGGGTCATCCCCGGCGCTGGCTGACCATTGGTTCGTGGTGCTCCAAAATGCGCTGGATGCATGGGGCCGTATCTCCTGGACCTCGTCGTGTTGTGTTGCAATATGGGCCAGTTCCTTGTCTCTCCCTCTCTTCCCATCCTTGCCAAGTTCGCCGTCCACCACCGCCTGGATTGATTATATCTCTCAGACGTCTCTTCACGACGTCGTCCGCTCTCTTTCCTCAGCCGTACCAGCCTACGCCCGCGTTCACTCCTTTACGCGTCCCTCGCACTCGTTTTCGTCGCTCTCTCGCCTCGTTCAGTCGTTACAGAGACTCGATCTGAGATCGTCCCAATCGCACTCCTTTACAAGCACACTCTCAGAAGTCGAACTTCTCTCAAAGACAGCTATCTCAAAGCCACAAGAGTTCATCTCTCTGCACATAGCAAAAACACCACAAACAGTCAAGATGCACTTCTCAATGAAAACCATGGTGCTGGCCACCCTCGCAGCTGGCCAGGCATACGCTGCCAGCATTGGGCACCAGCACTCTTCCGCCCACAGCCATGCCCGCAAGCATAACCACGTCGAACAGTAAGATGGCCCCCGGGATTCCGTCACATGGTTACACAAAAAGGTATACTGACCCGGCCCTGAAATAGAAAGCGTGCCACCGCCCTCAGCGATGCCGACGCCAGCAGACTCAGCAGCCTCGGTGTCGCGAACTTGGGCATGAACTCGGCCGTTGCCAACGGACTTGCCTGGTTGTCCGGCGGCGAGAGCGACAGCAACCCATGGAAGGCCAACTTCATCAACAACGCTGGTGAAGACATCGTCCTTGTCTGCTGGGGTGTCGCCGGCTCTTGGATCAACGCAGTTCAGCCCACCATCACCGCTTCGATCGCCGCCGGCTCCTCGATGATGGTCAACTTCGCTGACGGCGCCTCGGGCGCTTGCTCCGCCATCTACCCGGACACTCAACTCATCAACGGCCAGGCCAGCAACACCTGGATGGAGTTCACCTTTGGCGAGTGGGGTGTGGTCGATGTGTCGCGCGAGGTCAACATGAACGGACACAGCCTCAGCATCGTCGGCCCGTCTTGCACCTCGAACATGGACACATGCGTCTTTGTCTGCCCGAGCGGAGATGTCTGCACGACCGGCTACGTCCTCCAGAACTGTGCCAACGGATCCCAGCCCGGTGCCAACTATGGTACCTTTGCTGGAGCACCATCCGGTGGATGTGGTGGCATGGGTCAATCCGCTACCCTCCAAGTCACCTGGTCATGAAAGAAAAAAAAATCACATGGCTAGAAACAATTCGATGGAGGGGAGGTTGGTAACATGGTAAATGTCCCTGGGTATTTGTGAATGGTTCCGGATTGAGGTGTGTTTGTGTGTTGTGTGCAGGGATGATACCTCCAACGTCAACGGCAACAACAACGACAACAACATCAAGACATCAGGCAATCGCCATTCTCGGCTTTCTTGGACAAAATCTATGCTCGGTCCGCATTTGCTTACCGACCTCTCTTCTATCTCGTTGCCATTTGGCAAAATTTCTTACAATCTCATTTGTCCCCCAACGTTTGAGGATGTGTTGGACATGGGTTTCTTTATATCTTTGTGCTTTTACTTGTATAGAGGTTAGATCTATGTCTAGGTGTTTTTTTGAATACTATACCATTGAAAAATCCCATTGATGTCCGCTCCGTACCAAGTATGTAGATTTTCTTCGTTTGTGCTTACTTCTTACTCCGTGTGTGTGTGTGTATGTGTGAGTTTGTGTAAGTTGATCCTTTCGGGTACGCACAGGTGTCACCGCCAACACCCCCTCCTACGGCGGCTTTCGGTATCCGTACGTACCTAAAAATTGAACGAACCGGGTCGCACAACATGCCAAAGTGTCACGATGGAGCATTGAATGTTGTGGAAGTGTGCGAGAGCCATGTATGTCAAGAGAGGATGATATTCACGCCACACAAAGACACCACATATACATACATATACTCGTACGGGGGCGTCTATTGAAATGGTGAAAAGTAACACTCCGTATGAAGTACCACACATACGCACACATACGGGTACACAATCCGTTGTCGGTCGTCGGTCGTCGGTCTGGAACAGAAATTACGTCGTGACCATGGGTGTTTGTAAAGGAGTAGTGTACCTACTTGCCCTACCTTACGGATTGTGCTTTTGGGTCGACTCAACCCAAAACGCCCGAGTAGTGATGGGCAGATGTTTAGGTCGGTCAACTTGAGGAATTGCGCATGTCATGGAATGTCGTTTTGCGATCCGGACCGAGGCTTTCAACGGGTCTGTGAATTCGCGAATGGGTTGTGCTAGACCTTGAAGGAAGGGAGGTTGCTCGATGCGTTGGCATACACAGTTGGTAATACGATAGGTCACAACGAAGGAATCAAATGGGTACACGAAGACCCGACGAAATCCGTCGACTTTGTTACCTCGAGGCGCGTAGGAACAGGAGTCGTGGACTTTGGTACGGAGTGAAGTAGAGGATATGGGTGCGTGGTCGACGGCGGCGTAGTAATCAATAAATATTCGAAACTCGGCGAGGCTGCGACCACCCACTCCAACTACTTTTCCTACTTGTACCATCAACCGTTCACCGATCCACTGGCTTCAGATGTACAAGGACAAGTGTACATTCTAGAATACTAATTCCATACCTTTGAGTCTTCGCGCACGATATTTTCATTGGCTTCCCCCGTGGAACATGGTTTTTGGTCGCCACGGAGTAAGGAAATCGAAGTTCGGGGACCAAAGGCGCCGACACGGACGAATTGTGACGAGGCTGAGTAAATGACCTCTTCTCCTCCTCTCCCTACGACGAAATCATCTAGTATTGAAGGTAAAGCGATAGTTCATATATAGTACATGTATGTAAGACCGTCCTATGGGTCGTCTTCGGATTTTTTTCAATTCCAGAATACAACATCTCCCTTGACAAGTAAACACTCGTCCAAAGTACGCATCTTTTCTTGACGACAAGTGAAGATGGAAAACGAACATATCCTAGTCCTAGGCGCCACCGGTGCTTCTGGAGTGGCTTTCATCGAGGCAGTTGAAGGATTGACCCACAAACCCAAATTGACATTGTACATTCGACCGGGTTCGAGATCCAAGTTGCCTGCCTCGACTGCGGCCAGCAAGAACAACAACAACAACAACAAAACTTCGATTAGAATCATCGAAGGACAACTCGACGATAGAATGGTCATGCAAAAGGCAATGTCGGCGTCTGCAAGCGACGATGGTCAATCCTTCCCACCTGTATCTGTCGTCGTTTCGTTCTTGGGAAGTTACGTCTCTTTCAAAGCAATCTTCACGAGAGACAAGTCGCACCCGATCGGCGATGCTTTTCAAAAAGCCATCATGCCGGCGATGAAGGAGGAGGGTATCTCTCGAATCCTCGCACTCAGCACCCCGTCGGCGCTCCCTCACCCTTCGGAGCAAGGCGGCGGCGGCGGCGGCAAGACCAACACCATGCCTTGGAAATGGTGGCTGTACACGTGCATGCCGATCTTGTTGGCGCCCCAAGGCAACGCCGAGATGAAGGCCATCGCACGGGCCGTCATCGACGCTGGATCGGACGATTCAAACCCCAACCCGATCGACTGGACCGTGTTCCGTGTGCCTCATCTGACGCAGGGAGATCCTCATGCCAAAGTGATTGCAGGTCTCCTCGACAAAGATTATGCCGGTGGGATTGACCTCAGCAGGGGCAGTTTGGTCAGATGGGTGCTTCGGGAGATTGAAGACAGGAGGTTCCTACGGCAGCTGCCGATGTTGGCGAACCCATGACGGTGGTGATGTCGTGGTGGGTGGTGATATCATGCGATTTTATTTTGCTTGTGTATATACAACGAGGACGAAGTCAATTACGAATCCGTGTAATCGTGCCGAGCAAGATATTGGGTGACACGTACTCGTACTGTCTCGTAGGTGTCAAAAAGTGTGTACGTGTACCTCCCTGTCTGGACTCACATTTTGACAAACGACACACACAAAGACAGCTGAAGTGACTGATGAAGACGCCTGTCCGTGCCACCGACCAAGTGACTGGTGAGTGGGGATTCCGGACTGAACAGTCGCAAAAGTGCGGATGATCAATCTGGTGTCAGTGAGCAAGGCTGTGCATGTGTGTGAGTTTGTACACTAGTCAAGCTTTTTCAGCCACCAACACCTCATGCCGTACTCGTATGGAGTCCGAGTCCGAGTATTATGTATAAACGAGGCATTCGAGCTGGTGCTCATCCTGCACTTCGTAATGTCGATGGTGGCGCGTGCTACCATACACTGACCTTGGAGGCTTGAAGCTTGTATTGTTTACAGTACAGCACTGGCATGGTGTGTACAGTACAATATTCATTGGTGATCATGGGGCGAAGAAAATCGTCATCATTCCCTGTCAAGGTCCGATCTGTTTGCGAGATCGAGATCGAGAACAGTCTTGTACAATACTGTAGTACGAAGCACTCGTAGTGAAAATGGTCAACAAACAGTTCGGGGGAAGGGAAAAAAGAGGAATGATCCGCGGAGCCAATCAATCGGTGTTGCTGTGCGTCTTTTTGTATTTGTTTTTGTTTGTTGTTTTCCTTTTCGGCCGTGGCATCGCGTGCACATTGATTTTACTCCCCACGACGATCAATCATCGGGCCAAATTGACTCTGTGGATAAGGTTAGATTTTTCAAATTTTGACAAGGATCATGATATTGAATTTTGAAAAGATGCAGTTTGTGTCGATGAATAGCGATGTACTCCGTACAGTACCTCACACATTCCCCAGCGCGTCAAATCTAATCACGTGAGCAAAACATGCTCCTGGGGCTTGAATACCCAGCCGTAGCCAAAAGATGAGTCAGCAACCACCAAATTGTACGGTGGGTGAGAGAAGCCATTGACGCGTTGGTTGTTTGCAGACTCTGGCATTGTGCGACATTCTCTCCTTTGTCCTCCTACAGCGAATTCGGTCTGTGAAGAAACACGGCTGATAAGATGCGCTTTTTATTGGACCATACTCGGATGGCTGGTCGACACGACAAAGTCCTTCGACACACTCTTACTCCGTGAGTCCAGGCCTGACCATGGCGGAGATAAGCGAGTCTTTCTCCAGCTTGTTTCCCCCGCCATCATTTACATACAGTACCTCGTACCTGTGCGTCCAGTACTTGTACAAGTCAAGTCAGAACTTCGTTTCCATCTCTTCGACAAACTCGCTGCCACTATCTACTGAATGTCATGCACGGAGGAATATACGTGCCCACTCAATACCTGAAAAACGGAAGAGATCATCCTGATGGTGAAGAAATCCCACCGGCCACCGAGGACACCGGTTGAACCATAAAAACGCCTTCGCGTATCTCCGACTGGCGACTTGCACCAGGGCGCCGGGCCGGGTGTATTTCAACAGATTGACCATCCATTCCCATCCGGTTTCCCTCTTCCAGCAAAGGCGCTCAAGTTCAGCCAGTTGTAGATCTATACACATAACATACTCTCTTTACGAGTAAGCACACTGTGTACGAGGATTCTGACAATGCCTTCTTCATCACATGCACAACCACCCCATATCCAGCGACTTGTCCAGAAAATCCAGCGAGATCCTGGTCTGCCGGTCGAGAATGCAACCACTCCATTCTGGCTGGAGCCAGTGGTTCAACATGCTCATCACCAGTCGCCTTCTCTTTCACAGACTGCAGATGTCGTGATTCTTGGCTCCGGTATCACCGGCATAAGCACGGCTCTGCACCTGTCGCGTATCGCGCCCGAGCTGAAGATCGTGATGCTAGAGGCTAGGGATCTGACATCTGGTGCCACGGGCCGGAATGGAGGCCATATCAAGGCTGTTCCCTGGAAGGACTACGGCGACATCAAACAGACGTTAGGTCGGGAGAGCGCCATCAAAATCACTCGTTTTCGACTGGCCCATCTGCCGGCTCTCCTAAGCGAGGCCGCTTCATTGGGAGAGTCTGGTAAGGCAGGCTTGGTGAGACAATTGGAAACACTCATAGCCTGCTACGACCGAGACGTATGGACTCAGGACAAGAAGAAGCTGAAAGAGTTCCTTGACGACATGCCGGAGGAACAAGGAAAGTGGAACGTGCACGAAGATCCTTCGGATTTGAAGGTAAGCATGCCTCTCTACACGTTGGTCGTTGTTGGCCGTTAGTCGGTGACGGTGAGGTGAACACATCTCGTACTGATCTACTATTCTTCCAGAAACTAGGACTGGCAGAGAACTGCGTCGGTTGCATCTCAGGACGCGCAGGAGCAGCCTGGCCGTACCGATTCCTCGGGGCCGTCATATCAAATCTTCTTCAAAAGGGGGCCATCAGCCTGGAGACACACACACCCGCCCTTTCCATCAGTAAACACCAAGCATCTTCTCCGTACCCATATTGCGTTCGGACAGGCAGAGGATCCATCCAGACCAAACACGTCGTCCATTGCACCAACGGTTTTGTCGCCCACCTCATCCCGGGCTTAAGAGGCAAAGTGTGCCCTCTTCGTGGTCAGATGACGGTACAGTCCGTCCCGGATGACTTCCCCCGGTACGGTGCCAAGCATTCGTGGAGCGCAATCTGGGACCGAGGATTCGACTACATTTGTCAGTCTCCAGCCGCGGATGGGAGCCTTTACTTTGGCGGAGGCGCCTTTCGATCCGGCCTCGAGAACGACCAGGAAATCGGCAATGTAGACGACAGCCGACTCTCACCACAATGCCTGAGCCACTTGGAGACCGCCGCGGGAAAAGCCTTCCTCGGGGGCGAGGGTGCTCGCATCTCCAAGAAGTGGACCGGGATCATGGGTTTCACAATGGACGGGTTACCCATTGTGGGCCGTGCATCGAGGCACGTCTCTATGAGAGACGAATGTCGCGCGGATCAAGGTGGCGAGTGGGTCGCTGCTGGGTTCAACGGCTACGGCATGGTTCACAGTTGGCTCAGTGGGAAAGCGTTGGCCTTTTTGATTCTTGGACGAGACTCCGAAGTACGTGGCTGGTTTCCCGTCGAAGAGTTTGCCTGCAGTCAAGGACGCCTGGCCAGGATGAGCGCCACCGAATTTCTGGGCCATTTCGGAGGAGGTGTCTCTCCAGAAAGTCATTCGCCGTTGTCCAGCAAGTTATAGTCGCTTGTTGCAAAGTCAAACAGACAGAATTTCTCATTTAACAAAGGTGTGGTCTGCTGGTCCAAAGTCTCTCCGCGCCCAAGGTCCCTGTCTGTCTAGTGTACATCTTACTTTGGCAAGCTAGTCAAGGTGGTGCCGCCTCCAGAACAATTTTCCCAATCTTACAACACGTTGCCCTTTGTCTGCGACATGTTCTTGACGTTCACGTTCCTTATCATAGCCACCCACACGAAGCCCAGGACCATGATGGCGCAAGATGCAGCCAGCATGCGTGCCTGGGCGTAGCCGTAGGATTTCTGGATGGCCAGCCTCTCGGGACTCCCGACCGGGTACGAGAGCTGGACCGTCAGGCTGCCGTAGATGGAAACGACGTCCGGCAGGGCGGACGCGGGCAGGTTCCGCTCGAGGGCCTTTTCGAACGTGTTCGTCCAGATGGCGCCCGAGATGGCGTCCCCGATGGCGCCGCCGATGGTGCCGCTGACGAAGAGCATCGACAGGACGGCGGCGACGTACTGGTGGTCGACGCTGGCGAGGACGGCCAGCTGCACGCAGAGGATGAAGACGCAGCCGGCCACCGAGAAGAAGATCTCGCACATGACGATGTACCCGATGTAGCCGTTGGGCTGGCGGAAGTGGATCATGAGGCCGACGGCGAAGATGTACAGCGGCACGCAGACCCAGAGGATCCACTTGAACCGGCCCGTGACGCGGATGAGGTAGCCCGTGGCGAAGAGGCAGAGGAACGACACGGCGCTGAACGTGTTGGCCACGTAGCCCGCCTCGGCCAGGCTGAGGTTGTACACCACCATGAGGAAGGACGAGAGGTAACTCGCGTAGCAGTAGTACGAGATCTGGTACGTCATGTCGAGCAGGCACGCCCCCAGCACGCTCCGGTCCAGGAGGAAGCGAGACTTGAGGAACGGCGTGGGCGCCACGTAGACCTGGTACAGCGCGAACAGGACCAGCACCACGAACCCGACCACGATCATGGCGATGATGTAGTCGGTCCTCCAGCCGTGCGGGGCCCTCGTGGCCAGCGTGAATGGCAACAGGAACACCGTCAGGCCGCCGGCGAACAAGATCACACCCGGTACTGTGTTTTTGTTGAAAAAGAGTGTCAACGACGTGACCACCAGAAAAGAAAAAGAGACAGGGCAAAGTGAGGAGGGCCAGAAACTCACAATCAAACTCCTTGACGATGTATACAATCTGCTGCGACCAGGTCCGGCCACTCTTCTCGCGGACGATTATGCCTTTCTTCTCGGCCCTGCGCAGATTCTGCCTCAGGACGAAATACAAGGGCAATCCGACACAGGGGAAAACGATGGCCCAGCACCCGATACCCCATTGCCAGCTGACATTGTTGTAGAAAGCTTCGGCGGCCTTGGATCCCGCAAACGCCGTAATCACCGCCGGAGACGATGTGAATGCAAACGCCAACCCTCGATTTCTGAGGTTGGTGACGTCGGCGGCGAGTACGTCCCAGCTGTACGAGAGCCCCCCAAAACCGACAGAGTAAAAGACCTGTTTGTGTTCAGGTCAGCACACGCTTATCGTCCAACGAGACAATGGTTCATAGGGCCCGAGAGACAAGCGATATTAGGTGAGAAAGATGACCGTACTAACCTGAGCAGCACAATATGTTGAAAGATTCTCCGAGGCAGCCATCAGAATCAAACCCAAAAGGCAGAAGCCCAACATGAGTAGAAATCCCTCGGCACGCCCCCAGACGTCCAACATCTTTGCCATGGGAATGTACACGGCGGCGGTCATGGCGTTTGAGACGATACCGATGACCGTCAGCAGAGAGTGTGATTGCCAGTCACTCGTGGCAAAAGGGGTCAAGCTGAGAACGATGGTCGACTTGAAATTGTTCACTAGAGTCAAGAGCCAGATCCTGTCCGAGGAAAAATCTTGGTCAGTCCAGAAAGACACAACAGAAAAGCAGAAAGGCATCGCCAAAAGGAGGTAAATTTCCGAGAGGGAAACGTACAGGATCAAAATAGAAGCCAGAGCTGTCTTGGACCATGCCAAAGTCACCGCCTCAATCTTCTTGACTCCCAGCTGTGCATCCTCTGTCGGTGTCGTATCCTCGTGGCTTTTGACGTGAGTGACTGCGTCAGAAGAGCCTGTTTCGGCCTCCTTGTTGTCGACAGGGTGGGCAACGTTGAAAGTCGTTGCAGAGGGATCTTCGGTCGAATGAGCAGAAGGAGGAGGAAGACGTGGACTTTGCGTGTTGTTGTCGCTAGACTTCTCGTCGCCAAAGATGTGACGAACCTTGTCCAAGATCGCCATTGCTGTAGATGGAAGGGTCCCTTTGATATACGCAAGGACAAGTGCAAGGCGGCTTGTTATGTTGACCACTTGAACAATATACGACGATCAACTCTTCTGATCTCAACGACAGCTGAAAGTGACCAGTGATCAAGGTCATATACAGATATATAGCTCCGTGAAAGAGATAAGATAATCTCTGATTGGGCTGGAAGCAGAAGTAGAGCAAGGAAAGAAGAAAAAAAATCGATATCCACGTGGGTCGTATCGCTTAGCCAGACCACAGGGGTGTATGTGTGAGTGCGTGTGCACGCCATCTGGACCTGGTAACCAACGATGAGAAGCCGAAACCCTGGTGATGGATGGATGATCCTGTATCTGCCACCGAAGTCGGCTGTTGCTTCTGAGCGAACTTTCCCCCAGTAATTCGACACTCATTGGTCTGACAGGGACCAGTGTATGTATGGCGAGCGAGGGTGGGGGAAGCGAACATTCCGGACAACAGGGGTCTTCTCAGAGAGGGTCAGTGTCCCTGGTCGGGTATGCTTCGCCGGCGGAGGGCGCGCTCATGCCACATGCCATTATGGCCAGGTCAGGAAGCTTGTACGGAGTGCCGTTCCAATCTACGTGCCGACAACCGGAATGAAACCATATTCGAAGGCGCTTGGGACGCATGTGGCCGTGGGAGAACCAGAGGAAAATAGCGCTTTGGACATGATCGGGAGCAAGTCGATCCAGTTACGGCTACTTTCGCCAACATACCGTGTACAGTACGCGCGTGATGTGTACTTTACAGAGTAAGAGTGACCCTCCATTAGCCGGACCTATCCTGTACATCCTAGACGGGGCATAGGCTTGTGTGCACTAGGAGGGGTGAAGGACAAGGGGCGAGGTTGAAATATCTAATCTAATCACTTAGAATGGATCTTATCTTGGCCGAGACTTTGCTAGTGTAGAGGGGCATATGTCCCGTAACGGCACAAGCGTTTCTTCATGGTGGTGACGGTGGCGTGGGATCTGCAACTTGACTTGCAGAAGTTAACTCGTTATGCATTGTATTGTACCAGTCCATCAATGATGTCCACTTTATTTCTCGGGCGGATGTCGGAGGGAGCACTCTGCTTCCGAGCGAACTGATGAATCGGGTGGCTTTTGTTCCCCAAAAAGGGGCAATATACGGGATGTTCGTGAAGGAAAAGAACTTGTACACAAAGACTTTTGTTGCGTCCCACCCGCTGCCTCTACGAAGAAGTACCTCGTGCCCTGCCTCTCTCCTTTGTTCCGCAAACCTTCTTCTGGACCTGGTCGTTGACGGCAATGACTCGTGTTACTTACTACTAGTCAAGCCGTTCACCCACGAAACTCCACGAGATGGTCAACTGTAAGTGCCGAGTACCAAGGTGCTAACCTACAGTAGTAGTGGACTGTGGGTGTACATGCACAACAGGCTGTTGCTGGCTCGAAGTGAAAGCCGACCACCACTCGTCCCGGGTGATTCGATATTCCACCTCACCTTCCTCGATACCCGGGATTGGATCGACACCGTCGTAAGTGTTGTAAAAAGTTCGAACGTGTTGTAACCCACAAGAAACCATCGTGGCCCTGGAGGCCACGTTGACCGTCATGGTATCCCCCACCACCTCTTTCAATTGCAAGTTCTGGAACGCATACCTCAACAGTTCTCGCGAACCTTCCTTTGCCAAACCTCGCCTCCAAAACTTGGGCAACAACCTCCATCCGAATTCTGCTCGATCGGGGTTGTATTTTTCGTCGGTCGGGGACGGCTCTTCCTCGTCGCCCTCTTCTTTCTTCGCGTTTGTCTGCTGACGAGACGCTGAAGGTGCCAGGACCCACCATCCTACAAAGTCTTGACCGATAAAACCGACCCAACAACCGAGGCCGAGGATGGGTTTCGCAGAATCCATGAGCCACTGATGCACCTCGACGGCTTGCTCCGGTGTCAATGGTTTTCCGGTCAGAACATATCTCATGACATCCGGGTCAAAGTCTAGTTGTCTGGTGAGTTCAAAGTGTTCGGGTCCGAGTGGTCGGAGCTCCAGACGCTCTGTACGCAGAATCGGTTGATTTGGTTTGCTCATGATCATACTTGGGGGTGGTGCCTCTGCTGGTGCCGGTACTGATTGTTGCTGATGGGTTGGAAATTTCGTTCTGTTGTGGCTGTGTCTCTTTGAGTGTCCTACAAGACTCTGAGTTGTGAAATGGCATAATTGCCTGAATCCTTCGTTTTTGAAACCAGTGGTCAAGCCCCCTTCTTATACCTACTCAAATCGGCCTTGACTCTTGTCACAGACCAGGGGACTGCATGGGCATGACCATTGCCATTGGCACCGAGAAGGAAGCCTGATTGTCGTCATGCCTCTCTATCCTGGTTCTTCATAGCGTGGATTCGACTTGATGGCATGCAGATACACTGATTAAGACAATGATCGTCGTCTTGCAGGGTCGACAGAGTGGATGGGCTATAGAAACCTGAATATGGGTCTCCAATGCATTGGAGGGCTAGGGGTGGAAGGAAGAGAACACCTCCGTTTTACGGACAGCATAGTCCTTTCTATTTGACGACAACCGAACAGGACAGGAGAAGATTGTCTTGTCTAAACCTTGGCTGTATAGTACGAGGTCTACGTCAGCTGAGTGTATAAAGTGATTGTATAGATTGTCACGGTGTAGGACGTGGGTGAAGATGAAGTCACTAGATTTATCACAACCTGATCCTTTCGAAACCATAGCTACTGTATACATGGTTTGAATTGCTTACTACCACCACTACATCAACAGGAGCTGTATGGTGCCGTCTGAGAACCCTGGATCCAAAGATACCGTATGCACCGTGTAGAGTTTTTGACGTACAACATTTACTGTACTTGCCATCCCTCCCGATGTGTTCATAATGTGAAGGATACATCCTTGACCTTCCTTCCCACCCGTGCAGGCCCTGGATGGTTTGTGTCAAGTTAAACTATTTGTGGCTTTTGAATAAAAAGGGTTCCTTGGTGACTGGCAGCAGTGGGTTGTTTCCACGGGACGGGCCACATATTGACACTGGTACTACATGTATGTATGTATGTACGTATCCATTATTACGAAGTTTCGATGTTCCGTCAATAGTGACAAGTAAACTTTTACAGTAGGGCATGAATCACGCCAGCGGGAATACAATATGTAGTAGCCCCGGCGTATCCATCGACGACCGAGCCAACTGTGGGCAGGGCGAGGCACCACTGTACAAGGGTCTCGTTCTTTAGTTACTTGAGGTAGTCCGTACTGTACGTACATTTAACGGCACTTGTAATGTACTCCATACCCAAGGATGATCATCCCCTTCCCTTCCGTTAACCACTTATTTTACACAAGCGGCCCTCCCGATCATCCACACAATGCGTGATGCGACGTTGGACCTGATTGTCTCACAATAATCTAATCAATCAAATCTTATCTTTTAGACTCCATTATATGGTATGGAGATCCTCCTTCGGGAAATCATTTCGTTTGACGACCACTCCGTATTTCCAACTACTCCTCTCAGGCATACCTATCGACGATCCTCTTACCCGTCAACTCCCGATACAACATCCAGCACGAAACATCACTTAGCCAAGATAATAGAGTACGACGTTACGACAGCGAAGAAAAGAAAATCTAATCAATCAAATCTTATCTCTACAGTATCCACCCTTTATTGACGTCCCCAGTACTCCCCCCTTCCAAGGTAAAATAGCCCGTAGATCACCATTGCCCACTGATGCAAGGCACATGAGCACCTTCTTAGGTATAACTACCAACAAGGATACGGTACGACTTTCAACATTATGCCGAGACATACGTGGTCTTGCAGACCCGATATCGGTCGACATGGATGATGGGGGCCATGGTTGTCGTCTTGTTCCAGCGCCCCAGGGTCCTGTCCAGACAATCAACAAAGGAAGAATTTTCTTCTGTTCCAAATGACCCACGGAGTGATTCTGTAAGGCCACTTCACTTGGCTCTGCGTTGAGGTTTGATCGGCCTACATTGAACTTTTTTGGCATGCGTATGTCGTTGTGACGAAATCGAATCGAGGCCCTCCGATGGCACTTCTAACATTTGATCCTGGCCGAACTGAATCAGTCGACACTTGAGTATCCTGTATAGTGGCCCATACTCCCACACTCTGATACTGAATTGACAGACGCGCTTTGTACTTGTGCACCACGCCTGCGGCATCGTATCAGAGAAAAAGCGCTTCCAGAAGAACAGGCCAGTGGAGCCACCAAGGGCAAGGCCACTGTGTACTTGGTCTCTAAAAGGTTGGTGGTGTTGACCATCTCCTCTCTTGCCCATCCAAAACATCAGAATGAACCCCATGCTAACGGGCAGACACCCATCCAGATGTCACGGTTCAAGGGCGCGTTCGACTATTTTGCGATTTTCGTCCAAGCACAACCCTCGCCTCTCGATTTGTTGCTCCTGGTCACAGGAGTCATCAGTGCCATTGCCTCCGGTATTCCTTTCCCGTTACTTGGCATCATCTTCGGTCAACTCCTCGATGATTTCAACGACCAGATTTGCGCCGCCGATGATGCACAAGCCTCGGCGACCAGTACACAGCACTACCAGAGCGCGGTCGATGACAAGGTCCTGTACGTGGTCTACCTTGCCATTGCCCAATTTGGCTTCATGTACATTCACCTCGTGAGCTGGTCTCTGGGCGGTGCCAGACTGGCCCAACGCCTCCGCGAGCAATACCTACGCAGTCTCCTGCGAAAAGACCCAGCCTTCTTCGATGGCCGGCCCGGCGGTGAAGTTTCGTCGCGGCTCAACGGTGACATATCCATGATCCGCATGGGCGCCTCTGAGAAGGTCGGCATCTGTCTATCCAGCCTTTCCTTCTTTGTCACGGCGTATGTCGTTGCCTTTATCAAGATCCCAAGGCTGGCCGGCATCTTGGTTGCACTTGTCCCGGCTTACTTTTCCATGTCGCTGGTCGGGGGCTATTTTGTCAAGAAGTATTCTTCTCAAGTGTCCGATCGCTTTGCCGCCGCGTCGTCCGTCGCGTCAGAGGCCTTGACCAATGTGGCTGTTGTGCAGGCCTTCAATGCCAACGACAAGCTGGAAGCGAGTTTTTCATCGCACCTGCGATCGGCTAGAAAGGCAGGGATCGACAAGGCCCTGGCCAACGGCATCCAGGCCGGCTTGATGTATTTCATCGCCTATGCCGCTGACGCGCTGGCATTCTGGCAAGGCAGCCACATGATAGCGGATGCTGTCGCGGGTAATGGCAAAGATACGACGATAGGGGCAGTCTTCACTGTCATTTTCCTCCTGGTCGATGGTGAGTGATTCCCGTTCTAGGGCGACGAGAGAAGGCCGAAGCTGACAAATACTTGCTCCCGCTCAAACAGCAACTCTGATACTCAGCCAAATGACTCCGTTCCTGGCCATCTTCGCCGGAGCTGCTGCAGCCTTTGGCAAACTGAAGAGAGATATCGATGCCCCTTCGGTAATCAATGGGACAGCAGACACGGGCTTGAGGTTGTCTCCCGACTGTGCGGGTGGTTTCAAACTGGAGAACGTCTCTTTTCGGTATCCGTCAAGACCGGAGCAAGAAGTACTCAAGAATGTGTCTCTAGAATTTCCGGCCGGGCAAAAGACTGCCATAGTCGGGTTCTCGGGGAGCGGGAAATCGACCATCGCCAGCTTGTTGCTTCGTCTGTACGACCCAGTCGAAGGCTCGGTGGTCCTGGACGGGCACGATCTTCGCGAGGTGAACACCCGACAAGTCCGCGGCATGATTGGCCTGGTACAGCAGGATGCCACCTTACTTGACCGATCAATTCTTGAGAACATCGCTCACGGACTGGTGAACTCGACTGCACCTGAACACGAGCGACTTCAAGACACACTTCTCGGGCCTCAACTCGGTTCTGTGGCAGCCGCGATAAGAGACGGCCGTGTAGCGACAGACGCTGCCCACGAGCAGGGCCCAGTAGTTGAAGAGATCTTGGGTATGGTCCAGCATGCGATGGAAGTCTCGGATGCTGCACGCTTCGTCAACAACATGCCAGAGGGTTTGGGTACCATGGTAGGGTCCAGTGGAACAAGGCTGAGCGGAGGGCAGAGACAACGTATTGCCATTGCGAGGAGTATCGTCAAGAACCCTAAAATCCTCATACTCGACGAAGCAACGGCCTCCCTCGACTCTAGAAGTGAAAGAGAGATCCTTGATGCCCTGGAGCGCTGTTCAGAAGGCCGAACCGTTATTTCGATAGCTCATCGACTCTCCACAATCCAGAAGGCAGACAAAATTGTCGTAATGGAGAATGGCCGCATTTTGGAAGAAGGAACGCACGCGGAGCTGATGAGCAAACAAGGCTCGTACGCCGGGCTCGTCAACTTACAGAACCTGGACTCAAAGTCACCAACCCGGCGAGCCAGTGAAGACATTTCACTGAGCGGTATGACCGACGTGGACAATGTAGACAATGAACTTGAAAAGACCAGCAAAGCCGATATGTCCATCGAAGTAACGAAGGAGCGCGTTGACATCCCTTCGTCGACGGAGACATCTGCTGAAACTGATGATGAATCGGTAGATCAGAGTCTCGGAACATTGACAAAATCCATGGCACGCTTCATACGCCCTCACGCTCTTGTGGCGCTCTGTGCTCTCGCGGGTGCCAGCATCGTTGGTGGCGCGTACTGCGCCGACGCTGTCATCTTCGGCCACACGGTTGGAGGTCTCAGTCCTTGCCGCTCACCGGCACATATTCGAGATAGTGGACGTTTCTTCGCCCTCATGTTTTTCGTGTTGGCTATTATCGAATTGTTTGCCAACATTGTGAGTTGGATCGGGTTTGGCTGGGTGTCCGAGAAGACCATCTACACCATTCGGGTCTTTCTCTTTCGTGCCATCTTCGAGCAGGATGTCCAGTGGCATCAGTCCCAGGGCCGCACCCCCTCCAGTCTGCTTGGGCTGATCACCAACGACGGGAATCAGATTGCTGGTCTCAGTGGGTCCATTATTGGGACTATCTTGTCAATTTGTATCAATCTTGTTGCAGCGGTCATCATGACATTGATCATAGCCTGGAAGATTGCACTGGTCTGTATGGCCATTGTCCCACTTCTGCTTGGGGTGGGATTTACGCAGCTGCGTGCTCTAGCTCGATTCGCGGACAAGCACGAGCACGCGTTCAACAAGTCGGTCGGGATCAGTGTTGAAGCCGTCAATTCAATCAAGACAGTTGCTGCGCTGTCACTAGAACACGAGATATTGCAGGTATATCGTCGCACACTTGATGGACCGCGACGAGAGGTTACTGCTATCAGCTTCCATGCCAACATCTGGCTCGCTCTGCAGTACCTAGTCGGTAACCTGGCGTTTGCGCTAGGGTTCTGGTGGGGATCTAAACAAGTGTTCAGCGGCATGTATAGTCAGACACAGTTCATCATGGTCGTCTTCTCTCTGCTGGTCAGCGCTCAACTCTGGAGTCAAATGTTTGCCCTTGCCCCCGAGATCACCAATGCGCGGGCTGCTATTGCCAGAGTCACCAATGTGATAGCTCTGGGATCATCGGCCAGTTTCCAGGGATCTTCGACCGTCAGCAAAAAAGACGACATCGAATTCAGTGCCGAGACGAAAACCGCATCACTACATGGAACAAGGGGAATGGACGTGAGAATGCAGAATGTCCACTTCGCTTACCCCGCCCGCCAATCTGCTCCCGCTCTCCGTGGTCTCAGCATTCGTATTCGCCCAGGTCAGTTCTGCGGGCTCGTAGGACCATCGGGCGCAGGTAAATCCACAATTACATCCCTGGTCGAGCGCATGTATCTGCCGCAGTCGGGTGAGATCTTGATCGACGGGAAGGACATCACCAAGCAGGACGGGATATCCTTTCGCGACGACATTGCCCTTGTACCTCAAGATGGCGTGCTTTTTGATGGCACGATACGATTCAATCTGTCACTGGGGGCACGGCCTAGGACTTTAGTGTCGGATGAGGACATGATGGAGGCGTGTAAGCTCGCCAGTATTCATGATACCGTTCTCCAGTTACCTCAGGGCCTTGACACACTCTGTGGCACCAACGGAAGCCAGCTGTCGGGTGGGCAGAAGCATCGACTAGCCATCGCTCGCGCGTTGGTGCGTAAGCCCCGACTCTTGATCCTGGACGAACCGACCAGTGCCTTGGACGCCGAGACAGAGAAAACTCTGCAAGACAACTTGCGAATTGCGACGCAAGGTATCACCGTACTGGTGATAGCACATCGGCTCAACACTATCCGTCACGCTGACAAGATCTTTTTGATTGAGGCGGGGCAATGTGTCGACTCTGGGACACATGACGAGCTTTTTGAACGATCCGAGTCTTACCGGGCGAACGTGCTCAGTCAAATGATTGCAGAATGAAGAGTCAAAGCATAGAGGCCGTAGATGGAAAGCATCATATAATCTTGATTGAAAAGTTGATTTGAACGAAATGCATCTCGTAGCAGATAGAAAAGAGGCGAACCATAACAAAGTGGTGTGGTTTTTACGCGTCGTTGCTCTACGAGTCACGTGACTTTGCAGTGCTGACTAAGCCAATCTCGGTCTAGCTCCTTGAAGCTTAAGAGGTAAATTCTTCTAATCCTCATGACCGCAGACAGACTTGAAGCCTCACAACTAATCTGTTCCGCATACAGACGGACAGATAGAGAGCCAAGAGTTACACCACTTGCCAGAGCTATGTGCCTTCGTCATAGCGACAGTCATCGGTCTCTGCCGAAGTTGCGGCCCTGATATAACTTGTCGGAAGTGTATCTCCTTGATGATTGACGTCCTTGGAAAACCTTTCCGGGATGATTCCACGTCGAATCTGAGGTGGTACAATAGTCCGCGCCAATTGAGGTAATGAGCCCAGAGATCAGAAAGACCCTGGCGCAGAGACCAGACCAAAATGACTGCCTTTGCTTGGACAATACATATCACGAGTGGCATTCTCAACAACTCTTACTCCGCCCATGTGAGACGATATCAAAATGACGTAGGGATTGTTTTCCACTATATGATGGAATGAAGAGCTTACCTCCAGTCGGGTCCTACAGAGGTTCCATCTTACACTAGGACAGACAGACACGTTTGCTCAGAAGAAACCAAATCTACCGACTTGAATCCGCAGGATAGGTATCTGGCCGTCTACCAGACAACTAAATCAGCGGGAAAACTCGTACGAGAACCTCAGACTGCCATGACGCCCGGCGTGATCGACGACGAAAGTGTCGACCAAGTCCTCTCCGGCCTCATCACAGCATTTCACATCCTCCACCAACACCAAGTGTTGGACGAACATGGCCAGATCTCGGTTCGCAATCCTCGAGAACCTTCGACCTTCTTCACAAGCATTGTCCCGGCCATTCTCATATCGTCGAAGAAAGACCTGAACCAGTGGAACGTGACCGACGGGTCTCCTGTTGACGATCCATACCCAGACGTCGAAAAAGTCGCCAGGGTCTCCCCGATGACCGAGATCTTCGTGCACAGCTCCATGTACAACATGTACCCCGGGGTGCAGAGCGTCCTGCACTCCCACTGTCCGACCGCGATCGTGTACGGTCTCTGCAACAGCTGGACCAGCATGCTACAGCCGAGCTATCTGATGGCCGGCTTTCTCGGTTCCTCGCCCCCGATCTTCGACACTGCACGATACTACGACGACCTGCCTGCCTCGCACCCCAAGAACCTCCTCATAACCACTGGGTACCTCGGCGACGAAATGGCAATGGCGCTACGCAAGTCCCACCAGCGTGAAGAAGGGACGGATGTTCTTGCTAACGGCTCGACCATTCTGCCGGAACAAAAGGCCGTGTTCATGCGCGGCCACGGGTACACGACGTGGGCCGAGAGTCTCGTGGATGTGGTGTGGCGCGCCATACACATCCGTCGGGATGCAGAGATACAGACTGCGGCCATGGCGCAACGGGACGCCACCGAGCTCGAGATCGTCTACCTCACGGAGCAGGAGGCCCTGGATTGCGAACGCACCATCAATCATGCGGATAGGTCACAGTGGCAAGCGTGGGTAGCGCAGGCAGAGAGGTCAGGCATGTACAGGAATGATGAGGTGCGCTCGCAGTCGAGTGGGAGTTGAAAAAGGTCCTCTCATCCCAAGGTGGAATACAACATGGCTAATTCAGGACCATGATCCGGTCATACACTAAAAATCACTTTTGTATTATCTTATATCGGTCTAATGGGTATATATAAATCAAATGCCACACGAGTGCGCTTTAACAGACCGTCTTCCAAACCTTCTTGTACCAGGGCCAAGCGGCTTGAATCTTCCGCTCCTCTTCCAGGATCTCCTTCAGATTCAGTTCTCTTCTTCCGCTCGTGATGTCGATCTCACGAGTCTTGCGGAATTTGGTCCTGTACCACAGCTTGTAGCCAATGTACATGACAATCACGATGGGAGCCGCGAGGTAGACCTCAAAGAACCCCTTGACACGCTCGGACGCCGACATGTCGGCGTATCCGACGGGGGCAAAGCCTGTCCAGAACTGTGCGACGAGGATCAAGCAATTCATGATCAAACCGATCCACGAGCCGTAGACACCGGCTTGTGACTTGAACGCTAGGTCGTCGACGGTGTTGCCGGCGAGATGCCAGGCTTGGCGGAAGCGAATGTGACAGATGCAGATGGTTGCCCTAAAAGTAGAAGGATGACTCGTTAGTACGTACGAACCCTTTCGAGGGGACAAAGGCTTAGAGGATAGGATGAATCTCACCAGGTAAAGATGGCCGCCAACCCGCTGATGGCTATCATCCAGTTGAAGGCCTGTGCACTGGTGGCGGAACCCGCGGCGACAATGTAGCACAGGAAACCGAGAGCCGAGGAGACGACAATGGCCACGAGTGGCCTTCCAGAGCGATCGATGTAACCGAGGATCTTGGGGGCCTGCCCCATATCGGCGAGGGCGGCAAGTGTTCTGCTCGAACCGTAGACTGAAGAATTGCCGACGGACAGGACCGCGATAAGAATGACAACGTTCATGATCGAGGGCACTGCCTGGATACCGGCATTGCGAACGGCGATGACGAAGGGGGAGGCGTTTGCATCAGACGAGCTGCTTCCGTTCAGGAGCTTAGGGTCGTCGTATGGCACAAGGACGCTCACAATGGTGAGTGAAACCATGTAGAACTGGAAAAATCGAATTAGAAAACGTCGTAGTAGACGAAAACGAGGAGATGCGGCACATACCAGTGCAATTCGCCAAAACACCTGTTTGACGGCGCTAGGCAGGGTGCGTCGCGGGTTTTCCGTCTCAGCAGCCGCCAGACCGACAAGTTCGGTTCCTGAGAATGAAAATGCAGCTGTGACGAAGACTGAGCAGAGGCCCTTGAATCCAGCGTTGAACGCGCCTGGGTTGTGCCAGTACTCTGCTCCAATGTAGCCTCGGTCACTGCCTGGAACGCCACCAGTGTTGATGATGATGCCGAGAATGCAAAACCCGATCACAGCGACGACCTTGATGATGGACAGGACGAATTCTACCTCGCCGTACCCACGAACACCGAAGAAATTGATGATAATGATTGCGAAAAGGAAGATCGTGACCCAAGCAGCGCCGTTGACGTCTCGGCTGCCTGACCAGAATTCGAGGGTGAGAGATGCTGCCACGATTTCAAGAGGAAGAGTCACCATCCATCTACAAAACGTTAGTGACGTGGAACAGTTTCTTCAAAATCGGCGGACAACTCACTGTAAAGCATAATTCCATCCCATGGCGAAACCCCATGCTGGATCAACAAACCGACTCGCATAGACCGAGAATGCACCAGCTACGGGGAAAGCCACAGCAAGTTCACCAAGGGCTTGAACCACACAGTACAACATGACTCCGATCAGGCCATATGCGATGATCAACGAAGCAGGGCCACCAGCAGCCAGCGCGGATCCTGAACCGACGAAGAGACCTGTTCCGATCGAACCACCAATGGCTATCATTTGAAGATGTCTACCTTTCAGGGCCATGGACAAAGCTGGTTCCGCCGGCGGTTGATCTTTAAGCATGTTGCCGTTGGCATCGATGGCTTGTGTCGTCATTCGAGCATTGGGGTTTCTCTTGAAGCTGTCGACGAAGCGACCCCAGGCAGTCGGCGCACGGGGGAGTTCGATTCTGCCTTGGGAGGCATCGAAGCTAGTCCTGGCCAAATCAGGCTCGGGGCCTTTCTCCACGAGATCGAGGTCGGCCATTTTTGAGACTTCAAAATTGTTATGCTGCGTAGATTGGGGACGAGGGCGGGCACTGATCTCGAGCACACACGACCAGGAGGGTCACAAGTATTATAAAAGCTCGAGACCGAGCAGACCTTTACGAGCCCATCGGCGAAATGCGATAAGGTCAACGTGCTAAGGAAGTTATTGTCGCGTGAAGGGAAGTCATTGTATCGGTGTGATTGGCAGAGATCGACAAGGCTGTGGAAAAATTTGCTGATAGAATTCACGCAGGGAGCTTATTATCGCAAAGAAGCAGGGGTCCATGCTTACCGTCGGCTACATCCACACGCCTCTGTTCTGCATTTTAGCGATGAGATCGTGTCATGGTGTGGCAATTCTGCCGATTAGGCCAATAGCACACCACTACTCCAGTTCGTCATGACTTGTCGGCTTGATAACGGCGCCGCCGTTCCCACAATAAGACGGGCCTCGAGGTGGGCTCGCCTCAGCCAGAACAGCGTAAAATTGTGGTTTTTCGTTGCACTCAGTGCAGTAGTCGAGGACACGATGCTACCTGGATGTGAAACAAACTTGCTTCTTGTCGCTTTCTTTCTGTTATCTGCACAGAAGTCAATCATCATCATCATCATTTTGTGAGAGAGACGAGTTTGATCCGTTGGGAATTTCTTGGCTGGCGGGACGGAAAAACTCTGATCCGAGGCAAATAAAATCTGACATTTTGACATTCTCTCTCACGCCATTGGCAACCTCAACCTCGTTCCAGCCTCGTCGCTCCTCTTCTCTATCTAAATCGTCGTGTCAGGTCCATTGACCAACCTGCACCTTCACCAGCACCGGCATCTCCCATCTCAACATCTCCTTCTTCGCCCTCATCAACCCCAGTATCCTCCTCCATGACATCCTCGTCTTTGCCTTCGACGGGTGTCTCCATCTCATCTTCATCTTTGGCCTCCTTGGCCTTCTTCTGACGCCACGAAGGCCGCTTCAGACCAAGCTCCACGGCCTTGGCCTCACATCTCTCGCAATTATTGGCGTTTGCCAGGACATCAACCTCTCGTCTCGGCAACCACTGATTGGTGCCTGCCACAACTTGAACATTCTGCAGGTTGCTCATGTCTGCACTGAAGGGAATCTCGACAAGACTCTTGTCTTGCATGGTGGCGTTGTCTTTGCCGACCGCAGTCAGCTGGTTGTAAATGTTCCAATACTCTTCTGAGGACCCCGTCAAGAAGTGGATTTCAATCTTGAGTGTCTCGGCGTCTCCCTCGGCGACATTGGCTTGAAACCATTTGGTGTATTCGGACGCCTCGTCCCAGTTGATGGTCTTCCAGCGGTTGTGTTCGATGTCGTGCCTGCTGGTCGATGTCTCTTGCAGGAGGATGAGAGGGGGGTTTGGCCAGTCGTTGGACGCCGCGTTGAGAAATCTGTAATCTGACCAGAAGGCCACCACGTCGACAGTCTCGTTCCAGAGCTCTGCTCTGTCTCTGGCCTCGCAAAAGGGAACGATGATTGGAGGAGTGGTGTTGGTGTTGTTTCCGATGATTCGCACCTCGAAGCAAAAGCGATTTTGCTGTTCTTCAGCCATGGTGAGAGTCGTGGAATTTTTGGATTTGAAAGTTTTGAAAATTAAGAAGTGAAAGGTGAGAGGTGAAATATGAGAATTGGAAAGGGTATAAGTGTGAGCTGTTGAATGTGGTGACTTTTATTCACTGCTTCATCGTCTTCTGGCTTGGCGAACAAACGCAACTGATTCTATTCAAGGAGTGCTTCATCAATAGGAGGGTTGGAGGCGATTGATGCATTCAGTTTCCTCCGTGAATTACCTGCGTTATGCTAATCTCAATAGAGACGGAGCGTCTGCTACAAGGACTGACACCACACGACCAGGACTAACAATGAATTATGTTCCTCTCGAACCGCACAATGTCTTGCCGCCACGCACTATTGCTATGGAGACTTTGCATCTCTTCGAGGCCGCGACCGCATTGTTACCAGAATCACTACCGTCTTTTTTCCTACATCGAGAGGATAGTCGATACTATTGTGCTTAACCTATTCAATATCACCGGCGGTACGTCTTCAGCTGGTATTGTTGGGCTTGTCCTGCGAGCTTGGCAACCCGGATTCACTGCACATCACATTCTGGATAATACGGGATATATATTCAATTCCTGAATTTTTGTTTAACATATGCCTACTGCATGCAGTCCTGTTGGCCTAATTGGTTCTGGCCTCGTTGGTCTAATCAGTTCTGGCCTGGCCAGCCAGGGCTAATAAGACCAACACCTCACACTGCCTTTATTCTTCTGGCGCCTTGGGTGAGGAGCGGAGCTCCGGTCCTCTGACACCCAATTTGGGGTTTTATCTGGCACTGATGAAGTGCACTTTCAGGATAGATCCACCGAGTTTCAGAACTTGAGGTGCTGGAACCCTTCTCATTCAAGGCGCCCTTCTTTTTTGGTGCCTTGTGCTTGGGTTCAAGTTTCGATGGAATCCTTTTTTTTATTTATTCGTGGCACCGAGGAACCGAATCACTGGGCCTTCACAGCTATATCTGGAAGCATGCGCTGTGATTCATCTCGTATTTCAATTCACTTCACTAGAGTAGGGACATCTGCATTCGTGTGCTCTATCGCGCTTCAGCTGGTATGTGCGACCACGCATGAATGCTGCAGGTATGCGTCCAACAACAAGTACTGAACCAGACAGAAGGGTAGCATTTGCGCAAACAATGGGATCTTTGAGGTATTTCGAGGAGTTTATATTTCTCGGCCATGAAGCTGATTACATAAGGCACACACGCGCAGTATTGCCTGGTACTCGCCGACGAATTCGACTAATAAGTTAGTAATTGTCTCCTCTCGCCGACCATATTTCCCGACTTCCACCTACACAGCCAATCTCTATCCAGGAATATCGTTGGCTTCAGTCACAAGCCCTGCGTGGTTTATCGAGCCTATCGGATGACCTCCGACAGGGTCAGGGCTGACACCGGAAAAAGTCGACCGGTACTTTGACGCGAACATCACACCATACTCATTCTCCGTCGCAGCTTGAAATCGAACAATCCAACTCTCAAGAACTTCTCCGTTATACGGATATATTGCATGAAAGATGAAGCGCCGTCCTGATCGGCCTCGAGGTGAGTGAACATTGCGCTGATGGTTTTGGAAAGACATGGAATAAGCAAAGTCGGACCTTTCGTGTTGCCAATTGACCAAACACGCAAAGATCTTATGACCCTGGAAGAATCCGGAAGCGCCAACATGATCAATGCACGTCGACCTTGGCGTAGAAAAGATTGGGCGGACCGCAACTATCTAATAAATCTGATACTCCGGCGCCTCCAAGTCGCCGACTCCCCACAGCTGGGCACCCGCGGTGAGCACGTTCGAGGCCAATGAGAGGACTTCTTATCACGATCTACATCCGACAGGGCAATGTGTATAAAGTCATGACAAGTCGCAGCTTCCGGAGCTTCAACGTGTACCAACGATAAACAAGCGGCAGCAATGAACCATCCTCAACAGTCCTGCACCCGATTTCTCTCATGTCTCTAACGAGCGCAACAAGTACAGCCGCTCCGAGCCTCTGCTCGGTTGCCTCTGCAGCCAAGCTTGGAAGCACCGTCGCGCCTCTTTACCATGCTGGCAGTACTATTCCCAAGCACCAGACGAACTTCATAACCGCTCAAGGCACCGCATCACCCTTTACCAGAGAACCTCAGTACCGCCATCATTCGACAATAAATCTCGCCCGCCCCGGCGGAACTTTCCCCATCCGCCGTTACAACGGATTTGCCGAAAAGACGTCGTCGACACCAGCACGATGTTTCTCCACCACAAGCGTCTCACGGCTTCGTGACTTCTTTCCGTCACAGGAGACAAAGTACATCCGGCAGACACCAGCGGCGTGGCAACACCATGACTTTTCGGAAGAGGAAATGCTCAACGTCACTCCAGCTCACAGAGAACCCAGATCCTGGGGTGACTGGTCGGCATGGAAATTGATCAGATTCTGCCGGTAAGTTGCAACTCAGGCATATAGCATGCTTCCCCCTTCCCCTCCTAGTCACGACTAATCCGGCAACAGATGGGGCATGGACCTCGCGACGGGTCTCAGAGCAGAACAGCAATCCGACAAATCCAAGCCCACCACAGCAATAGTTGCCAGCAAACCCTTGACCGAAGCACAATGGGTGAGTCACGACCATTTCAAATCAGGAACACGAAGCGATATGGGAATGCTAACAAATCGTGTCCTCCACAGCTCGTGCGGTTTGTGTTTTTGGAGTCCATCGCGGGCGTCCCCGGCATGGTCGCCGGTATGCTCCGCCACCTCCGCTCCCTCCGCCGCATGAAGCGGGACAACGGGTGGATCGAGACGCTGCTGGAAGAGTCGTACAACGAACGCATGCACCTCCTGACGTTCATGAAGATGTGCGAGCCGGGCTGGTTCATGAAGACGATGATCCTCGCCGCGCAGGGCGTCTTCTTCAACGCCCTCTTCTGCTCGTACCTCGTCTCGCCCAAGATCTGCCACCGCTTCGTCGGCTACCTCGAGGAGGAGGCCGTGCACACCTACACCCGGTGCATCAAGGAGATCGAACAGGGCCTCCTGCCCAAGTGGAGCGACCCGAGCTTCCAGATCCCCGAACTGGCCGTGCAGTACTGGCACATGCCCGAGGGGAGACGCACCATGAGGGACCTGATCCTCTACATCCGTGCCGACGAGGCCGTCCACAGGGGTGTCAACCACACGCTGGGCAACCTGGACTACAAGGAGGACCCGAATCCGTTTGTGAGTGACTACAAGGCCGAGGCGAAAGGTCACAAACCGAACGCCGTCGCGAGGGGGACGGGCTACGAGCGTGATGAGGTCATTGGTTGATGTTCACTCGGGTCTTTGACTGTACGCTGTTCTTGGGGAGATGCCGATTACCACGATACTTCCTTGCTGCTGTAGATTGCCTGAATAATGGTAAAGTAGAAAAGTAGAACAGAAGAGAGGTCAGGAATTTTTTTTGGGCCCGTATCTTTGAGAGTTTCGGTACCTGACTAGCGCTCTCAACATCCATGATCCATGTCTCAAAGCAGGGAATGTGTGAAGCGGCAAGTACCGGCGTCAAGACCTGATAATTGACGAATTATCCCCCAAGGGACACCATCTAGAACACTAGCCGAGGATTGAGTAAGTGATTGGGAGTGATATTTTTGCGGGGGGATATCAACCCGTCCGTCTTGATCGGGGGAAAGCTCTCCTCGCCGCGAGGCGACGTCTTATCGCCCTCGACTGGCTCTATTGACTTGGATATACATGGTTACGACTGCGACAGTGTTGCATGGAACGACGATGAATTTCTCTTGCGGACGTCGTTGCCAGTCGCATGTGCTTCGGAAGGCGATCGACTACTCGGGAAATGTTACTGGAACGCCATGAGCTCATTGTACGAGCTGACAACAAAGGGACAACAAGGGTTGACTGCCAGTGTTGTCTTCGATTTGATCAGTAGATTTCTGTTACTTTCCAGACGCGCAGTGGCCAACGTTGGAGGAGTTGTCGATGATGGGAGAGAATGCCGCGCTCCTCGTCGATGTAGTAGATGGGATCAACACCAATTTTGACACCACCTTGGTCGGTCATTTACGATCCAACTGACCGTGGCAATGACGGTTGTGTAGACAATGTCCCTTGCATTCCCTTCAATCGGAATCGTTGTGCAAAAGAGCACCCAGGATGGCGGCAAACCTGCGTGCGATTTCCCAATGTCCGATCCGTCTGAGGAGGTCGGTCAGGCCACACAAGGCGGCATTGATCTCGGCCGTCGTGGGAAGGCCGTGTTTGTAACCGTTCACTTGAAACAGCAACAAGGCAGGGTTAACGCCCAACAGTCTGAATTCGGGAAAGTCCAGACTTTCCGAGGTCGTGACGGCCTTGTTATTGTTACCATTGTTGCCCGTGCCGTCACCGGCGCCACCGCCCCGCGTGCCGAAACGAGTGTAACAGAACCAGGCGATGCCGGCCCTGAACATGGCGCGGGGCACGTGGATGGCCGGTTCCGAACCCAAGGGGAGGTCCTCGAGTTTCTTGGCGATGATTGAGCCGTGGATGACGCATCGCTTCGCGTCGTTGGAGTCTGCCCAGTGGGTGATGGCGACGCGGTCTTCGGCGGAGAGCTGGGAGCCGTCGCGGCCGATGGCCCTTTCCAGCAGGTCAAAGTCGGCGCAGATGGACATGTAGGCGAGGTGCCAGAGGATGATCATGTCCATGTGGTCCGGCTTCCACGACGAGGTGCCGGTGCCGAGGAGGAATCGGTTGAAGAAGGTGTTGAGGAGGTGAGAGAGGTCTTTCATGGTGGCCGGGGAGGAGCGAGAGTCGATGCGGTTCTCGACGATGTTCACGCAAATGCCCTCGAGGACCGTGTAGGCCGTGAAATAGCTGGCCTGAGGGGTCGAGAGCATGTCGAAGTCGACGTGGGCGTCGACGGAGGCCGGGGTGCTGTCGTCCATTTCAAAATTGCTGGGGTCGTCGAGGTAGGCCTGGCGCCACTCCTCCGCCTTGGACGCCATGAACATCTGGTTCGACGCCGCCACGGGCAGTTGCCGCGAGTTGTGCCGCAGAAAGGGCTCGTGGTGGAAGATGCTCGCCAGCTCGGCGTCGTGGATGTGCACGGCCAGCGCGATTCGGATGAGTTCTTCGTTCTTGGCCCACTCGCGCCATTGCTTTTCCAGTTCGGCGGGACCGAGGCTGAGCAGCTCGAGTCCCCTCATCTTCTTGGTCTTGAAGGTCGAGAGTCGTCGCGCCCACGAGATCAGTGTGCCGTTGAACGTGTCCACGATCGAGAGGTGCCTCGGCTCTCCAGAAAGCAGTCCGAAAGTCTGTCCGATGATGGCGGTCTGGATAAGGGAAATCTTTTCGTCCGTCCCTCGAGATATGAGGCGGTCCCAGTTGGCCAGGACGGCTTTGTGCAGGCGTTCAAAGATCTGGACCCCTTGTCGAATGGCGTGTGCCGAGCCCGTGAAGAGGCTGCCCACGGAGCAGATGGACAACAAAACCATCGAGTTCGCCTTTGAAGGGCGGAAAGTCGGCGCGTGGACCACGGGGAACACGGGGTGAAACTTGGCGAAATAGGATCTCACGCAGAGATTTAGAAAGTCGGATGACGGGAGACTCTGCTCCACCGATCGGATCAGCAGACTCTGATGTAAAGTCTGACGGTACGAGTCGTCGACTTCGACGTGCGAAGCGGGCGGTGTCGCGGGTCCCGAAGGGAGAACTTCCTCTTGCCCTTCGTCGTTGGGGGTGAACCACAGATGTTGCATGTTATCCACGGGTTTGTACGTGGATGAACCGAACGTCGTAAACGGACTATCTGGCCAACCGGGCCTGAGCTCCGCCATGCTCGTGGCAAGGGGTGTGTCGAGAATGCCGGTGTGGAACTCGAGGTCGGTGGGTACGATCCAAGAAGGAAACTGAGCTTCGAAATCGAGAGCGTCCAAAGAAGGATCAAAGTTATTAGGTAGGGGCTCTGAAATAAAATGTCCAGAATAGCCATCCTGTTGTTGCTGCTGCTGCTGCTGTTGTGGTACTGTCGTATTTTGATAGTCGGAGTTGCTGTGGCTGCCAAAATTCGAGACAGGAAGGTTCATGTGGGAGCCGCCCATGCCGTTGATGGACAGACTCTGCGGCTCTGATGATACTGATGGTGCAGAGAGTGACATTTCGGTGGTCGACACAGGTTGTTGCATCGATGCTGTTGTTATTATGGAATCGGGTTCGACTGAAATGCTGCTTCGATGATGTGGTTTATCTTGATTGTCGTGGTTAGATGCGGCGTCTGAATGGTCTTTTAAGTGCCGGAGCAAAGTATCACTATTGAATTCCTGATTAGCCTGCAATTTCAACCCTTGAGGTGAGAATTTCCTGGTAGGAGATTGTAGCGACGTATGGAATGTATGCATGGTGCAACACTTCTGGTTGCGATATGCCAAATTGATTCCAGCGCCTGCAAAAGGTGACAGGCTGTTGAGAACCGAACAACACCATGTCCAATCTTTGTAGTACTTGACCTTAGCAGGACTGTCGCAATTTGCATGCCATACGTCGCTACCTTTCCCTTCCCGACTTCACATAATGCTATCGAAGTTGTGATGGTATCATTCAATGACTTACTGACGACCATATTTTCGCCCACACTTGGCACATTTGAAGGGCTTTTCTTTGGTATGAGACCTGATGTGCCTCTCGAGGTGATCTGTTTTGGCAAACGTACGGCCGCAAGTCATGCACTGTCTGATCTTGGGTGCGCGACGGTGACTCTTCAAGGGGGCACCATCGACGCTACTGGATATTATCGAAAGATCAGGCATTCCGCTGCTTCTGTTGCCAACATGTGGTGGTTGATTGACCCCGGCTTGACCGTCGAATATTGCCTGTTCGTGGATTCGAGTGTCGCTAACACCACACGCGCGGTGTGGGCTGTAACATCTGGGGTTATCAGACCACAAAGGTGGGATTTATTGTTAAAAGAGAGATGTTGGCGAGTGAGACCAGTTAATGGGATTGTGGGGATGTAGACGAGAATGAGGAGGAGGATGAGGAGGAGAAGTAGAAAAGAAAGAGCTGGGGAAGTTGGCGTCGGCAGAGAGCAGGGATTCGTCACAGACGTACATCGTGTTGTACAGTTATTCAGATGGGTTCCAATTGGGCCGAATATTCGGATTACACAAGTACTGGGTCGAGGAGGCTATCGAACTCTACATAGTCGCGTACAGTGGGGGGAATCTACTGTGGCTACAGTACATGTACTCCGTTCTCAGGCCTATCCAAACGGCCTTTATTTCTGTAATTTGGACATAATGATGTAGAGCAGTGCACTTATCGAGACGAGTGCAGTGCGAGGCCTCTATGTCTATTTCTGATTTATGCACTGATTGCTCGGATCTTGACGACAACTACGGAATACCCTCGACTCAATAATGCCTTGCGTGGCCTCTAAGGTCCCACATTCTGTCGCTGTGCTTTGTGGGGACAATTGAGGCTGTACTGTACCGAGTACATACCCCCGGGGTCCCACAACCTGCCAAACGTCCCACATGAACTTGACTCCCCGGGAATCAATTTACTTGGTTCAAGGGACCCGAGTCTCCAGATGGCGGGAAATGATCTAGAATCCCCATGGAGAACCAGAACCTTGTGAGGTCGTTCAAATATGCAGCCGGGACCCGGTCTTGAATCCTGCTGGACCTTCGATTCTGACACCAAGAAATCGGGTTCAACATTCAGTTCCACGAGAGCGCTGTCGAGTATTAACTGAGAAGTTTGTGGCCATGTCAACAGTACCAGGAACATCACAGATCGAGGAGACTGGGGTCATCATATGTGGTGGAGGCCCGACAGGCACTGCACTTTCGGTACTTCTTGGACATTTGAACATACCCAACATCGTGCTGGAACGAGAAAAGGACATCACCACAGACCCTCGAGGTATCGCTCTCGATGAAGATGGCATTCGAATACTACAGTCCATTGGTATCTATGAACGCGTCTATACCGAAATTGGCACCTGTAAGTCCCAAGAGCGAAACATTTCTCGTCGCTTAGCTAACGCGCAAAGGTATGGAGAAGTTCAATTTCGTGACAGGAGACGGAACGGATTCGAGGAAGAAGCCACTCTTGTCCATGAAGTACAAGACGACAGAAGGCGGTACGGGACATGTCGGCTTCATATGTCACAAGCAACCGGCCATGGAGAAGGCCATTAGGGACCAGATTCAGACGACGCCGTCTTGCAACTTGATAACAGAAGCCACGGTCACAGGTGTCAGTGAAGACCAGAACTATGCATACGTCGACTACGTCGACGCCAAAGGGTCGACGCATCGCATCAAAGCTCCTTTCCTCGTCGGTGCCGACGGCAAGACTGGCTATGTTCGTAAGATGTATCTCGAACCAAAGGGCATCGTCATGGCCAAGTCTGAGATGTAAGTTCATCATCATTACCATCATGGAGCCCTCGAAGCGGCTTTATGCTAGCATCCAGCTAATCTCAGAGAGAGCAGGACGAGTTATGAAGAGACTTGGGTCGCGTTGAACTGGCAGATAACGTTGCCGGATGAAAAGTCACATCCCGACTTCCCCTTGTGGAGACTCGGCTACACGCCACAGGAAGTGTACGACCTGTTTTTCCCCAGAGACTTTCGATTCCTGTGCAATCCCGAGCGACCCTCGGTGTGTGGAAGGTTCGGGCCACCGGCGGACCGACTGTGGAGGTTCGAGTTCGTGGTCCAAAAGGACGAGGACGGTCAACGAATGGCCCAATTCGAAGAAACCAGCAAGATCATTTATCCGTACATCACACATCCGGGCAGCCGCTATGGTCTGGCACATCCCGTGAGGTTCCCCGAAGATTGCATCAAGACCCTCCGATCTCGACCCTTTTCTTTCGTGGCTAGGAGCTGCAACAAGTGGGCGTTGGGGAGGGTGATATTGGCGGGCGACGCGGCACATGTCTTTCCTCCTTTCGGTGAGTTGTTGACTAGACAGACAAAAACATCCTCTCATGTCCAGCCTTCTGACGGATCGACCAATTTTAGGTGGCCAAGGTATAGCTTCGGGCTTTCGAGATGCCTCTGCATTGGCATGGAGGCTTGCTTTCTTGTACCGCACTCCGAAAGCAGATTTCGAAAAAGTCCTCACGGCGTGGTACACGGAGCGCAAACAGCAACTCGATCGCTCGCTCGCCGCCACGGTTCGGAATGGTGAATACGTGACTGAATCTGACCCGTTCAAAGTGTTCGTCAGAGAGTGGTACATGTGGGCAGTCCAACTGATACCTGCTTACCGCAAAGAGATCGAATTGGGAGCTCGGGCCGAAGGGATGACCAGGTATCAACACAAAGAAGGGATGCCCTTCATTCCTGAGATGGAAGGCGGCCTTCTTCTCCCCCAGGTATATGCGTACGACTTCAAGACTCAAAAAGTGTGCTTCACGGACGACTTGATCTTTGGGCCTCAAAAGACGGGCCTCTTTCAGCTTCTCATCCTACCTGATGGCCTGGACGATTTCAACAGGCTCACAAAGGGCATCAGCGATATTGACCGCGTTTCGAAAAACCTGCTCCGTTCAAACGAAGCCACCATTCTCATCCAATCCACCAATGCATCAACGGGATCGATGACATTACCACAACAAGACGTAGCTCGCCTTGCGACGGGCACAGAGTTCGCGGCAGATCCAATCCTGTGCAGAAATCGTCCCGAGCCCATCGGCTACGACGAGCACAGGCTTCGGCGGGAGATCCGGGGTCGAAAATATGCCATAATCAGACAAGATCGGTTTGTTTTCGCGGCCTGCGACACGATTGTAGAATTAAAAGACGCGGCTGGACGACTTGCAAGTAGTTTGTCACTGGCTTCGTGATGAACAGCGTCATGGCGTTATTGATACATTGATCTGAGCCAACGAGATACTTTTGTTCAATCTCTGGAATTGCATAAATAAAAATATACAATGTAGGAAATTTCACCCGTGTGGGCAGTTTGCTGTTGAAGTGGAAGTGGCCAATCCTGGCGCTGTAAACACTTTTGTGATGTACTCCGTACACGGCAGAAAAATTAGTCAAACAATTGTCAAGGGGGCGACATGGGTTTCAGGGCGTCCCGATTCGATTTCACTCGTGTGTCTGTCTCCAGCTATGACCTCGTACTGGGTGTTATCATTCGCGTGCGCAATTATTGTACAAACACCGGATCTTGAAGATCTCGGCCCATCATGGTCCACAAAGCGGCCCTTGCATTCCCTAAGATATGTACGTACTGTAGATACCACGTTACCTCCCAACGAGGCGGTGACATATGTTTCCTATACCCGTATCTGGACATCTACCCAGTGACCGCTTTTCCCGATCTCATCCGGCTGAAAACTCGAGTCTGGATTCGGAAGCCGTTGTCAATGTCGCATCCAATCAACCGACGCCCAGCTCTCGTGGTCAGCTCAGCCTCCTCCCTCCTACAATACTGTAAATGGAACTTGCCTACCTCGTACAGGTAGGTATGGTTTCCCAATCCCGCTGCGGGCCCAGACCACCAGCACATGCTCATCATGACGATTGACATGCCCTTTTTTTCTTCTTTAGCGATTACGGACACGAGATGTCCAGGGTACCATGTGTGTTCGAGCCAATACCGACCACGGTTGGTTCCTCTTTTCCAGCCTGACACAAACGCCACAGAGGCGAACAATGAGTGAAGATTTCGTATTTGACTTGTTCGAGACAAGTCGTTTTTCTCGTACAGTTATTTTAGCCTCTCTCTTGGTCGTGTTATGCAGCTGAACTTGTCACCGCTCGAGCCCGAGCGGGCACATGATAATATGCTACTGTTTCCGTCCACACCACAATGGCCCAGCTATAGCTTGCAATGATTTTGACAGCGTTCTACGAAGCAAGAATCCTAACAAGAATTAATATCAATACCAACAAGAACTACTCTGTCCACGTTGTTGTTTGCGGTTGGCCTCCACTGTACAGGAGCTTTAGTCTCTGCGCCAAAGAGGCATCGAGGTCTCACACATACAAACAATATCCACGGATCATGATATCTCTCCTCGACCTCCCCACCGAGATCCGACTCCAAATATGGTCATACATCGTCCAGCCGACGGTCATTCACCCATGTAGTTGTTGCACAAAAGTTAAAACGACGCAGAAGTCGTCTTCACAAGACAACAACAACAACAACGCCAGGTACTATCGACAGCCGACAACAACATATGATCTCTGCGACAACCGCATCCTCCGCGCCAATCGTCTGATCTTCGCCGAAGTTCAACCACTCGTGGCAAAAGTCGAGAAGGATCGCGTCTTTGTGCTCTGCGACAACTCGAACCTGGACAAGTTCTTCAAAAGCCTGGACAAAAGAGATTGGAAATGGATCAGACACGTCACGGTCGAGTTGTTCATCGGCTGGGGCAAAGACTGTAAAGATGACTGGTTCCTGGCCCAGAGTCACAGATGGGCAAAACGATACGTCGCAGGATCACTAAACAAATACGGCCAGGGGAGGGTCGTGGTTGTCAGTCCGGCCGAGGAAATCAAGGAGGACTCTCAGGGCAGACGGACGCTGACGGTGGATGTTCATCTGTCATGACATGAGGCGTTGGGAATTGTTGGGATGCACATTCCGATAGCGACACTGATAAGAAGGACACAGGGAGAGAGAGAGAGGGATTCAGCTCATGATTGTCCTATCTGAATGGGGAAAGATAAGCGAAAGATGAGATGGACGGCCAAATGTATTTCCGACCGAAGTTATGTCACTTATCAGCGTCAACCTACAGAATATTCCTCCATCATTTCGAAACGTCGATGATATCTCCTACCACCAAGAAGCAAGCGATATAAGGGTATCATGTGAAATCTGATTGGTTTTTTTTTCTTTGAATATGAATGAATTCAACAGATAGTTCTCAAACAATCTTTGACTGTCATATGGAGTATCTACTACCACTTCCATCATTTAGATCATGACGGCATAAGAACGGTCCGATGCAATCAAAACTGTACATATACATATACACATCAGAAAGATGACAATGATCTCCGACCCAACAGACCTTACGGGCACCGAGGCCGAACAGCAACCACTCCTTCAAGATGTACGGAATGTTTACCAAGCGGAAGGTGAACATGATGATTCAGAACTGGCCTCTCCGCCGGACGAGCCCCTCGCGTTCAAGATTGCTGCGGTCATGTACTGTTGGTTTGTGACAGGAATGCATGTTGCTTCTATTGGAGTACGATACAGGCCCTCCCCCTTCGTTATCTTGAAATCCATTCGAGAAGACATCTACTAACCACCGAGTTCGTCAACAGGCTCTTCTTCCACTGGTTTGTTCTTCCCAGTGCCTACTATACCAAACAAAACCATCCCAGAGCTAACCATGACCCTAGATTGAATCCTACTACAACATCAAAGATGCCACAGCTGCTCTCATCTTCCCCGTTGGTGTTTCGGGCTACCTCATCGCAAATTCCCTCGTACACCTGGTCCACATCAAACTTGGCCGCAGAGGAATAGTGATCCTCGCCACCCTCCCGCATGTCCTCGGAGGCTTACTACTCTCCACCAAGCCAACTTATCCGTTCCTGCTCACGGCTTATTTCGTCGTCGGACTCGGGACGGGGTTCTCAGACTCCACTTTCTGTACCTGGGCGGCCATCGTTCGGGGACCCAACAAGGTCTCAGGGCTCATTCATGGGTCCTACGCTTTTGGATGCGTCATGGGCCCTATTGTCGTGGCCGCTCTCGAGAGGGTCGGTCTCGGATGGCAATATTTCTACCTTGTCATGGTCAGTTTCGATCGTGAAGGAAACCAAGCGTAGGATGAAAGAAACTGACAGGATCCCCAAAAACAGTTGGTTGTCTTCTCTCTGGAGGCTTGCGCCTTGGTCTTGGCGTTCCGACACGACGACGCCGCCACATACCACTCCAAAATAACCCAGAAGCAAGATCTCGTCGACGGCGGCGGCGGCTTCGCTGGATGTAAAAAAGTAATCTTCGTGTGTGGTCTATTCTTCTTTGTCAACGTCGGTATTGAAAGTAAGCGAAGAGAGCCACCCATCCCAAGATTCACTCTCCGTGTGCATGTCGACCGTACATCTGACTGATACACAAATCTCTTCTCCAGCATCTCTGAGCGGCTGGTTGACGAGTTACATGACCCGGTCCCGACGCACGACCCCGTCGGTCGCGGCCCTGGCCACTTCGCTCTTCTGGGCAGGCATGGTCCTGGGTCGATTCTGTCTGGGACCATTGACCAGAATCGCCCGGCTCCGGGTCGTCGTGGTCCTGCTCATCTGCGCGTTGATCACGCTGCAGCTCCTGTTCAGACTCGAAGCGGCCCCCCTGGCCTTGTCGCTGTGCCTCGCGACCGGCATCGGTTTCTCCTCGGGCCCGCTGTTCCCTTCCGCCGTCTTGACCATGACGGCCAAACTGCCCGACGACGTCCACGTCCGTGCCGTCGCCCTCACCTGCGCGATCGGCCAACTGGGTGGCGCCGGCGCACCCTTCATCATCGGCGTCATCGCGCAACGATCGGGGATCGAGCGCCTGTTCGACGTGGTGCTGGGCCTTTCCATTGCCCTGCTGTTGATTTGGCTGTTTTTTTCCCGAGCGTGAAAACTCCCCGACCCTGATTGTTTCATCACATCACGTCGGGAGTATGTATTCGTCGGAGACGAGGGTTCGGTGACCCAAACTGTCGTGTTACACCAATCCATATCGTACATAGAAAACCACACAGACCGCAAATGGCAATTTCGTCACTCGCCTTCGGACATGAGTAAAGAAATCACTCTTCATTGTCAATTCAGTTCAATTCATTTTCATTTTTATTTCTTAGTATTTCTTGATAATTTTTAAATTAATCCGGCATTGACACCAACGCAGCACACTTATGACAGTCGCACATGACGTCGCTAGTGGTGCAAGTCTACAGGTCCCCACGTGCTTCATCTCCGACCGATACACATTCACAGTGTACGAGGATTTTAATTAGATGTGTGTACGGAGATAGCGACTCACTTCATCCCCTCTCGGGGGAGAACATTATCGATGTGGATGTGATTGTCAAATGTCACTTATTACTGTCGATGTAGAGTGTCTATTGGCTTACGCTCTGAAAGCCACGGCCGTGCTCGTGGGTCCGTAGTACGGGTTCGGCGGGACGGTGCCCGTGTAATTCCCGTGCTGGGTGGTGAAGCTCCCGACGACGGTCAGGCTGTCGATCCGGCCCAGCAGGAACTCGAGCTGCCGGTACGCGGCGCCGGGGACGTACTGGGGGATCTCGTGGCCGGCCAGGTCGACCGTGACCCACGTGAGGCCGCGCTCCGTGTGCGTCTTGCCCAGTAGTCCACCGCCGCCGACCAACCCGACGGGCGTGGCTGGGATGGGCTGGTTCGAGGTCTCCTCTACCACAAACCCGATCGAAGGGTTGTAGGGGGTGAAGAAGTCGCCGCTGTTCATCGGGTCCTTACTGAACCCCTGCTGGCCGTTCCACGTCATGTTGTTGAGCGTCATGAGAGTGCCGTTGGTCAGGAGGAGGAAATCCAGCATGCCACTGCCGACGATGACGTTGTTGGTGCGCTCAATGACGGACGGGAGCGCTTCGAAGCTCGAAGGGGGAGAGGCGTCGTTTTGGATGAGGCCGAGGCTTTTGTCGCCGCAGATCGTGAAGTCGGTGGGAGGGGCGTGGAGGGCCTTTTGCACGTCGCTTCGATTGAAGTAGTTGTTCGGACCCTGGTCATAATTTGTCAGCACTCTTTGTATGGAAAGGGTGAAAGGGTGACTTGAATTCAGTCAACTTTTCAAAGTACGTACATTACCAAGGGATGGGAAGCCCAGTTCGTCCCACAGGAATGGGCAAAAGTCCGTGAGATGGTAGATGTTGAAGCAAGGGTTGACGTAGATAGCTGCAGTGACTATGTCATCCCACGTGTCACAACCTGGCGCGGTGACGTTGGGAGCAGTGAATTTGCCCTTGGGTGGGAAGGTGAGTGCTTCCTCCATAAAGTCAAAGTAGCCGCATTTTTCGGCCCGTTCGTTGATCGAGGTCATGAAGGATTCGTTGAGAGCAAAGACGGGAGCGTAGTTGTTCAGATGAGTTACTGCGGGTGCTGGGAGGACAGGGTCAGCCGAAAGAGGTCTTTATTAGGCAGAGTGCGTTCTTACTGTAAATCAACACCTCGTCAAGACCAATACTGGGGTCATTAATCTGAATGCCCTTGACGTTGTAGTAATCGGTATCGTTCAGGTCGAGAAAGTGACTCGCAATGTACGGAACGTACTGGCCGGCATAAGATTCACCAGTGATGTACACTTTGCGACCAGTCATGTTGAACGTGGTCATAAAGTTCTTCCAGAATCCGGCAAAGTCTTCAGTCACCTGTGTCTCGCTTGTGATCTTCGCCGGTGCACCTTTGGCCGCCGGAGACAACCCCGTGCCGACCGGTTGGTCAACGTAGACCATGTTGGTAAGGTTGGTCCACGAGAAGGGATTTGGTTGCGGCTTGTAGGTGCCTGACTGCCACAGGAACGGGCCGTGTTCTTGCAGCAGGCCGTCGAGGGAGCTGCACCCAGGACCACCGTTCAGCCAGATGGTGATCTCGTCCGATGCATCCGGGTTGTCCGAGGGGAAGAACCAGAAAAAAAGCTGATTCTCGTTACTGGCATTGTTGTTGATTGACAATGTACCTGCATAGGACTCGCCGATGTCAAAATCGACCATAGGTACACCGGTTCCATTTACGGCGAATTCTGTGCGAGCAACGTTTTAGCTAACGATCACATCGTGACTTCCAAGGCTTAGCCTTACTCTTGGTCTTTTGCGTCAGGTATTTCGGCGATGCACGCTTGGTCAAGGACTGTGACTGTGTCTCGGGCGTGTTGGGAGTGAAGACTCTCTTGGGGGCACGCTTGTGGGGGTTCGAGACAGCCAAAGCGGTGGTCGCAAAGCATGCGGCCACAATGGTTTGAAAACGCATGGTGTCTCAGTATGTCGTTCAACCCAGGGTAAGAGTCCAGAAACAAAAGTAGGAGCACGCGAGCGACGGGCAAGGTCCATAAGGTGACTCGTCGACATATTTGAAGTTTCGGCTGCTCTGCAAGCTCATGACGTATTTGGAGTCAGGTACGAGTTGATAGGAGGGTTGCATTGTCGCTCAATGTACAAGGACGAAGGCTAATGACAGACTTAGTGCTTGGTGTTGCTTGTTCGATCCAGGTTCGGCGTGGAACCTGTGGGACAATCGTTGCCTGATGTAGCAGGTAATTGAAGGCATTGAAGAGCTAGCGGTCGAGAATGTAACTGTAGCTAAGGTAGAGCTACGCCGGAATAGCTTGTCTCTGTGTAGCATTTCTCCGGCAGCTAACCGGAGGAGATACAAGGTCAGGTTGTGGAAAGCTGTTGTGGTCCATCAACAGTTGTTGTTCAGCTGATGTTGAAATTGTCCCTCCTCGTACTCGTGGTAGCTTTGAGGAGAGAAATGAGATGGGATGTTCCGTAGAGCCAGATCTTCAGCTAGCCACGCTGACATGAACTCGTAGATGAGCAAATCAACCAGGAACGGGAGAGGAAGCTGGGAGGAGATCTTCATGATGAGCAGCACTAAAGCGAGGCGGGCGATGCCTCGGTTCGGGGTCCTGCGTCACCCACAACCACCTTATCAAGCGCCACTAAAGCTTGATTCCAAAGCCTAGAAGCCGCCGAAGTTTCGTGACTCCAACGCCTAATCCTGGTTACTCCGGGGCTTGACCTTCTAGGCGTCTCCCGGTACAACGCGTCCCCCGCATCTACGACGAGGGGCAGCATCCTTCCTACGAGTATTACCAACTCACCCGGTCCCATCCTTGATTAACCGAGACCAGAATTGTGCCACCTTCTTATTCTGAAGGTTCCTGCATCATGGACGCCAGCTTCATCCGCTAAGAGAACGAGTACGACTTTCTTCTTATCGCCGTGTGATCCGGGGGATTTGACGCTTCCAGTTATCGCGTGCGGAAGGTGACCGAACTCTTGTGTCGAATCATCTTGTTTTGGTCATTAGTCTAGGATCATTTCATCTCATACGCGGTGTTTCTTGTAGACCCATCGATCATCTTACTTGATTTGAGCGTGATGTGCCTCGAGTTGACACTCAGCCCTTGTCGTCTGTTTACAACACCCTTTCACGTCGATCTCTATTTTCCAATGCCAGCCTTGCTGAGTCAGCCAAGGCTTCTGCAACGCCAGACGACCTCCATCTCAAATTCTGTAGCTGTCAACGCACTACAATCTCTTCCAAACTCTTATTATCGTCAGCGTAGATGAAGGTACAACACTCTCCAGGTGATACTGAGTGTCTTCACACTCCTTCTCCTCAGAGACATGGAGACACAACTCGATTGGGAAGATGTCTATGGCGTGGAGTAGAATCTAACTCACCAGAAACCTCATCTGCATGAAAAGGAGCTATGGATTTTGCATCACTTGTGTTGCACGGAAAGATGTCAAGGCTAGATCACCACGGTTGAAGTTGGATTCGTACATGTCGCTCTAATACTTCACTGGGAGTCTCCGTTTACGGTTGAGCATGGCGTGGCCCAAACGCTCATTCACATTCACTTGCGCTCCTCTCAGTGACAACAACAACACCTACTCCTTGGCAAAGAACACCAAGTCAGTGGCAGGCAGGTTCGAAACCCAGAACAGAACAACCAGAAACGATAAAAAAAATGGCAAAAAAGACATTGTTGGGGGATAGCCTTCTACAATAGCCCCTCCCGGACCATGGATATATTCCTCTTTAGGTCGAGTCATCTCGCTATGCCTAGATCCGGGTTAAGGGCCCCTTCCCACCATGCCACGACGAACCAAGGAGAGAGGAATCCTAACCAGAGTGCCAGCTTACCGCCAGCACTGGGCCCATAGCAAGTCTCCTGTCGTGTGTGTGTGTTGAATTGTTTAACAAAATTTGCCGGATCAAAAATATCTAGTGCAAGCCAGAAGAGTGAAGTGTACGGTACAAGGGGAGCCTATCGGCACCTCAACTACCTTCTGTTTTGTGAATGAGTGTGGGTCATTGGGTTTTTAATACCTACCCAGGTATACGACAACCCAGGATAATCCAGCACCGGGGATCCCCTATTGCGAAGGCAGCGTGTACCTGTGTGGTCACAAGTGTTTCACTGTCTGCCTGTCACGAACGATCATACCCGCGCGCGCGCGCCCGGAATCACTCAAAAGGTAAACGCCCCAGAGTCGTCTCAATTTACAAGAGAAGGAAATCTACGTGACATGATCAGAAGGAAACGAAGGATTCTCGAGGCCGTATCCCACCCAGGAAGAAACTGCGACGCTATCAGGGGGGCGTCGAACTATACCCAGTGCCTCTGAGTTCGCCATCCTTCCATATGTTTGACGGCCAAGCCATTTCTACGACGCAGGCGAAAGATGTGTATATGGTCGAAACATTGTTCAAAAGAAATGGGCAGAGTTAGCTTGCTTTATCAGGGACTTGCAGCCGAATAGGAAAAAGACCCACGGTGGATCTAGTACAATAGTATCTGATGCAAAACAGGACAAGATTTAGAGGGATGACCTGTGGCCTCCAAAAAACAGAATTGTGTATCATGAGTTTGTAGGTAGGTAGCCAAAGTCTAGCTAGCTGTTTGAGGCCATGAAATCAAATCTATGCGCTACCAAAGAGTGGTGTTGTATTTGGGGGGTCATAACCTTCGTACTCATATTCATAGGTTCAGGTCCTATTCCCATATCCTAGTCCGTGTCCTGATCTCATATACTGATCTTATTCCCTTTCCCTATCCGCAAACCGTGTTTCTCTCTCTGCATGACGACATCAGACAATTTCCAAGTCGTCCTCGCTTTCATCATCACGGCCGGATGACGCAGTGACACCTACACTATCCCTCCCTGCCTCACGGATGCCCTTGTCCGTCACGAACCGCGTCTTCTTGACGGGCGACAAGCGAACGTCGGCAGCCGTCCGTTTCCGACCATTCACCAACGCACTCGACGGTAGATCTGACATGACGAGATTCGACGAGCGCTGAGACCCCGACCCTCCTCCTAGCTCATCGGGCATCAGTGTATCGCTGTGCTTCTGTGAGCCTGGCCCTTGCCCCCTCTCACCTCTTGCATGTGCACTGTTGGTGTTTTGTCTCTTGCTCGCTCTGACCTTGAGATACTCGGCCCCTGCACTTCCAAAACCAAACCCGGACCCGTGTCCCGTGCTACCTAGCTTCTCTGCGATTTCGCGTTCCTTGACCTGTGCCGCGAGGTGTTTGCGGACCCGTTCGCCGCGGTCACGAGACAAGTTCCCCTCTGGGATTGAGGGGCCGCTTATGCCGTCGAAACCACCACCACTGCCACCACCTCCGCCACCGCCGCCAGCAATGTAGAAATGACTTCCCGTGAACCTATCGAAGCGGTGTCCGTCTTTTGGCTGCAAACCTTTCTTGCCCTTGGCAGTACCGCGGTTGCCTTCTCCACCGCCGCCTCCAAACCCATTCGTTCCCGTATTGACACCCATGCGCTTAGCACGCGTCTTGTCAAGTTGCGCATTGAGATGCCATTCGCAGATGTCGGTCTTGGAGCCGTCGAGCCAGGCGCCGCATTCTCTTCCATCCTTCTTGAGGGTCTTGCAGTGTCCCAAGTCGCGGGCTTGGCCGATTTCGAGAACGACGTCGTCGTTGCTGCTCAGGTTGAGGCTGAATGCGCCAGTGTCAGTCTTACTTCGTTTGGGGGGCATAATACCCGGGTTTAAGATGGCGACGATTGTGCCGGGGCTGAGACGGTGGTAGCGCGGAAGCGCTGTGCCGAATAAGTACAGATCAATGGTCCATTTGAGGTCGGTGAGGGTGAGGGCCATGAAGCGCCGTGAGTTCTGACTGCCGTCGTCCCATTGGCGGTGCCAGTCGTTGTCACCAATGGTGGTCGAGTCCGGTCGGGGCGCTTTCTGGTCCATGGGCGATGATTTGGATGCGATGATACCGAAGATGGCGTAATCTACTACCGTCTCGGGGAGGTCGAACGACGGCGATTTGACGATCTTCAGGAGGCTGGGGATGCGGAAGATGGTGAAGCGGTCCGTGGGCAGTGTGCGCCTGAGGAAAGAGTGTGGGAGGATGCGGGATGTGAGGTGCAAACCGGAGAAGCCTTCGAAGAGGGAGGCATCGCCTTGAGGAGGTATGTCGTCAGTGAGAGTAGAGACTTGTGGGGATGATGTTTGTCGGAGATCGGGCAACGTGTGGCTCTTCTTAAGGTGTCGTTCGTCGCTGGCGTTTATGATGTCGTCTCTGGTATATTCTGCTTGCTGCGGGTGGATGCGAGATCGAGATTGGGCAGGGGCAGGGGCAGGAGCAGAATCCTGAGCTAGCATGCGAAACTTTTCGATTTCGTTCTCGTCGATATTGAAGACCTTGCTGCGTTGACGGTTGCGACGTTGCTCATTTGATGTTTCGCGTTCTCGGGCATCGGCCATGCGTTCGCTGAAAGTCTTTCTGTTCTCGGTGGAAGTTGCTGAACGTGCCGAGAGTGCTGATGAGCGAGACGAGGGCCTCTCGAATCGACTTGCGGCGTCTGTCTTGTAGCGACTGGTACCGGCCGTAGTATTTGCACGACGAAGAGATATGTCTGCTCCGCGCACCCCCTTGTCGATGCCGAGGAGTATTCTAGAAGGAGACTTGGGTTGGGAAGAAATTTGGGGCCGTCTCGATGGTGACTTTTGTACTTCGACCCGTGCGGATTGCGATATGGAGTCATGGCCTATCGAGAATGTGTTGGACGTGGTCGAATCAATGCCATGAGCTGAACTTGGTCGTGATAAATTATCAGCGCCTCCTGCTCCTGCACGTGCTTTTGTTTGTTGTAGCTTCTTCAACTTCAGCTTGGCCTCGATGGCTGCTAGCTTGAGTTGCAGCGTCTCCTCATCTTCTTCGACGTCATCTTCCATGTCCTCTCCCTGCGGTGACAGAGCCTGACTGTTGCGGACAGCCCGCAGTCTGTCAACCAGGCCAGACGTCGTTCCTGATCGCTTTATAGGTGAACTGTCGGTTCGATGTGCTGCGTAATTTTTGCGACCGCTGGGAGAACTGAGGAGGGCGGCATGAGGTGAGACGGGGGGCCATGAAACATCGTACGACATGGTCGGTCACGATATCCCGAGAGATCTGGTCTTGGGCGAATGCGGCGGCGCATTTGGTCGTGTGGGTTTCGTCTGGTATCTCTGCGCTCGCCGAAGCGAGTATTGTTGTTCAAGCTCTTCTTCGTAACATCAGGTCGTCGTTGAGATTGACTGGTGTGATCCTTGAAACAAACACAAAATCATGTCGCTTCCTTTGGTTCTGCGGAGTAACACAGACTCCGATTGGCTGCAGGAAACGCGACATGCGGTCGCGTTTGGTGGACGGTCTTGGCAGCTTCGCGCCAAGATTTGTAAAGACCAGATGTCGAAGCATACAATACGTTGCCTCACAATCCGTGCCTAAGTCCTAGACTTGTGATTATATTGAGTATGCTTCTCGAAACCTATACGGAACAGACGATGTCGAATACCCTTCGAGTAATTGCACATCCTTCCCAAGATTATTTCTGTGCCACCTGTGGATGAGAGCGTAGGCGGCGACGTTGGAACAACGCAGAAATGCTACGAGGACATCAACAACTACAGGAGAGTTAGGTACTTATCCACTACTCAGTCGACTGGGCGAACCGGCGAGACACTATATCCGTCGCGTTGTGCAGCAAACCTCGCATACAGGTTAGTACATGTTCATAATCAGCACTGTATCGCTCAAACTTGACCAGATCCGAGTGAGGACGGTTGACTGCTACGATGAAACGAGGTTCCATTTCCCAGAAACGGCTGTGAGTTGCGGATTCTTTAGTGACCAAAATCGCTGGGTCTCCAGTCATTGAGACCCTTCCATCTACCTAACAAACAGGATTAGTCAGTCAAGCGAGAAAAGCAGTCTCCCTTACCCACCATAATTGCTTTGGGGGAAAGACGAGTTTCATAAAATGAAAATATGATAGAGTCGCGAAAGTTGAATAGGGTGGGGAAGATCTGTGATTGATACTTCAGAAAAGCAGAGCCGATGCTGAGGGAGTCCACGAAATCTCTGTTGGGTTGTCTCTTCATCATCGATACCAAGGAGGACTGATCAATACCACAATTCGGAACACCAAAAAAGAGTGCACCTCGAGTAGATCTGAAGTGGCATTGATCTACCTCGTCACCGTTGCCTAACATTATCAAGAGCTAATTCGATTCAGCTGTGCAGCCGGACAACATGGAAGAAATTGCCCATTTAGTTCGATGATCTAACAGCAAGATGTCTAGATGGATCTTGGTTCTGTCGCAACATCTCCAAATAGTTGAAACAAATGAGGTGGAACAGGAGAGCAGAGCAGGAAATGGGATGGAATTTGATGAAATTTGATGACCATACCTCTAGATTATCGACGGGAGCTAATAAAGTTTCATTTTCATGCCCACCGGACCCGAGACAACGATACCAAACTTTCGCAACAAGACTCTCGGTCGACGTTATACTGCGTCGCCAGCGATACTGTTCTTTTTCATGCCCACCCTCGTTCGTCGTCTGTATATCTCGTCTAAGATTGCATGGCGCCATTCCAAACCGAATCTAAGCATGAAGAGCACACCTAGAAACACTGTCAATGTCAAAGAACAGCACAGAGTCAAGACCATGAGCACCCGCCCCATGGTCCAAATTCCGGGCCACTGTCTTGCGGTCAGAGGCTCCACCGCTAGACCGACCTGTACCGCGTTGAGAACAACTGATAAGACGGCAAAGACGAACAGGAACGGCGTCTTGAAGCGTGAAAAATACGTGCCGTATGTTGTAGCTGGAAACCGGTGGAGGCGCATCTTACCGAGAAACAATTTGCAGTACAGATTGAGGCGGGTAAGGCGCAGCTCGCCGAAAGCATATCGCTTCGACACGTCAGCGTCGGCAATGGCATCGAAGAGGGATGTGAAGGCGCAGAACTGGGCCCAGGATATGGAGGAAGGGATGAGATGGAACTTTTGCGCCAGAAACAGATCGGACTCGTGGCGGACAAGGTAGGACCAGGTCCGCAGATAGCCGAGTGCTGCTTCGCGAATCCGATCGCGGCTTCTTTGTGTGAGTGGCGAAGAGCGACCTAGGAGATAGTGGTCCCAGAAGACGAAGGAAAGGAGATATGCTGGGAGTGGCTTGACGTAGATCCGATCTGGCAGCCACACTAGATGCAGCATTGGATCCTCGGTTATAACGATGTCACGTCCCTTGACAAGTTGCCGATGCAGCGGCGAGATGTTGGTGCTTGAATGAAGCGACATCATCCAGAGGTGAGGTGCCATTCTATCCAGCTCCTCTGAGCACAGTTTGCGCTCTAGAAAGGACGTCGAGAGTGGGACGTTGCGTAGTGAGATCCGCGGATGGCCAGGCAAGTGCTGCTCTCTGTCGACATGGCTTGGTGGAATCTCATGGAGATCTTCGTTGAGCTGATCTTCGCGAGAGAACGGTGCCCTGCTTTGCATTTGTCAGCCCTGCGACTTGATCTGCTTTTATCTGTTGATTGCAACAAACAGTGTCTGGTAGGAACTCGCCGAAACCTTGTCGAGTTTTGCAGCTGTAAAATTCATTTTGCTAGTGGAATCTGAAACAAGGACAAGATGGTATGCGACAGGAAGAGAGAGAGAGAGAGAAAGAGAGAGCATATGGGTACTGTTATCACAGAACAAAGATCGCGATTCAGTGTAGGAGGCTATGTTGAATACCAGCAGGGCGCTGGGTGTGGCGGGGTCTTTGCTTTGGGTATCGACAACTGCTCAGCCACTTCCCCCATAGCCAACACTGGTCGCTCGGTCTTGTGATAGTTTAGTATAACTCTTTATCAAAATGTTGGATACTTCATGGCGGATCAGTTGGAACACCTGCAGAGAGCATCGGTCAAAAGTGTACGGAGCACCCTTTCTCCCCCCCAAACATCGTTGTCAATGACTGCTCGAGAGGTCGGATGTCTTCAAGGCCACTGATGACAGGGCTGAGCCACATCGCAATGTATTCCGTACTCGTGGCCAGACTTAGAGTATCTGGCTACTCTGCGAGTACCATCGCTGTGATCAGTTTCAATGTCAACAAAGATACGGAGTAGGCAGATAAATAACAGGAGAGGTTCGTTTGCAATACTCCGTACACTGGCGATCCTTCTAGGTATAGCGCGCGCTACTTAATTAAGTAGGATTACCGGATCGACGCGCCGCACTGCGCTATACCGAGCGCGTCGCGCGTTTTATCACTCGGTCTAATGGTTGTAGTGATAGTGCATGAGTATCCTAGGCCTACTACAGAGAATTTTGTACCTAGGCATCTGAACCAGACAAGCGTATCACGCAGAGGATAAGTAGTCAGCCAGAATGGTTGTCACCCGCTCCGCGACAAGCAGTCCGGTCAAGAAGTCAGTTGGCAAGGACAATAACGGCGGCTCCGACCTTAGACACTTTATCCTTCCGAAAGAAATATCAGAACGATCTCGTTTTGTTCTACTACGACATCCGCGCGACACGAGTGTACAGAGATTCCTGTTTTGTCCCAATCTAGGACTTTTCCAGTTTATCAAAGTCGAAACTCCACGATCAGACCCTCGAAGCCTCTTCTTTCATGGTCCGCCCTCGGAGACCAGCTCGAAGCGTGGAGATACCGCGGTGGACGGCAACAGTACGGACTCAAGAGATGGGAAAATCAGCAAGAGCGCGGAGATATTTGTGGCGACACCTTTTGATCTGGCTTTCCTGCTGATACCTTTTGTCATTCCATCGAAGCCTCCCACTGGCAAGCACCTGTTTCAGCCAGCCGATGACATCTTTGAACAACATGTTGAAGACGATAAACACCTCCGGTATATTCTCGAGAACGGGCGAAGCCATGTCCAAGAAGCCATGTCGAGATTTTGTGACACGATTGAAGCCGGAGACGAGCAGATGTATCGACCCAATGAAGACAAAACCCTGAGTATGATAATGGACAAGGTGAAAATTGTCATCGAGAACAGCCTTCCCGCGAGCCTGGAAGAGAAATTTGTTGTCCGGGCTCTCGAAACGCCTGTGCTGAGCGTGAAAAGGGAAGACACAAAGACATCGACAAAATCGGAACCTGCCTCGTTGGACGACGCCGGGTCCTTGTCTGACAACATGGACTCACAGTCGACCACGGCAAGCACTGCTCCATCGGCCGTGTTCTCAGAGGCATCTGTGGCCACTTCGACGGCCGGTACGGTGGTGGCCTCGGATGCAGTACCACAGAAGTTGCTCGACTTGCGCAAGCGAAGCATTGTTCTCGACTTTATTCTCGCCTCTTATGTCCCTGAACCCATTTCTCAGCGACTCAAGGCAAAGTTGGAAGGCGGCGACTCCCCCCTCGACCTGAAGCCGCTTGAAGAGCACATGAAATCATTGGCTGCTCTGAGAGCGGATGCACTAGCATCAAGGTCGCTGGGCGACTTCAGTCGCAAACGTGGCCTAGAGGACGAAGAGGCCGCGGATATGAGAGCGGAAAAGAAACGAAAGCAGGAGGAAGAAGACAAGAAGAAAAAGATGGGCGAGTCAAGAGGGGTTCGAGACTTGAAGAAGGTCAACGTTTCGGGTATGAAGAAAATGTCAGACTTCTTCACCAAGAAGCCTGCTGGCAAGGCAAAAAGATGAAGACAGAAAACGATGCTACGATGGTTATGAGACACGTCGTAATACCCAGGTCAGCCATCACTCACCAGTGTTCAACAATCATGTGGTGGTAGATTCACGAACGCCGAAGCTGGTTCCCACTTGTATGATTTTTAGATCCAAGGTACGAGTTGGTCATCAGGACTACACGGCGCTCTCTTTGGGCCATTTAGGTCAAACTTCAAGGCCGAGATTCTTCCGGCAATATCGTCCAGGATCTAACGCCACTCGGCACGGCGGTCGACCTACAAGTCGATGTCGGGGTCAACAAGTCGAACCTTACGGTATCACCTCATGACCTTCTATCCTTGAACGATTCGAGTCGTGGTAACATAGCTTGAGGTTTGACATCCGTCCCCAAGCTGCATGCATCTAGGGTGGCTAAGAGGAAGAAGGTCGTCAAAGTGCACAGTACGTGACCAATAGCATCAGTCTGACTACATATCCGTGGACTTATGCACGATCAGGCGCTTCCGACGGCCTTCATGAAGGGATATGTGATGGTCGCTATAAAACCTCGAACCTCATGCATGCGAATTCCACCGAGATAGAAGTCTGGATAGTGGTCTACGCAACGATAAGGGATTGGCATCGACGTGTCGACGTTCTTTGCCTTTCCTGTTGTATCATTTTGCAAGATGACCCCGGTACCGCACCGTGTGGTATCCAGACCACGTCGATTCGCTCATTCGGCGTGGACATCAACTCACCATTTTGCATGCGAAACTCTCGTTAGCGCTGCGATTAAATTCTGAGCGATTTAACGTCATAGCATATCCACAATAATCTGAATGTCAACTATCTTTTCATGTAATCCGCTATTAGAAGCGCAGATGTTGGCCCGTAGCAGTGACCACCTAGACCTGGACAATCATAAGGCACACACTGCCGTCCCTTCCATGGACACTGCGAATGCTCCGTCATCGGCATCCTGCAATGTCGTATCGTTGTATGGAATATGTTCAAGATCCTTGCCATGGACGCTCCGAAGGCGGACTCATCATACCATCTCCCGTCGCCAGAATACGAGTACGAGGTTTTGTGTCCACTCAGCGAAAACTCGGCTCACGGAGTTATGTTCATCCGGACAAAAAATTCGGCCATAAACCCTTCTCCCATTGGTCAGAGCGGAGATAGCGATAACCTAACTTTAAGGTGACTCGAAGCCAAAACCACGAACATTGACGATGCGCGACGAGAAATGGGAGTTGCACAAGTTCGTGTCGAGGTCAATCTTCCAGTTTTTCCTGGTTGCCTTCTTGCACCCTATAGTGGTGATGTTGTAAGATATCTCTGGACTTGGGTCGCTGATATTAGGCGACAGACACCCGATTCATGAATTCATCAGCAGCAGGCGGAGGTGGCAGCATTGCGAATCCTTTGCGAAAAAGACGTCGACGACCAGCACATAGCTGTGTTGAATGCAGGCGCCGGAAGGTCAAATGCAACAGGCAGAACCCTTGCAACCATTGCACGTCTGGCAGAAAGCAGACAGAATGCACCTACGCCCCAAATCCTCCAACGCGCAAAGCCAGATCACAAAAACGAAACATTTCACCCAGACCACTCCAAAGTTCATATCCAAGCCCTCCCTCCCCGACGGAGGCCGCAACAGATCATGCTACGAGGCCGCCGCCAGGATCCACGGTATTTGTTGAAACCCCAATCTCGACAGCACCGGTCGAAGACAGACCACGAGATGATCTTGCTCGTCGCTTGCAGACGCTGGAGAACATGTTTTCCACTTCCAATCCTAACCATTGTGAGGCTGTTCACACACCGCCGCCGCTCCAAAGGCTTAACGATGGGCGGGCCTCACTCAACAAAACCAGAATGTTTGGCCGAAGCCACTGGACGTCATCAATATGCGAGGTACGGACGCTCTTCCTGTTGACCACAGCCTGAAAACTGACGCGACTAGTTCAAATGGGACACGCTTCGACTTTTCCTGACAGAGACCGATGTCGTGGAGGAAGATGACAACGAAGAGGTCAAAGCTCTCAAATCCGAGATGCGAACCATGCTGCACAAATGCAAAGTCCTGGCCAAGAGTACCAAGGTGGCACGGCCAAGTCGATGCTTCTCGTGCCCTGAACTCACCAATCTCGCACGGCTTCCTCGCGCGACTTCAGACTTGATGACTCACCTGTATTTGTCGAAGTTCGAGTCGTCTTTTCGTATTCTTCATAAGCCTTCGTTCTTGGTCGACTATGAGCAATATTGGGCAAATCCATCGGCCGCTTCGGCAGATTTAAGGCTAAAGGTACAGTTGGTTATCGCGATAGGGTCAAGTCTCTCCCCCAAACGAATCGCTGGCGCCGAAACTCGATCAATGGCCTCCCATTGGATATATGCCGCCCAGAATTGGCTCGCTGGCCCTTTGGAGAAGGACAGATTTACCATTAGTGGGCTGCAGGTACATTGCCTGTTGATTCTGGCACGACAGATCTTATCGATAGGAGGAGACTTAATATGGGTGTCGATGGGTACGTTATTGCGGACTGCCATGCAGATGGGCCTCCACCGAGACCCAAAAGCCTTTCCCAAAATGAGTATACTGCAGGCCGAGATCAGGCGACGACTGTGGGCAACGATTCTGGAATACACTGTCCAGTCGTCCCTTGATTCGGGGATGCCGCCGATGATCACTTTTGAGGACTTTGACACTGCGGCGCCGGCCAATGTCGATGACGAGGAAATAAATGAACACACCAAAGTCTTGCCACATCATCCCCGGAGCCAAGTCACAGCGATGGCTGCTCAACTCGTTCTGCTCGATTCTTGTCGTCCAAGAATGAAGGCTGTACGGTGCATGAACGGGCTGGGGTCGGAAATGCTGTACGATGAAGTGCTTGCTCTGAGTGCAGATATCAGCCAGGCGTGCGAGGTCAGCCGTGCCGACACGAGTCAACTCAGATCAGCCCCATTCGGTCAGAATATGAATGATCTACTCCTTCGACGGTTTCTTCTGCCACTCCATCGGATCTTCGCCAACCGGGCAAGCACACATCCTCTGTTCTGCTTTTCCAAGAAAACCTGCCTCGACTGCGTCACGGTTTTCCTTTCGTCCGAGTTGGACGACAATTTCGCCCACATTCTGCGAAGCGGCGGAGGGTTCATCAAAGGTGGCATTCTCTACATGTTCCTCGCGTTGGGTATTGAAATCGTGCAGGAGTTCCAGGTGAATGGCATCAGAAGTACTCAGCTGCATCGGAAATGGCTGATCGATGCCTTGAACGATGCCATCGAGCTAGCAGTTGATCGCCTACGTCTGGGCGAGACGAATGTGAAGATGCACCTGATGCTCAATATGATCCAGGCTCAGATTCAGCCATCGAACTCCCCCACGGAGCTGAATCTGAGGCTGGGACGAAAGGGATTTGAAGCCCTTCAGACCTCCTATAGTATTCTGCAGGAGAACACGGCTCCCAGTACTGCGTTCTCGGTCAACGAGACGGACATGACTTTCTTCGAAGGTGGTCAAGATAACAGCATGGGCCTCGACTACCAGTTTGATGACCTTCTTCTGAACACGGATGTGATGGACGGTATGTTTGATAATTGGGCATCTCAGATTTGGCCAGAGGTTCAGGAATTTTGCCCCTTTGTATAGTATTTGTTACGATGGGACGGTATGTGCAAGTGGCCACCAAAAGTGGATTGCTATTACGATCAGACATGTCATCTCCTCAACCCTGGATATTCGCTTCGACGGAGTAGTTTTCGTACTCGCACTCGTACTCGTATCCGATGCTGATTATATAAGCCTTGGCTTGAGTCGGCAGCCGGAAGATTCTGACTCCGGAGCCTCACAATGTCATCATAGATTCCGCTTGATTGATTGTTGTCGCATGCACGAACCTCCATCATCCTTGCAATTCCTACTGCGATGGGACCAGCCAATATGCACGTAACTCGGACTTTACCATCATGTATCTGGGTTTCCTTCGGAACCGTCGTGTTACTTTCAAAGGTACATGTGTTAATCCCGCAGGCTGTCCTTTTTCTTCTAGTTTCAATATTCCTCCTTCCGTCTTCCTCAATTAATCAGGTGAGAGCTTGAGTGTTTGAATAGAGCTTTGATCCCTCTCATTGTCGTATATCATTCTTTCAAGTCTTTGTCTTTTGGTTCAGCTGGGAACTCGACATTGGATTTCATCCACACTTACCGCTAACACTAATGTCTCTGCCTACTCCGGATACACCCCGGCTCTGATATCTGGTATTGCTATTGTACCTGTCGAACATGGAAGGAGAGCCCAGTTCTATGCCCTCTACGAGCACGTCCGCCTACCGAATGGTCACGACGGACAATGCCACAGCTGCCGATTCTGTTTCATCGCCCGGGTCTCACTCTGTCACTAATGACCCGGAATCCAGTCACACACAACACCACAGTGTTTCCAGCTCGTCGTCAAGCACCGTTTCAACCGAGCACTCACCAATAGACAGGACGGACTCGCGATTTGAGCCAATCAAAACAGCTCCCACTCAGGAAAGCCGACCGCAATTAACCACAAGGAAGAGTATTCAAACCGAAGATGATCTGTTCAGAGTTCTGTCTAAGCGGCGAACGAGCGCCTCTGGAAAGTCGAATGCGGAGATGCAAGAGGAAAATGACGAGATTGAACGGTTGATGTCCCGAATGTTCGGCCAAGCTCGGCAACAGAACAGCGAGGAAGAGAAGACTCGACACAGTGGCGTCGTCTTCCGGAACTTGACCGTGAAGGGTGTCGGGTTGGGTGCGAGCCTCCAGCCTACAGTCGGCGACATTTTCCTTGGTTTGCCTCGCATGATCAAGATGTTGTTCACGAGAGGCGCTAAAGCTGCGTCTGGAAAACCTCCTGTTCGAGAGCTTCTCAGTAGTTTCGACGGGTGCGTTCGACCCGGGGAGATGTTACTGGTTCTAGGAAGGCCCGGCTCGGGTTGTTCAACCTTCCTCAAAGCATTCTGCAATCAGCGAGAAGGCTATGAGTCCGTCGAAGGAGATGTGACGTACGGTGGCACAGATGCAAAGCGGATGAAGAAAGACTTCCGGGGAGAAGTCATCTACAACCCCGAGGATGATCTTCACTATGCCACTCTGACGGTCAAACGTACCTTGCTGTTCGCTTTGAAATGCAGGACTCCTGGGAAAGAATCACGGTTAGAAGGAGAGTCTCGTGCGGACTACATGGCAGAATTCCTCCGCGTGGTCACTAAGTTGTTCTGGATCGAACACACCCTGGGAACAAAGGTCGGTGACGAATTTGTTCGCGGGGTCTCTGGAGGTGAAAAGAAGCGGGTCAGCATTGCTGAAGCAATGATCACAAGAGCATCGGTTCAAGGATGGGATAACTCGAGTCGTGGCCTTGACGCTAGTACCGCACTGGAATACGTTCAGTCTATCCGGACTCTGACTAACATGGCTCATACCTCGACTGCAGTCTCTCTTTACCAGGCTGGCGAATCTCTGTACGAACTGGTGGATAAAGTCCTCCTTATCGACCAAGGAAAGTGTCTCTACTATGGATCCTCTGATAGCGCCAGAAAATACTTTCGCGATCTGGGTTTCGAATGTCCCGAACGATGGACGACTGCCGATTTCCTCACCTCTGTTACCGACGAACATGCGAGATCAATACGCAAGGGCTGGGAGGATCGCATCCCTCGTAACGCGGATGAATTCGCTGCACTGTATCGCAAAAGTGAGGCGTATCAACGCAATCTCGAAGATATCAGAGATTTTGAAGCACAGCTTGAGCAGCAAAAGCAAGAACGTCTTGAGAATAGGTCGAAGAAGAATCAAAGAAAGAATTACACCATTCCATTCCACAAGCAAGTCATTGCTTGCACACAGCGCCAGTTTATGGTCATGGTGGGTGACAAGGCTTCTTTGTATGGTAAATGGGGAGGTATTGTTTTCCAGGTACTGTTTACTTTCTGACCCGAACACTGAAGTCTGCTAATCCGGCAAAGGGTCTTATCGTGGGCAGTCTGTTCTTTCAGCTGCCCAAAAGCGCCGCTGGTGCCTTTCCTCGCGGTGGTGTAATATTTTTTGTTCTTCTCTTCAATGCTCTACTTGCTCTTGCAGAGATGACGGCCGCCTTTTCATCGAAACCGATCCTACTTAAGCACAAATCATTCTCCTTCTACCGGCCTGCTGCCTACGCCATCGCACAAACAGTCGTCGATGTACCTCTTGTCGCCATCCAGGTTTTCTTATTCAATGTCATTATCTATTGGATGGGAGGAGTAAGTGACCATCGATATACTTGCCTTTCATCTACTGACATCTGTTATAGCTTGCTGCATCGGCCTCACAGTTCTTCATCTCGTGTCTCATCATTTGGACAGTAACCATGACCACCTATGCTTTCTTTAGATCAATCTCAGCTTTATGTAAAACGCTCGATGACGCTACCCGATTTACTGGTGTTTCGATACAAATACTAGTCGTGTACACGGGCTATCTAATTCGTGAGTACACCGTCCTCTGCGATTCTATCATTTCATTAATGCGTCTCAGCTCCCGCTCAAATGAAGCCGTGGTTCGCTTGGTTGCGGTTCTTGAATTGGGTACAATTCGGATTTGAAAGCTTAATGGCGAATGAGTTTACTGGACTGACCATGAGCTGTACACCACCATACCTCGTTCCCCAAGGCCCGGATGCTAGACCTCAATATCAATCATGCGCGTTGGCAGGAAGCCAGCCAGGGAGAACCTCAGTGGATGGTGCCCGATATATTCAGCAATCATTCAAATACACTCGCGCCCACCTGTGGAGAAATTTTGGTTTCCTCTGGGCATTCTTTCTTTTCTTCCTTGCAGTCACGGCTTTTGGTATGGAGATCATGAAACCAAATGCTGGCGGTGGAGCCATTACTGTTTTCAAACGTGGTCAAGTCCCTAAGAAGGTGGAAGAGTCAATTCAGACCGGTGGGCGTGAGAAGAACAGCAACGGAGATGAAGAGACAGCTACAGGTAGCCACAGCCCAACCGCCGCTGAGAAGATCAGGGATCCAACCAGCGACAGCAGCGACAGTACCAACTCCAGAAAAGAAGACTCGACCTTGAAAAATGTCGCAAAGAATGAGACTGTCTACACTTTCCGTGACGTCAACTATGTGATTCCCTACGAAAAGGGCGAGCGACAGTTACTACAAAATGTCCAGGGTTACGTCCGTCCCGGAAAGCTCACTGCACTGATGGGCGCAAGTGGAGCAGGCAAGACAACTTTGCTTAATGCATTAGCACAGCGTATCAAGTTTGGAACCGTGACCGGCGAGTTTCTAGTTGACGGTCGACCATTGCCCAAATCCTTCCAGCGCGCCACTGGCTTCGCGGAACAGATGGACGTCCACGAACCAACATCTACTGTAAGGGAGGCATTACGATTCTCAGCCCTCCTACGACAACCACGAGAAGTGTCCGTGGAGGAAAAGTACGCCTATTGCGAAACAATCATTGATTTGCTGGAAATGCGAGACATTGCCGGTGCCACTATCGGCCGTATTGGTGAAGGTCTCAACCAAGAGCAGCGAAAACGTCTGACCATCGGCGTCGAATTGGCCAGTAAACCCGAGCTTCTTATGTTCTTGGATGAGCCAACTTCTGGCCTCGACTCTGGAGCCGCTTTCAATATCGTCAGATTCCTACGGAAACTGGCCGACGCCGGACAAGCCATCCTCTGCACCATCCACCAGCCTTCTGCGGTCTTGTTCGAAGACTTTGATGAACTCATTCTGCTCAAATCTGGTGGACGAGTGGTCTATCATGGACCTCTTGGCAACGATTCGCAGGATCTCATCAGATACTTTGAAGAGAATGGCGGTCGGAAATGCCCACCAGACGCGAATCCAGCAGAATATATGCTCGAAGTCATCGGTGCAGGCGACCCGAATTACAAAGGTAAAGACTGGGGGGATGTCTGGGAACAAAGCAAAAACCATAGATCCCGATCCGATGAAGTCTCCGAGATGATCGAACGAAGGAAAAGCGCCGAACAGAGCCAGAACATCAGAGACGACAGGGAATATGCGATGCCACTCTCCACGCAAGTTGTCGCCGTGGTAAGGAGATCATTTGTCTCGTATTGGGTAAGTTCGGACACTTCCAACCTATGATCAATCCCCGATATAATGTAACATACCACGCAACGATTGTATTGTTTGTGATATGGTCCGATGTTACATGCCCGCACAAAGTCATCGCCCAAGGTCATTGAAAAGCGGAAAGGTCGTTGATTGAGATTCTCACTTACATTACCCTGGCTGACACTTCTGTCTCCCTAGCGCACCCCAAACTACATCATCGGCAAATTCATGCTCCACGTCCTCACTGGTCTCTTTACGACGTTCACGTTCTACCACCTCGGATACGCCACGATCGATTTCCAATCTCGTCTCTTTGCCGTCTTCATGACCCTCACCATCTCGCCTCCCCTGATCCAACAACTCCAACCGGTCTTTCTCAACTCTCGAAACATCTTCCAGTCTCGCGAAAACAACGCAAAGATCTACAGCTGGGTGGCGTGGACCACGGGTGCCGTCCTCGCCGAGATTCCCTACTCCATCGTCGCGGGAACGGTGTACTACTGCTGCTGGTGGTTCGGGTTCCAAGGCTACCGTCACTCCACGACGAGTTTCACTTCGGGCTTCTTGTACCTCTGTATATGCTTGTTCGAATTGTACTATGTCAGTTTCGGACAGGCTATCGCCGCCTTCTCACCCAACGAGTTACTGGCCAGTCTGCTCGTGCCGGTTTTCTTCTTGTTCGTCGTGAGTTTCTGTGGTGTTGTTGTGCCACCACAACAACTGCCCGAGTTCTGGCGCTCCTGGATGTACTGGCTTACACCCTTCCACTACCTGCTCGAAGCGATGCTGAGTGTAAGATTCGATGCTTTCGTGCTCTTTTTTTTGTGTTTGGCACAGAACGAGGCCGAGGCTGACACCAATCTTTTTGGTCACACAGGTCATTATCCACGATCAACCTGTACGCTGCAATCAAGGCGAATATGCACGTTTTGTAAGTAGTTTATTCGTGATATTACTTTGCCGCCGCCGTTGTACTGACTATTATTCTACAGCCCGCTCCACCAGGTCAAACATGTCAATCATACGTCGAACCCTACATTCGTCAGGCGGGGGGTTACGTCCAAGTGGCATCCGACGGGCTCTGCGAGTTTTGTCAGTACGCCAACGGTGACCAGTTCGGACACGGGTTCAGCGTGTACTATTCACACAAGTGGCGCGACTTCGGCATATTTTGTGCATTTGTCGGTTTCAATTATGCCGTCGTGTACTTTGCCACTTTTTTGAGGTTCAAGGCCAAGAACCCTTTGGCAAAGGTGTTGATGAAGAGGAAGCATAAGGGAGAGTAAGTAATGTGGATGACTTTGATTTTGGGACTTGGATATCTAGATGTTCGTCTCGCTGAGCGGGTCGGCTACGTCTTGATGATACACTCTGACCATGCATGAGTTCGGAAAGAAATGATTGAAGAATCACTGGGCAGTTGTTAAGCCCCTTATTGTATACTATACTATTCACGATTGAAGTACCACAATCCACGGTGATGTGGTAATACTGGGCTGGAGTGGAGCAAAGTCTAGCTAGTTTCGACTACGGCAAGGCTGTGGATGGAGGGGAAAGGAAAGGAACTTCTGGCCAAACGCGAGACACGTGTATGTACTCAATGTTGGAATAAATGTCCACTCTCGTTCTTGTTCCCGAGTGTCATTCGGTGATAAGTATTAGTGTCTATCCTGATCGATAGGAGTCCCCCTGCTGTCAGTAAGAATACCCATCACATTCCAACATCACTGCCGACACCACCCTTCACCTCTGCTGTAGGCATCGGCCGGTGTATGCCACGTACTTCACGTATGTTGGTGTTGATGTTGTCTCGTTGCCGTCGTTGCTAGCCTCCGTTGTCTTGCCAGCTGTGTCTCATTGTATGTCCTTGATGTGAATATACCTGCAAGACAGTTGTTTGTTACAACCCGACACGACACTGATGAGTGAAGGCACACAGTGCAGTGTCGTGTATTGTATTGTAGTGCGAGTTTAGTGCACAATCAACATGTAAACATGTCGACATACATGTTTGGGACACATACGCTTGATTTTTAGGAACATCATATGTATCTCTCTTCTTTTGACTCTCAAAAAGGTTCCCCAGCTTGAACTCTGTCTGACCATAACTCGTAGCTGTGTTTTCAGATCAAGTTCCAAAGGTGTCATCGTATCGAGGGGGATCAATCTGACGACCATGGCTCAAGAGGTATCTTCCTTTGACTTTGTCAATGATGTTCCTGTGGTTCTTCGTGATCATGGCCACCCTCATTCTCGCTTCTTGACGGGTGCCTTGACCGCCGACATGACCACTCAAACTCGTCGTCAACGTCGTCGGGAGGCAGGTCGATGTGGCGGAGTGTTTCGTGTCATCCGTGGAGGTAATGATGATGATTTTGACATGTGGGGGGATTTCGAGTATGCAGAGCCGACGACGACGAATCAATCATACATTCTTGGGGGGGTCTCTTGGGATGATGTCGGATCTGTAAATTCATCATCAGCATCAGGATCAGCATCAGCATCGTCCTCGCCTTCAAAGGGTCCAAACCCTATTACTACCACCTCGGAATCAGGGTTGGATTCAATCTCAACTTCAACCTCCAACACGGGTCCTTCCAATAACAACAACAAGTTGACAGCCACCATCAAAAAGACAAAGAAGCCGAAATGGCGAGTCAGTCGAACAGGAGAGATCCGAAACGTCTCGAGCGAGAGTCTTGACGACGATACCCTCGACAGTTATCGATTATTTTTGAGTGCTCAGACCAAGAACGAGACCAAGATAGAAGGAGTGACGAAGGGCACTTCTGCAACCACCTTACCATATGAGAGCATGGAGATGGATGTCGAGGCCATACCCAGCCAAAACACGGCACGAGGCAGTGCTCACATCGACTCGGTGGCAGAGTCGAGGACCGAAGCCGGGCCGAGCAACAAGACAACAAATACGAAACAAGACAATAACCACGACAAAGCCAACCTTGCCTTTTCCAAAAACAAACTCGTCAAGAAGGTCAAGGGAATGAACTTGATCTCGAACATGACTCGTCATCGGCATACCAGGACTCGTACTCGCACAGATGGTCCCTTCGACATTACCCAGCCATCGATCAACGTTGCAAGGAACCCAAAACGAACGACAGTTGCTGGAATGCTAAACGTCAACAAACCCTTGCCATGCATTCCACGGCTCATGACCACCGAATCCGACCTTGACCTGCGTCTGCGTCCTCATCCTCATCCGCATCCACACACAGACACAGACGCGGACATGCATACACACGGGGATACTCACCGTCAGGAGACGAGGGCCCCTGCCACCACCACCACCACCACCACCACCGTCGAGACTCGGCCTTTGGCTCCTCCAGTCCCAAAAATCACAATCACATCTCCGAGTCCAGCCAAAGATTCCTTGACACAAGCACTGGCACCGGCACTTGCGCGGGACCCGGTATCGAAATCAGAATCTCATCAACCACCAATTCAAAATGACAATGACACTTGGAATGAAGAAATAGACAAGGACTTTTTCTGTTCGCTCCCAATCACAAACGCAGACACGGACAACACAGAGACCACCGGTAGATGCGTCGTAAGAAAGCAGGAGAGAGTTGATCCGGCCAGTTCCACAAGTAGTGAAGACAATGTCGACCGGCGGTGGTTGTGATGAGGTCGAGGGTGAGAGTGCGCAAACAAGTGATGTCAGTGTCGATGACACCAACACGGATATTTATGGTTGAGAAAGGTGGTCGTCGTCGTTCAAAGGTGTCAAATGGGAACACGACCGTAGTTGGTGATGGGAGACAGGGGTTTCAGGAACAGAGCGGACGTTGAATGCGGATTGACTCGAAGGATCGAGGATCGAGGATCGAAACTGGAGAACAAATGTGATAATGATACCAGTACAAGGTCCTGACACTGTGCTTGTGAAGGGAATCGAAAGCCATGATTCGAATCATAGAGATTTGATACGAGACTGAGGGTGAGATTGTGTGTAAAAGTGAAAAGGAGAACAGCTGACAAAGTGCGAGCGAAAAGTAAAAAGCGTGTCGAGTTAAACTCACCAGAGTTCAAGGCCTTCCTTCACAAGATACACGTGCAGTACATGACAGTCTCTGTTCTAGAAGGGTCAAAGAGGAGCGGATGTGTATCCTGCTCGCAAGTACCTTGCTGCGACGATGGTTGTTGTGTAGGTGGGACGGAGTATGTGTAGAGAGATTAAAAACAGCCTCAAAGATTTCCCCTTGGTACCGGATCGGATTGACATTTCTCCGGAGCGATGTATGCCATGAAGCAAATGATACGGGGTATCAAGACAGACACAGACATCTCAAAGCACAGAATTGTCAAGATGTGATATATTGATTATACTAAAAGTACAAAACATCGTCCTCTGTACTGCATACATTGTCTCTATCAGAATCCAAAGTTATCCAACAGACTGTCAACGCTCGGTTCAACAAACTGTGTAGGGGCTGGCTTCTTCTCGGTTTGCTGAGCCTTTGCTTTGGGCATGTTGGCCTCATCCTCTTCCTTTTCTAGGTCGAAAAATGTCTTTCGTCTTTGTAACTGGACCTTGGGAGACACCTTGTCGGCTTCTTGATCTTGAGTCGGCGCCACCACTTGACTTTCCGAGACAAACTCCCAATCTCGGACCAGCCCAAGTGCAAGTACGTCACAGCCCATCCGCATATACTGCCGTACACATCGCATAACAAACGACCATTCGTCTTGCGGGTCGATGATGTCTCGCCACTTATTCATTTTTACAAAGTCGGCGCGTAGTTGAGTATAAAGAATTGACAAGAGAGGATCATTGGCAGTGTAACTCAGTGATCCAACCATCGAGCCGTCGGTCTTGTCCAGGTCTTTCCCAACCACAGTATGAACAGGATGCACAAGAACTCGGATTGCCTCTTCTGTTTGACCAAGTAGCGAAAACGCCCAGCTGGCCATCCATCTACCGTGTTCGCTTTCGACTGCTCGTGACAAAACTGTCTGTTCGAGAAGTCTGGTCAATGCCGAATCTTGACCTGACCCGTATACTCGAGCAATGGCGATAGCGAGCTGGAGATCTTTGACTTGGTGAATACACACATTCACTGCGTCCCACAGACCGTCGCCAAGAAGGAAGAATGCTGCTGCATATTGGAATCGTCGTTTGCTGAGAAGTGCATATGCATTCTTCAATGCTGTCGACTTCCATTTGGGATCGTTGAAGTTATTGGCCAGCAGTTTGAGAGTATTCTCCTTCTCTCGAACTCCAATCGCCATGCGCCATAGGCCCTGAAGAACGTTCTTCTTGCGAAGTGCAAGATAGTACAATGAACTATCCACAGGGTTTCGATCCTCATGTTTGGTAAATTCTGCACGGCCAACATTCTCCATTTGCTGTTGCAAAGCTTCTGCGTCGGTTAGCCAGCAGAATATTCCTGACTTTCGTGCAGCCTCCCAAGTAAGTTTTCCACCATAAAACCGGGTAACAAGGTCAACTAGAACTTCTTGAGACGTACTCCGGGATGCAAATAAAATCGCACTCCAGGGTACACCAGATTCGTCCGAGCTATACAAGGCTTGAAGATAACGTCGAGCATTGTCATCGATAGATCGTTCCTGTTTCTCCAGTTCCGAGTACACCGATATCTGTTCGATCAATATGGTCTGAGATTCGTTGCCAAGTTGCCACAACTCATGTTGCTTCAGTTTTTCAATTAGACTGTCCGTAACATCCGATATGGCTTGATCATCCACCTGTCCATTAACGCCGTTCATGACAAGGTCTATGCCGTCATTGAATTCTGCCTCCACACTTCTCTGGCCCAAGTCCTCCAGGTGAAAGTCTAGGAAACTAGACAAGGTGTCACCTTCGGTGAAATATTTCAATTCCTGATTGAGCCGGACCATGATGTTTCTGCAGGTCGCTAAACCTCCAACAGCCGAGAACAACGAAATCATCAGCGGGTGAAAAACGGGCAGAAGAGAATTGGTCACAGACATGACGGGGAATATAGACTCGGGAGAGGCCCGTTTCTGGATGTCCTGGAGTGGTTTGGCGTTTTCATTGTGGTGACTTCTTGCGTAACCTTTGAACACCAACAATTGAATACCCGATCCTACAACCAGGTCACCACTCCTTAACCAGCACAAATCTCCAATGCGATATGTGGCAAAATCTCGTATGCGGATATGTCGAAGGTCGACCCAGGCATTCTCGTGCGTCGGATAGGAATACCTGACTTGAGAGAGGACGACAATATGGTAATCGAAGCAAACAGCGAGGAGAGCTTGACCTTGTGGCGAGACTGCCCATGCAAACGTCTTGATAGTGTCAGTGCCGTCTAGCTCGTGTTGGTATTCCCAAGAACCTGTTTTGGCGTCCCAGATACTCAGGTTGCTACTATCATCGTTGACCAGGACAACCTTGCCGTATCCACTTGCACTCATAGCTTTTGGGTTCGGAATTCTAGTCTCAAAAGAAACCCCTGAGAATAGACGAGGCTTATTTGAGTCCGGTTCTTCTTGGGACTTGACCATCTCAATGGTGTCATCCTTGGCTAATGCTGCAGCATATCCCATAGCACTAAGTGTTTGCGGATCAATAGGCCGGTCGTTGGTGTTCATATTGTCACAGATCGAAATCCTGGACCGGAATCGGTTCTGAACATGCAACTTTATATCTCCAAGAGCTCTTATGATTTCTTGAAATCCGGGCTTTCTGTTCGAGATGCCACCCCCAACGGGAAGGAGGAATTCCCAAGCCTCAGCCGTGCTATCTCGAAAGTAGCCCACAATCACACGACTGGTCAAGGCCCTCTCACCAGCAACTCGACTCTGAGTTATGCGTTCTGGTATGTGCTTCGGGTCGATTTCGAGTGCACCCAGACGCTTCGCTTTCGCATGCTGAACATCCCACAATTCTAGGCTGTGAGTAGTCAAGACTACTGCATATCTTCCTCGAGACATGACGATTGCATCCGTGATATCGGCTCCGATGGCGAATGAGCTGCGACGCAGCAAAGGGGCAGTTTTGTCGTTTGCCCCATTCTGCCAAACACTAGCCTGGCCTTCTTCAGTCGCAGACAAGATGATGTTCCCGGCAACATTGCGAGCAATGCGGTGTATAGGAGCGCCATGGCCGGCAAGAGATGATATTAGCCGGGTTCGATCATGCCTTATGGCGGTGTCGAAAAGATGCGTGATGGGGCTGTCATACCAATCGATGTCACCCGCAAATGAATGGAGTAATAATGACAGGGACGAGCGTGTGGTGCCACCAGCAAAGATACAGAACTGAACATAGTCTTCCAAGGGGTCACTCAACTGAGGGACATGAATATTCATCCCATCCACGTGTGAAACATGAAAGACTGAAGGAATTTTGTTCTTGTAGCCAGCATTCTCTAGACCCCACACAGACATGTGGCCCAGTCCATCAAGGACAATACATATCTCCGGACTGCGGTTGGCTATCTCGATGAGATGTTCGAGAGCGTGATCCCTAGCGCCTGGGCTCGACGAACGCACGGCTTGTTCCGTGGCTGCGGAGAAATCACGACTATCGATGATGAATGCATAGCGCTTCGTACTCATGGAATTTACACTGAGCCTGCGGGGCTGTATCGAAGCATTCATATCGACATCTCCCACCTGTTGCAAGACGGACAGGGCATGCGGGTCGAACATAGTCCACGCCCGGACATGACTGTCAGAGCAGAATGTATAGAGTAAATTGTCCAGATTCTGTTCGAGGTACCATGGTTTTCGCCAATGCAGGTTCGTAACGGCGGCCGGGTGTGGGAGGTATGAGACATCAAATCTTGCACTTTCTGCTTCGTATGAAAGTCGTCGCCAAATCTTGACCAGTCTATCATGCTGCCCCACCGACGCGATGAGGCTGCTGTCGGGAGAAATGTATGCAAGGGCCACCGGATACGCCAACTCTTCCTCCCAGAGGGCCCTCGGTGAGCCGGACTCGGGAATGAACCAAAGAACAAGCCTTGAGCCGCCGATCAGGAGTTCTTCTGAAGAGCCCCAGGACAACGAGTTCACTCGAAGTTCTTTCGTATGCGTCAGCTCGTGAACCTGTGCCCACCGCAGAACGCCCTCATCTCTTCCGACCGGCCGATAGATATAGACATGTTCGGTACCGCAGAGGGCTATCCGCCCGGTAGCTTCATCGATTGTTATCGCAACGAGGGAATCAACGGTGTCGACATATATCGTTTGAACAATAGACTGGGGCCCGGTGAGGATGATGGCAGCGTTGCCAGAAATGTAGGCCTGCACTCGGGGATTAGACTAAAGACGGGGATACCCAGGTTCAGGTAAGACTCACAACAAGACGAAGGCCATCCCAATGAGCAGTACTGAGAGCCTGCCGCTTCGACTGGGGTCGGCCAGGCAATATGGCTCGCATACGAGGGGTCCAAACGGAAGGAAGTTGTCAAGAGGTCACTGTCATGCTCTGAGAGGATCGTTGTTCTTGTCACAGCATTGGAAGACACGGTTGTGGGTTCCGAGAGTCAAGATTTTGTCTTTCGAGTTGGGTTGAGTTTGGATGAATGAAAGCATCTATTAATCTGGTGCTGCCGTCACATGTTCTGCGCGTAAATTGGCAGCACCCACGCGCAGCAAGAGCAGGGAGCTAAGCCTAAGAGGGCATGTCTTTGAATAGAAGGTATCCCGAGAGCTAATGGCTTTTAGTGAACCCTTGGAGGCGTGTTAGGCCTTACCCCACGTACGTCCTTGATGAGCTTCCTATACGGACTACTCCGCACCATCTTGCCGGTCACTCTGCATACTATCAACCGGTGCAACCGGCCCGGGATTCGTGATATCCTCCATACAGACTGCAAAGTACTTGACCGACTACAGAGTACTAATAGTTTCAATGAATGTATAAAGGACTTTGCAGACTCCTCTTCTACCCCCTTCCCCTCTCCTTGATTCACATCCAATCTACAAAAATGGCCACCCTCTTCCGCTCCTCGCGCAGCCTGCGCCCTCTTACCCGCCTGGCGGCCCAACAACCAGCACGCTCCTCTCTGCGCTATACATCAAGTACATCCTCCCGACATGGCGCTGCCGCTGCCGCATCGGTCGACTCCTCGAGCACCGAGACACCATTCTTCCCCGACGAGCCCGCTGGACCTACCGTCAAGACGGCCATTCCGGGCCCCAATGCCAAAAAGGCCATTGCTGAACTACACAAAGTATTCGACACTCGATCTCTTAACATGATGGCGAACTACCAACACAGCTACGGCAACTATATCGCTGATCTGGATGGGAACGTGCTACTCGATGTATACGCCCAGATTGCATCAATCCCTGTGGGATACTCAAACCCATCGCTCGTCAAGACCGCGATGTCGCCAGAAATGGTGTCCGCGATCGTCAATAGGCCTGCGCTCGGCAACTTCCCTCAGCACGACTGGGCTAGTATCCTCGAGACGGGTATCCTTAAGGTGGCCCCGCGTGGCCTCAACCAGGTGTTCACGGGAATGTCTGGCTCCGATGCCAACGAGACCGCATACAAGGCCGCATTCATGTGGAAGCGCCAGCAACAACGTGGTGGAGCGCACGTCGAATTCACCGACGCCGAGATCGAAAGCAGCATGAACAATGCGGCACCTGGCGCTCCGCAATTGAGTATAATGTCTTTCAAGACCGGTTTCCATGGACGTCTGTTCGGCAGTCTCTCCACGACCCGAAGCAAGCCAATTCACAAGATGGACATTCCAGCATTCGATTGGCCTCAGGCACCATTCCCAAGCCTCAAGTATCCCCTGAACGAGCACGTAAAGGAGAACGAGGCCGAGGAGAAGCGCTGTCTCGAGGAAGCGGAGGAGATCATCAAGAATTTCCACAACCCTGTGGCGGCGGTCGTCATTGAGCCGGTCCAGTCTGAGGGTGGTGACAACCATGCAAGCCCAGCCTTCTTCAGGGGTCTGCGGGAAATCACACGAAAGTACGATGTCCTGCTGATCGTGGATGAGGTGCAAACCGGTGTGGGTGCAACGGGTAAATTCTGGGCACACGACCACTGGAACCTGCAGGACCCTCCGGATATCGTCACATTCTCAAAGAAAGCTCAGACAGCCGGTTACTACTTTGGCAACCCAGAGCTGAGACCCAACAAGCCGGTGAGTGCTCAAAAGTGAAAATTGTCCATTCTGATTACTGACAACATCTATAGTATCGTCAATTCAATACGTGGATGGGTGACCCGGCGAGGGCGCTGCTCTTCCGCTCAATCATCAACGAGATCGAACGGTTGAACTTGGTCGAGAATACAGCCATGGTCGGTGACTACCTGTATGCTGGTATCGAGACTCTGGCCCAGAAATACCCACAGCAATTCCAAAACCTGCGAGGACAAGGCCAAGGAACATTTATCGCTTTCGACAACCCGAAGCGTGATGAGTTCCTGCTCAAGGCTAAGACCTTGGGTATCAACATCGGTGGCAGCGGTGCCTCGGCAGTCAGACTCCGCCCCATGCTTATCTTCCAGAAACATCACGCAGACATTCTGCTTGACTCTCTCGAAAAGTTGGCCAAGTCGCTATAAAAGCGCTTTGTTTGAACAGGATTGACCGGGATGTGTGACCTGCCTAGGTCAGGCGTTATGGAGTAGAAAAGCAAAGCCATCGCCCTTTGCCATGACCCTTTCATGTTAATAACAAAATGTCATATTTTACAATGCTGTCAGCATGCTGAGCATAATCAGCAATGCGATCGCAACAATTCAATACCTCCCGCAGTTCTCGTCGTTGATCCTTTTAAACTGCTTGGTGACTTAGCGATGCTCTCCCCGATGGTACTTTCGAATCGTGGAGAGAAGCTCGGTAGGTGAAGAAAGAAGTCAACGGAGACTTCTCACCAGTGCGGTCGGGATCTTTTTTCTTGCTGTTTCCAATCTAAATCATTCATTGAGGATGTGGAGTGACTGTGACAATTTCCCATATCCAGGATACGCTTCGGAGTCGTGAGGTTGGTGGCGCTTGGAACTTCTCATCACGCAGCAATTTCGTCCTCGACAGATGTGCCATCCCTAGGGATGTATTTGATGCCTTGGTCTTCCATTCCATCGATGATTTCCTGCGGCAATTGACCCACGACTTTTGTCGCGTATATTCCAGGGACATAGTTCGTCAGGCGTTGCCATTTTGCGACCCACGATGTCTTGGGATCAGTCATTGAAATCAAGCCTTCAAAAACTTGGGATGTGCATTCTTGAATGGCATCTTGTGAGTTTCGAAGGGTGAGGAGCTCTTCGCAATTTGGGCAGCCGTTGCGAAAGAATTCCTGAGAAAGCTAATCAGTGAATTGCGCATCAAGAAAGGAGTATGAGAAGACGTACACTGCCACTCTGAACAATGGAACAAACCATGCATGCTCGATTGCGACTCCCTCGATTCGCCATGTTGGTGTCCTGACTACGATGGTTTCCTTGGTGTTGCACAGGAGGGTGAGATGCAAGACGCTCAAATTAGGAGCTCAGAAAGCGTGTCGAGCGTGAGAAGTGTGGCTTAATAGAAATTATAGAAATTAAGAGCGTCGATGGCGAGTCTAGAAGGTATTGAAGTTTTGGACATGAAGGAAACGCGCACCGGGAATGGAAAGTCGGAGATGTGAAGCGAGAGATCTTCGCCACCCCAATAATGAGCGGTAAGGCTGAACGCATCGGAGGACGAGGCTGGTGCAGGACGACACATTTTTGCCGCAGTTGGAAAGTTCTCGACCACCGGGCCAAAAAGTGCACACGAGCAGTTTAATAACTTGTCGATCTCCTCTCAAACCTAGACTGAATTACACGGAATGACTCGATAACAATTCGAGTACTTGTTTAATTATTTGCTTTCACCTCTCTTTTCTTCCCTGAGGTTTGCCGGCGGTTCTCTCCATGGCCATGAATTCCACCAACGACAAGGCCGAAGCAGTGGCCCTCAAGAACAAGGGCAACAAAGCCTTTTCCGAACATGACTGGCCCACTGCCATTGACTACTACACAAAAGCAATAGACAAATACGACGGCGAACCATCCTTTTACTGCAATAGAGCTCAGGCCAATATTAAGCTTGAGGCTTATGGCTACGCGATAGCAGACGCCACAAAGGCCATTGAACTCGATAAAAACTACATCAAGGTAGGCCAGATACTAGACTCACCAAAGTATGGTCTAACGATGTCCATATAGGCATACTGGAGACGTGCGATCGCGAACACCGCCATACTCAACTCCCAAGATGCCCTGCGAGATTTCAAGACGGTGGTTCGAAAGGAGCCCAACAATAAAGAGGCCAAGCTGAAGCTAGCCGAATGCGAAAAGCTGGTCAAGAAGATACAGTTCCTTAAGGCCATCGAAGTGTCAGATCCTCCGTCAGCGTTCGAAGGTCTCGATATCGACTCCATGGTCGTGGATGAAGGATACGACGGCGTCCGGTTAAAAGACGAAATGACGCAAGAGTTCATTGATGATATGATCGAAAGGTTCAAGAACGGCAAGAAAATACACCGGAAATACGTCTTCCAGATTATCAAGGCAGTGAGAGACATTGTCTATGACGAGCCAACAATGGTGGAAACGGAAGTGGCTCCGGACACGAAGTTGACTGTCTGCGGTGACACTCATGGGCAATACTTCGATTTGCTGGAGATCTTCCGACTCAATGGTTACCCATCCGACAAGCATGCCTATCTGTTCAATGGTGACTTTGTGGACCGCGGTTCCTGGTCAACAGAGATCGCGCTGCTTCTATATGCCTACAAGTGGCTGCGGCCGTCTTCGTTCTTCCTGAATCGTGGCAACCACGAAACCGACGACATGAACCGTGTGTACGGTTTCGAAGGCGAATGCAAGGCGAAGTACAACGAAAAGACGTTCAAGTTGTTCTCAGAGTCGTTCTCCGCTCTACCCTTGGCCACCTTGATCGGCAAGAAGTATCTCACTCTTCACGGTGGATTGTTCTCGGATGATAAGATCACCCTCGATGACATCCGCAAACTCGACAGGCATACGCAACGACAACCTGGTCAGCAAGGCTTGATGATGGAGATGCTCTGGACAGACCCCCAGCCAGAAAACGGAAGAGGACCCAGCAAGCGAGGAGTAGGGCTGCAATTTGGACCCGATGTGACGAAGAAGTTCTGTGAGATCAACGGCCTTGAGGCTGTCATTCGAAGTCATGAGGTTCGAATGGATGGATACGAAGTCGAGCACGACGGGAAGTGCATTACAGGTACGTTTGACCGTTCCAATGACAACGACAACATTAGGTCTGTTCACTGACACATCTCTAGTATTCTCGGCGCCCAAATACTGTGACAGCACAGAGAACAAGGGTGCATACATCAACCTTGGTCCCGAGTTGAAGCTTGAATACCACCAGTTCGAAGCCGTACCTCACCCCGATATCAAGCCCATGGTAAGTCAACTACACAGAGTCGCCAATAAACCAAAAAACCTAAACTGACTTGATGTAGGCATATGCTCAAAATTCATTGATGTCCATGATGTAGAGAAAGCTCTCTTGTTTTACGAGATTCGTGTCTACTACGTATTTATACATGCTTTTTGGCATTCATCTGACTCGGAACCTTTGGAGAACGAAATCATCGGCCTTCTCGAACAAGTCTTGATATGAAGAAAGGTTTTCAGAAAGGAAGCAAGGCCAGCCGATTTTGAAATGTCTGTTTCCATGACCTAGTGTACTGTATTTGTACGATGGGCTCTGTGTCCTTTGCCTTTTGCACAGCGATTGAAGCATTGCATTCTGAAGGAGAAGGCGCTCCGTATAGGTCAGGTATTTACATGTGCGACGACCGATACCATTAATCATACGATTAGATGAAGAGCGACAGTCTTTTTTTTTCCTTGTTCCTTGTTGTTTCATGTCTCTATGTATTTGCGTCAACCCGTTACCTATAAAATGATGAGTAGGACTGAATCAGAGAGTATTGACTGTATTCGAAGATGAAGATGTGGCTGATGAATTGAGGCAGTGCCTAGATCTGACAAGTGATTTGACAGACTTACTCCGTATCTTTTCATTAGGCTGAAGTCACTCTCCTACAACAACCCCTGCTGCCTTTGTCGCTGGCGGCTGATGAATCCCGCCCATCCCTGTTTTTTGTACGGAGTAAGGACCTTACCTATTCGTAGTGTTAGATTCAACAAATGGTGTCACATGCAGTGATCATCCCATCACACATACATTGGCAGCCTGACTGTCTGATCTCTCCGACTTTCTTGTCTTTCTCGCTACAAACCCAAAACCCCGCCATCGTTATCAACCACATCCCAGACATCAACAATCTCTGGAATGGGGATTTCAATCCTGGCCACTCCTGTAAAGTTGCTGGTATGATCCTCAAAAACATCTCGATTGAAATAGACATTATCTCGGTCGTTGATCTTTTTGTCTACGAAAGTCCGGCCCGACACGACGACTCGACGAGTACGGACACTCAACATCGTTACTTTTCAGCCTCACAGTAATTCACCCGTCAAATCATCTGGATCATTGATAAAGTTGTTATTTTTGCTTGTCTCTCTGTCGCGGTTTGGAACATGCTGGATCACGACATGTTTCTGCGAGGCAAAAATGTCAAAGATTCATCATCGGTCCAAGTCTCTGAGGGTGTGACAGCTACAAGCGCATACGACAATCAGCAACTTGCCCCCTCCAAGGCTCAAAATGCCGCCACGACGCTCCGTCGAACATCAACTAGATTCCTGGAGGCGGTGTCTATCCCGATAATCCGAAGGTCATCAGAAGGTAGCCGGAACCACAGTCCGTTCCTCGACATACTGTCAACCGATCTGCACTACGCCATCGCCACCAAGTACCTGAATTTCGACACATTGCTCGCCCTACGTCAGACATGTCGTGCGATGCACGCCTTGCTCACGCCAGACAAGATCCGGCGTGTCCGCGACAAGTTGGTGCAGCAATATCTCGAAGATGAGGTTCGACAATTTCGAGCCTACAGGACTCTCTACCCCCGAAACCGATTCGGGCATCTGTGGGAATTGCTGCACGACGCGTTTGACTTTCGACTGGTCGAACGCCCCGCCAAAGAGTTGCGATGCTACGCTTGCCTGCAGTTGAAACCGGTGTGGAACTTTGTCGAGCGCATGAGCACCCGTGGGACCGGCCTGGGCGCCAAATCCGCCCACAATAGAATGTGCAAAGACTGCATGCGGAGGTACCGTGACGTGGAAGGGTCATGGTGGAAGGAGAACTGGGTCAAAAGGAGCGATACCGCGAAAATCGTCAGCAGGGGCAAACGGGTCCGTCGCTGGGTGTTCCAGGGTCAAAGTCTGGTCAATCCGCCGGAAGACGTGGGTGTGTGTGCTGCTTGCGGCACCTTTGCGTTCGAACTCTGGTGGGGATGCGTGACCTGTTTTGAGATGGAGCAGAAAGCCCGTCGGGAAGAGGATCTCGATGAAATGGAGATCAGTGGGCTGGAGCGAAAGGTTGTCGATGCGTTTGACAAATGGCGATTTCGAAGGGAGATCAAATGCCGTAAACGTCAGGCCAAGAGGGAGACCAGGGCCGCGAGAAGCAGGATCCTGGCCAGATTCGGCTTCATCTGGATTGGGCCGGGCTCGAATCGAAGAGCCGCGTTTCGGGAATGGAGAGCGAGCAAAACTGGCAAACCGGCGTCGCCATTCATGCCTCCACCAAAAAAGGTCGACCGGGGCTGGAAAGCACTCGATCAGATTCCACCACCGGACGGCAGACGAGAGGCTCGATGTGCTCCCTGCTGGATAGCGAGTGCTCCTCGAAGGATGTACATGCACAGCTTCGGATTCGAAGGTGTGCTGGAAAAAGAGCGATGGTGTAAGCATTGTCGACAAGAACAACGTTCACGGCACGAGCGAAGAGAGGAAAGAAAGTTCAGGTTGGACGGCTATGTCGCTGCCCAAGACCCTTTTGAGGAGGAAGAGAAATACGGACTGGATCTGTTGTTTGATCAATATTGAATATACCAAGAGAGCATCAAGTTTTCCGGGATGGTTTTGATGTGATGCGACGATATGTTGGATGGTGTTTGACGGGCCAAGAGCGAGGCGTACAATACGATATATCGACAATCGAGTTGGATGCCAGATTTATCAATGGCAAAGGGAAATTTGTTGACAAGTCTATTGGGTGATAGGCAGAATTTGAGAAGGGCACTACTCACATTGATATAGCATGATGACTGCAAAGACTGTTATGATTAGCGCTTGAACTTCAGGATATCATTTGATGGGCGATTTTGCGAGCACGGCACAGAGAGGTATTGATGACGATGTGCGACAATATGTTTCCTTATCACGAGAATACACGAGAAAAACAGAACAGGACAAAAGAAAGAAAGGAAGAGGTTACTGAGCTGGAACAATGAGATTTCTGTTCATAGATCATACGGACACTGCGCGATTGATTATCAACGATCACTTCATCCCTCAGCCTCGTGCAGCCTTGCGGAGTTCGGAATATACCCTCGTCTCGGTCCCTAAAAGAATCACCGAACGCAATCTCTGCCCTGCCCTCGACCTCTGGATCTTTGCCCAACTCCCATGATCTGCCGGCACTTCGATCGACCCTTTCTCGATTGCCCAAATTGATTCGCGCGTCGGACCATATTCATTTTGAGCCTCGTTGGGGGCAAAGCTGTCCATTTTTGGCATCCCCAGCAAATTTCGCTGGGCCCGTATACGGGGTATTAATACCTTGACAATGGCGCCGCCTTTCGCCCTCTCGCCGTCCGTCAACGCGACACTACCGGCACAAATACTCGCTTCTACTACATTCAGTGTACAACAATACAGTCATATACTACGTCGTCGTCAAAATGATGGCCACAGAGTCTCCCATTGTCCCACAACGTGCCAGCAGCAGGTGGTCACTCCCGTCGGACTTCCAGTTCCAGACCCGGATACGATCTCTAAGCTCGCAATCACAATCGTCGAAACCACACCTTGACATCTCAATACCAGAACTTCCTCTTTTTCTGCAGGCCAGGTCACACGCTCTGGCGGAACCCCATAAACCGGCCATCATCGACAAGACGCGGAATCAGAGCTTCACGTACTCGGAGTTGTTGAACGATGTGGCCATCTTTAAAGCACAGATCGAGCAATTTCTCCAGCCTCCTGGCCCCGTGGGGGAGGAGCCTCGCGTGGCTTTCCTCACACCCTCGGGGTATGACTATGTAGTCACGCAATGGGCGATCTGGGCATCCGGAGCCATCTCTGTACCTTTGTGTAGGTGGATCTTGAACCCTGGACGCCACCGTATTCCAATACTAACAGACAATGTGTGTGTACAGGCACATCACACCCGCTCAAAGAGTTACAATACACAATCTCCGACTCCGGCCCTTCATTAATCATCCTTCACCCGTCGTTCTCCAAATTCGAAGCCGGTCTCCGCGAGCAAGCACCGACAATTCCTTTAATCACCATCACCCCCTTCTCTCAAGCCCCGCCCAGCGGCGGCCGCTCGACCTCGCTGCTGCCCAAATTCACCAACGCGTTCTCTCTGTCCCGCCGAGCCCTCATCATCTACACGTCCGGCACGACGTCCCGACCCAAGGGCTGCGTGAGTACTCACGAGACCATCACCTTCCAGGCCCAATCTCTCGTCGACGCGTGGAAGTACAGCCGCCAAGACCACCTCATCCACGTCCTACCGCTGCACCACGTCCACGGCATCATCAACGGTCTCACCGCGACCTTGTTGGCCGGTGGGACGGTCGAGATGCACCTCAGATTCGACCCCAGCGTCGTCTGGACCCGGTGGTCCGAAAGAGGCACTTCGACCATGTTCATGGCCGTGCCGACCGTCTATTCGAGGCTCATCGACCATTTCGACGGCAAGATTCGGGGTACCGAATGTGAGGCGGCCGCCCGACGAGGCGCACACGCGCTCCGGTTGGTCGTGAGTGGGTCCGCTGCCCTGCCCGTGTCGACGAAACGCAAGTTCGAGGAGATCACGGGCCACGAACTCCTCGAACGTTACGGCATGACCGAAATCGGCATGGCGTTGAGTTGCGGGTTGGAACGCGAGAAGCGGATCGACGGGAGTGTCGGCTGGCCTCTGCCCGGTGTGCACGTTCGATTGACCAGCGAAACCGGCAAGGTGATCACCTCGGACGGTCAGGACGAGGCCGGCAACATCGAGGTCCGGGGGCCGAGTCTTTTCGCCGAGTACTTCCAACGTGAAAAGGCGACGGCAGAGTCGTTCACCGACGACGGATGGTTCAAGACGGGAGACGTGGCGAAGAGAGACGCCGACGGTGCTTATTTCATCCTCGGACGGGAGAGCGTCGACCTGATCAAGTCCGGTGGGTACAAGATTTCGGCACTCGAGGTCGAGAGGAAGATCCTCGGGAATGAAGTGTTGGGTGACGTGGTCAGAGAAGTGGTCGTCGTCGGCGTCGAGGATGTCGAATGGGGTCAGAGAGTTGCCGCCGTGGTGACTCTTCGAGATCCGGTGAGTGGTTTTTTTTTGGTCCTGTTGTGCCTTCTTGCCCACCGTGGTTTTTCTCGCTCTCAGTCACGTCGTTTTTGAAAAGGTATGGACTGACACTTTCTCCTTTAAAAAAAAACAGGACAAGTCACCAATCGACCTAAAGACATTTCGAAGTTATTTGAAAGAAGACATGGCACCGTACAAAGTTCCCTCGATTCTAAAGATTGTTGACTCCATTGAAAGAAACGCAATGGGAAAGGTGAATAAGAAGCAAGTTCTCAAACGGTACTTTGAGCCTGCACAGTAAAGGTTTAACCGTCTACTACTTCTCTACGACTGAATCTTATGAGCCTGGAAAGACAAGGAGGTCTAGGTTCGAAATACAAGTGACCCACACAGGGTATCTCGTCACGGCGGTATGGTGGTTTTAAGGAACAATCCAATATGATGGAAAGAAAAAAGCTTTGGCACACAGAGTACAGTGGTCGGGTGCGGGAATGGCTCGTATGTATATCCTCACGGAGTGCTGTGATACTTTTGCGATACAAGGGCTTTCTCTTCGTTAGATCATATATGAGAAGAACATACTGTTGATCTCACTCTTCCTCCTCCTCTCCCTTACTCGTACAGCATTGGCCTCGCCCTTTATCTCTGGCAATCAGTACAGTCTCAATCCCTTGGCACGGATACAATTCAAGTTACGTGACACTCACTGCTCAGAGTAATTTGATATCTTGTATGTCTGAGACCCCATATGGAACTCCGACCAAGTTTGCTTTGCTTTGCCTCTTGATAGAATAGACTCGTTCACAAGTGGTTTGATACTATCGTCCCCCTTGCAGCCGCAAAGGTGAGCGGCCGGGCTGCGGCTGAAAAGAAACCACCGACTCAAAAATCCCCTACGAGTAAAACTATACGAGGCTTGCATCGGATCTGAACACTGTACAAAGCTACAAACTGCGGAGTAGTCTTGTTCAGCAAGCTTATGGATTTACAAGGGTCGTTATCCGATGCAAGTTACTCACGATTCAAACTCATCCTTCTGCGTTTTGTCGCCTTTGTATCAGTGATAAACAACACCTCGACTCTTGTCTAGCAGAGGGTTCGACTACCATTATCTTGCATTCGTAAACCAGTCAACTACCTACCTAGGTCGATATAAAAACCAATCGGTCATTTCTGTGTATCTCGAAAAACTAAGTATGAGCTTCTGATATTGTCACGCATTATACTTGTCTCTGACCAGGTCTCTTATCGTCCTTCTTCCCTGCTCTAGACCCCCTGTCCGTAAGAACCAAGACTCCTTATCATCATACATGATCCATTCAGTCCACCGACCCAATCGGTCATTCTTTTGTCTTCTTCTCTTCTTTCACCCACATTCGTCGCCGAACATGGCCTAGATATCACCCCGAGTAGACATCAAAGTCGCTATCTGATGTCTGTTTTCGTACAGTCCCAGCTGTGTTGGTGGTCATCTCGTCGGTGATAAACATGACTTGAAAACCAATCGGCTGTTTGCTGATCTGTAGCGATGGTGTGATGTTTCCTGTGATGACCGCGGAGAGATGGCGAGACTATAACACTGCTAAGCATGAGCCACTGACCACCATCTCTGGTCCAACGCATCTCTGTTGGTGTGTATGTCTGCTATAGCATCGCGCGTGGTATCTCCTTTCCCCCACACTGTAATCGCCCAATCGGTCCTTTTGTAAATGTGGTCTTTTCACAGGGAGACCTTCAAGGTCCGTTTTTCAGATCGCATGCGGACAACAACACGTCCCAAATGTGACAGGTCTCGGGGTTAGGTATACAAACAGTCCCCACGGATCCTCTCGTCATCCACTCGGTCCTTCAAGTATTTGCGAATACTCGGTCCTGAACGGGACAGAGATGTTCAAGATCGCATAACTCTTTCCAGAAACGCAAATTCCTCACGCACGTCCGGGTCTTTCCACGGACACGTCAACCGCAACTGTCGTGCTATCTCTTCTGTAAGGTCCACCGTCATTCGGAGTGTGTCGTTGCTTGTGCCGAGATTCAAGGAACCAAAGAAATGTCTACACACGCCGGAGAAAATCTCTGTTAGCTCGTTATTCCTAAAAACACGGGAGGATGACACACGTACCCTTTCGCTTGTGGGCCGCATCCGTCAGCGAGACAGCACACAAATTCAAGTAGTCCCGTCTCCTGGGCGCCGATGATGGTGTGCTCGCTTAGGAGTTCGCCGTAGATACAGTTGATCGCAAAATGTGTGAGATCGCCGCCGGAAGTACTGTCCATGGCCGAGAGTACTCGGGATGTATGCTTGGTGTAGATTTGTTTGAAGAACGTAAGGCCACGGTCGTACTTTGCGGCCCCGTCAAGAGGAGCTCGTAATGATGTGTCGGATGCTAGGGTGCTTGAGAGTGTCGGGTTTGTGGTGCTGATTGATGTGGACAATGAAAAGAGAGCATTAATGGCCTGGAAGAAGGAGATGGGTTAGCCCGTATGCTTGACGTGAGAAGTATCGGAAGTAGTAGCGACGGTCCTTACCCTAGGAAAGCCCACAAGGGTACTAGATTTGAGGCATGATTCACGGATACGCCTTGCAATGGCGAGGAGGTCGTCTTCGTTGCGATCTTGGGTTTCTTCCGATATAGAAGCAGAGGAGGACAGATACCTCCACAGATCGCCCGTAAGCCTTTCCTTGTGGAAGGATAGCAGAATTGCCGTAGTTAAGATATACCATAAAGGAGACGAAGAGGAATCGGCGAATAATTGTTGTAATGTAGAAAAGTCCAAAGACTTCACACGGGACACAGGAGTTGTTTCAGAGGCAGAAACGCTGGATGTGCTGGTCTCTTGCGTGGCAGACGATGCGGTCGACATTGGTGTATGCGTGCCACTTGTCGACGTTGAGTCCATGATGGGTGACTAGACTCGTGGGTGTTGGTAGAAGATCGTACTATCGTAGTCCACAAGGATCATTCGTTTTCATGCGGCTGGAATGTGTTTTAATATTATACGAGGTTGAGTCTGCCTCGGTGTTTTCAGAGTATCTTGATACATACATAAATTATAAATAAAGAAAAGTTCTCAACATCGGAAATTCATTTATTGCCTTGATTCGGAGTCAGTACTGGATATTGCGTCGCGGTTTGTATCATGGAGCCCGAGCAAAGGCCGGGGCATAAACGCCACCTGGATTAGTCACAAGTCTAAGCAGGTGCCTTACCTGAACCACGGTATTATTAGCTCCAATCAGGGCTCAAGTTTAGGCACTTGGTGCCTACCACTACCCCTGTGGCTATCTACTTGACCTAATCTTCCTAGGTACCTTTGGGTACTTCAAAGTTACTGGAGTCCAGCAACCTCTGCAAATTTGTAATCTACTTGGTGATTTACCATCAACCTGTCCTTCCATCCGGAACCTCACAATGAACATCTCTCTTCTCTCCGCCACGCCTCTCTTCTCCCACCCTCCACCGTGAGAATCTGTGAGATCCTCAGGCGAGTAGTCCTCGAAACATGCCGGAACATTCACCCCGACAAAGAACCGATAGAGTGACAATCGCATGTTGCAATTGCCGACAGAGAAAAGTTAGATGTGATCTACTTGACTTCTACTGTTCTCGATGGCCCTGAACTGATTTTGAAAAGGTAATGGCGGCGCACCTTGTAAAGACTGTCTGAGGTTGGGTAAAGAATGCATCTACCCACCAGCGACCCAGCGTCGGAGACGAAAGACTCACAATGGTCACGCATCAAGGACACGGGATTCTGCTCTAGCGACTAATATCGATATCACCTTGGACACTGCAGTGAACGACGATGAAACCACACTCCAGAGACATCCAAGTCAGCCACTCCCTGGTTTTGACAGAGGCTTTTCCGACCAGACCTGCATCAATGAGCACGGTGAAACTGTACCTGAAGACGCCGTTTGGGAATATCACGAACCTTGGTCATGGACTTCGATCTGTTCAGCGACAGGCTCGAAGTGGGTTTGGGATACCACTGGAGACCGAGACTTTGCTTCAGCTGCAAAACGTTTTACAAGAGATCTTGTTCAGAATTCCTCGTGCGACAATTACTTGTCGGCTGTATCTGTTATTGAGGAGGTTGATGAATCAATAGCTTTCAACTATGTCGACGGTAAGCTCATACCGTTACTCTCCTCGTTGTTGACCGTCATCTCACATTCGAGCCTGAAGCATTCTTCCATAATTGTTGGGAGGCGTCGCTTGGAATTGTTGATCGTGCCGCCTTCGAATCTCGTTTGCGAGGCCACTATCGTACTCAAACACAGAGAAACGATGCCGCATTTTACGCGCTTCGGAATGTCATTTACGCTTCTGGTCTTCAAAGTATACTATCAGAAGAATCTCTCGTGTCTTTTGCAACAGCCCAAGCAGATGCAGGACGCTATTTTAAGATGTCATTATCAGTGCTCACCAAACTTCTCCTCCCACCCTCCAACTTGACGGCAATACGAGCCTTAATATTGATGGTAACGTTACGCTAGCACATGAACTTGGGAGCCTGTGATTAACAGCAATATAGTCATGTTATACTGAAGGCTTGGACAGTCCTAGTCTCAAGTATTTCTTGTGTTCAAACGCAGTTCATCTAGCTCAAGCTAAGGGCCTACATCGCCAGCCGGACAGAGCATGGGGGAGATGCCCAAAAGAGGCACTCGAGAGAAGCAGCCTATGGTGGTCATTGTATGCTCTTGAGAAACACCTCTCCCTGAGCAGCTGCCGCCCGTCGGCTATTGACGATGAAATTATCAACATTTCAATGCCCGATGCCTATGCCAACATCCATACACATCCCCATGGTTTTCGATTTCGGATTCGTTTAGCCAAAATCCAGTCCGGGATTTCTCGTCAGCTTCTTTCCCTCAAAGCACTTTCAATGACCGTCCACGAACTCATTCAGACAGTCACCAAATTTCACGGAGAGCTGAACCTTTTACTGTCTGAATTACCAAAAGACCTCGAGATTGGTAGCTTGGGTCGATCTTCGCATTCTCCGAAGCAGGTCAACAAGTGCTTGTATCTCCATTTCAGTATCCACAGCAGCATCATGGCTGCGCATTGCCACCTCTTCTATCCCTGGTTAGTTTCAAGGTTCAGTGGAATTGGCTCTGACGCCACTGTCAAAGACCAAATTGCCTCGTCGTCCAACATCATCGCCGAAGCCGCACGCAAGATCATTCTAGCCCTTCGACTTGTCAACCCAAGTGTAGCCACGCCTTCGTGTTTGGCATTCTACTATCCGCTTCATGCAATGATCAACCTCTTCATTCATCTCGTCAAGTCCCCGGCCTTGTCCACAGCTGCGACTGACCTTGGCCTGCTGGATGCCTGTGTTGGACACTTTGGCTATGTTGAATTCTTCACGGCATCTGCAGTTTCCATCACGCTACCGAGGGAAGTCGCTAATGTGGCATCTCGTGCTGTTCAAGTGGCAAGAACTAAGAACACGGATTCTACGGCAGTTGAAAGAGTTACTGATAATACCCAGCAAAATGAATCCGAAGCTCAAAGTGCTGGAACTGAGGTTTTCAATTTCAACTTTGACGACTTTCAGACCGAGCCTATTTTACAAAATGAGGTATGTACTCCGTACTGGATAGCGGTATTTTCATTTCTGGACAACGTTGGACCAACGGCTGATTCCGAGCCTACTAGTTTACCAATTTTCTTCAATTCGATACTACAGGCTGGAATCTTCTCTCGTCATTCGACATGCTATGCTCAAACGCACCCAGCCATGAAAATTGACAAAGAACAACAAGCTGTGCGGACTTTGCAGTTCTCGTCGACTTTATCTGCCATGCCAATGCTCATGAAAGGAATCAGAGGGGATCGTTGACGTTGACTATCCTCTTGCCAGAGTGTCGGAGCTCTGACCCGAAATAGAAGTCGCATTTTCGCCTTTTGTCCTATCCAAGACCTATTGCTAGTTTGAAGTTGAATAGGGGGCAATACTCAATTTCACCAACCCCACCAATCAGATCTACAGGAGATCGAGTCGAACTGTTTTTCCGTCCGGCTGTCTTTTTCCAGAACCTTGTCCAAACAATCCACTTCACCACCAACGATTCGTTCCACAGAGTCATCACACCAACGACTTTTGGATCTGTCCCGTCACCGATCGGTCATGTACATTTTTCTTGTTGTTGGTAGCGGCCTTGAAAAAAATCCCGCGTGGGGACATGTCAGTCTGGAAAATGAAAAGTTTGGAGCCTTGCCGCCGAGACAATCAACGCCATCATCTGACCCTCGCGCTCCTCTCCCGTGTGTCATACAAAGGTGTATCCGAAAATCAAGCAGTCTATGTCTTCGAGGCTCCTCGCACTTGTGACATGACAAGCTGTCATCGAATCTCTTGTTCTTGTTCTTGGTCGCAGTTCCGAATCCGTATCTGTGATTGTCACAGAACTTGGGCACACTGTGGTGACTTTTGTCTGGTCATAGTGGTGTTGGCATCGGGTATACTTAGGGTGTCACCTGGACCATCCAAGCTATCCCAACCTCCCAAAGGTCAAGACAACAGTCAAGACGGCCACCTCTTGCCTGTTTCATCTTCACTTTCCCTCCATTACCTTGCCAAATAATCGTCAATATGAATTCAGGTTGACCCCTTCCGCACACCAGTAATACAGGCTACAAATCGCCATGAATGCCAACAGAAGAAGTGCTCCCGTGCCGAAACCCTCACGGATATCTCATGCCTGTACGCGTTGCCAGGCGCAAAAAGAAAAATGCTCAGGTGGACCTCGGTGCCACAATTGTCGACAGGAAGGTGTAGACTGTGTCTTTGGTGAACGAAGAAGGGCTCGCCTCGACAGGTGAGAGAAAACCACCAAGATTCCTCGATCCCTCTTTTAGTGATGGTTGGGATTTTGTTGTTTTGCTATATGACAGTATACTGACGACACGACAATTACTAGAACCCTGGCCGAGAACCGGAAAGTAATCGCGGAACTCGAACTTCGAAACCATATACTAGTACAGGCTTTGCGCAAAGTCATTAGTACTATGCCGGATCTTTTACCAGAACAACATTTGGGCCTTTCAGATATCATGACCGAGGTAAGCCCTTTCGATAACTATTCTCATCATAAACAATCAGCACTGGATAAGAGAACCTTGGATGAGCATTGATGAAACATTGGTGCACAATCTTTCTTTGTCGGGTGGAGCCTCGTGACTTCGAGCTTGACATGGTGGGCTGACAGAATACGACGAGGATTTTCAGTATGATCTGTTTAGAAATGGCTCTCCAATTTCAAACATCAACGATCCGACGATGACGACGACAGTGACAAGTCATCACGAGTCACCATCGCTCCCGCAGACGGAAGAACAAGTCCCCTTCACGTCTACTGCTGGCCATGGTAGTACCCGCCAAGTCGGATTGAAGTCACGGCGGTCACCATCAGTGGCGAGAGAGAAATCTGTATCTTTACAGAAAGGTTTGGTGGGATCGAACGACAACAGAGTCACCACCAAGGTGGCACAAGACGGCAGCGGTACCCGTACGAGTGCGATGGCTGCTCGTGGTGGTGGGGATACCACTACCCCCAGGGCTGATAATGATGGCGATTTCAAGGCAGCAGCAGCACATCGACGCAGGGATCCGAATGCAAACGTGGATACGAATATGGATACCGTTGTAGGCATCTTGGCAGTAACTTCGATATACTACGTCTTGGATTGAAAGAGGAAAGAAGATAGACGTTTTCTTTTTCACAAAAACATTTCAGATCACGATTCTCGATTATCGTCGTTTTCCTCTTTTTGGCAAGGGGGGCGTTGTTGTTCCAAGTGCTTCGACTGTAGAAAATCACTCTGTCAAACTGTCGGCGTGCGTCAAAGAAACAAAGGGACAACGAATGTACTTCGAGTGCTCGTTCGCGACAGGAAGGATGACGAGGTATACCGTAAGACTACTCCCTAGTAGTAATACTAAAAATATACAGGTTCAACAATACTGCTAGCAGGGACATGTAGATTACATTAGTAATTAAAAAAACAAAGCCAATGAGGCTAAGAAACCAGGTGACAACAAGCAGGCAAATAGGTAGATGGGTATATGAGGTGGGTGTTGACGAGTACGTAGGTAGGTGCTACCGAGTACTACCGTATATGAGGTAGGTAACTACGTTGCCAATCGCCAATCGCTTCGGCATCGACATTGACGACACACACAATCTGTTCACACGCGGACTGCATCTAGGGCAAGGGCACCTAGTCCGCAAGAAGGCACCCAGGTAGGCATATAAGAATGTACCGTTGGTCCCGAACTTATACAACAAGGAAATCCACCGTCACAGGTTTGTGGTACGTGATCGGTTCTTCATTGACAGCCTCGTACACTTGTGTTTTTTCCTGCAGACTCTTTGATTCTTTATACCCGTCGCGGTCCTATGTGGACAAGTCACGATCTTGATTCACCTGGCGTTCTCACTCTTCTTCCTCAAGAAAACCCTCCGGATGCCGCTCATGTCGCTCAGACTCATTCGACTCTTTGAACGGCCCGTGAGACTCATCCGACGCAACTTGGAGTCGTTGCCGGACGACGCGGTCGAAGAAGCATTGCTCGGGCTGGGGGAGAGGGTGACGGGGCTCGCGTTCGGGGTCAGACTCATGTACGAGGACGCGCGGCGGTTGGTGGTCGGCGTGTTCGAGGAGGAAACCGTCGTGGTTGTGGTCGTGGTCGTCGTACTCGGGCCTTGATGGATCATGTTTGCATTTCCACCGCTGACCGCCCTTGCCTTGCCGACGAGGTTCTCGACCCAAGCATCGTTGTCGGCGGCGGCGGCGGAACCCGTCGCATAGGTGGCCGCTCGTCGGGGATTGGTTTTCGGTCCCGCGCCCCCGAGAGGTGTATAGTTTGTCGTAGTTGTCGTCGCGGGTGTGACCGTGGTCGTGGTCGTGACACCCGGAGCATACATGGTGGTCGTCCTCGAGCATGGGGCTGCACCTGTACCGTCGTTGACTTGCCCGGGGTCGATGACCCCGGTAAGAGTACCAACATCTGGGTTGGTGGCTGTCGTGATCGTGGGTGATTTGGAGGTATATGATGTAGGGATGGGAGGCACTGGAGGTGGCGTCCAGGCTTCCTTGTCCTTGACAGCCTTTCTTTCAAGTTCAGGAGAGCGGATTCTTGTCAACGGACGTAATCTCGGGTTCACCAGTTCCGGCACCGAGTTGGTGTCTGCGGTTTGCGGACTTAAAGCCGGCGATCTTGACTTGCGCTTAGCAAGAGATCCTTGCGATGCGCCGGCGTTATGAGCAGTGCTGGCGTCCCTGTGTCCGCTCGTGGGGAAACTGGCGACTTCTAAACGGCCATCGACTGTCGACCGGCTACCATGGTGCAAGCTGTACTCTTTCAGGTACTCCCCCAAGTCTGCCCACCCACCTCCGACGCGAACCATGACGCGTTGTCCGTCCCCAACACTTCGCACGAACAATTTGACGGGAGGGGCATCGCGGGCTTGGCCTGACCGCGTGAGATGGTAGAGTCTGATGCCGGAATCATCGCTCTTAGCCGTGAATGTTTCAGCCCGGACAGGAGATAAAGTCAATGCGGCTGTGGGCGTGGAAGACCGTGTCGAGGATGTTGAAGATGGTCGGGCGAAGCCAGAATAGTCTACATCCTTGGCCAATCGAATCTTTGTCGGCAGAGTTGTGAGTATGTCTTGGATTTTATCCTCCAATGACTCGACCCTTTTCGCTGAACTCGGCGACGTCTCCTTGACAGAGGTGGTCACGATTGGGTTGCTCAAAGTCTGTGTATTGTCCACGGGCGTCACGGGGCTGTTGCTAGATACAGGCGTCAATGGAGTGAAAGTGCTCAATATGTTTTGAGTATTTCGCTTGCTCGACCTACGTGGCAAGGCTGGCATCGACGGCGCCTCTGGATGTTCCTCTGGCTCTAGGGGCTCCTCTTTTGTCTTCAGTTTGAGTGGTTCGACTTCAAGAGAGGGCGACGCGAGCGGATTGTGTTCTGAGGTCAACGCAGTCGGCGTATCCAGGTCAACTTCAGACGCTTCCAGTTTAGCCGCTGCAGTCTGTTTGAGTGGGGATTCAGCGCCCGTCAGCTGCCTCAAAGCCTTGGAAGGAGTGCTTTCCGGCGTTTCAGACGATTCAGGCATTGCAGACAGCATATCCCAACTGGCACTTCTCCTCAGCATGACACGTTTGAGTTGGTCCTTGGAGACAACCTCAACGGATGCGGTTGAAGCTCGTTGAAGCATTGGAGGTTTGAAGGCTAACTGTTGTTGAGCTGCAGTTGAGTTGCCAAACCAAGTGAGCTCGTCGCGGCTTGCTCGGAACGGATTGTCTACAAGACTGATTTTGGGGCTTGGGAGGACGCTGGTCTCTCGAGCATCCATGATCTCAGCGTTGGAAAGATCTGAAAATCCCGACATTGTAGAATCTGCTACAGAGACCTTGGAAATTTCTCGCCTGTGTCCAATTCGATCTGCTGATAAGTTCAGCTTCAATGAGGGTTTACGTTTAACTGATGAGCTGCCCTTGCTGGGTGAGGACGATTCAGGGTGTGTTGTCCGTGGCTCATTGACGATCGCTGGATCTGGTTTGAGGGCCTCAGTGTGCTGTTTCGGCTGAGGTGATGGCGCTATCTCGCTGTCCAGGCCAGAAGGAGTCATTTCGGAGGCCGACTGTCCTTGCCGAGGGCTTTTACCTGCTATCACCGCCAGGTTATTCCTCAGGACAACTTGCTGAGCTTCTACAACCCATGTTGCATAGTCGAGCTCAACCTTCTCCAAACGGTCAATCCATGTTTGTGGAAGCGAATCATCGCGTCCCTCCAGCATATCAAGGAGTCGATCCACTCGTCGGCCTAGGTCGGCTACCTGAGCTCCCAATGCCACCTTTTGGCGTTCAATTGTTTCTTCTGTCATCTTGGCGGCTGAATCTGTGCTTTGAATCTCATCAAAGGCCTGGCGAATTTCAGATGTAGTAGAGTCCATGACCTCGAGGAAGCGTGGGAGTTGCCTCAAGACCCTCAGCCGTATATCCCAGTTATCGAGCAGCATGTTGAGTTTCGCCAGGTCAGGAAGTGCCTGGATGACCGTGGCCGTCACCAACGCCGTAAAATCTCGCATCCTGCCGTAGCTCGTTCGACTCCCGTTATACGGAGAGCTCTTCGGTGATGCTTTCGCGGCGGGTACGTGTGCCTCCAGAACATGATCTTTGATGTCTTCAATTCCGAGGGTGTCCAGGTCATCCCTAATTTCGTCTATTCGAGCCTCGTAGTGCTCCGCCAGTGTAACGGTCAAAAAGCCACGATAGTCTAGATTGAACCCCTTGGCACCTCGAGGGGTTATGAATCCCAAGCCCATTGATCTTTCTTTTGTTCCTGGCCAAGTCCATTTTGACACTTCATGCCTCCATTCACGGAGTTTCTGCGCAGCGAAAGCAGCCCGTATGCCAATCTCTCGCTCCGCAGGGCTGGCGCCACCGATGCTGGAAGCCAGAGCATCTTGGGAGCCCCCACCGGGAATCGTGTCGGTCGCCCGTAGAGCTCGTAGGGTAGAATCGGGCGAGAGATTGGCCAAAAGAGGGTCGAGCTCTCGGATGGCAAACTGAGCTTTCTTGCGTGGGGACTTTGACGGAGACCGCGAGTCTACAGGGCGTTCGAATTGAGGGAAGTTCGGTTCGGTAGGGGTGGTTAATGCCATCTCTGGTGCTGGCAGCCCACGGCCGTGTTATCTCGCCTGCGTATAATAATCTGTTGGTGTCTCCAGAAGGCGCCGACCAAGGGAAAGACGGAAGTCCAGCATGCTGGGAACCAAAAGCGACCGGGCTTTCCGGGGAGACTCGTCTACTCGTAACTTTGGAGGATTGATGAGGCGCGCAGGATGCAGGGGATGCTCATAAAGAGGAATAAAAGTGCAACTGTCTAAGGATAGAGGTCATGATTCGATACAAAGAGCCCACCCGGGTCTCATTGAAGAGGGAAAAGAGTACAGCACACTATTGTGATGTTTAGGAACTCGGTGGAGAAATGGAAATGGCATAAGCGCAGGCTGCTGCACGTCAAGGTCACTTCAGGCTTCTCCTTTGCCCAGATTCCCGGTAAAAAGTTGTACGTGATGGGATAATGGAGGTAGACAAGGATATGGAGAGATAGGCGAGATCACAGCAAACCACCGACCGTGAAATCAACATGGCGCGTTCCAGAATGACGCGAAACGTGCCTTAGTTTCTCCTCTAGTTCTACCTGTTCTTTTGTGTGCGTGTCTGTGTGTGAAAGAGGGACTCACGGCACGGACTATTTACTACCTACGGTAAAAGACACGCTCAAGTCGCTCGTACTCGGGAAGCCTGAATCCTTGTGAAAACGCCATTCATCGAATACGACAAACATCCAATCTCTCATGCACCGTCAGAAATGCAATGCGTTTCAAGAGCCAGATTAAGAATGTGAACTTGTTTGCCAGTGTGTCTCTCCCCCTGCCCATACCATCCATGGCAGCCGCCACTCCAATAAGTCGAAAAATTCTGACTCCATCACAGAGTTCTGCGCTTCTTTGGCCTCCCTGGGCCAGATCGCCTGGTGTAGGCTGAACGATGATGACGTTCAGTTCACTATTGTTCCCGACAAGGGGAGCCAGGTCTGGTCGGTCCTGAAGCCTGAGACCGTCTTCGAGACATACATACTACAATCAGCATCTCCCAAGAACACCATCAACCTTGAAGTGCCTATTCAGGCGCTCTCACGGGCGCTCCGGTCGGCCTACAATGCGACATCTACTCAAATCCGACTGACGAAGAAGGACAACGTTCCGATGCTGTCATTGACGATTGTGACCACTTCGTTCAGCAGTGGTACCAATGTCATTGCCCTACCGCCGTCGACTTCAGGCGATGGGGAGCCTGACGCGTTCGACTTTTCTGAGAGTGCGTTGTCCCAAGCCAACGGCGCCAGAGAACGAGAAACCGTCATCACCCAGGATATCCCCGTCAAAGTACTTACCATGGAGGTGGTGGAAAGGATCCATCAGCCGCGGACGCAGGAGCCAGACGTCAACATCTTTCTGCCTCCGTTGGCACAGATCAAAACGATATCCGATAGATTCACCAGGCTTGCTTTGGCCACTACCAAAGTCTCCTCAAACGCCAGCCCACGTCTCGAGCTCAGCGCCAATATGCATGGTTCGCTGAAGATATCTGTCAAGACAGACGCACTCAACATCAGCAGCCGTTGGACGGGTCTGGTCAATCCTGAGCTGGACCCGGCTCATTTCCCGGACGGTTCGCAGGGTGTCAGAGACCACCCAAGCACCAAGATGAAGGAACTAGGCGGACCGACTGGCGAAAACGAAGCCGGATGGTCCAAGGTCAGGATCGACGCCAAAGACTGGTCCAGAGTCCTGAGCGTGGGTAGGGTGAGCGCTCGAGTTATTGCTTGCTTCATCAATGAGGGCGGGTTAGTGTTGTACGTGTATCTGCCGAATGATGAAAATGGGAGTGAGGATGACTCGTGTTTAACAGTAGGTCTCAAGTCGTGGGATTCTCCAGATACATATGCTGATAGTCGACAGTACTACATTAGCTCTTTTGCTGCGTGAGTGCTTCAATACTCACCTTGGCAAGTCCTGGTGGCTGGGAGCCCTCTATATACGTCTACTAGGTTACTTGCCGTCCAGATAAACCTACAGGCCCCTCGTGACCACCGTGGCAGGGATGGATCGAATGTCCAGGAGGCTCTATCGGGCACAGTATCCTCTTTTTTTGAGAAAGGAGCAAGAGATCCAAATTGAATGTTGATGGCCAGAAACCCCCTCAGGCCTCTAATTCCCGTCTGCCATCTGAACTTGGAACAAGCGCGTGTCGAGCCTCAAGGCTTGCAATAACCAATGCAACGACACTTTTGACGGTTGATCTGAAAGAGGGACAAGACGTACATGCATTGCATTCTATTGCTGCATTGGTATTGGTTTATGAAATGACACCAATCTTGAGCATGTACTTTTGCAGGTAACCGTTCTCATGGTATCATCATCATCACTCTCATCTTCTCCATGCACATCTCTTCACATGTCCCGCCCATACCTAGGTAGTGCATGACTAGCCCGAAACACGCCTTTATTGTGTCATCTACTTGAAGACTTTGCCATCAGCCCACTCGTACTTCTTGCCGTTCACTTCGATTGGCTTGTCCCATGACCACTGGTCCTCGACGAAGGCCTTGTCCTCTGGCTTGCTTGGGTCAAGCTTGGTGAATTCGTAGCTTTCATAGTCTGGAGCGACATCGAAAGCGGGAAGAGCTTCGTCACCGCGCACCATGAAGGCACCCTGAATGGCAGAGTCATTGGCTTGGCCGTAGACCGAGCAGCATCCGAACAAGTATTTGCGGGAAGCCTCGAGACGGGCAAAGAAACCGCCTGAAGGGGGGTTAGCTCGACAATCCTAAACAAAGGCAGGAGTTGGACATACCAATGAGGTTGGAAGTCATGAAGACCTGGGTCAGTTCGTCGTTGTACTTGTAGTCAATCTTCCAGAGAGAGTACTCTTCGGGCTTGTAGTGTTCCCAAAACCACGGGAGGGCGACCTCGCGGGTTTCCTCATTTGAATACTTTCGCTTCCAGTCATCAAGGATGAGAGTTGGCTTGGCAAGCGCCTCAAGAGGGTGCTTGGGCTTGGGCTCTGGCTTTGCCTCCTCTTCCTCTTCTTCCTCCTTGGCGGGCTTCTTTGCAGCTGGAGCCGCCGCCTTCGCAGGTTTAGCTTCCTTCTTTGGCGGTGTGTACTTCACAGCCTCTTCGACAAAGATTGGCTGCTCAACAATCGCCTTCCAGATCGGCTGGTTGACAATGGTCTCGTACCAACGAGTGGTGTTGGGGTTCTGGGATCGCCATGCCTTGTCCAGCACATACTGGTAACCACGTGCAATCTGAGAAGCAGTGAACAAGTCGGCAAGAGTGAGACGCTCGCCAACGAGGAAAGTGTGAACCAAGAAGTGTTGCTCAAGGACCTTGAGAACCTTGGTCGCAGCAGCCTTGGCGTCGTCGACGGACTTCTTGTTGTAGGGGTCTTTTCCGATGAGAGGACGGAACCATCCACCGATGGAAGGAAGGAGCTCGGAGTTCGAGAAGGACATCCATCTGACAATGGAAGCGTAGTCTTGTTTGGTCTTGCCCAGGAGGGTGGTTTTCTCGTTTTGAGATGCAACTACAACTTGTCAGTCAAGCCCTTGGACACAAGGCGCAAGAATCAATCCGTTGTGGTTGCGAATCAGAGTGAAATAAAGTCAACAAGAAAGTTCAGACAGGGATAACTGTTTGTGATAATACGTCTCATCTTGTAGCAAAAAGGGAATTGCATGGTGGGGTGAGTCAATACGTACAGTAGATGGCGATTGCGATACTCTCAGTCAGGATGAAGCCATTGGCGCCAACGAATGTTGGGACTCGGTTGAGAGGGTTCAACTTGAGGTACTCAATGTCGGTATTGGGAGGACGAGTCTCAACGAGCTCAACATCGAGGTTGTTCTCCTTTGCGACCGCTAGAAGAACGGTGGAGCGGGCATTGTCCTAGAGGCTCAATCAGCCTTCGCTGGCCAAAGTGCACAACAAACAATAAATTGAATTCATACCTTGAAGCCGTAGAGTTTACCGAACGACATCTTGAGTGAGTTGCAGTAAGATGAAGGGTAAGGAGGAGGGGTTGACAAGATGGTTGTTCAAGTGGTTGGTGTGCAATCAGAATTTTTGTTTTCTAGAGGAGACCAAAAGCCCCAGAAGTGAAAGGCGCAGTTTGAGAAGCTTGGCAGAAATTATCTCCATCTCCATTCACGCAGGAGACCCTTCTCACCTTCACGAAGCCATTTTCGCCAGCTCCATTTGGACGTCACCACCAAGGGCTGCATCTCATTGTCCTATGTACTCTGCGTGACCGTCCGTACTTGGCCAATAGGGCACTTTGACCATGGCAAGACCATCGGTACAAGCTCTGCCGGCTTCCATGTCGGGAACTTGTCGACAGTGCCGGGTGCAGAGCAGATTTCTTCTGACAAGCCTATCGCCATGGCTACAGCTTTCAGGTCGCCGACATGGCCTCACTGCATCTAGGTCCAATTCTACAGATGCACAGATCCAAGCCGCCCCAGAGATCGATCTCTCAAACTCCGACACCCCAGCAGTTCCTGCTCGGATTCTCCCTGCATCTCCTTCGTACTTCACAGCATCACCGCTTTTCAACGACAACGTCTTGCTGCTACAATCCCTCGTCAAGAAACATAGCGCGCTCCCTCTTGCATCTCCCGACAATATCCCACGTGGAGTCTGGTTGAAGCTCGGCCAATACCGTAGTTCCACGGGCGAAACAGTCCCTGCCTCGAAATATACAAAGGTCCTAGAGCTCTTGACTCGACTGAACAAGATTCATCCACGAATACGACCGAAGGAAGTGAGAGAAGTCTTGGATCGCTTTCGCCGGCCGGGTTCGGAACGGTTGCAAAAGGCCAAACCTGGAAAGATTGATAGGGTTGGGAGATCGGTTGGAATTGGCCGCAGAAAGGAATCTGGTGCAAAGGTTTACCTTGTTGAAGGAACAGGAGAAGTACTGGTCAATGGCCGCAACATAGTGCAGGCATTTCCTCGTCTACACGATCGCGAGAGTGCACTTTGGGCATTGAAAGCTACTGAGAGAGCGGACAAATACAATGTGTTCGCCTTGGTTGCGGGAGGTGGTGTCACTGGTCAAGCCGAATCAATTACCCTGGCTGTGGCTAGAGCGTTGTTGGTACACGAGCCAGCTCTAAAGCCAGCTCTTCGACGAGGTAAGTGCCCTATGCTCTTTAAGTGTTGTTGAAGACGTCGCTAATTCTAAACACAGCTGGCTGTCTCACATCGGATAGGAGACGTGTCGAACGAAAGAAGCCTGGAAGGCTGAAGGCAAGGAAGAAGCCGGCCTGGGTCAAGCGATGAGACGCTCGTCGACTGCAGTGGTACTTGTTTGTCTGTACATTGTTGTTCAAATACTTTTGTGTACCAAATTTGTCCTATCATCAGGAATCGGATATCATTGACCTGTTCCGAATTGTGAGAGCAACTAGCATGTGTACTTGTACCTCGTGTGTCATGACCTGTTAAGTGAATTGCTCCAGCACCGCCAGTCTCCATAATCAGGTATATATCAACCCGGTATACCATGCATGCGAGTTCACAGCAGAGTTGACGTTTCTAAGTCGACCTTGTGCGAAAGGATGGAGCTCGAGGAGGTCGTGTTACGAAACCAGAGGAGCTTTACATGTCTATTCGATAGCTCTCGCGTGCATCTTGTTGGCTCTTTTATTGCTCAAGCCTCCATGGTTGCACAGGCATGCGATGAGGACGTTGACCTTTCGATCTTGACCGTGCTCACCTGAGGCTCTCGATCGCGACGCTGTCTGTATCTCGAGTCTCAAAGAGACTGTCACCACACGTGTTCGTTTCTACTGTGTTCAGCAGGCCATCAAGAAACAAATGAACTCTTCGCATGAAATTCTTCGCAATCGTCGCTGCTGCTGACACCGATGCATACAATGTTTGCATGAGAAATGAGTTTGCCTATGGATCCTGGTAATTGCAAGCAATCGATGCAGATCGATCCACATCTGCAGCCTTCACTCCTGAATCCTAGGTCAATACCCTAGGTCTTTATGCAGCATCTCTCACTATCCTGGATGTCATCTGGTTTTCCCCGGCGACGCATACTAGGCACATGAAATTGACCACAGGACACATCTTTGATACTGCCACATGGTCAGCATGTTATAGGATGCTGCATACGTCGCGCACAATACTCGGACTTAAATCGCACGACAAGCAGCTGAAGAAGATTCAAGTGCTATACTATTGTGCCAGCACAATGACAACAAAGCTTGCAAAGGCAGCAGATTAGCAAATGCCATTACAGGATATTATGCTCCGTACCCTGTACAGCAACTCGTACTATGCTTCAAGAACCGATCTATATTACAAAACCACGCTACAGGACATGTGGTTCGTTTCACCATCGACGGTCAGAGCCTATAGAGCTTGTCTAAAATCCTCGAGGCGGGAGATCAAACAATCTACACGCTGAAACGCGCTGTCAAGCCACATTAGAAACGAAGGACGTGCAGGGATATTCAACGCTAGGGGAAGCGCGTCATCAACCTCGTCTCGTCTAATGTCGGTCGGGTGGTTCTGGTGTGGTACGTTAGTTGGCACCAGTGCGACAACCCTGGACTGGGCGTAAACAACAGAGACTGAGAATTGCCAGGGAGAAAGAATATCGAGATGGGCTACGGGGCTTCTGTAATCTTACGATCTGACAACCTCATGGTTTTCCGCCCGGTCCTACCGAGGCTAGAGGGCGAACAAGACCAGGTGTGAAACAAACCAAGCTGCAGCAGTCCTTGTTTCCACTTCGCAGCCGTTGCACCGTGATTTTGACGCATCTGAGATTGTGCCAACGTCGTCATTGGTGCAAGGGGTCAAGGGTACTTCGAGCCGCGGGCCAACGAACAAACATAGGATGTCCGATGGGTTGGACCAAAAGCAGGTCACAATCGAGAGGCGTCCAGGCAAGAAGACATGATCAACGACAGTTATGTTTGACGGCAGTGTACTGTACAGATCACAGGTCAGACGACACAGGCTAAGCTCGGGGTCGGTGTCCAACCGTCGCGCAGGTTTAATTAGCGAGACGGTGACAGCTCCCCAGATCTTTGGGACGATGCAGTAAGCCTTCCATCCGACTGGTTCGGTTGGACAAGGCTTCTAATAAGAGACGTGAGGCACAGCCCATGGCCCAAGCCCCAGGAGGAATACCCAGAACCCTAGATGAGGGAGAATGCGGCAGTCGTATCTACCTTGATTGACCTCAAACTACCTAGCCACAACGAGTTCTGACAATCCAGAGAACAGATCGCTAATGCTACACAAGTTGGTTGGTTGTGTCTTCTCATGCTGAGACTCCGTTTTGACATGTCCAAATGAAACGAACAAACGAATAACTATTCATATACGGAGTACAAACGACTAGGTAGACATCCTGAGGCGGCTCGACGTGGTGGACACCAGATCCTATGGTCCGAGCATGCATTCGAATACAGTCGAGCCATGAGCAGATGACCTGTTAGTGACTTATTACATCCGTACGTTATCATTGCACTCGTTCACCCTTACACGAGATGATGCATGATTGGTACTTGACATGTGTCACCTAGCCAGGACCCTAAAATTGAGTGGAAGGACTGCGATGAAGCAAGACTCGCAAGACATGGTTGTGACCGAAGCAAGACTCACCAACACAGAAGGGGATATTGCAGACCGCAGAGAACACACCACTCCCGGCGCGGACTTTGAAGTCGTCGGATGATGACCGGTTTCCATCCTAGGCGCATCGGTCCCTTCTCCAGGCATACTCTGAGGAGCGATCGGCCAGCAAAGGCAGCCAATCCTGATGCCGCTGCGTGCTCCTTTGGGGCGCCCGGGAGCTAAGCAAGGACTTCCTCGACCGCTAGGCCTTAACTGAGGAAGAATGACCTCTAGTGAGCTTCCCCCCCTGCTCAGGCGCCACACTCTAAATTTCGCCTGCAACACCGGCAGATGGTGGGCTGCCAGGCTCCAAATGCAAGCCTTGTCGGACCAGTGAGTTAGTGTGCAGTAGGAAGTGATTCTGCGAACTCTGGATAGCCTATAATGACGGCCCACAACCGGGGATCTGACCAGATGGCCATGCCCTTGTTGCCCGCTTTTTTCAAGGAAAGCCTCCGTTGTCTTACGAGCCCAGCTCCGCTTGAATTGAAGGGATCAAGGCCGGAGCAGGTCCAAGCAGGTCAAAGCCAGGTCAGCCATTTCTCCTCCCATGAACCATGCGCAGGCGGCAGAACGCGCCCTTGAAGACCCTACACCACACGATGGATCTCCCTCTGAGAGAGTTGCGCAAGTTCGTGTCCAGAACCATCTCCGGCAGGCTGTCCAGTGGATGACACGTCCCCTCCCTTCTCCCTCTACGAGAGAATCCGTATGGCACAGTCCTGTCTGTGGCGCTGTTCCACTCGTCAAGACCTTTTCCCTTCCGCTGGCTGGCACACACTCTGCGTCTACTCTAGTTATACACTCACACAGAGAGGAGTCAATCTTGACATACCAGGTACCTGCGACCCATTATTCGGTCGACTGCCATGTTGTATCGACGCCATTCCCCATCAAGTTGTTCCCTGTCAAAAAGTCCTGCCGTGGGCTCTTGCGTTGTGTGCGCATTTGGCAATTCCCACCTGCCACTGCATCTGCATCCTTAGGCCTCTTTGTATACGTTCTTCCCTCCCTCAAATCTCAAGGTAACTTGCCTGCATCTTCTCTCCTTCCTTTTTGCCAACCAAACGCTCCTTTGACTTTCCTTCGTACGATCTTTTTCCCTCTTAATACATACTTGGTCCTTTGCATCGCCATCTCGCGCCCGGTCCAAAACCTCGCACCTCGCCCCACCCTCCTCGGCCGCACGTTTCATGCTCTGCGAGTTGGGCAGAAGTGGTTTTCCAAATTGGTGACTGGGCGTACGTTCCTAGACTTGGGCCTGGACGTATCGACAAGGCATTGACAGCGGGCGGAGTGGTCTTTTTTTTTCTGAATATCTGCATATCTATCACCAATACTTGCCACGGCCATCCGCCACGTCACTCCAACACTGCCCGACTGCGGCAATTGCGATCTATCCTGCCAGAACTCTCAGACTCATTGGCGCAAGATTGTCCGATCGAGTCACTAACCCGGTTTCTCATTGTCGGATCGAAGGCGTGGTGCTGGGTGGCTGCAGTCTGCGGCATATTATAGTCACTGGGCCGGCCGTTGACGATCGACACTCCACATTGAACACTACCCTCTAGCCTCGGCGGCATACCTCACAGCAGTTGTGCTTGGTTGCATGAGGAGACATAAATTGTCTATTGTCAAAGGGTGGCAACCAGAGGAAAAGGAGGGTACTATCCCGTTGGCCGCAATATATCGCACTACGGTTTGCGCGGAGGCTTGCTCATCAATTCATCACCCTGGCGCCGAACACACGAGTTGTCTTTCCTTAAATGGACGGCAATGACCGTCGACGTACGCAGTATGGACCACCATACCAAACACCAACTCAGCCACTGCCATTACCAGGCCAGCCTATGGGACCTCCGTCTAGTGATCGGTATGCGCAAACAGCCACCCCTACTAGGAGTGACACGGGCTCATCTGCATTGACGCCTCGACCATATGTCCCAAGTTATCAGGGCTACGGATTCCCCGAGCAACAGTATGGCGCTCCGCAGATGCAGGGCAGTAGTCCGATGCAAGGCGTCCAAATGCAGTACTCGCCCGCTTACGTTCAAGAGGCGTCCAGACAAGCATCAGTCACTCCTTCGCCTTCGCAACAACAGCAGCAACAGCAGCAATATGGACAGTTTGCGCAGGGCACCATGCTTCGTCCTGTTGGCGGGCAGTCCATGTATGACAACATTCCATATTCGCAACGGCAGGCGCTTGAGGTTATGGCGAGCCAATTTGCGGTACCGCAGTATATGCCCCAGGGAGATCAGGCAGCGCTGGCAGGAGTTGGGCCTAGTTCGTCACAGTATCTGACGACACAGGCAGAACAAAGCATATATGGCACTGTACCAACAACGCGTGCTCCGGTTCCCTCAACCTACCCAGGCGGTCAGGTTGAATTCCCCCAGGTCCCGCAGCGACAACGGTCCGAAAGTGACGCGCCTCGGGACAGTAAGCACGAGGTGCTGCAAGAGAGTCTGCGAGAATATAGACAGGGGGTCAGAAGCATTTTCGACCTCATCATCGCAGGTAGAGTGATTGAAGCAAGCGAGAAAATCCTCGCCGCCACGCGTTGGCTAGTGAACTCTGTGGACGCCCTCGGTGAGTCTTCTACTGCTCTGTCTGTATACGATGATTTACTTATATTGGTATAGGACTGCATCATGACGACGAAGCCAGTCACTCGGATCGAATCGAGCTGTGGACAGAGCTAAATCTCTGCTGGGAAGCCCTTGGTCAAAAGCAGAAAGAACTCACAGAAGAGGCAGTGCGAACAACTAGGCTTTCTGAGAACATGCTCTCTAGCGAGAAGATGACAAATTTGGTCGACGAGCTCATCGATTTGTGTGATCAGATTGAACAATATGGATTGGTCGACTTCGAGATGGGTATTTGGGAAGAACAAATCACTCACATCTTCACGGTCTGCTTGGATCTTCTCCCTGGCGGTGGTACCACGGGTCAATCTGATCGACAACAAGCTGGCTCGAGTTGATCAAACAAAGGCTCGCAAATGAGTCGGTGGAACAACGACCTTCTGCAATTTTATGAGAATACGACATGATCATATTAATTACCACCTTCGGACTCTCTCTTTTGTTGGCACAACCTCTTTTATTTGCCACTGGGATGACTTTTTAACACCTTTTACTGCATGATCTATGATTTGTATGAGTACGAGCACCACGCTTTTCAAATCACCACGATTGTATGATTACGAAAATGTTCGGGATGGGATAAGTTGCCAGGAAGGGAGAAGAAAGATTCCATGGCTGTGTCCGATTTACAACCAAAGTTTGGCATGTCGAGGATAGACGTGCGAGAAAATGGGTGGTCAGCTTGAATATTTTCACTTCAGTTTCTCTTGTTTTTTTTGTTCTGCATTTTTGTTCTTGTTGTATTACTCTCTCTTGGGATGCCATCTCTTCTCTCATGTTTTTCTTTTTTTTTTATAGAGCGGATGCATGTATTGTATCATTGTTTTGCAAAGTTGTGCTGTATTCGTACGAGTTGAACCACCGAAGGCTTTACCGCACGTCTTCAGTTTCTGTCACCCTTTTTTTCATTGACTAGCTCGAATGTTGTTTTCATTCTTTAGCGGCAGTGCTCGTGGGCAAGCGATGATGATGATGGGAAAATGAGATGGGCAGGCAAGGCTCGGACTGATTTCGATCTGTCAATTCTGAGATGGGGGAATGTCAGCAAATGGGCAGTACCGGGTACTTGTTCTCATTTGTGCCTTGTTTCTTCTTCTCTGCCATTTCCGAAAAAAGAAAACCGAGTGTGATGTGTCTGGTGTGTGTTGTCAACAAGGGGGAAAGGGGGAGGAGAAAGGAGATGCCTCCCCCTCTGACGTCTGACTTGGAATGGATTATTATACAATACAGGATGGAGTAACGAGGTATATCCTAGTGCGTGGCCAGTGGTAAATACAGAGTCAGGTAACCAACCTTGTACCTTGTGGTCAATTACCCTGGAATCTACTCCGTACCCAGGTACGAGTACCTCGTAAATGATCGGCACATCTGTGCGATCCGATGAACAACAAAGCACGGTACTTTTTTGGGTGGGCTCTGCCTGACGCTACTTCTTCCCTGCCTACATGGTTCCCCTGCGTATAGTAGTCACCGGGACCTTTGTTTATTGGACGATGCGGTCAGGTACGAATACGGAGTGGAAAAGGCAGAATCGAGAAATTGAAGAGTTTCAAAAATAGTAGTAGTAGAAGAAGAAGAAGAAGAAGAAGAAGAGAGGGAAAAAAAAGTCCCGTACATGACGTTACTCGAGGAGCATAACCAGGGTAATATTACCTTTGGACTTTTTTTTCTAACCCGACTACGGAGGTACAATATATATATATATATATATAGCTACTAGGTAGGTACCTATTTGAGGAAATTTACCTAATTTAGGTGATGATTGATTGATGATTGATTGATGATTGATGATGACACACAAAAGTATGGGTGGGGAGTCATGGATATACTTGTACGGAGTATACGAGGTTTACATTTTTAGTTACCTATCTACGGAGTATACCTTGAAGTTGATACTCCGTAACGTGTTGTATGTACGTACCCATATGTGTGTATGGAGTAATAACGTACGGAGTACCTACCTGACAGTAACTTACCCTAGGTTCCCAAAAAAAAAGGACACTGTTGTTTGAATTTCACCTACCTTGGGGGGGGGTTGTTTTCCAATTGAGAAAAGGAGGGGGGAGGAGAGAAATTCGTCCTTGCCTCCCTCGAGGAAAGAAAATGTTTTACAACTTCACTCGTCTCGTCTCCTCCTCCCCGCCCATCGTCGTCGACTGAACCAAAAACGAAAGAAATCTACACTACGGCCAACGTACATTTTTTGTACGCAAAAAAAAAGTAAAGAGTACCGAATTACCGAATACCTACCTACGGAACACCGCAAGGTAACTCGTTACTCGTACTCGTCAATGGTTCTCATTCCGATGGGCCATTAGGGTAATCATACTTTTGACCATGTTGATTGATTGATACTACCCAACTGACTACCTGACTTCTTTCTTAATCGGTACGAGTCTTTCAAAAGGCGCGACTCCGGTCTGGTAATCTTAGGTAGCCAAGGTAGAACTCTTGTATAGGTGGTACACTTCTTCTTCTTCTTCTTCTTCTTCTTCTTCTTCTGCCTCTTCCCAAACACGACAACCATCCCATATAAACCCATCGTAATGCAGCCAACTGCTTTGGAAAATCGGGTCCCCATCCATAGGTATCCATACCGATATCGCCCCCCCAATGTGTGGTATCAAAAACGCCATGCTGAAACGCTTTCAATGCGTACAAATCTACTCCTTGTATAGACAACAACAACAACAACAACAACAACAACAACAACAACAACAACAACAACAACAACAACAACAACAACAACAACAACAACAAGCTCCATCATACCATATCCAATATCTCTGGTGCCGACACAAATGAAATCAAGGTCGAGGATTTTTCAAATCCTTCATCAACAGAATAAAATGTCCCTGTGCCTGTCAAAAAGGAAACAAGGGACGGGAATCCAAGAAATGAGTTTTGACAATGTCGGCTTCTTCTTCTGTCTCAAGGAGACTTTGGACCGCCGTTTGTATCAGGAGCCTGTGCTGTCGGAGGTGGTTGTTGAGACTCGACATCTCCATCACCAACCACTCTTACTTGAGGATCGGGGATTTGAATGTCGATATTCATGTACCCTGTCCGTCGAAGCGGTATGATCTTCACTCCGTCTCTCGCACCGACTGTATGATTCCAGTCTTCTAGCCATTCTTCCAAACCCTTTAATTGACCCTTGAGACCGGTGGGTCGAAAGTCTTCCCAGAACCAACCAGTCATCAAGCCCATGAATCCATCAAACCAATTCCAAGCAGAAAAGGGATCGTACGCTTGGACCAAGGTTTGATTGATGTGCTCAATGACATAGCGGAACTCTTGCTCCTGCATCAGGGGGTCGAGAATCTCGGGATATATATTGGAAAATGTAGGAGCCAGATCGCCAAGAACCATCCAATCTCTTCGTATTCGAATGATCCGCGTGGCTTCGTATTCGGGGGAATTGATGGGAACATGAGGATTGAGATGTGGGAAACAAGGATGCGATATGCCCCATACAAGTTCCTCGCCGACGCTACCTTCTTCGACGCCGGGATAACCTGGGCCAGTCTCTTCCTCTTGTGAGCCACTGACGGGCGCAGTCCCGTCCGTGTTCGCCCGTGTAAAGCCCGCAGAGTGTATCGAGGCGGCAGACTGGGCTCGTCTCAGGGAGTGATGGGACGTGATGCGGCGTGGCGGCTGGAGGGGTTGATCGAGAGGGTTGACACCATAACTCTGGCCCAGAACCGAAGTACCCTGGTCTACCACATCTTTACGATCTCGAGTGCTGAACCTCGAGGGGAGTTGTGATCGTTGTTCGGGCTCTTTGATGCCATTGACCGCCCCTTGTTTTTCGAGATCAACCATCAGACCGATTCCTGGGGGAGAGGACGACGGCGGTTCTTGGACGTTGGCGGCGCGCTGGTGACCGTGAGGCAAGCCGACGCTGGTGCGGCTGCCCGCTGCCTGTGGTGCGAGGTGAGGGCTGTGTTCGACGATGGGATCGGTCGGGGAGTGCTGTCTCGAGCGACGTTGCTCGGGGAGGCTCAGGAGGGTATGGACTTCGCCAGAACCAATTTCCGCCGAGGACTGGTGTTGGTGGTTGTGCTGCAGCTCCTGAGGTTGCACTCGCACCTTGGTGGGTCGAGGAACGTGGTTGATGGGATTCAAGATGCGAGAGGTGGCAGATCGATGGTCTGGGGGGAGGACTTTCTTGTTGGTCGGTCGGGCTAGCAGAGCTTCGAGAAAAGATCTTCTCTGGCTCTGCGCCGTGGTGTGTGGACGTGACGGCGACAGGTCGAAGGGTGCGTGCTCGGTGACAGGCGGACGGGCCGCAGACGACGACGTCAACAATAACGGGTCTGGCCCTTGCGCTGCTGGCCGCCCTGGATCTGCCGCTGCCGCTGGAACCGGAGGGATTGGTCTGTCAAGCGAGGACGAGGTTATGGCCGGACGAGCATCTCTGACAGGCTGCTTTTCAAGCGCCCGCGGTGAAAGATGAGAGCGAGGGATGTTTGAGGCGTCCGTGATGGAGGAAGAATCGGCGGCAGAGATTTGTGGGAGGGATGGATTAGGGAGATTGGGAGACGCGGCCACGGTCGAATAGCAGCGCGCGCAGGCATAGAAGCACGACGACGGCCGAGGGAACGAGACGGCGCACTTGGTGTATGCAGGAACAAAATCTTATTATTCTTGTTCGTTGTCGACGTTCAGGTGTAGCAGCATTGATTCAAAGCAACGAGTTATTACTGCGTTCAATCACGAGTAGACGCACCTTGGAAGACTTTTCATCCTTCTCGCTTCCCGACAGGCTGACTTATCTCGTATTGTATGATTGCCCTTGTGCCACCACCCGTCGGAAACGAAGTTCGACTCGTCTGAGCCACTTCGCACCATCTACTTGTAGGGCGTAGTCAAGTATCGTCCCTTTCCCAATTCTAGCTGTTCGACGAGCATATCCCTTGCTGTGGTGACGTCTTCTCCCAATAGTGGTGCTGGGGTTGGGAGATGGGATGAACCAGCTTGTGGGAATTTTGGTGAGGCTTGTGTCCAAACACCCTTACCGGACACTCCGTATCAACTCGACTTCTTCCCACAATGCTGGTTCAGACGAGTTCCCCGGCGCCGCCATTGGCCTTTAGTGCCCACCATTTCGAAGCTTCCATGAACGAACGGCCAGCCTTGGAGCTTCACTTTGACTAAACAGGCAAAGTGATCAGAGGTCCAATTTAGGCCCACCCTCCCTTAGAGACGGCCATTGTAACAGATGAGCAATTGGAAACATGTTTCTATCTCCCAACATGTCGATTACGTAGAGACGGTTGCAAGCCTGTCAGTCACCGTCAAGTCTACAAGCACTGACAACCATGGTAAGTAAGCAAACTGCCCGTCACTTGTCCATTCCAGCGACGGGCATTCTTGATCACCCAAAAACACCCTTGCTTTCCTAGCCTCACTCTACTTCGACCAGGGTCTATTGGCGGCCTTGTCGGTGGGTCGATATGCTGGAATTCTTCCATCTCTCTTCTCCTTTTGGTCTGTATTTTAACAAAAATCATCTGCATCCCTGTCTTGATTTCGCTTCTTCGGTACCGACAATTACAACAATTCCTGTTGTGGATAGTCGTCGTTTTTTTTCACACCGCCTACTATAACACAAACAGCCAATTAAATGTGCTGGCCATCACAGCCACGAATGCTAGCGTCTTCTCTAAGGGAACACTGAGTCGAGTTGATCCGCTTGTTGACAAAGGTGACGGTGCCGTGATCGTAGATGAGGATGAGGACGAGATCGAGGTCACCGAGCTGGTTTGCGAGGTACCAGAAGAGGACTGACTGGAGACAGTCGTCGAGCTTGCGCTCGCGCCATTCGAGGTGATGACAGGAGGTAAGGACGATTGGGTAGGTATTGCTACCGTACTGAAGAGGAGATCGGAGGAAGAGATAGGAACAGTGGCCTCAGGACCAATCGTCAAAGGTACGTCGAATATGGCACACAGTTGTGCAACGACTGTAAAGGTATCTGGGAAAAGTCAGACCATTGCCAACACTCGTCTTCCTGATGATAGTCGGCAAAGTCCATACCTTGTTGGGCTGTGGCATTGCACGACGCAATGGTGCAGTTGTTCATCCGTTCGATATACATGTCATTTGCGCAGAGACATGGCCATTGACTGAGGGTCGAGTCAGGACATGAAGTGCGACCTCGAAAGTTTCTTCTCTTACCTTTGAGAACAATTGGTGCCGTTGACGTTTGCAATGCAGGTCAACTAGATCCCGCTCAGCTCAAGCATTAAGATTTTTTCTCGGGAACACACTTACGGCACATTGATCAACGTCTGCTTGAGCGGTTGCTTGATTGGCAAACCAGAGGCAGAGTGTCGCAAGAAGGAGAGGGAGGTCAACCATTTCGAAAGATGTGATGGTGTCTGGGATGATGGGGGAAACCGGATCAGGATGAACAGGAGTTGAAAGACAATCGTATCGATGTTAAGTCGGGTATCTCAGGACGGTATTAGGACGATGAAGTTATAGATTCCAGCCACCAGCGACGGGTTCGTCGTCAAACAGGCAACATTCAATTCATTGGTGGCTACTGCCTTATCCTCACCGTGTTGTAAGAACCTGGCGCTTTATAGTATTGCATGAAGATTTCCTTCTTCGACTCCTTCCGCGCTGAACATAACTTGCGAGACGACTATGTGTTATGGTAGCCGGCCGATATCAATTCAAAGGTCTTTTGATAGAAGGTGTTGCAGTGTCGAACCAAACTTGGTTGCCTGTGAAGCTGCACTGTTCAAATAACTCACTACGTCGCGTGACCTGGGGCAAAGCTTGGCGTTTGTTTACAGTATGACGTTGTACCCGCTACGAGAGTGTGGATAACTATAGGCGCAATTGAGTCTGAGAGCTAACTTTGAACAGCACAGGATTGAGAAGAACATATCTCATTTTTAATCGAGCAGACGGCGTAGGATAAAGGCCAGGTCAGATTCTAACTCCATTACAATCAATAGCAATACAATTTCAATTCATCGTGAAATCAGTCGTCATACTCGTGGTTTGAGTGTTTCCCATCTCGCTGAAGCGCCATTATGCAAAGTTATCATCACATGCTTCCCACATGATTAGCAAATCTCGTCCACCTCACATTACTGAAAATTTATCACAGAGCAATCATCGTGACAAATATGGCAGCAACGAGGGCACCGCAGGCGCCGAGACCACGGACCGAAGCAGCACCGCTGTCCGAGCTACCAGTCGTGGTGGCAGCTGCGACGGCTTGGATACCAAAGGTGGTGCCAGTGATGACTTGGGTAGAGCCGCCGGTGGTGACCGTGGTGGTGATGGTGGCTGGCACGGGAGAAGCAGTGGTCGAGCTGCAGCCAGACCAGGTACCGGTCCAGGAAGAGAACGGTCCCCAGCCAGCGGTCCAGGTAGTCCATGCATCGCAGTTGATGCCGCTGGCCTTGGTGCCCCATGGTCCGCCAAAGGGACCTCCTGGACCACCGTGACCACCATGACCTCCCCACATACCGGGACCACCCCATCCACCTTGGCCGTTCCAGCCACTCGGAGCCGAAGGGAGACCAGTCGAGCAAGCAGAGATCCAGCTAGACCATTGACCAGAGTTCCAGTTGCCACCAGGTCCAAAGCCAGGGCCGGCAGTGATCTGAGAAGGCCAGGCAGAGCCACCAGAAGTTGCACTGAAGGTGGCCTCTTGCGAAGCGGTGACAGTCGCACCAGCATTGGCGCAAAGTTGTGCAACGGCACCGAAGATGGCTAGAAGTATCGTGTCAATCTTGTGTGCATTTTCTGGGAAAGACACCCATCGTGTGCTCACCTTCTTGGTCGGTTTGGTTTGTGCACGAGGTAGCGACACAAGTGTTTAATTGAGAGATGGCGGTTTGGTTGGAGCAGAGACAGTTCCAGCCACTCTTAGTGTCACAGCCGGTGCCATCCCAGCTGCCCATACAGTCAGACCACTGTCGCAGCGGTCAGTAAGTTAGAGTCACGCAAGGAGCAAAGCGGCACTCACGGAACATGAGGGAAGCCATGCCAAAGACGATGAGGCGAAGAGAGCCGCAGCCAATGCGAAGGACTTCATATTGATGTGTTGTTGTAGAAGGAGGAACGGAGGATAGGAGAATTTCTCAGGAAGTGGTAGGTCAATGCTTTGTACGGGAAAGGTACTTGGCCAGGAGTGTTGGATGGGCTGGACTCTTTGGTAAATAGTCTGGGGATGGAGTAGAAGCTTCAAGGGGCAAGAAGAAGAGGCAGGAACAGGAAAGATATAGTTTTGAACCCCACGGCAACGATAAGGCGAGCAATGATTCGGTTGTCAAGTTGTCACTGTGTGCAACACAGCCTTGTCGGGGCGATGGCTGAAGACAAACGTCGCCCAAGTTAGAAACTGTGCGGCCCGTGATGACAGCGACACGACGGACAGTCGGAGGGAACGCGTCATACTAACCACGGGAGGATTTAATTGTTTGCTTGGAAATGTCCGAATGGGCATAGCGAGGGGCTGGGGATTTTCAACAGCTGCGCCCGGGTTGGCTTAGGGGAGCCGGGGGACCATCGACTGGCTTGCTTAGGCACTCTTGGTTGTCCGATGAACTACGGTCGCTGCCCAATCGGCGACCTCAGGGCGCCCGAAACCTTCACTTATTGGCAGCTATTATCGGACTTGGAAATTCAGGTGCAGCGCCCCTGTTCATCAGCCTCAAAGATTGACACTGTTCACTCCTTGCAATCATGTAGTTTGTATCAGCCATCATAGTTCATCTACTAGGAGTTAAGGTACAGAGATACGGAGTACGGGTCGAGCCTCAATGGCCCTTGTTTTCAGGGGAGAGAAATCGTGAATGGCTTTTGCGCAAACGGGCGCTTGCAAGGTCGACGTAAACCACCACAATAGTCGTGTCCTGTCGCCAAGGATGCGCCTTCGTATTGCAATTCCAGCTGGTTCGTTACGTGGCTTCAATGCCACCCTCTGACCCCATGATCAAAAAAAAACGACGATCGAACTGGAATCCTTTCCCAGGACAACGATGTGTATTGTCGCAAGCACTGGCGTATACAGCAGTCCGTAGAGTCATCAAAGGCCATAGTCGTCGTCATTCATTATCCGGGTGGTGTGGGATCACGCAAGCCCCATCAGATCCAGCCCTATGTGCATCGTTTGCTTCAAGTCGGGGCAGTCGGCGAAATAGCTCCGGGTATAAGACGCAGTTGGAGCCATCGAGTTGGACCCCAAAGTCTCGGCACGGCCATGCGGCTTTCAGCGCACTGGATCCTCACTTGCAATGTCCGCTTCAATACGGAGTATCACCCCCCCCCAACATAGATTTGTACGATACGGATAGGTTAGCGTACGATTCGAACGGACTTGGTACTTCTGAACCGCTTTGTCGTCAAGCCGGAGGGTCAAATAATTCTGGTTTCATGTTGATTCGGCATAGCTTCGCCAAACAACCACTGAGTTGCAGGAAGGATTGGACTCCCTCTAGTATTCGCATATGTGTGAAGCCAATCTCCTTGATGAATTCGAGTTTCGAATGCTCCGACAGTGTGGGAATAGTCTTAGTCACCCGGAACATAGTGCTTATTATGTCGTGCGAAGAGTACCCGAGATCCCTAAATACGTGTTGTTCTTTGGTGAGTAGACGCATTCATCAATCAAGGACCGACAAAATCTCGACACCGCTCGACTTACCATAACTCTTTCAGCGTATCAACTGCACTGTCGATCTTGCCTTCCCAGCATGCCTTGACCATGGCCTGTACTTTGACTGGATGTGGACTGTCCACAACACGAAAGACGTTGTCCCCGCTGACGAAGCCAAACCCGGCCCAGGTACTCTGCAGGTTATTGATGGCTTGGCGCATGTCGCCCTCTGCACTGAAGACGAGTGCCGCCAGGCCATCCTCGGAGTATTCTACCTTTTCTGCTTCGATGATCTGTAACAGGCGTTGCACCACTTGCGCGTCCGTGAGTCGTGAATATCGTAGGATTGCACATCTCGATTGCAAGGGCTCGATGATTTTGTTGGACTGGTTGCAAGCAAATGCGAACCGGGTCGTGTTGGAGTATATCTCCATGGTCCTTCGCAGGGCTTGTTGCGCTCCGGCCGTCATGCTATACGCATCCTTGTTAGACCTGTGCAAATATGAAGGCTTCGCCACCCATACCTGTCTGCTTCATCTAAAATGACCAATTTATGTCGCCCGGGAGGCAACGTCACCTTCTTCTGTGCGAATCCTTTGATCCTGTTTCTGACCACATCGATACCTCTTTCGTCGCTTGCATTGAGCTCAAGCACGGCTTCTTTGTATGCGTTACCCAGCAGGGTGCGGGCGAGGCAGAGGACAGAGGTGGTTTTTCCGATTCCAGGCATCCCAGAGATAATGACATGAGGCATGTTGCCATCCTTTGCGATAATCTTCAAACGTTCGATCGTCTCTGTGTTGCCAACAACATCGTCGAGATATACAGGTCTGTATTTTTCTACCCTAAACACTGCATTAGAATGGCTTGTTTTGTTTGGATGAAGATCGAACACACCATGGCAATTCGTATTCCGGGGAAGTCGCAGTATTGCCAGCATTGAGAGCTTTCCGGGCTCCTGCCGATGATGATTCTGGTTGTCCAGACATCTTAGCGGTTTCAGATATGTTGTGATGTTGCGAAGACCGCAGTGTATGTTTTTGGCCGCAGTCGCGTCTCGAAGTCCATTACACGCGTTGAGTGAAAGCTTGGCAGTACAAGCAACGGTCGGCAACGCTCACGAAAGCGGTGCCGCTTTTAAGACGACCTACTGGCGACTCATTCTCTTCTCACTTTCTTACCACAGTCCTACTCGCCTTCTAACACCCATCGTCGTAGGGACGGGTTGATATCTCCTACAGTCTCCCTGGTACGCCTCGTCGTAAGATGAGTTCTATGATTGGCAACAATCAGTGTAATTCCATTTTCAGGTCCATGTGAAGGGGTCTTGATTTTTAGACATAAGGTCCGCTTCCTTCTCTCTCGTCGCTTCGCCGACCCTGGGTATTAAATGTCGTCCATCTCTCCTCTGAGCGTACGGAATACAAGCTACACTCTTCACTTTCGAATTCTGCAGCCTACATACAGCGGTCCAATGTACCCCATTCGTATGATGCGTTGGGTTCTTGCACACTATCTCGCCATCCATCAGTCGCCGGTTTTTGGTGTACACGCCATCGATTGTCAAAGTTTTGTTTCGCCTAAGCGACTGTAGAGGGTATCTGCACAGCATTCGGAGTCCCTCACTAACACACTTTTGTTATCCTCTTGTCGGCTCGGTTGCACATCGCGGCTAGGGTTGCGTTCGAAAAAATCGATCGGCTTCAGAGTGACAAGCATGCGCTCCTCTGGCATCACAGGCCAATCCTCAACCCGTGGATTGTGGGTGGTGCCGAAAGTGTGCCACACTACTATATCCTCGTCTTCTACACTGAGAGGCCCTTGACGATGATATACTTGTCCCAGAAGGTCCTACGGATCTTTCGCCTTTGATCCACGAGGCGATGCCCTGACCACCTTGGGATTGCATGGTATGATCTCCCGCGGCGAATAGCTCTCCATCATGGTAGCGTGTCACCCAGAAAGCGTGATCTGCGAATTCGGATCGTCTGCTGTGGAACGAAGACGGATGTGCCAGCAGCATCTGAGCTGGACTGGGAACAATCTCGTAACCTACCGTCCGGTCCGACATGGGATTGATCGACTTTTCATTAAGTACGCGAAATGTCCGTGCTTTTGTGATGTCGAGGTCACGGGCTGACTCGGACTCGATGATGCTGCCGCGAGTCCTGTAGCCAACGCCAAAGGGACTCGTGTCTTGATCTAGAGGCATTGGAACGGACTCAGAAGTAGAGAACGAGCTCTTCTGGCCGTCAAGCCATGGATCAATACGGAGCGAGAATAGATGTTGGTGGTAGGGTGCCATGACACCAGGCGCGACCACCTTTCCGTACGGCACTTGCTCGTTTATTTCGATCGGTGCCGTGGAGAGAATGCCTGTTGCACGAACTTCGTACCGAATACTCGCCGCCTGCGTGAAGTGGAATGCGATGATATATTCGTATTTCGCCACAGTGATGATAGTCTGCAAGATGAGGACCCTCGATTTGGCGACGACAGCATTCTGTGTCCGACAATTGGCATGCTTCCAGAGAATACCGTCGTCGACTTCGTGGCAGCATACCAGTATCGGAAACTTCGGCGCAGAAATCAAGAGGACACATGAAGTGGCTTGCGTCAGGGTGGGACGAGAGGCTCATGTAGAAGTAGCACTGAAAAAATAAGTATCAGTCAGTACCTTTGCAAATAGCTTCCGGGATCCTTGATACCATGGTCAATCTCTGTGTGGCATTTTCTACTCCGTCGGGTGCGTAAGTCCAAGGCTCGACGCTGATGACGGCGCCTTCGGGCAAATCAAATTTTACGATCGCCTTCAGGATCCGATCGTCGTGTAGGCACGACTGCTCCAGGCAGGTCTGCTCTTCAAAATCGGTGTAAGAGTGATATCCCCGGAGATCTTTCTCGGAGACGATGCTGGCCCGTTCCAAATCAACGACGACTTCGTAAAAGTGCTCAGATGTGCCCGAAAAGAATTGAACCATTGCTTCTCGACATGGTCGCTGGGGCAGTGTCTGCCGAAGATGCTCTGCTTCGAGGTACGGAAGCAGCATCGACTTAGAGGGCTCTTGCAGGTTGATGATCCTGAAAACAACCTGTTCACCTGGTCTGGCTTTGCGAAGGATTTGCGAGGCCTATTTCGACCAACCGTCAGATCCAATGAAACTTAGATCTTGACCTTGACGTACCAGCCAAATTTCTTCTGGCCTCATTGGATCTAGTGGATGGGGCTGTTTCTGCATTGTGCCTGCTTCAACGGCAATGGTTGAGCTCAACCTGTTGTTGCGACGTCGCGAAGTATATTAAAAGTGCGGTTTCAGAGTACCAAAGGCTGGAGACTTTCATTGCATGCCGTGTGGAATTCGTCGGCAGGCTATATCAAACAATTCTGCACCGGCCGGCGGACCGGCTGGTGGTGATTAGGCTCCGGCGTCACCAAAGCCTACACATTGTCTTTGATACCAACACCAGGGGATGGCGGGGTGCTGATTTCCGGAGAGATATGATAGTCGGGGCCGGGTTTCTCATATAGAGCCGGACACTGAATTCAGGGCCTGGACTGATAGATACGATAAGCGTCTACGCAAGCCGCTTGCAATTTTTATAAGCCAAACGAGGTGACAAGAGGTATCGCAAATCTGCGTCAAGTGCACACACCCTTTGAGGTATGCTACAGACAAAGAAGTCATACAGACATGGCTAATAGGATGTCCAAATCCAGCTCAAAGAGCCAGTATTGTTTAAAGATCGATCTTACATTAATGGAGTATTTGTCGAAGCAAAGTCTGGCAAACGATTCGATGTTATAGGTGCGATGCTCGAGCTCGAGCTGCTTGAGTCTGGTATTAAGCTGACGAGATCCTGGAACCGGAGAGGTTTGGGCTTCAGCACCTGACAATTCTGTCGAGGATGTGAACATGGCTGTTGAGTGCTCATACGCTGCTTTCCAGAGCTTTCGCAGGGAACCCCCGAAAACCAGAGCCCAGAAGCTACAGAAATGGGATTCTCTAATTCGCAACCACAAGGACGATCTCGCAACGATTTTGACATTCGAGAACGGCAAGCCGCTGAAAGAATCAGTTGCACAGATCGAGTATTCTCTTACGTTCACCTGATTTTTTGCAGGAGAGGCAGAGAGAATTGGTGGAACTGTCCACACCCCTTCAGCACCCAACCGACGTGTGTTGACAATCAAGCAGCCCATCGGAGTATGCGTTGCGCTTGTGCCATGGAACTTTCCTGTTGCCATGGCGGTCAGGAAGGCTGCTGCGGCGCTGGCGGCAGGATGCAACACAATCGTGAAGCCATCACCGGAGACGCCCTTATCGATTCTGACACTTGTGTATCTGGCAGAGTTGGCTGGCTTTGAACGAGGAGTCTTGAATGTGTTGACAACCAGCCTCGTCAACACACCCAAGCTCAGTGAGGCCCTTCGTCGACATCCGCTGGTGAGAAAAGTCACCTTCACTGGGTCGGTTAGTAATGCTCATGCAACTTTGCACGGTCACCAAGCATCAAGGCGGCACCAACGTTCCTGATCAGGCGCGAATTGGGACAGTCGTGTCCGAGATTTGCTCGGATGGCATCACGAAGTTGACCCTTGAGTTGGGCGGGGACTGTCCTTTCCTTGTCTTCAACGATTGAGATCTGATTCAAGCAGCTCAAGGCATGTTAACCAGCATCATTTCTGGCTCTTTAGGCTGACGGCAACAGCCCTTTGCCATCTCAAATTCAGGCACGCGGGTCAATCCTGCGTATGTGTTAATCGATGTTACGTTCAAGCTGAAGTATATGACAAAGTCATCGCCCTCCTGGTTGACTGGGTTAGAATGCTGGTTGCAGGTCACGGCACAGCACCTGAAACGACAATGGGACCCTTGAACACGGAGCAGGGTGTTCTCAATCTTGAAGCACATGTCAAAGACGCTGTGAACAAAAGAAATGGTGTGGTAGCATCTGGCGGCCATCGTCTGCCTGGTGCAAGGGGATACTTTTTTGAACCTACAATCACCCTCAACGCCGGCGCTGATATGCTGGTAGCACGTGAGGATACTTCCGGACCAATTCTGGCTGTTTGCAAATTCGAAACTGAAGAGCAGGTCGTGAGAGAAGCTAATAACACCGATGTGAGTTTGAAAGGTTTGAATGTCGTGAAGATCGCTCTTTGACAGGAAATAGATGGGTCTCGCATCGTACTTTCGTTACTGCCGACATTAATCGAGCCTGGAGATTATTGGAAAATCTGGAGGCTGGAATGGTCGAAATAAACACAGGGAACCAATCCTCTGGCGAGAATCCTTTTGCCGGCATCAAACTCTCGGGCTATGGAAAAGAACCAGGCAAAGATGTTGCGGTCGCCGAGTATTTGATCACCAAAACTGGCACACTCACAATCGACAACCAGTTCTAGAAGCATTGTGGCGCCGAGTAATCTCAGCCAGTGCACCTTACGTGCACTTCATTTGCGCTTCGACACCATTCAGAGTAGCACAGTATCTCTATGCTTTGTTTTAGTAAGCTCCTGTAATTCATGCCACCTACATACTACAAGCCGTCCATGGCCATAACTCAGCAGTCGGTGATTTGACTCTCAGAGGGGGCCAGGAAGAGCAGAGAGATAATAGGTACTAGGATTGTACGTCTGGCCATACTAGGTGGCATTTGAGTTTCCTGTCGGGCTTCGAGCCATACAACACCAGATAACAGTCAGCTGAAGTCGGACAGACACCTACAGGGGAGTCATGGGCGCCGTGTCGCTGTGAGCCGTCCCTGCGATTGAGCTTGGGCGTCTACCTCCGTGCTACTCCACTTTCTTGGCGTCGCAGTGGGCGACGATACAATTGACCGTCCTGGAGCGCCGAAACCCGCAACGGCGAAACCTTTCAACCTTTTGAATCTTGTTTCGCTCAAGTATCTTCTGTGGGCTCTCCGGGTCTTGCCACCCATGAATCTGTCCTGCCAGAGAGTCATCTTGTCATGTGCGCGCTGCAGAAGGCGTAAGATCAAGGTTTGTGTCCTCCAAGCACAGCTTGCCCGGAAGAGTAAGGCTCGAAGTTGTATTGGGGAGAATCCGGGACATTGAACAAGCGGGCTGATAGCTGCGTGTAGTGCGACCGACGATTGCCAGCGTGTTCACCTTGTCAGCAAGCCGGCAAAAGTTGCATAGGAGTTTCTCAGAGCTCTGATGAGCTCCCTCGAAGCTTCCTACTCTCCCTTGAACAGCAAATTGTTCAAGCAGAGGCTGACTTAGCCATCAAGGGACGGCTTGACACTGTCAATGCGCCTCGATCCCAGTTGGAATGGTCTTCAGTTGCTCACGATGAGTGCGGACAGTATGAGCCATCGGGGTCGAATAGACGGCCAAGCGACGACCTTGCGAATGCTGCTCGCCCAGCAAACAGAGCGTCGACGGTGGTGAACAACGATGAGCTCTCGCGTGTGAAAATCCTATCAAGCCCTGTCATGCAATCACTTGTTTCAGCCTCCATGCCTAGTGGCTCAGGAGCAACCGAATTGTTAATGCGAGTCCGTCTGGGCATGACACCCTCACTGTCTCAGACCGGTCAAAGAGGGACAAATCCCGTCGCCTCACACAGGAATGACGGCAATAAGGTCGATGCAAGCGTTCTTGCTCGTGTGCCCCCGGAAATCGTACGTGCGCTCGTCCGCAAGTACTTCTCAGTCTTCCAACCACACTATCCACTTATCGATGCCGATGCACTTCGTCGGCACGTCGAAGTTGTTGGTTCAAGTCTTGGGTGGCCATTGCAGCAGCATGAGAGCCATGACAGCGAAATTTATCGCCTTGTGGTGCCCTCACATCACTTTCTCATCGCTTATCTGGTGCTTGCCATTGCGCTCACAGTCGATACCATCGATGCTGTGCACGAAACTCGTTGCATGTCCCTCTCGACGTCATTGTTCACCGAAGGCGTTGCTCACTTGAACAGCCTGAGCACCTGCCCTTCGGACATCACTTGGGTCCAAGCCATCCTCCTTGCTACCCTGTATGCAACCATTGTGCCGCGATCTGCCAATGTATGGGTGCTTTCTGGCGTCGCCATGCGCACCTGCGTAGAACTTGGCCTCCACCGGGAGCTTCCCACAGGTATTATGGCATCGCATGGTCCTGACGATAAGGAGACGCGTCGTTTGGTGTTCTGGACGGCTTATTGCATTGATCGCAGCATTTGCTCCTCGCTACAGAGACCATTGACCACGCTGGACGCGACCATTGATACGCAATTACCTAAAGATAGCGCTTCAGAGGCCTTCCTCGGCTCAATTGAATACCACCAGTTGTTGTCCGAGATGACGCAAATTCACTTCCAGGCCGAACCTTTGCCTCAGCAATTCGACTGGGACGGCTGGCTGACCGATATGGAGCGCAGATTGAGGCAATGGCACTTACAGCGCCGCAGCGACACTAAATCGATCGAGTCGCCCGACTTCGCACTCTCTCGAGGACTCATGATTTTGCACCGGCCCTCGCCGCGGGTGCCACGACCGTCAGAAGCAAGTCTGCTGATGTCGTTTGAGGCTGCATGCACTGCAGCTTGTGCGTATCGCGAACAAATTGCCTCTGGCTCATTACGGCGATTATGGATATCAGCACATTACACGCTTGAAGCGGCCATGGTGGTGCTGTTCTGTCTACGGCACGGCTGTAACTCTATACGGACGAAATTTGCACCACACAAAATCCTGGACATGACCAAGCTGCTTACGGTCAATTTTGTCATGATTGCGGACCAAGGCTGGCCAGAAGCGTCTGCATACGCAGGCATCTACGAGCGCCTCCTAGGCACCCTCCTCGAGCCTGTCTTGTCCCCGTCGGCGTTGTCATGTTTTTCTCCGGCACAGGATGCCGAACTACTTCGTCTACTGTACCCAAGTCCAGCGCGACTGGAGAAGCTGCGCCTAGGTCACAACATCCAGCAAGCAGAGGGGGATTGGCCCCTCGATTCTGATATCTGGGACACATCTTGGCAGCTTTTTGACTTTGAATCTCTGGCCGAACCCACTTTTGACCAAGAGACTGAACTATTTAATACCTCGCAGTGGATATTGTCAGACAATACTGGAGCGCTCGACTTGGAATCTGCTTTTATGACATATGATCCTCATGAAAACTTCTAGATCCCTCGGTAGCCCGAATACAGAGAAATAGAGTGTGTGTCCCAGTGATTTTGCGGAGGACAGTACCCGTAGAAATCTGCACAACTAAAGGCATCGTTAAGATATGTGGCTTCGTAAATTCTTTGAAGCTCAGCTCGCAGGGCTCCAGACGGGCGTGTTGTATCTAGGTATTCATTCCATTCTTAGCCACGGTCACTGACCACAGGCATTCGAGCGGATAAAGAATCACAACTCCACCCGCCAAAAGTGGGCCAGTACTCCGTGCTCCGTATTTCTGGGCCATTTCTCTTTTGGAAACGTCAAACGTTATTGTTTTCCCCCAAGGTCATGGACCGTACATCCACAGTCTCCTCGTCAGTCCCAACGATGAATGCTGAGATTATCCAACGACATCTTCCATCGTGCCGCCGCTGTCGGCGCCTCCGAAAGAAGTGCGACACACATTTGCCACGCTGTCGAAGGTGCGAGAAAGCAGACGAGGACTGTAACTTCATCGATGCTGCATCAAAACAGCCCATCTCGAGAAGGTGAGAAGATTTCTCGTCACTCCCTGGTGGCCGTATTGTCGAAAGAGAGGAAGACTAAACTTCAAGCGAAGTCACGTCCAATCGCTGCTGGTTCGGCTTGAACGATTGCAATCCGCCGCAAGGCAATCCTCCAACATCGCACCCGAAAGTCTTCTTACAGACGATGCCTTCTCTTTAGAACCCGTCGAGGCCATCCTACCAGAGACCGCCTCTGATCAGTCAAAGCCACCGTCAAGTTCGGAAGACTTCTCCTTCGATGTCATCATACAGCTCACGGTACCCGAGCCAAAGACTCAGTATTGGGGTGCGAGCTCTGTATTTGCTCTTGTCGTTCAGATCTTGCAACATGCCAGCCTGAAGGGATTTTTAACCTCGGCAAATGCGTCTACAGGGTCCTGTAGACCTGATCCGCCCGATGTTGACACTTTAGACCGGCAAATGACAGCTGCTCCTGAAGCTGACGTATCAGAGCTTGTCCGTTTCTACATGCGCACACTGAACACCATTTACGTGCTCATTGACGAAACAACCATCTTCAATGACTTGCCGACCTACTTCCAAGTACGGAATCGGGCTCAATATTCGAGCCAGAAACTCGAAGGAGAAACAGCTCGCCGGTTTTTCCGCATCTCCCTTGTATGCGCTACAGCATGCGCTATCCAAGCCCGTCATCGTCCTTCTCGCGTTGCTGAGAGTCTAGCATATTATCAAGACGCGCTAGGTTGCGTCGAGGAAGTAACATCTGAAGCATCGCCTGCGTCGTTGCAGGCCTTGCTGCTATTGATCATATTTTGTCTCTTCTATCCCCGCAAGGGCGAAATATGGCGTCTCCTCGAATATGCCTGTCGACTAGCAATGGAACTTGGATACCATAAAGAAGATTCCGATACACCCAACACTTCAGCGGACAGTGAATCCTCATCAACAATGCCGCCTGCAAGCAGCGCCGCCTCTAGCAAGCGTCCACAATCACGGCACTTGACATTTTGGGCTTTGTATGCTCTTGAGCGCATCATGGGTCAAATGTTTGGACGGGCATCCGACATTCCGGAATCGATTATTACCGCCAGCTACCCAAGCGCCTGTACGCCTGAGGTGTCTAAAATTTCTTCGGAGGCATCACAGCGGGCCTCCAACATGCGCGATGCAAGATTCGACAACGGCACCTGCAATAGCGTGGACGAAAGCAATCCTGACCAACGCGATGCGCCACAAGCTACCGAGCAGACACACTTACAGGCTGCGGCGTTCGCGCATCACTATCGACTAGTCTATCTTCGCTCCATGATCTACCGTGCCATGTATGTGCCACCAATCACGCCTGCATATGTGATGGAAGCACCGTGGTTATGCGAACAATATGCTGCGATTCAATCGTGGCGCCGTGATCTGCTTGTCAGCGATGATTTTGCTGGCTTTTCGACCATAACGTGTGTCCAGGGCTACAATCAGACAATCTGCTTTCTGTTCCAGACCTTGCTGCTACGGGCCCTTCGGAGTACGCAATTGGGAAGGGTTGGACCCGACGAAGGGGTTACACAGGAACAGGCCGGGCCGGGTCAAGTATCTCCGGAGCAATGCGTCATCGTTGCTGACAGTTATTGGGCGGCATGTGATCTTGTACACGCCTACGAGCGCCTGATCCGGGCACACGATGGGTCATTACTAGGCTCGTATCCGCTCACCTTTCTATCTGCACAGTACATGTGGTTGGCGACCAGCACGCTCGTAGGCCACGTTCTTGTCGCCCTAGACGGGCGCATACGCAAAGTATGGTGTTTTCGTCGGTGGCATGAAGATTGCACACCAATAGAAAGTGCAGATCCGCACCAAACACCGCAGCAAGTACTTGACTACGGTTCCTTTATCGACATTTCACCAGTTTGTTTAATGCTGCTGCGCTGGTGCGCAGATCGCTGGCCGGGGATGGCCGGACTTTTGACGGTGTATGAGGAACTGTTCAAACAACTGAACAGAGAGCTCATCCGTCGTGGCATGGTTGTGTGAAATAGGGTCAAAATTTGCCTGATACGTGCATGTATCTGTATGTGATAGGGTCAATTACGGTGGCAACTTTGATCGCTGGTGAGATTGAGAATGATACCTCTTGGGTTGAGACTTGGGGCAGGAAGTCGAGGCGTAAGAACATGTGGAGGCATATTCCTTTTCTGACCGGCTGCTTGCAGGGATTTCATGCAAGAGTTATCGAGAGCTACGTCAGAGCAAGAGCATTACGAGAAAGATTGTGTTTTGACTGTGTCGCCACACAGCTGTAGATATATATCCTTGAGGAGCACTCGCTTTTCAAGCACACTAGATCCTATTTCAAGGACATTGAGTCCGCCACATTCCTATTTGGATCCCAGCCAGCCTCCAAGCTCGAGCAAAAAGCTAGGTTGCCCGAGTTTACGAGACGAACCCAATCAAAGTGTGTACAGAAACTCTTGTGCATTAGTCTAAATCCTTCGACGAGGCTGCATGGTGGACGACTTACATATGGATTTTCCTTGTCTGTACAGTCCTGTTCACCGAAATCTTTGCCACGTGAGACTCTCTCATCGTCGGAGATGGTCTGCTCCTGCATGTGTTTGATCCGTCGACGATTGCGCAGCGCAAGGGTTGTTCGCCAGATGGCCGCATTGATGAACTGAGCCCCTATGCAAACAGCACAGCCGGCGGTGCCGTGAATATAGCGAGGCGCATCCCAGGCGCGGAATGTCTGCGAGCCCACAATATTGCCGACACAATATCCAATGAAGGTGCCCGAGGCAACGAGGGTCCGCTTGGTGCGACCTGCGATGTCTCGACGGCAGCAACGTCCATGAGACGTAAAAGGCGATCGTGAAGGTCAGCGTCATGAAATACCCTCCCCACCGCGGCCACTTGTACGCCTCAGTTTGCGGGAGTAGCGACATCATCAAAAGACCGCAGAATGGCGACACGGTGGGAGCAATGATACAGTACGGTCTCATGCCGGGGAATTTGGTGGTGATGAAAGCGACGAGACAAAGAAGGATGACGATCAGACTGTATCGCGGAATACCCAAGAGGATGGTCTGTAGATTAGCTGAAGCACACACACACACACACACACACACAATCGTCAGCAACCCGGATATTCTCCCAAAGAGTTACGGCACTTTTGGTCACTCACTGAAGCCCAGGCTGACGTTGATTATGGAGCCAAAGGCTGTCAACCCTCCATTCGGTACGGCACTGAGGAAGGCGTTGAAGGTATGAAGGTACAACTAAAAGGATCAGCAAGGACCACATATTGTATGCCTTTTCGAGATGCAGTGCAGGTCTGGGAGACCAAGATGCACCTACCACAGGATCAGTGACGGCCTCCCTGGTCTGCTTCCAATTCCAACGTTTGCCCGTCTCGTCATGACCGGTCTGGTTGGAAAGCATCCGAGATATGGCCAACTCTTTCTCTGTCGTAGTAAGCCATCGCACCTCGGACGGGGTGTCGAGGAGGAATAGCCCGGTGATGCCGAGACAGACGGTAAGACCCCCGAAGAACTATATTGTCATAGATCAGCGACGAATTTCTAGAGCCAAAGCTGCACTCGGGGGTTTGCTGACATATGCCATATATCGCCACACCTCCTGGTCCGGATGTGAGAACGTGATTGAGCCAAAGCCGTACATGATGAAATTGGCGACGATGAGCACACCCGAATTGCCGGTGGTGAAGGCCAAGGAGCGCGAGGCATGCTCGCGAGTCGTATACCAGCTTGCGATGGTCAAGATGAAACCACTGCTGACGCAGCTCTCCAACATCCCTAGCAGGATGCGCATAGCCAAGATCTGAGCAAAGTTCTGGGCGAATCCGATGCAAATCGCCACCACACCCCAGAGCATGATGAGAATTGGAAGAGTGCGGCCCATAGGGAAGCGCTGTATCAATGTCGTAAAAGGTAGCTGAAAGACCATGTAGGACAGATAGAACGCTGTGGTCAGCCAAGCATATTGCTGGCCGACCAGGTGCAAATCCTTGCGAAGGCCGAAGGTGGCATAGGTACCGATTCCAGACTTATCGATCAGTTGAATGCCATATGTCACCCACAGGAGCGGTATGATACGGGGATCGATCTTGCGTACGATTCGGTTGATCTCAACCTCGCTCGTGTGGGACACTTAAGAACAACGGGCATTCGTGAGCAGCCTTCACACCATGTCGGGAGGAGAGAGGAGCTCACCATCAACCGTCTCCCCCTCCAGAACCTGGAACAGATTTGTATCGGTCTTAGTAGTCCTCTTCAGATCATCTAGCTCGGTAGACGTCTGGTGGTGCTGCTCGGTCAGCACCTGATGGCCCTGCTTGTTCGATATTGTGGCGCTCTTTAAAGGAATGAGAAGTAGCCATGATATGGCGACGAGATCGCGTGCATATATATACAGAGGCCATGCCTTGCACCACCCATGAACAGGACATTCCCCTTGAACGACTGTTCCATGTGTATAGAAACCCTCCAGCGATAATGTCCATTGCACAAGAATGTCGAAGAACGGGTTTTCGCGCCCGAACTTTTGACCTTGTTGGAAAGTCATATTCTTTATCAGACGGAGGAGGCGGGATGACCTCGTATCAAGGCCTTCCGCGGGGCCCATGCAATAAGTTTCAAATTCTTTCGTGTTTCCAACATCCAGGAATTTACGTATAAGGCAGAGGTCTGGCCAAAACTGGCTTACTAGATCTATCTGCTAGAGATTCGATGCTCCACCGGCACACAGGAGCGCTCTGTCGCTCTTCCCCGTTCATTTTGACCCACATGCAGCCACATGCAGGTCCCTCCAGCGGGGATTCACTTTGGGCGCTTTCATCCGCGAATCTCGACGATCCAGAATCGATCTCAGTCTTTATGGTCTCTCCCCAAATCGGTGACTCATGCGCATCTGTACATACTTATGAGCAAACTCTGGGAGCAGATCAATCGATAGGTACGTATAGCGCCTTCGACACAGACAGCGAATACTCCTCCCTTTGAAGTCTCGCCGTCAAAGGTGTCGGACCAACGATAGTTTCCTAGTAACTCTTGAAATTGGGAACTGCCAATATGGATGCCAAACGACTGTTGCTCCAGGCCCTGGACGCCGACAAAGATGCCCAAATCCGCATGCTTCAAGAATTTGTGCAAGCGCCGTCACCCAACCCACCAGGCTCGACCGCCGCAGCTGCTGCGGTACTCACTTCCTATCTCGAGTCTCAGGCGATCCCCTATGAAGTGCTAAGTGCGCAGGCTGGTTGTCCCAACATTGTGAGCGACTTCCAGGGAGGGAAAGGCGAAGGTCCCCGCGTGGTTCTAAACGGCCATATCGATGTGTTTCCCGCGGGTGATGCCAGTGGATGGGCCCGAGACCCCTGGTCTGGTGACATTGAAGATGGCCGAATCTACGGCCGAGGTGTCGTCGACATGAAGTCAGGCACGGTGTCCCTGCTCATCGCATATGCCAGCCTTTTTCGACGGCGCGAGATGCTGCGCGGCAGTGTCGCCTTCTGCGCTGTGTCCGATGAGGAAACAGGCGGCAAATGGGGCACCAAGTGGCTTCTCGACCGAGATTGCCGCCGGTGGGGAGGTGACCTGATGTTGAGCGCCGAGCCTTCTGGCCGTAGCATTCGATTCTCTGAGAAGGGGACTTTACGACTGACATGCACTGTGAAGACCAAGGGTGCACACGGTGCCTTCACCAACCTGAGTAAGGGTGCGGTTCGCACCTCAGCCTTTTTCATAAAAGAGGTGGTCGAGGCGATCGAGAGCATGTCGTTTGACATGCCTGGAGAGTTGTCCCGACAACTTGCAAAGCCCGATGTGCAAAAGGTTGCCGATACAGTAATGGGAGCTGGTACGCACACCATTCTCGGCCGTCCGACGGTCAATATCGGAACGATCAAGGGCGGTCTCAAGGTCAACATGATCCCAGAAACATGTATTTCCGAGTTTGACGTCCGAATGCCTGCTGGCCTCACACGAGAGCGTGTTCTCGAGGTGATTGGAAACATCATTCCCAACTACGAAGACGCAGAGATTGAGCTTTCTATCCACGAGGCTCACAGCAACCCCGCCAGTTTCTCGCAATTGAGTCACCCTATGATCGACCTTCTTGCGAAGAATGCCAAACTTGTGGACCCAGAGGCTGATCAGCCTGTGCCTATTCTCTCGATTGGAGCGACCGACTGCAAACACTATCGCTACCGTGGAATTCCAGCCTACGTCTATGGATGCAGCCCCAAAACTAGTAAGTCTACGTTGATTCTTGCTCCGTCTCATCGCTCTTGTGTTACACGGCCCTGACATGGGACAAACAGTGGCTCAGACGAATGAATTTGCCCTGATAAGCGAGTTTCTCCATGTTACGAAAGTGCATGCAGCGGCCACCTGGGACTTTTTGCAGTCCTGATATATGCGTGGCCTTTTCCCGGGGGGGGGGTGGGGGGAACAAGGGAATTGTAACGTTCAGATACTATTCAACAACTCGAAATCACGAACTGTTCACTGATAGGAGAAATGATGATAAGCCACATGAAGATGAGGACACTTACAACTTGGCAATATTACTAATTCCCAAAAACCTTCGAGGGTGATAGACGAAAGTACATGAATCGGGAGTCATCGGTCCGGTAAGAAACATAGATCTATCCGTACTGGGCCTTGTCAATCTAGCATGGAATATGTAGTGCCAATATGCGTTTCACCGTCTACCAAGTGCGCGCGCTCGTGCCCTCTTAGATCCGGATTGGCGCGCCCTTCGGCACTCACAGTTCGCTATCGTTCCTTGCCTCATTTTTAGGCAGATCTTCGTTGGACGTAAATTGAACGGTTTCAGTTACAGACAGGATTCGTGCGCGCAAACATATCACAGTAAAGTCGAATACAAACCGTGTCCTTCTACACTTTTCATTTATTCTATGCTCGGCGTTACTCCACTCCCTCCCTGCCCGCTTGCAAGTCCGGCCGGCCAAGGAGCCGGAGGAGGAACGCGAGTGCTTTGAATTGCATCGGTCTTCCGCAAGATGAAGTGGCGATGTGAAGCAATGGATCCCTCCGCGGCCGGATTGATCTTTGTATTTTGTTGTCTCTGGATGCCGCCACCCCACTGGGGCGTCTTTCGACCAGCCGTCAGCCATGATTTTTGTGCCAGTCGAAGTCTTCCCCATGCGTGGATCGAAGCGACAAAGCACTCTGCCCGCCGGCAACAATACTTTGTACCTATGCCTGAACATCCATCACAGCCCTTCCTCTCGAGCCGACATCTTTTGCCTTGAAGATCCAAGCAGTCAGAGACGGCCGTATCTGCCTTCGATTCGCGTGTGTTCAAGAACCTTTTCGGGACCCAGGAGATTCGAGATGTCTTTTCTGATGAGGCCTACGTTCGATTCATGATTGATACAGAGGCGGGCTTGGCTCGAGCACAGTCCGCCGTGGGGGTCATTCCGCCCGAGAAGGGCAGGGTTTGACGCAGGCTTTCAGCAATGTGATCATAGAGTAAGAATGCTGAACAGTCGAGGACCACCCAACGCAGGCTGATACAATCTAGTTTTGATCGACTCTCGAAGGAGACCGAGATTGTCAGATATTAAGTGTTTCCCCTTCTCCGTCAACTTGTTGAGATGGCGCCAGATGAGAGTGCTGCGAAATATATCCACTGGGGGGCGACAACTCAGGGCATTATGGACAATGCATCTGTCCTTCAGATCCGGGCCGGACTAGGCATGGTAGAAACCCGCCTGGAGAAGGTTGCTTCAGCACTCAAAGTTATATCGATCAGGGACCGTCATACCCCAACGGCAGGACGTACGCATCTTCAACATACACTACCTAGCACTTTTGGCTATAAATGTGTGTTAGACGGCCGAGGGCCTCCCATGCGGAGTACTTCGCCAATACAGTCTTTATAAATTAAGGCCTATTCCTAGGCCTCGAAACGCTCCTTTTACTACCCTAGTTTAGCACCCATTCCTCTTCCTATTCTATCCGATGAGGCGCTCGTTGTTGAGGCAACCCCAGGGCCTCGTTCTCTAGGCCTATACATGCTATCGTTTCGGGAGTTGATGTGGCAACGAGGAATGCCTCAATCGGAGGAAGAATTGCGCTCCTTTTTGCTATTATAATGTACTGGGAAAGGATGAGCATGTACCCTCATAGTCAGTGATGATTGGCTGTTGCAAGTGTGCGCGTGGGGTGATGGGAGTAGGCTGGCCGTGACATCGGCCCGAGTAGATAGCAACAAGCAACAAGGATAGCACATAGAGGTGTGCGCAACGTGCCATAACGACGAGGCCGACTTACAATGCAATGAGTTTTCTTTTCCTGAGCTATGAGAGCGCCGTTCTCTGGTGGCTGTGAGTCCTAGGTACGTGATGCTGAACGAGTAACACGAGTACGTTGCGACCCCGTGAATGTCGAGTGCGCCTGTACGGACACAGGTGGCTAGGACGACTAAGCGGCGAGTGCCAACAAGTCCTTGAGATCGCCGAGGGCGTCGATATTGCCTACCCGGGCGCTGCAAGGTTGCAGCGCAGGTCATAGAAAGAGTCTTTACAGGATCAGGAGGACCTCTGAGGTCGAGGGTTGTTGTTGTTGCGGTTATAGACTAGCCCTGTGCGCACCTGGTGCTTTCACGTTTACTCCTGTTATAATACTTGAGGGACGCCGCCTATAGCGCCCATGGTGTATCAAGAAATGCTCGGGGTCAACTGGTCGAGAAAGTTTAGAGGCCCGTAACTCCACTTATATTGGCGCCTCTGGAGTGCCGAAAGGACCTATAGAGTGACCGTCCAGGGGCG